TTCATGATGATTTTTGCTCGATTTTGATAGGTTGCTTACAGATTCCTAGACATCGTCTTGTGTGTTTACTCCATTCTGACTTCGAACAACAATGGCTGCTCAGAGATCTATCACACAGTACTACTGGTGTTCTAAGATCTACTGTCTTCTTCTTCTTCCTCTGCTCTTGTCTTTACTGATTTGGACTCCTTCGATCTCCTTGGCTGCTACTAACCCTGACGATGGTAACCACTTTTATTTTCTTTCCCAAGATAATCTCCAATTTTGGCTTCTAGATTTACAATTTTGTCTCACTGAATTTACAAATGAGATCTGTGTATACTGCTGGAGAATTAATCAGCATTGTTGTGATTGGAACAGTTGCTGCAATTAACGGTTTATTCGCCGCGCTTGGCGCACCTGTTCTTCCTGGTTGGATTGCTTCTGGTGGAGACCCATGTGGTGAAGCTTGGCAAGGCATTATCTGTAATGTTTCAGACATAATCAGCATGTAAGTTCTTTGTCAGAGATAACAAACCTTATCTATTTATCATTTGATTTCTTTCTGTTAATTCTGATTTTTGAATGGTTACAGAACTGTAAATGCCGCTAATTTGCAAGGAGAGCTTGGTGACAACTTAGCTAAGTTCACTTCTATCAGGGGAATGTAAGCATTTTAGACACACACACAAAAATGTGACAGTTTTTGACAAGTCAATTTGAATAATTCTCTCTTAACGTTTTGTATTTTTTGCTATTTTCAGAGATTTCAGCAACAATCGAATAGGAGGAAACATACCTTTGAATTTGCCGGTTACACTACAGCATTTGTATGTATTACATAAACCTTAGCAATGTAGTATTTTTTTTTTTTTTTTTTTTTTTAATATGGTTTGTTGCTTTGATGTATGATAATGGTCTTTACCTTTTGGCAGTTTTCTTTCAGCTAATCAATTCACCGGAAGCATCCCGGAATCATTAGGAACATTGAGTTTTCTGAGTGACATGTATGTACTTATTATTACTCTTAATACATATATATGGCCAATGGTTTTTTGTTCTGATGAAAATCAAACCATTCGTTTTCAGGTCTTTGAACGATAACCTTCTCTCAGGAGAGCTACCTGATGTGTTTCAAAACCTTGTTGGGCTGATTAATCTGTATGATTCTTCTTCTTTTCTTCTATGGTTTGGTGAATTGTTACTATTTATATGGGTTGTTTTAGTGATCTTATATCTTTTTTGCAGAGATATATCAACTAACAACCTAAGCGGCACGTTACCTCCTTCAATGGAGAATTTATCAACACTTACAACACTGTAAGTTTCTTTATCTTCTTTCTGCTGAAGTCTCTCTTGGTTTTGTTCTTCACCAAAGCTGATATCTGAGTTTTTCTCAGACGTGTTCAGAACAATCAGTTCTCGGGAACTCTAGACGTTCTTCAAGGCCTTCCTCTCAATGACTTGTAATGTTTCTTTCTCTCTCACAAAATGTTCCAACTCTTAAAGCAGTGATAATAAGCTTTTTAATGTACTTCTTGGAAACAGAGACGTAGAGAATAACCTCTTCACTGGCCCCATACCGGAAAGCCTTCTAAGCATTCCAAAATTCTTGTAAGTGCTCTCTAGCTTCATGTTTCACTAATCCTATAGAAGCATTTCAAGTTTTCATAAGTTGCTCTTGTGTATGCAGAAAGGAAGGAAACCTGTTCAATTCCACCACGGATGCACCATCATTGTCTCCGTCTATATCTCCAACTCCATCAAAACCAGCTCCAACACGACCGCTCTCTGGAGCTCCACCACCTCCTGCAGCTGATAGGAACCGAGGGAAACCTGCTGATGGACCTTCTTCCTCAGAAGAATCAACCTCCAGGAATTCAAAAAGCTCTTCAAATAATACTAAACGGATAGTCCTCATAGCATTCGCTAGCGTCCTCGTCTTCATAATTCTTGTTTTGGCTATACTCTTGCTCTTGCCAAAATGTGCAAGACGAAGAAGAGAACAAAGTAGTAGAGTCTTTAAACGGCATCAAGTTGGTGCTGACAGAGGAAACAGAGAAAACGCTCTGGAGAACGGGCCTCCTGCACTACCACCGCCTGTTCGATCTGAAAAAGGTAAAAGATTGTTTGGCCATTGCTTTCTCTATTGCCATTTTGATCTATAATGCTTGGATTGTGTTTATGAACACAGTGCCCTTCACGAAAGCTGGAGAGGAACCAAAGGTTTTACATGATCTTGATCGGTTGCAAAGACCTGCGCCGCCACCTCCTATATCACGGCAAGATAGTCAAGATATTGACTTTTCAATGTTGATGCCTCCACCGCCTCCTCCTCCACCGCCGCCACCACTTCCTCCTATGGCTGAGAAGGTCACCGTTATGCCAATTAAGTCTCCTGAAAGACTCTTCAAGAAGTCTTCCCCTAAAGCACGCTTACCTTCAACTTCTGTGAAGCACTATTCCATTGCATCTCTTCAACAGTACACAGAGAGCTTCTCTCAGGAAAATCTCCTTGGCTCGGGGATGCTTGGGAGTGTTTACAGAGCTCGGCTTCCCAATGGAAAGGTATAAAATGGAGTTAAATTCAAACATTTATTGCACAGAAAACTCTGTTTTGGTTCTGAATCTTGAATTTTTCGTCTTTGCAGCTGTTTGCTGTCAAGAAGTTGGACAAGAGGGCTTATGAACAGCTACAGGATCACGAATTTATCGAACTAGTGAACGATATAGATAGGATTCGACATGCCAATATCGTCGAACTTGTGGGTTACTGCGCTGAGCACGATCAAAGACTATTGGTCTACGAATATTGCAGTAACGGTACACTGCAAGACGGGTTGCATTCAGACGATGAGTTCAAGAAGAAGCTCTCGTGGAATACACGTATTGGAATGGCACTTGGAGCTGCTAGAGCCCTTGAGTAAGTTCCTGTTTCTTTACTTCAAATGGCATTTGGAAATTTTCACCAAGGTTCTGACTTTTGTTAATGTTCTTTTAAGGTACTTGCATGAGGTGTGTGAGCCACCAATCATACACAGAAACTTCAAAGCAGCCAATGTTCTACTGGATGATGATCTGAGTGTTCTTGTCTCAGATTGTGGTTTGGCACCACTAGTGTCATCAGGATCTGTGAGTCAGGTAAAGTACTAAAACCTCTGATGTCTTCACCTGTGTAGTGTCTTCAAGATCTAAAACCAACTGTTTTTTCTTTTTGTATTAATCAGTTATCAGGACAGTTACTTGCGGCTTACGGATATGGAGCTCCAGAATTCGACTCGGGAATATATACATGGCAGAGTGATGTATACAGTTTTGGTGTTGTTATGTTAGAAGTCTTGACCGGTCGAATGTCCTACGACAGGTATGCAAATCGTTACCTTTTGTTGGTTTCTTGGCTTAATTTTTTTCAGGTAAATGTGTATTCATATGAGTTTGGTTTTATAGGGACCGGAGTAGAGGAGAGCAGTTCTTGGTGAGGTGGGCGATTCCCCAACTTCACGATATCGATGCATTGGGCAAAATGGTTGATCCATCTCTTAAAGGACAATACCCTGCAAAGTCATTGTCACACTTTGCTGATATCATTTCCCGGTGTGTTCAGGTAAAAATAGAAAGCACATGTTGAACAATGAAAAGCTATGATTAGATGCTTGTGATTGTGTTTGCTTGACCAAAAGGGGTTTCTCTTTGTTTTCTTGTGACAGTCTGAACCAGAATTCAGACCGTTGATGTCTGAAGTTGTTCAAGATCTTCTAGATATGATCAGAAGAGAGCGTCATGGTTCAGGCGAGCCTAGCACAGACTAGTTAACTGTAAAGAAGCATTTTTTTATTTCCAAATGATCTCTGGGAATTCACGGAAACAAGAGATATTTAGTTCTCAGATACCACAAGAACAAGAAAGGGGACTAAACCAAAGGCATAAAAGGAGTCATATGCTGATTCTGCAGCCAGAAAGAAGCTTAGTTCATGTGAATTGGCTCAAGGAAAAGATCAATGGGCTTGCTTCCAATCGCAAATGATTGGATTGGTGAGGCAGTTTCGTTTTTTTTTTTTTTATATATATTTTTTGTGTGAATCTTGGATCATCCCTGTGTGTAATCTTTGTTTGTTGAAGACCTCTTCTAGTATAAAATCGTGTGTTTACTTGATTCTTTGAACTTGACTGTACTTAAAAGATCATAGAATTTGATCTGTGTTGTATTCTTTTTAGTGCGTGTGTTTGTGCCTGTAATTTACTCGTCCAAGACATTGTATTTGTGGAAGTCTAATAAACCGGACTAATCTGGACCAAACGAATCTGTAATCGGTAGTTTACTGAAATGACTAGCAGTATGAGAGAAAATCTGTTTTTCTTGTTGTTGTTGCTGAGTTTGTGATAAGATCAAGAATCCGAAGTTTCTTTATTTCTCAAGTAGCGAAGAACAATAGTTGAAACAGCACAGTTTAGGGTTTGTTTTAGAGTCCCTAATCTCCCTAAAAGACAAAATGCTCTTAAAACAACCGAGTGGACATTACAACCGCAACTTGTGTACTTCTTTTAAGGTTCTTCTGTTTGATTTCTCAGCAGTTGTCTACTACAAATGCAGATGAAGTTTGCAACAAATGAGTTAGTAGAAGTGAACAGATCAAAACTTGTAGCACAGGCAACAGAAGAGAATTCAGAAAACAGATTTTTTTTTTGCCTCAAACCCATATCAACAAGCAATCATCATCTAATGCAATATCAGACTAGTCAATATTCAAATCAAATGATGTATCAGCAATTCAGGAATGGACGGCCAATATTCAAATCAAATAAATGTTGAAGAATGATAGAAAGAGGCCTTTTAGTGTAAACGAGCCCTATGAAGCAGTTAAACAATTAAACCATATATCATCAAAAGCTTCCTCCCACATCGCTTCTGGAAGAAGAAGTTGCCATTCTGCTCCTGGATATATATTCTCTGTATGATTTGTGGCAGAGTTTTCGAATTATCTCAACAATTTCGACTTGTTTTTCTGTCCTCCTTTGGAATCATGCATACTGACAAGGGAAACAAAAGTGCTTCAGAGGCACCAAAGAACCCTCTTGACTTGCTACCACCAAGCCCAATGGTTCTCGATGATTGGAAGAGGCTTTACTCAAACACCACCAAATCTAACCTCCGTGAGGTTGCTGTTAAAGGTGTGTGGTGGTAACTTTCTCTCTTTTTTTTTTTACACTTATTGGGATGCAATAAAATGTTTAGCTTATGGAATAAAGTTTAATATTGTGGCTCAATGCAGGATTGTGGGACATGTATGACCCAGAGGCTAGGGATACTCACTGTGGTTCTGTGACTACAAGTACTATAAAGAGAACATGATTAAGTTTTTCACACGGAACAAAGTGGAATGGTTCCTTGAGCGCATGGACTTTGCACGTAAATACTCGTTTGGGATAATGCTGATTTGTGGGGAGGGTCCGTGGAAGGGTCCGTTCAAGATCAAGGGTTTATGGCTGTTCCGTGGACCGGAGATCCCGAAGCTCATAATGGACGAGATGTACGACATGGAGCTTTACGAGTGGACTAAGGTTGACATCTCAGATGAAGCCCACAAGGAGCGTGTTAGCCAGATGATCCAAGACTCAAACCCATTTGAAAGCGAAGCTCTCTTGGACGCCAAGTGCTTCATGTGAAAATAGATTCTCTCTTTTGGTTTCAAGTTTGAACAATATTTCAAAATTACTTTTTTCTTTTGAATCAAATGTTTAACTTATTTATATATACATATATTTTGTGTGAATCTTGGATCATCAATGTCTTTTCTGTGTATCAATCTTGTAGTAGTAAGCACGCCTAATGTATGTGCTAGGTCACTCAATCTTGTATCCTTGAGCTGTTGAACTAACATCACTGTCTTTTGCTTTTTTTTTTGTCAATGGAGTCGGAGATTGAACAGTTGATGCAACCATTTGATCTTGCACTAGTAAACACTCCCAAAGTAGTATTGGGATGAATGGATACTCGAGCTGATATGGTATTGTTATTTATTACTTTCTTTTGGTTACAAGATCCATAGAGGATCTTATACTTCTTCCTCTATGCAAGATCCTTGAGGAATTTCAGAAATTTCATATAGACCATCCGAACAGAGATTTTTTTGGAGAATGCAGAGAGGTCAGAGCTTAAAGTAAATATTGCAGAAAGGTGTGACACGGAAGCAAAGAGGAGACTGCAGAGTGTTGAGCTAAGATTAAAGATTAGTTAAAAGACAGTATAGCTTCTTAGTCTTTTTTACTTGAGTTTGATGGTGGAGATTGCTCGGTTTGAAGCACTTAATCTTTGTTATTGTTGCTGTTGATCCCAACCTTGATCCTCTTCAGGACTTTCTTGTTGCATCTTGAATGTTAATGGTCTTCTACTGAGTTTGACGGTGGAGATTCCTCGGTTTTAAGCTTTTGAATTGTCATTAGCAGATCTGGATCTCTTGTATTCAGTTTTGATGAGACTGCTCGGTTTCAGTCATCTAATTGTTGATCCTCACCGGATATCTTAGACCGTTAATGATTTTGTGGTTGTCACAGGGCAAAACACTTGGTTGTTCATAAAATGATGGGAAAAAAAAAATCGACTGTGATTACACACATTCTTCATCTGTGGGTTCATCAATGAATACCAGAGTCATCTCTTCAATAGCTTTCAACTTTCCAGAACAAACACTACATAGAGTTAACAGGTGAATCAAAAACGTAATCTCCCTTCACTGAATCAAAAACCCTATCATTGAGTTTCCTCTATCATGTATCATGGAGTCTCCTGAAAAAGAGCAACCACATTCCTCTCAAATGGTTGGGAACATTGCTCTTGAACTGAGTTCTCTTTCAACCACACGGTATATAAGTTCAACTGCATCTACCACAAAATATTCACTCGAACCACAAAATATTCACTCAATATTCAACTGCATCTACCATATAATGTGTGGTCTTAAGTCTTAACTGATAATATTCACTCGAACCATACACTATCTCCACTTGATGAGAGTTACTAGCAAAGGCTATACCCTTAACAAGCACATCTAAATGTCGAGATTATGAGGATAGAGGGCAGTGAAGAATATTGTAAAAGAGAAAGAAATGAGAGATATGATAACGGAAACGTAGTTCTTCAATTATTTATGACGGGGAAACACAACAGAAAGTACGAAAAGCTTTTAGAGAATCGAAACAGCAACTGGGAAACACAACAGAGACGTAAATTTTCAGAGACCACCACGAAGACGGAGGACCAAGTGGAGAGTCGACTCCTTCTGGATGTTGTAGTCAGCGAGTGTGCGACCATCCTCAAGCTGCTTTCCAGCGAAGATGAGACGCTGCTGGTCTGGAGGAATGCCTTCCTTGTCCTGGATCTTGGCCTTCACGTTGTCAATGGTGTCGGAGCTCTCCACCTCAAGTGTGATGGTCTTTCCGGTTAGAGTCTTCACAAAGATCTGCATACCACCACGGAGACGCAAGACCAAGTGAAGTGTAGACTCCTTCTGAATGTTGTAATCGGCCAATGTGCGACCATCCTCGAGCTGCTTTCCAGCGAAGATGAGACGCTGCTGGTCTGGAGGAATGCCTTCTTTGTCCTGGATCTTAGCCTTCACGTTGTCAATGGTGTCGGAGCTCTCCACCTCAAGTGTGATGGTCTTTCCGGTAAGAGTCTTCACAAAGATCTGCATACCACCACGGAGACGCAATACCAAGTGAAGGGTTGACTCCTTCTGGATGTTGTAATCGGCCAAAGTACGGCCATCCTCAAGCTGCTTTCCGGCGAAGATCAACCTCTGCTGGTCCGGTGGGATTCCCTCCTTATCCTGGATCTTGGCCTTGACGTTGTCGATGGTGTCGGAGCTCTCGACCTCAAGAGTAATGGTCTTGCCGGTGAGAGTCTTCACGAAGATCTGCATACCTCCACGCAGACGCAACACCAAGTGAAGTGTGGACTCCTTCTGGATGTTGTAGTCAGCCAAAGTACGGCCGTCTTCAAGCTGTTTTCCGGCGAAAATCAATCTCTGCTGGTCCGGAGGGATACCTTCTTTGTCTTGGATTTTGGCTTTCACGTTGTCAATGGTATCGGAGCTTTCCACCTCCAAAGTGATGGTCTTTCCCGTCAACGTCTTGACGAAGATTTGCATACCACCACGAAGCCTGAGCACAAGATGAAGGGTTGACTCCTTCTGAATGTTGTAGTCGGCTAGGGTACGGCCATCTTCCAACTGCTTTCCGGCGAAGATCAATCTCTGCTGGTCCGGTGGGATTCCCTCCTTGTCTTGGATTTTGGCTTTCACGTTGTCGATGGTGTCGGAGCTCTCCACCTCCAGCGTGATCGTCTTTCCGGTAAGGGTTTTGACGAAGATCTGCATACCTCCACGGAGCCTCAGGACCAAGTGAAGGGTGGATTCCTTCTGGATGTTGTAGTCGGCCAAGGTTCTGCCGTCTTCCAACTGCTTCCCGGCGAAGATAAGCCTCTGCTGATCCGGAGGAATGCCCTCCTTATCCTGGATCTTGGCTTTAACGTTGTCGATGGTGTCAGAGCTTTCCACCTCGAGGGTGATTGTCTTTCCGGTGAGGGTCTTAACGAAGATCTGCATCTGAAATTCAGAAACAAGTACGTTTAAAACTCTGATCTGATCGATCGCAGAAACTATTGGCAACGATTCGATCGATCAAACAAACAATATTCAAATCCGATCAACAAATCTGGAAGAAAATCTCAGATCAAACAGCACAGATCTAGCTAAATTCCGAACCCTAATCGAAAATTAGGGGCATATCAATCGGTGAAACTCTAACAATTGCTTCTAACGATCGATGAAACGATTCAATTGCGATCAACACGATATAGCAAATCGAGAAGAATCTAATAAGAAACCAGAAATCTACCTTGAATCAGAGAAGTCGATTGAGAGAGAGGTTTGTGAAGAAGATTAACGATCTCGGAAACTGAATTGTGGAGGAGAAGAGGTGTTTATGAGCTTAATTTATAGAAAAGGATTAGGCCGACTCGGCCACGAGAAAGGAAAGGCGTTGAAGCAATAACCAATTAAAAATTGACACGAGTGTAAGATGACGTGTATTGAGCGTTGTTCGCACGCGAGCTTAGCTAAATTAATTAGGTTGCCTTAAGTTTAGGTCAGGAAAAGGATATGTGCTTTGAGTTGATAAACACGACCCGGTGTGCCGGCAGCAACCTCTTTAACGCCGTTTCTTACTAACTTTCTCGACAACCACAATTCCGTAACAGATGCCGACGTCTAGATTTAACGATCGTCACGGTTCAACCTCATCTTTTCCATTTTTTTAAATCAACGGTGGAACTAAAAATGTCAATAATTGAACTATGGGCCCACCTTTATCAAAGCTTTTGTCGTCTTTTTTGGAAGTCGTGCTTTATTTTTCCTTTTCTTTTATTTTTATTTGTTTTTTACATGCAAGTGGGTTTTTAATTTTCGATTTTATCCTAGGGATTTGTTTTTAGCGTTTTTTAACGCATAGGATATTTGCAATTTTTGGCACCGGAAAATGATTTTTGTGTCAAGTTGGTAAACGGGTTTGTATTATTTAATTCACACATTAATTTAAAATAGATCTTGTTTGGACCTAACCCATATATAAACTCGTTGATTTCGCGTTTCTTTGGTCCATGAAAGCATCGTCGGATAATCTTCTCGGTTACGTGTTTAATTTCTTAAGTCAATCGAAGAATCTTAACCGTCAATAGGTTTTCTTACTCAAATGATCCAACGGTCCAATAAGCATCTGTGCTATGCAACTTGAAATGATGTAATCCAAAACGCAGCACATCATATAACAACTTGAAGAACCTTGCCTTGGAAGTAAAGAGTTTGTTTGGAAACAGGGATACGTTGATACTTCTCAATGTTTTGTTTGATCTCTGACAGACTGACACTGTCCCAGTAACCCAATTCAATGCAGAACGTTGAGCTTCTCTGTCGAAGAACACGTCCAAATATAATGATAACGTAGAGAGAATTTTGAAGAAACTTGATTTAGCTTATTTCATCGCAAAAATGAGCTCAAACTAACTTTTGCTTATCCTCATTATACATGATACATATTTATCTAACTAAGATAGTAAGATATGTACATATTTAACATGGGGTTAACTAGTTAACTATTGACCTATATCCATGGGAACCTGATTTTTTTTGTCGACTTGCCATTTTTTTCTTTGACAAAGGGTATTCTATTCTTATTGAAATTGCAGAAATTAAAAGGTACATGGAGTCATTACAAGTTTACAACATAGCAGATAAGCGTATATTTGAGACAAACATACGAGTAAGGATAGAGAAATTCATTGTGAGTTTTGGAAGCAGATATTATCATTTGTTTTATTTCCATCATTACTAAAAACAAATTTTAATCAATACTAAGTTTATTATTCATGACGAGTGAATCTAAATGGTTCTGTAAACGATTTGCATCATAAAGATACACGAGACATCGATTTTACATGCACCATGTTTAGGATATAGATATTTTTTAACGTCCTTTTAACACATGAGATCACAATAAATTTGTTTTATTCAAATTCACCTAATTACAGTGGTTGTTAACTTTCTCGTTAAATAGGAATCGATTTGGGTGTAAAATGGTTAATTCTGTTGCTTGAGTAGCAAGAAACACTTTTCTTTCATTTTTTTTTCTAGGAAGAACGAAGATTATACGGACGCATTTTGTGATTCTACAGTTATGATCTGCTTATAAATTTTTTTTCTTATGGCAAAAGTAAAATATGCATCCAACATTGACACCACACAGATTTGGATAAACGGATACATGAGCTAACATTACCGTCTTTTGCCTTTTTGTCAACAAAGATTGAACATTTGATGCAAAACACTTGATCTTGTACTACTAGTAGTAAACACTACTAATGTAGAAATGTCGATGCTTAAGTCATTTATTTTTACAAAGGAAGAAGCTGCTCTGTTTATATATCATCGGAGTGTCAATTATAATTGTCCCTTCGGGGACATCCGATAAAATTGGAACGATACAGAGAAGATTAGCATGGCCCCTGCGCAAGGATGACACGCATAAATCATAAATCGAGAAATGGTCCAAATTTTTTTAGCTAAATTCTCAATTCTATTCTCCCAAACCCTAAGAATCCCCAAACTTTTTTTTTTGTTGATTTGATTGTTGCAGCTTTGATGTTCGTTGTTTAGTGGTAAGTGTTACTCTCTTATGGTTTCAATTTGGTACTGCAACATATTTTTTTAGCAAGGATGACTATTGGTAAGTGTTACTCTCTTATAAATTAGCTATTGGGAGTTTGTAAATTTCGTTGAACTTGCCCCCAATCTGCAGCAGAATCTCAACTGGGTTTATTGGTTTGGTCAGTCTTATGTGTAGCAAAGATTAAGACTTTTGATGCTGGTTAGGTGTTGAAGAGGGAATTTTGGAAATACTTTTTGACATTTTATGCACCTGTCTGAAATCTGAATCATTTTCATTCATTGGATAGGAAGCTGATCTGAGATAAGAGACAGAACATGGATGATAGTCGTTTCTACTTTCTAGCAAGTTTCAGTTAGTCTATAAATGTCGATTATTTATACTTGTAAAAAGGCTTCTCTCTGAGACTCATTGTGAAGCAGTGATATTTCCTGAAAAGTTAAAAGTTGTTTTCCATGTCTTCTTGATACAGAAACATAGAGAGTAACCTTCTCTGGACGTATACCGGAAAAAGTTGCCAAGCATTTCAAAATATCTCTAACTATACTCTAATTTTCTGCATTACTAATCCTATGGAGGCATTTCGTTTTTCTTTTTCTTTCAGTTGCTCTTGTGTATGCTTAAAATTGGTGGTGCAGAAATGAAGGCACCATCATTGTCTCCGTCTATATCTCCAACGTGAACATTCTGCTTCAGAAGGGAAAAAAACTCTCCAGATACTAAACGGATAGTCCTCATAGCATTCGCTGACGTCCTCGCCTTCATTATTCTGATGTTGGCAATACTCTTGCTGTTGCCAAAATGTGAAAGATGAAGAAGAGAACATGCTAGTAGAGTCTTTAAACGGCATCAAAATGTGCAATACTCTAAGAGGAAGCAGAGAGAATGCTCTGGAGAACAGAAGGGACCTCTTGTCCTGCCACCACCTGCTCAATCTGAAAAAGGTAAGCTTGAAGTTTGCAAGTTTGTCTATTTCTTTCATATTATAATGCTTTGATTGTGCTTATGAACAGCTCAAAGGTATTTGACACACAATCATGTGGCAATTGAGAGGAAAGAAGAGCATCATAAAACATTGAAAGTAGGTTCGTTCTATCATGTACACATAACTGAAACAAGAGCTCCATTGGGTCTGTGGAGCAATGGAGATCTCATCTACATAATTTCAACCTAGCTTTGGTATGAAGCAGCAGCAACAATATCTTAATGAAGCAGCAGAGTTTCAAGAGACGTCAGACTAATCAGGGACGTTGTGATAGGCCCAAGCAAACTTAACCACCGCCTTTGTCGAGAGAAAAGGAAAAAGAAGATTTACAAAAACTTCCTTAAGAAAAAGGAAAGTCTTTTACATAGCTTTAGTATAAATATATTGGTTTTGGTCTTTCTACTAGTTATGCAATATATTGAATTGAATAACGACCTAGACGCTATGAGTCTGTCGAACAAGATCACTATGAGATCTTGAGAGTGTTTGAATGAGATCGTTATGAGATCTTGAGTGCTTTCTATCTATCTATCCAGTGCTTCCTATCTTATATCTATTGTAATCCTTATCTATTATCAATAAGAAGAAGAGTTAGGGTTTGGGTTCTTAACACGTTGTTCCCAATTTATGCCTCTGTTACATGTTCATCTGAAACATTGTGTACTTAATTAATTACTAATAATCAATCAAGGTACAATACACCGTACCAAACCGTAGTAAACTGAACCAAATAGATATATTCTTCAGCAAGGTATATGTTAGTTAGTTAGTTAGTTACTCTTGTGTGTGTGAGAGAGAGGCTTAAGCCGTTAACGGTTTAATCCATCATTCTGTTAAAACTCACGCGCCTTTAATTAGAAGTTTCTTTCAATCTTTCTTCTTCGCTGATCCTTCTCTCTTTACTCTCTCTCTCTCTCTCTCTCTCTCTCTCTCTCTCTCGTCTATCATCACTCTCTCCCTCTCTCTCTTTCAGTCGCCATGGATGGCTTTCCACACGGCAAAGCCAACGTCGAAGCAGGGCAAGCAAAGCACAACGAAGAATTGCGAGAAGAGGAGGTCGAAGACGATCAACGTTACAACTATTTTGGTCCACTCAACGACGTCGTAGGGACGAATCCTCAAGAACTGCGAGCAGAGGAAGAGCACGATCGAGACGTCTACGGAGGTATTGATTTTGGTTTTCTCAAAGACGTCGTCGGAGAGGCGAATCCTCAAGAAATACGAGCAGAGGAGGAGGGAGCTCAAGATTATCATCATCCAACCGCCTCGATCTTTGGTGGCCTCGAGTTCCACGGAGAAGAAACAGATTTTGGTTTACTCAACGCTGATCCTAATTCAACCGGTCGATTCAACTTCAACGTAGACGATTTGGATGTTTTCGACGACGACTACGGAAAGAAGAATTCTCGAGACGAGACGAACATGGTAACACCGATTTACTTATTAGTGAAGCATATAGTTTTAACAGAAATTAAAGATTGACGAGTCTTTATGCTTTGACAGCAATTGCTTGAGTTAATTTCTTGATAATCACTTCATTGGGTCGTGTATTGTTTTAAACCTAATTTTAGTATCTTGTGATGCAAGCAATGCCAGAGTGAGACGGAAAAGAGAAGGATGAGTAGCGAAGAAGAAGCAAGCGACTCAAGAAGAAAGAGGCACTGTACAAACATGGTTAATCAGACGACGAACCAGCAGCAGCATTTCTGGGGTAGTCAGATCACAGAGCTGAACCCTGTGGAACAAGGATCAACATTGTTTGCTGGTGATCATCACAACCATTTCAACCAACCTCATGCTACTGGTGTGCAGCAGCAGCTGACAGATTCAGTGCCGCAACATTTCTGGGGTAGTCAGATTTCAGAGCTGAACCCTGTGGAACAAGGATCAACATTGCCTGCAGGTGATCATCACAACCATTTCAACCAACCTCATGCTACTGGTGTGCAGCAGCAGCTGACAGATTCAGTGCCGCAACATTTCTGGGGTAGTCAGATTTCAGAGCTGAACCCTGTGGAACAAGGATCAACATTGTTTGCTGGTGATCATCAGAACCATTTCAACCAACCTCATGCTACTGGTGTGCAGCAGCAGCTGACAGATTCAGTGCCGCAACATTTCTGGGGTAGTCAGATTTCAGAGCTGAACCCTGTGGAACAAGGATCAACATTGTTTGCTGGTGATCATCAGAACCATTTCAACCAACCTCATGCTACTGGTGTGCAGCAGCAGCTGACAGATTCAGTGCCGCAACATTTCTGGGGTAGTCAGATTTCAGAGCTGAACCCTGTGGAACAAGGATCAACATTGCCTGCAGGTGATCATCACAACCATTTCAACCAACCTCATGCTACTGGTGTGCAGCAGCAGCTGACAGATTCAGTGCCGCAACATTTCTGGGGTAGTCAGATTTCAGAGCTGAACCCTGTGGAACAAGGATCAACATTGTTTGCTGGTGATCATCAGAACCATTTCAACCAACCTCATGCTACTGGTGTGCAGCAGCAGCTGACAGATTCAGTGCCGCAACATTTCTGGGGTAGTCAGATTTCAGAGCTGAACCCTGTGGAACAAGGATCAACATTGTTTGCTGGTGATCATCAGAACCATTTCAACCAACCTCATGCTACTGGTGTGCAGCAGCAGCTGACAGATTCAGTGCCGCAACATTTCTGGGGTAGTCAGATTTCAGAGCTGAACCCTGTGGAACAAGGATCAACATTGTTTGCTGGTGATCATCAGAACCATTTCAACCAACCTCATGCTACTGGTGTGCAGCAGCAGCTGACAGATTCAGTGCCGCAACATTTCTGGGGTAGTCAGATTTCAGAGCTGAACCCTGTGGAACAAGGATCAACATTGCCTGCAGGTGATCATCACAACCATTTCAACCAACCACCTCCTGGTCCTGGTATGCAGCAACAGCAGCAACTGGAAGTTAATCTCAATGCAACAGATCTAGTGCAGCCGCAACATTTCAGGGTTAGTCAGATTACAGAGCTAAACCGTGGGGAACAAGGATCAACATTGTCTGCAGTTGGTGGTGGTTACAACCATTTCAACCAACCTCCTCCTGGTATTGGTATGCAGCAGCAGCAGCAGCAGGAAGTTTATCACAATGCAGCAGATTCAGTGCAGCCGCAACATTCCATGACATCTCAAGCTAGTATGCAGAACCAAATTCCGAATTACCCGGAGCAGCGTTTGAGTGGTCAGATTCCGGATTGGAACCAGTACCAGAATCATATGAAGCGAAATGATCGTCTAGGGAAGCTACTAGGTTCCGTATCAAGTGATAAGTTGGTTGAGCTGGTCCGGACGGGCGCTATTCCCGATCTAGCCCAACTTCGAGCTCAATCGGCGTACAGGGATCTGCATTTTCGTGGTCAACAACCACCACTTGGCCCGCCCTTGAATGTGCATCATCAACCAACTATGTCTGATCAGGTCAATCAGCAAATGCAGCTATGGCAGCGCCATTACCGTGCTTCACAATCTATTCCCCGGCCACAGAGGTTTAACGCTGGAGATTCATCAAACCAAGGACGACCATGGAGGCAGCAACACGGTGCTTCACAATTCATTCCCAGGCCTCAGGGGTTTAACGCTGGAGAGTCATCAAACCAAGGAGGGCAGAGGCAGGATAGGCTTAACGATTATTGGATTTGGCACCAAGGTCAAGAAAGAGGAGGACGTGGGAGAGGAAGAGACCAACACTTTGGTAGAGGACGTGGTTTTTGATGTTGGGACTGGTCGAGATAAAAAAATAACTCTTTGACATGCATCATGCTACTTTGAATTTTTATTTTTCTTGCCTCGGATAGATTTAGTAAATGTAAATGAATTCGTTTCATGGAAACAGTTTGTTGATGTTAACTCTCAGAATTTTCAAGTCAGCTTTTATAACTTAGCTACTATGGTGGGATTTGTCATTTAATTTAAGTAAAGAGTCCCACATTGCTTACGGAGGAAGAAACTGTTCTGTTTATTTATGTAACGTTAGAGTGATTAAGACAAAAAAAAGAAAGAATTATAAAATTGTAGAGTTTGTTTATATCAATATTGTTTATAAAACACATTATTTATTCATGCAATGAGAAGAATAAACATGAATTGATCGATGGTCTTAACTTTTTGTTTCTGTTCATCTACAATACCACATGTAAAATTCCAAATTGCATAGAAAAAATTTCTGCTTTAATATTATGTGATACAGCATCACAAAGAGAACATCACGAGGAAATCAAGTTTAACTTTTTGATCAAAAGGGACATGAAGAGAAAATGTAGGGAATCACGCAAGAAACCAAAACAAGATAATAAAAAAGTTATTTTGTAAAATATCTTAATGATCTCGTGCGTCTTTTCTTTTTGCGACCTGCATGTACTTGCTGGATCTGCACCGAACTTGGAACATAAGAGCAGACAAGTGTTCTCTCATCAGATCTCCCGAGCTTCACTTCTTCGTAGTATCCATTCCCTTGAATCATGAAAGCTATCTTGTTAGGTTGCTGATAAACCACAAGGACTTTCTTCTCTTCATCAATAAAGAAACTCCCACTATGAAATGGAACTTGGGACACAATTCGCTCATCGGTTACGACGAAGAGCTTCCTCCAAGACACTGCATTGGGCTCTATCTTATTCGTAATCCATACGTCCATCACATTTGTATCCATGCGCGTATGTAGCAATGCAAGCTGCTCTTCTCTAACAGAAGACAGAGTCAGAACATCGCATCCTCCATGAGGCCAGTGAAACGGTAGATGCATACCCGGTCCAAATCTCTCCTTTGTAAAATCAAAACAGAGTAAATAAACACTATTTTCTCTATCTTCTCTCTTTTTTATTCTTTTTTCAGCAACAAAGTAAGCGTTTCCCTTCAAAGATATGCTGCGTAGATAATAATGTATATGCCAAATATCGGCAACGTCATCAAGAACCCTCCATGAATTAGACTTCAGGCTGTAGATCTCATACTCACCAATTCGGGCCTTTGCAGCACGTACGTAACGTATCAAAAAACCTCAAGATTTTATGGGTATTGTTGCTCTTGTCATATCCAATAGAATAATCATCATACATGGTGAATCGTCTTCTTGGTTTGATCCGCTTGATTTGCCCTAAATACGGGTTCCATACCAGAAGCTTGCAGTCCTTTGTCGCGCATAACAGTAAGCCGTCACAGTGAAAGACGTTAAATATCCCGGCTTGATAACGTAAACTGCCTATCATCTTTGCAGATGAATGAACCAAGTCCTCACGGTTATGGTTTCCATGGAGGAGATTGGCGCTCATTAGAGAAATCCTATGATCATCAATCATGATCATCAGAAGCCCTTTGGCTGCTTTACTAGTTTGCTTCTTTGTAAAGCTCTCATCTTTGGTTAAATCGTTCCATTCTTTGCAAGTAGATCTCAGCGCTCTTAGAGAAGCTATCGGAACCCTAGAGAGTATCTCCTCCACCAAATCCTGCGAAAGATTTGACATGTTTGTCATCTTTTGGCAGATAAAAAATTTAGGGCTTGTAACTTGCCATGTACTCTTGTTATATAGGCAAAGATACATCTTACGCTTGAAAAGCTCCTTTCCTTTTCTGTTGTATATTTAAGCGAACGGTTGCAAATTATGGAAAGATGCCGTTTAGTGTGAACGAGCCCATGAAAGTAGTTAAACGATATCAAACTTCAAAAGATTCCCACATCGCTTAGGGAAGAAGCTGCTGTTGAGTTTATATAGCGTTGGAGTGAGAGAGATGATTGTATCTGTTTGGGCAAAATTTAACCGGTTCGCAAGTACAATAAACGGAATGACGCAGGAGAAGATATCTTATTAATCAATTGAATATCGAGCTACAACAAGTCAATATCAAAGATTAAACTAAGAGAATCTCGTCTGTCGCTCGTCCTTGCTAGGTTGTTCGTCGCTTGCTCGTCGAGAGGCGAAGAACAAGTAGCTATTAGGGTTTTTGTGTGTTTTTCTGAATGAGTCTCTTGGTTCTAGGACCTCTTATTTATAGGTGTTTGTCGGTCCTAGTCCTTATCGAGTTGGGCTTTGACGTCAGTCGTAACTTTCTATTTCCTACGTCGGTCGTCACTCCTAATTTCCTTTTAATTGGGAGTGAACGTCGGTTCTCTACAATTCCAATAGATTTAGGAAATTGTATATACCATTGGTCATTGCTAAACCATTCATCAATATCGTCGATCGCTGCCTCGTCATGTCGATGTTAAGACCTTTTAGACACTAAGAAGTGAGATCGACCGGTCGTCATGGTTGTCAGACGATAACATTTCCAGCTTATGACGTAATAGAGGGAAGGACTGGTTAGTGAATTTATTTCACCCAACAATTGTACCCTTCGGGGACATCCGATAAAATTGGAACGATACAGAGAAGACACGCATAAATCGAGAAATGGTCCAAATTTTTTTGTTTTCCAAATTCCCAATTCGATTCTCTCAAACCCTAAGAAATTCCTAATTTTGTTTTGTTGTTTTCACTGTTGCAGCTTTGATGTTCGTTGTTCAGGTTGATTCCTATATATCTATAAAATGAATTTTCAGGTCGCTTCCGAAACTCTACAATTATCTAAGCAGCATCCATCGTTTTCAAAGGACTTTTCCTCTTTATGTTTGCTTAACGGATCAAAGAGATCAACTTTTTTTTTTTTGTGACTACGTTTTGAATACAGTTTTTTTCTTCACCTCAATTGAGTCACTACATCAATTGATTCGTTTAGTGCATTGATTGTTTATGGTCTTATCAACTAAAGTTATCTTCTTCTGCTAGTTAGCAATCGGAAGTTTGTAACTTTTGTTGAATTTGCCCAAATTCTGCAGCACAGCCTCTACTCGGTTAATGAAAATCTGGTAATTCAGTGTAGGACTAAAGCATTGTGTTGGTTTTGGTCAGTCTCTTAACAGTGTCCTGTGTTTATGTGCTCAAAAGATTAAGACTTTGATGCTGCTTAGGTGTTGAAGACAGAATTTTGGAAATACTTGTTTTCTTCAGTTTTAGTCTAAATCAGTTTCATTCATTAGATAGGAAAAGAGGTTTTAGGTAATGAGGAAATTATGGATCAGAGATTAATTAGCGAGGGTGAAGAAAGATGTTTAGTGTTTAGGAATCTTCCTGGCTCTCAAATGGCTCATCATCCAATATCTTAATCAAACGACCGTCCTGCAACAGAACTTGAGGAGGAGGAGTCAGGTTGCATAACCAAAACGTAGGGAACAAGGATCAAACTTTGTCTACAGCTAATAACTAACCTTGTCAAAAATGCAGCAGCTCCAACGATTACAACTCCATATACGAAAAAGGAGAGGTCAAGATCAGAAGAAGCCTTTTTAATCTTCAAAAGACCCAAAGTTTACAAGGAAGGAGTGTAGTTTTCTTAAAGATGCTCTTTTTACAATTTTCAAAACTTGAGACTTTGTTACTGTATAAATACAGAGATTCCGTTATTCTGTTAAACCTGAGAGCCTTTTATCAGTTTCTTTCACCTTTCTTCTTCGCTGATTCTTCTTTCTTTCTCTCTTCAACGCTCTCATCTCTGGCCATGGCTTCCGAAGGAGAAGCACGAGCAGAGGTGGATGATCCCGCCAAAACCACCGGTGAAGAAGAGAAGCGAACAGAGCAAGACGATCTCGCCAAGAGCAACGATGAAGGAGAACTGAAAACAGAGGAAGATGTTCCCGCCAAGATTACCGGTGAAGAAGAAGCGCAAACAGAGGAACATGAGCCCGCCAAAACCGCCGACGAAGAAGAAGCGCGAACAGAGAAAGATGAGGCCATGGAGGAAGCTAGCGAAGGAAATGGGAGTCCTAAAGAACACTCGATTACGGTAAATCTCGAACCTTTACGATGATCAAGAACCATAACTGATAAAGTCTCTGTTTTTGCCTTCGTTTTGTGTTCCCGCCATTAATGTTGGATTAGGTTAGTTGTAATTCTTGTTCACTAATAATCCAATGCTTTAATCAGAACAACGAACCGTCGCTAAACAGAACAATGAACCGTGGCTCAACATCTATCCCTCCGACTGGATCACCACCGGTGGTTGCATCTGTTCAGCAACAACTTTCTCCAAGGATGTTGACTCCACGGCCAAGATCCCAAGTAAACCTCAACCCTGCAGCTGCACCATGGAGACCTAATCTGATTACAAGGCCAGTGATTCAAGATCCTGCCTTTGTTGGTCACAACTCTGCTTTTGGCATGCCGCAGCAGCATCATTATTCCAATGCAGCAGCTCCAGTGATGTGGAGACGTCAAGCTCCAATGAGGCCAATGGTTTACAATCAGCCACAGGACCAGACTGTTCCCTATATTCTCCGAGGCCAGGCTCCAATGAGGCCAATGGTGTACAACCAGGCACGAGACCAGGTTGTTCCCAACGTATTCCGAGGTCAAGCTCCAATGATGTACAATCAGGCACAAGATCAGGTTGTTCCCAACGTATACCGAGGTCAGGCTCCAGTGAGGCCAATGGTGTACAACAACCAGCAGCAGCAATTCAACCAAGGACAACACTTTGGCATCCCCAATAATGCAGCAACTCAAATGATGTACCAGCAGAACCAAAATTTAGTCCGAGGTCAAGCTCCAATGAGGCCAATGGTGTACAACAACCAGCAGCAGCAATTTAACCAAGCAGGACAACACTTAGCACCATGGCATGTGCTGGATCCAGAAATGCAGCAACTTGTGGCTCAGATGCAACAGCCAGCAGAGTCTCAGGGGTCTAACAGTGGACCATCTTCTGACGAAAGTGAAGATGAGCAGAGCAGCTTAGGTTAAAAAAAAGGACTCTTGATATGTTATTTTTTTTACTTTAGTTTTTACTGATATTCTTTCGCAAAATGCTTTCGGAATGATTTTGAAGATAACTGTAAATGAAATGTTGATGATGATTGTTCTGTCAAAAATCTATTCACAAGTCTACTCTTCTTACTTGTTACAGAAGTTTAACAAAAGTTGTAAATCTATTCACAAGTCTACTCTTTTTACTCTTGTAAGTATTTCACAAACTATCGCTTACAAACAAAACATAAGTTAATGTCAATGCGCTCACGAAGAATTAATGAAAGAAGCATTTATGTACTACAAAATGCAGATGAAGTTGGCAACAAATGAGTTAATAGAAGTGAACAGATCAAAACTTGTAGCACAGGCAACAAAGAGAATTCAGAAAACAGATTTTTTTTGGCCCCAAACTCATATCAACAAGTCAACAAGCAATTATTATCTAATGCAATATCAGATTATTGACAGTGATCAAACCAAATGTTGTATCAGCAACAACAACAACGGAATTTTAGGAATTGACGGCCAAGATCAGCTTACCCTTGAGTTCATTCGTAAATAGTGTGCTAATGGGCCAATTAGAAATCAAAGATAGGCCTTTTAGTGTAAACAGGCCCATTTAAGTTATATCATCAAAAGATTTTTTCTCCCACATCGCTTCTTGAGGAAGAAGCTGCTCTGTTTATATAGCGTCGGAGTGACAATGGAGATTGTCCCTTCGGGGACATCCGATAAAATTGGAACGATACAGAGAAGATTAGCATGGCCCCTGCGCAAGGATGACACGCACAAATCGAGAAATGGTCCAAATTTTTTTTTGCATTTCCATTCTCTCAAACCCTAAGAAATTCCCAAACTTTTTTTTTTGCGGGTTTGATTTCGCAGCTCCAATGTTCGTTGTTAAATGGTAAGTGTTAATCTCTTATGCTTCTAATTTCAGTTTTCCAGGTTGATTCTGAAACCCTATAAATTCCAGTTTTTTGGGATGTTGTAGACTGTTAAATGGATATGCTCCCATTTTCTGGTAAGTTATAATCTCTCATGCTTCTAATTTCTTCTGCAACAAAAATAAAATTCAGGTCGCTTCTGAAACTCTACAATTACTTAAGCAGCATCCATCGTTTTCAAAGGACTTTTCCTCTTATGTTTGCTTAACGGATCAAAGAGATAAACTTTTTCCCCCTACTATTCGATTCTTCACTCAATTGAGTCATTACATCAATTGATTGGTTTAGTGCATTGATTGTTAATGCTCTTATCAACCAAAGTTATCTTTTTTTTGTTAGTTAGCTATCGGAAGTTTGTAACTTTTGTTGAATTTGCCCCAATTCTGCAGCGTTTATGAAATTCTAGTAATTCAGTAATAGGACTAAGCGTTGTATTGGTTTTGGTCAATCTCTTAACAGTGTCCTGTGTTTATGTGTTCAAAAGATTAAGACTTTGATGCTGCTTAGATGTTGAACAGTTGAAGAGAGAATTTCGGTTTTACGGTCTAAAATTTTCTTCACCATTCTAAACCAATTTCATTCACTGGATAGGAGAAGAGGTTTAGGGAATGAGGAAAGTGTGTATCAGAGACCCATTAGCGACATGTTTAGTAGTGTTTTAAGAGACTGAAAATGGTTACTAGAAAGTGTTGGTTACTCCTATAAATGCCAATCATCTCTATCCATTTTTGACTGGAGGGTTCTTATGTGTTTTTAGCTCAGAGGAATCAAATGTTATCTTTGTAGAACCACATTTCAAAAGGTCACTTAAAGCTGTGTGTTCTACTTGATGGTGATCTAAGCGTACTTGTCTCATATCGTTGGCTGGCCCTATGATTTCAGGTAAACTAAGAGCTTGACTCTGATGGTTTCACCTTTTTTATACTACTAGCCCTCTTATGGATATGGAGCTTCAGAACTCGAGTCAGGAATCTAGACAGAGACGAAAGATGTTTCAAGTCTCAGAATCAGCAAAAAAGGTGACTGATTGACTTAAAAGTGTAAAGTCACAACCTTAGGAGAAGAGGCTTAAGCTGATTCTGCAGCCAGTGAGTTGAGACTTCTACTGAATCAAAAGCTCAATTGGGTCATGCGGTTGGGATCTTTGGACCTGTAAGGAAACATCACTATGTTGTGAGATACTGGATTCTTGGGAAACATCACTATACAAACATGTTTTTGCGAAGCTCTTCATGAATACTGGATTCTTTGAACTTTTTTCTACTTGAGCTCATCTAATTTGCTCTGTGTTGCCTTATTGTAGTGTGTGTTTCTGTAGGATACTCGTCTGAAACATTGCACACTTGCTATTCAATGGAGGGACAATAAACCGGACTAAACCGAACCAAATGGATCTGTAAGTGTTAGTTACAGAAAATGATGCGTTGATTCTTTAAAAAAAGTTAATATAACTTGCTGTGTGTTGTTTAATTGTATGTATTGTGTGCTTGGTGCCTATTCATCTCAAATCATTGTACTCACTAAAGAATTGAGAACCAATCAACTGGATTTAACCAAACCAAGCTGATCGGATATTGTTTTGCGCGCCAACCAAAATGTTATTGGCTTTTAACCCTAACGGTCTAACCAACCAAGATGTTATTGGCGCCTTTGACCCTAACGGTCTAACCAACTAAAAGAAAGGAGTCAACTTCAGTCCTTTTTTCACTATAGTTTTCTTAAAGATTTTATCTTTTTTACAATTTTGATTTTCACCTTGAGACTCGACTCTCGAGGCTAATATATATACGAGATTCCGTTATTCTGTTAAACCCGAGAGAGACTTTATCAGTTTCTTTCACCTTTCTTCTTCGCTGATTCTTCTTTCTTTCTCTCTTCAACGCTCTCGTCTCTGGCCATGGCTTCCGAAGGAGGAACGCGAGCAAATGTGAATGATCCCGCCAAAACCACCGGTGAAGAAGAGAAGCGAACAGAGGAAGACGATCTCGCCAAGAGCAACGATGAAGGAGAAGTGAAAACAGGGGACGATGATCCCGCCAAGATTACCGGTGAAGAAGAGAAGCGAACAGAGGAAGACGATCTCGCCAAAACCGACGGCGAAGAAGAAGCGAAAGCAGAGGAGGCTGATCTCGACAAAACCGCCGACGAAGAAGAAGCGCGAGCAGAGGAGGCTGAGCCCGAGAAGGAAACTTTCATGAGCGCTCTTGATTTCGATACATTTGACGCTGCTTTTAAGCTCACCATGGCAGAGGATGAGCCTAGCGGAGGAAGTGGGAGTCGTCAACAAGTCTCAGTTACGGTAAATCTCGAACCTTTTGTGATGATCAAGAACCATAACTGAATAGAGTCTCTAAGTCTTATCGTCTCTGTTTCGCCTTCTTCTTTCTTCCTCCATTAGTGCTTGATTAGGTTAGTCGCAAGTCTTGTTTACTAATGATAATCCAACGAACCGTGTCTCATCATTTGTTCCTCCGATTGGTTGCATCTGTTCAGAACAATTCTCCAAGAAGTCTCAACGCTGCAGCTGCACCATGGAGACCTAATCAGATTGCAAGGCCAGTGATTCAAGAGCCTGCGTTTGCTGATCACAACTATGGTTTTGGTATGCCGCAGCAGCATTATCATCCGAATGCAGGAGCTCCAATGATGTACGAGCAGTACCGAGGTCCAGCTCCAATGTGGCCAGGGATGTACAATCATCCACAGCAACCGATTGTTCCCCACGTAGTCCTAGTTCCGGCTCCAATGATCCCAATGATGTACAATCAGCCACAGGAACAGTTTGGTCAGGCTCCAATGATGCCAATGATGTACAATCAGCCACAGGAACAGTTTGGTCAGGCTCCGGTGAGGCCAATGGGGTACAACAACCAGCAGCAGCAAGTCTACCAAGGAGGACAACACTTTGGCTTTCCCAATAATGCAGCAGCAGCACCACGGCCTGAGATGGATCAAGAAATGCAGCAACTTCAGCATCAGATGCAACAGCCAGCAGCGTCTCAGGGGTCTAACAGTGGACCAACTTCTGGCCAGAGGCAAGATTAGCAGAGCAGCTTCGGTGAAAGGAAATGATTTTTCAGTTACAAGGAAAAAAAAAACTTTGGTGAAAAGACTCTTGATTTGATTTTTCTACTTTTTTTTGGTTTTTACTGATATTCGCTTACAAAATGCTCTCTGAGTATTTTTGATAATTGTAAATGAAACGTTGATGATGAGTGATGACTGATGTTAGGTCAAGATTCTATACAGAAGACTAAAAAAAGTTCTCTTGTGAGTAGTTTTAGTTTAGCAAATTCTCAAGATATAAAAAAATGTCTTCACTTTTGACTCCCATTCTCAATACTTTTCAGAAGATTAGGTAATATTGTTGATAAAAACTGTAAATGAAATATTGATAACCGTTTTATAGTCAAGATCAATTCAAAAGTCTCGAACTTGGAGAATGAAAGTGATTTCAGATTTGATTTTCTCCATTCTGTCTGTGGTCTTCTTAAAGTTTCCTTTTTTTACAATGCCCCACTTTGTGTATTAACATTTAACATTGGTCAATTCAACATCGATCACGCACGCGCCTTCTCGTTCATGTGGCGCGTGTCGTATGAGAGAGTTTCAGTCCTATAGGCTATAGAGAAAGAACATGATTGATAATAAAATCAAATTTGATTTTTGCCAACAAATTAAGCTAATCCATCACTAAATTAATCAGCTTTGTTTCTCTGTCCGTCTCAAAGTGCGTCGGTTTTCTCATTCTCTCTTCCGACCACTCCGAATCTAAAACTCACAAGTCGTCTCTCCAATCTCCATTAAAGTTTCTTCTTCAGGAGATTTCATTTCGTCTCCTCCTTTAATTGCTCCTTTTTTCCAATTCAGAAGTGCGTGTGCTGCTTCTTCTGCCCTAATTTCAATCAGCAGCATCTGTCTTAGTCCAAGGACCGACTTGTCTTGTCTTATTATGTTCTTTTTGTTTAAAAGGATACAAAGACTTAAACTTTAAGCATTGTTGGTTCTTCAACTCGATTTTAGTCATTAGATCTGACCTCAGCTTTGGACTTTAACAAAGCTTTTTTGCCGCTGCCATGCCAAAAGCAATAAACACTAAAAACTCTTTTCTTTTTGTTCGGTTGGTGCATTGGTTGTTGCTCTTCTTATCAACTTCCGTCTTCTACTAAATTAAGCTATTGTGTGAAGATTTTGTCATCGTCGTTGAGCTAGCACCAACTCTGGACTAGAGCCTCTGTAGCCATATCTCTGAAAATTCTGGTAATTTATATCAACCCTCGTCTTTGTTTGTACAAAAGATTCAGACTTTGATACAACTTTGATCTGAATCAAGCTTGTTCATCTGGTAGGAGAAAAGATTCTGTTTTTGAAGGGAATGAAGAAAGTGTATAGGAAGCTGATTTGGATCAGACACTCAGGGTTTAGGGTATTCAGAGATAGAAAATGGATGTTCCCATTCTTGGCGAGCTTGGTTTTGTCGGTGACTCTCTTCATGTCTCTCATCTATGTCCAATTCGATACTTCTTATGTTGAAGATCAAGAACAACCATTGCCGTTTGATAACATCTCAGAAGAATCAAGTGAATACTTTGTAGAATCAGATTTAAACTCAACGGCGAATTCGAATTCAAATTCTTCAGAGGTTCCTAGATTAGCTTATCTGATCTCAGGAACGAAAGGTGATAGTCATAGGATGATGAGGACATTGCAAGCTGTGTATCATCCAAGAAACCAGTATGTTCTCCATTTAGATCTCGAAGCTCCTCCCAAGGAAAGGCTTGAGCTTGCAATGTCTGTCAAGAGTGATCCTACTTTCCGTGAAGTAGAGAACGTTCGTGTCATGTCTCAGTCTAATCTTGTTACCTACAAAGGCCCTACAATGATTGCTTGCACGCTTCAGGCTGTGGCGATTTTGCTTAGAGAGAGCTTGGATTGGGATTGGTTCATCAACCTTAGTGCCTCTGATTATCCTCTCGTCACACAAGATGGTTAGTTTTAGTGATTCTGTTTTTGTTCTTTGATGCAGCTTCTTGATTTGTGATTCTCTGCAGATTTGTTGTATGTCTTCTCGAATTTGTCTCGGAATGTCAATTTCATTGAGCATATGAAGCTCACTGGGTGGAAACTGTAAGTAGAAACCTCAAAAGTAAACAGCTTTGTCTCTGAAATTTGGAAATAAGATTTGTGTCTCTTTTGCAGGAACCAGAGAGCCAAATCAATCATTGTTGATCCTGGTTTATACCTATCCAAGAAAACCGAAATTGCTTGGACTACTCAACACAGATCAATTCCCACTTCTTTCAAGCTGTTCACAGGTTTAGCTTAGCATCTTGAACTCAACATTACATAAACCAAAGTCTCCTTATGAATGTGAATGGTTTTGGTTTCTTGTTTTGTAATCTTGCAGGCTCGGCGTGGGTGGTTCTGACTCGGTCTTTCCTTGAGTACTCAATCTTGGGATGGGATAATTTCCCAAGGACGATCTTAATGTACTATGCAAACTTTGTGTCTTCTCCAGAAGGATATTTCCACACAGTCATATGCAACAATGAAGAGTTTAAGAGCACTGCGATAGGGCATGACCTGCACTACATTTCTTGGGACTATCCTCCGAAGCAGCACCCGAACTCTCTGACGATGAAGGATTTCGACAAGATGGTCAAAAGCAACGCTCCCTTTGCTAGAAAGTTCCACAAGAACGATCCTGTGTTGGACAAGATTGATAAAGAGCTCTTGGGACGCACTCACCGGTTCTCTTTAGGGGCTTGGTGCGTTGGGAGTTTGGAAAACGGTGATGATCCTTGCTCTGTTCGGGGAGATGACTCGGTTTTGAAACCAGGCCTTGGTGCTGAGAGGTTAAAGGAGCTTGTTCAGACACTTTTATCTGATGAATTCAGAAGTAAACAATGTTCTTGAGAGGTAATGATTTATAAACTCAAAAATTGTACATTTGTTTGTGTTTACTCATAGGTTTTGATATAAAGTTATACAACAAACTATCAATATAAAAGCAGTTACAGTAGCTCTTGTTTCAGCTCAAAAAATTGAATCTTGATTCAATACAAGAAATTGATAACAAAAGACAAAAAAAAGAAAGGAAATACAGCAACATTTAAAAATGATCGTTAAGAAGAAAAAAAGGAAATTTAAGAACTGAAAAAAGGAAAAAGGCAAGACTATAAATACATTGACATCACACCACATTCTTCTCACACACAATTCTCATCTCAATTTTCTTTCCTCACAACAAATCTCTCTCTTACGACTCATAATATCTTTCTCTCTGATTTTTGTTGAATTTCTCTCCGACAATGGAAACCGCAGCAATCAAGGTAGATATCAAAGCAAGGGCTTTGCCTCACGCATCTCCGTCGTCGTCAGGGTTCTTACACACGGTGGCTATAGCTCAAACACGAGAAGTCGAAGAATTTGCACTAGACGAGAGCGATGGCTCTGTATCGAGTCTCGGATCTTACCCGGACGATTCTTTTCGTGACCCTCTTCCCTTTATCAATCTCCAGAGTTTCAAACCAGACTACGTCTTCCAACGCGTCAACGACCATCTCCACGACCGTGTCTTGTCTCGGCTAGTCACTGATCATATTCTTATCGCATCCCAACGGGGAGACTTCCCACAAGGAGGAGTCTTGTTCATGCCGGTCTTCGTCAAACTGACACAGAAAGTGTATCTCGCCGTGCCTTCTTCTATATCGGCGTATTCGGACCAAGAGAGCCAAGAAGTGGAAACAGAGGACTTGGAACCAGAGAGCTGCGCGATATGTTTGGAGAAATTGTCGGAATCAAAGACTAATCCCATCAGCAAGTTGCCTGGTTGTACACACGAGTTTCATGAAACATGTGTCATCAAGTGGTTGGATCGACAACACGACTCGTGCCCTCTCTGTCGAGAATCTGTTGACGGCAACACGAGTCCAGCTATGGAGAATTAATTAGGGTTGTTGTGGTTATGTGATTCAGTTTTCAGGTTTGGTGTAAACCGGAGGAATTGAATTAGAGTACAACCAGTTTGGGATTGTTGATTTGAACCGGAGATTGAAAAAGAAGACCTAGACAGTTTCTCTCTAGTCGCGAATAGAGACGCCGCCGTAAATGCAAAAGTGTTTAGGTGTTTAAATACTTAAAGTTCTTGTCTTCTTCTTCCTTAAGCTGTTGTAACAATCAATTGGAGTTCCTTAACCTCCATTGATTCTCTTGCTCTGTTATTGAGCTGTACTCTTTCTTTTGATTAGTGGATTGCCGGATTGAATCGGTTCCAGACGTAGGCTTAGTCACATCGACTAGGTTGAACTGGGTGAACAAACTCTTTGTGTTCTTTATCTCTTTTGCTTGCTATGTTTTCTGTGCTTGCTCTGTTTTCTGGTTCTTGTGAGAGAGAGAGAGGTGTTTCGTGAGCTTGTGTGTGATTGAGATTTGCAGGTTTACAAGGGCAAATCGTAACAGATTGGTATCAGAGCTCATGGTTGGGAAGGATCCACCAAACTCACGGATTGATGTCGACAAGTTCGACGGGAACATAGACTTCTCTCTTTGGAAGATCAGAATCTTGTCACACCTTCGGGTTATTGGATTGAAAGATATCTTGACTGATGACAAGCTGGAAAAGACGGTGGTAACATCTGGTGGAGCTGGTGATGCGGCGTGAACGACGTCGGAGGTAGTTTATGATCCTGACAAGATAGATAAATCAGAAAGAGCTATGGGGGTTATCATAGCTAACGTTGGAGACCATGTATTGAGGAAGATTAAGAACACTCAATCTACAGCTCAGATGTGGTCTTTGTTAGATCGTCTGTATACTGAAACTTCGCTGCCAAATAGAATTCATATGCAGTTGAAATTCTATACTTACAGGATGGTAGAGGGCCTGATTGGATGTAGCTGTAGCTTTAATTTTTTTGCTGTAGATTTTACGCTGTAGAATTTTTGGCTGTAAATATAGATTTTAGTGCTGTAGGATTTCTTATTGTAGATTGTGTCATTAAATATAGCATTAAAACAGAAAAGATAAGATATAGAAATAATAGATTAAAAAATAAATATTGAAAAAATAATAAGGAAAGAGAAGAGAGAAAATTCTAAGAGCACTTAATTTGGTGCTCTAGAAAAATTGCTTTCCAAAGCCACGGAACTTCCATAAATATAAAAAATTGCTCTGTGTTTCAAAAATGGAAAGAGACAGAATGAGAGCATGATTGGTAATTTTAAATTGCTGTAGAAAGATTTTGGGCTGTGTAGAGCAACCACAGCTCCTACCAATCATCCCCAGAGTCTAAGAATGTTGATGAGAATGTCGATGACTTCTTGAAGATAGTTGCTGAACTTAGTAGTCTCAACGTCGAGGTCTCGGATGAAGTTCAAGCTATCTTGTTGCTTACTTCTTTGACTCCTAGCTTTGATCAATTGAAGCATACTCTGAAGTATGGAAGAGAGTCTTTATCCCTAGAAGAAGTAGTTTCTGCAGCAAGGTCTAGGGAAAGAGAATTATCAGAAGATCACAGGTCTGATAAGAATCAAGCAGCAAGTTTGTATACTGGTGAAAGAGGAAGACAACCTTACAAAGGTGTTAAGGGAAAGAATGATCGCAGCAGAAGCAGGTCTAGTTCAAATACAAGGCTTACTTGTTGGTTTTGCAAGAAGGAGGGACATATCAAGAAAGACTGTTATGCAAGAAAGAAGAAGTATGGAATTGAACCTCAAGGGGAAGCAGGAGTGATTACAGAGAAGCTGGTATATACTGAAGCTTTGAGTGTAAACGGTCAAGAGTCAAAGGAACAATGGGTTATTGACTCAGGTTGCACGTATCACATGACGTCCCGAAGAGATTGGTTCTCGGATTTCAATGAGAACACAAGTACGACAATTCTTCTTGGTGATGATCACACTGTCGAAGCAAAAGGGTCTGGATCTATAAAGATGAAGACAAACGGAGGATCCATCAAAGTTTTAAGGAATGTGAGGTATGTTCCAAATCTGAGAAGAAACTTGATCTCTACTGGTACTCTTGACAGTCTAGGGTACACTCATGAAGGTGGAGATGGTGTAGTAAAATTCTACAAGAACAATAAGTTGGCTCTGCGTGGAATCTTGCAAAATGGATTGTATATTCTTGATGGAAGGACTGTGTTGGGAGAAAGCTGCAACGTAGAGAGCTCAATTGACAAGACAAGTTTATGGCATAGTAGACTTGGGCATTTGAGTATCAACAACATGAAGACTCTCAGCGGCAAAGGTCTGATCGAGAAGAAAGATATCAAAGACCTTGCTTTCTGTGAACATTGCGTAATGGGGAAGTCCAAGAAGTTGAGTTTCAATGTGGGTAAACACATCACGGAAGACATCTTGAGCTATGTTCATGCTGACTTATGGGGATCTCCAAATGTCACACCGTCACTTTCTGGTAAACAATACTTTCTCTCTATTATTGATGATAAAACAAGAAAAGTTTGGTTGATGTTTCTCAGGACTAAAGATGAAACGTTTGAGAACTTTTGTGAGTGGAAAGTGCTAGTTGAAAATCAAGTAAACAAGAAAGTGAAGGTGCTGAGGACTGACAACGGTTTGGAGTTCTGTAACTCAAGGTTCAATGATTACTGCAAGAAGTTTGGCATTGAGCGTCACAGAACGTGTACGTATACGCCGCAGCAGAACGGCGTTGCAGAGCGCATGAACAGGACCATAATGGAGAAGGTGAGATGTCTGTTAGATGAATCGGGTCTTGGTGAACCGTTTTGGGCTGAAGCAGCTGCAACAGCAGCTTATTTGGTGAATCGATCTCCTTGTTCTGCCATTGATCACAATGTTCCAGAACAGTTATGGCTGACCAGAAAACCAGGCTACAATCATTTGAGAAGGTTTGGATCAGTTGCTTATGTGCATCAGGATCAGGGAAAGCTGAAGCCAAGGGCTTTAAAAGGTGTGTTTCTGGGTTATCCTCCAGGAACCAAAGGTTACAAAATCTGGTTGTTGAATGAAGAAAAATGTGTGATCAGCAGGAACGTGGTGTTTCATGAGAATGTGGTCTTCAAAGATTTGAAGTCTGAAGAGAATCAAGCTTCAGCTTCTAAGGCTCTGCCGGCACCAACGGTCTCTACAGAGACGTTTATCAGGATAGAGGATGAGGACGATGTTGGTGCTCAAAATGAGCATGTTACAGAAAGTGTTGATGCAGGTGGAGAAACTCAAGAAAACGCAAGCAGCTCTGAATCCGATGAAGCAGAGACAGAAGACGTTTCTGCTGATGCTGTTGATCTGACAAACTATCAACTAGCAAGAGATCGAGGTAGAAGACAACCTAAGCCACCAGCTAAGTTTTCGGATTACTCTGAAGTTGCATTTGCTCTCCTCACAGCTGAATTTGTAACTTCAGAAGAACCAAGCTGTTATCATGAAGCAAGAAGAAGCAAAGATTGGGTGAAATGGAACGGTGGTATGACAGAAGAAATGGAGTCGCTATGGAAGAATGGAACATGGATCATTGTTGATAGACCTAAAGACAAAAAGGTCATTGGTAGCAGATGGTTATACAGGTTAAAATCTGGTATTCCTGGTGTAGAATCAGAAAGGCATAAAGCAAGAGTTGTTGCTAGAGGTTTTACGCAGAAAGAGGGAATTGATTATCAAGAAGTGTTTGCACCAGTAGTTAAACATCTCTCCATACGAATTCTGATGTCATTGGTGGTTAAAGAAGACTTAGAGCTGGAACAGATGGATGTGAAAACAGCATTTCTGCATGGTGAGCTTGAAGAAGAACTTTACATGGAACAGCCAGAAGGTTTTGTGGTTGATCCAAAGAAAGATCAAGTGTGTTTGCTGAAGAAGTCTCTCTATGGGTTAAAGCAAGCTCCACGGCAATGGAATAAGAAGTTCAATGCATTTATGATGAGCCAAAAGTTCACTCGCAGTGGACATGACCCATGTGTCTACGTGAAGGAGGTAGGTGATGAAGAGTTCATCTATTTGCTGTTGTATGTAGATGATATGCTCTTGGCTGCAAAGAGTATAACAGAAGTGAACAAGCTAAAGGCAGAGTTAAGTAGAGAATTTGAGATGAAAGACTTGGGAGCAGCTAGTAGAATCTTGGGCATTGACATTACAAGGAACAGAAAAGAAGGTACATTGTGCTTATCTCAGTCTGGTTACTTGAAGAAAGTGATTCAAAGGTTTAATATGGGTGAAGCTAAGGTTGTAAGCACGCCCATTGGTGCACACTTCAAGCTGTATTCAGTTCAAGATGATAGTGAGTGTGTTGATACAGAGTTGGTACCATACAATAGCGCAGTTGGCAGCATTATGTATGCAATGATTGGGACACGTCCAGACATTGCTTATGCTATTGGTCTTGTTAGCAGGTTTATGAGCAAGCCAGGAGACATACATTGGGAGGCTGTGAAATGGTTATTGAGGTATCTTAAAGGCTCGGTTGGGATGAATTTGGTGTATACAAAGGGAAAAGATTTCAGTGTGCAGGTTTTAGTGACTCAGATTATGCAGGAGATCTTGACAGAAGAAGGTCTATCAGTGGTTATGTGTTCACGGTTGGTGGAAATACAGTGAGCTGGAAATCAAGCTTGCAGAAGGCAACTACTTTGTCAACTACAGAGGCTGAATTCGTTGCTCTAACAGAGGCTGTCAAGGAAGCCATGTGGATTCGTGGCTTGTTGGATGACATGGGGTTGAAACCAGCTAAAGCTTTGATATGGTGTGATTCTGAGTCTGCTATTTGTTTGTCAAAGAACAACACATTTCATGAGAGGACAAAGCATGTTGCTACCAAGTTTAACTTCATCAGAGATGTGATTGAAGAAGGTGAAGTTGCAGTGAGTAAGATTCATACATCAAAGAATCCTGCGGATATGCTTACAAAAAGCATTCCAGTTCGTAAGTTTGAGGAAGCCTTAGATTTTCTAAGGTTACTCAAGTGAAGATGGAGTATCTTCGTGCCGAGGTTAAATCCAAGTAGTGCAATTCACTAAGAGAAGGAAAACTTGAATCAAGGTGGAGTGTTGTGGTTATGTGATTCAGTTTTCAGGTTTGGTGTAAACCGGAGGAATTGAATTAGAGTACAACCGGTTTGGGATTGTTGATTTGAACCGGAGATTGAAGAAGAAGACCTAGACGGTTTCTCTCTAGTCGCGAATAGAGACGCCGCCGTAAATGCAAAAGTGTTTAGGTGTTTAAATACTTAAGTTCTTGTCTTCTTCTTCCTTAAGCTGTTGTAACAATCAATTGGAGTTCCTTAACCTCCATTGATTCTCTTGCTCTGTTATTGAGCTGTACTCTTCTTTTGATTAGTGGATTGCCGGATTGATCGGCTCCAGACGTAGGCTTAGTCACATCGACTAGGTTGAACTGGGTGAACAAACTCTTTGTGTTCTTTATCTCTTTTGCTTGCTCTGTTTTCTGTGCTTGCTCTGTTTTCTGGTTCTTGTGAGAGAGAGAGAGGTGTTTCGTGAGCTTGTGTGTGATTGAGATTTGCAGGTTTACAAGGGCAAATCGTAACAAGGGTTTTATTAGGGTTTCAACTTTCAAGTTAATCTTGTGTCGGAAGTTTAATTTGGGCGATCACATATGTTTATGATTTGGTTAATCGTTTGTCGTAGACTTTATGAGACCAGTTACGGTTTCTCATAGTTATGTTCGTATTCTTGTATCTTGATTCTATCTTTGTTGTTTTTAATGAAAATTTCATATTCTTAACTTCAAAGTCACATTGTAGACTTTCAATTTTTTTGTTTCTATAACCAATTCAAGAAAATTGTACATTTATTTGTGTTTTACTCATAGATTCATAGGTTTTGATATGAAGTTATACAAAAAACTATCAATATAAAAGCAGTTACAGTAGCTCTTGTTTCAGCTCAAAAATAGAATCTTGATTCAATACAAGAAATTGAAAGGGCTCTAACAAGAAGAGTTTGAAGGAAAAAACAAAATGCTTCATTCAAGGTTTAAGGAAAGATGTATAGAGGATTGGGAAAAGGATGATAATGACAAGAACGATGGCGAGTATAATGGCGATGCAAGTCCATTTCCTCGAGTTCCTTTGAAGCACTTTAGCTCCTTGCAACTGAACAGACCCTCTCATGACGAAAGAGCTCGCCTTTGAGACGTTTGATTCGATGTCGTTGAGCATGTTCCCTTGAGCTTCCACAAGAGCAGCCATGTCGAGGAAGATTTGGTGCAGCTCCAGTAGACTCTTTTCTATCTCTTTAACCGCGTCGTGTCGTTCTTGAATCTCTGACAATGTGTCCATGATCTGTCCACGGCCTTGCTCTTGTATCGCTTTTTGGAGAAAACGTTCGCTTTCTCCGCTTGATATCAGCTTCTCTATCGTTTCTTCGTCTGCTTTTTGTCCCGTTACAGTGAAGTACCTTCAAAGATTCAAAATCCAAAACACAAAACTTTACCATCTAAATTTACCATCACTTAGTTTGTAAAAATTCAACCTTTTTGGTGAAAATATTTGTTTAATCATAGTAAATCCACAAAGATTAGACCTTTGATCTTAGTTAAATCATAGTATGATCCCAAAAGATCAAACCTTTCTTCATAACAAGACTTATTCTTTGTTGAATCATAGTAGAACCCGGAAGATGAAACCTTTTCTAGTAAAAACAACAAAGATTTGATCTTGCACCAAAAAATATAAAAGATTTGATATTTGTTTAATCATAGTAAAATTCCCAAATATTAAACCTTTGATCTTAGTTGAATCATATAGTAAAGATCAAACATCTCTTTATAACATGATTTGATCTTTGTTGAATCACAGTAAAACCCAGATGAAAAGTAAATAATAGGAAATTACCGTCTCTCGACTGTTTCTTTGTATTCACTAGCCATTTTGGTTCGAAGTCTCTGAAAATCATCCATCATGTCTTTAAGCTTCTTCCCCAATCCACTAACGACCGAAGTTCTGGTCCGATCAGCAGAGGAGCCAGGACCACAACCAGAGACTTTCCTCTGAGCAGCGTTCGATTTCTCCAAAGCCACGAGCTTCGACTTTATCATCTTGACACGTTTCAAGACTTCCGTAACACTCGAATCCATACGAGCACGTAGCTTTTTCACGGCCTTGGAATCATGCACGGTCTTGGACTCTTCATTAGCATCTTGCAGACGTTTATGAATCTCCTCGACAGCTTTCATGTCTTCTTTAACACTCTCGACGTATCCGAAGAACTCATCGAGGTTGCCTGAATCGAGAGAAGCATTTTGTGATTCAATGTCGTCGAGTTGGACTTGGTGGTTTAGGTCTGTGTATCTCTTGAACGAGCTTGAGATTAGATCGTTCATTGTGACAGACTCAATCAAGAAATTAGAGAAAATGAGCAAGTTTCTTTTTTTATGATCGAAATGACCATTTAATGGTGGTTAGATGATTTATTTGACATGGTGCTAGAGAGACCTTTGAGAAAGTCTGAAAACGGATGTGTTAATTCTAAATAGACATTGAATGAGTTGTGTTTAGAACCGGTCAAGGGTTTAAAGACCAACGAAGACTTTTGTTATGAAGATGGAATAAAACTACGACATTGTGATTTGGTTGGTACCATGTTGCAGGGACGTGGTCTCCATTATTAATCACTCTTTTAAGTTCTATAAACATGGAACCCAATAAACCAAAATTTCAATGTAACTAAGCTAGTGGACCTTTCATGACTTTTGTACAAAGTTTAAATTAGGATTCAGAACAACTTTAATACTCGAATGTTTTTTTTAATCCAAAAGTTTACTAGTTTATGCAATTTAATTAGCTCTTAACATTTGTAAATCTAGCAGAAACAAACACCCTCTAATCACAATATTGTTCTAGCTTTTCTTGTAATTTTGTTCTCTGTTTTAAGACTAAACCAGAGTAAACATACTTTGAAAAACATCCCTCTGGAGAAAAATGTTAACAAGTGAAAAGTATTGATTTAAACCACTCTCATAGAGAGTTCAGTTTTACATGACTATATGAGACAATGACGCTAAGCATAAAGACTTCACACAAGACTAGACTCAAAAACATCCCACTGGAGAATTCAAAAAAGAATAAGACTTTGTTCATCCTATATAATGCAACAACATTCTTCACCTTTCATCTGAGTGGTCTCTGAAAACCACCCAAGTTAAAGAGAGTGTGAATGGAAGCAGCATCGGTCATGAAAGGAATCTGAGCATAGACACCAGCGAGAGCGCACCGTATGCATTCAAGAAGCAGACACATGTACGTGAACCCGAGCACCATCCAGTAATACACCCCAAACGTTCCTTTGTAATGAATCAGCGGGAAGAAATTGCTCGTGCACGATATGATCTGAAGCGCCGTCTCCAAAAGCAAACCCATCATCATGTGAAACCTGAGGAAATGAGGCAAATTTTTGTTCTTCACCACCCACGTGTAACCTAAGAAGCAGTAGACCATGAAGAACCAGGACGGCCATCTGGTTATCGCTCCAGGGATGAAGTAGATCATGTCTCCGATCGCGTCGTGCCTCTCTAGAAAAGGCTGCACGTAGAAACCAACGTCAGACATTTGGAGTGATATTAGATAAGGCACACAGGCCAGTGTCCTCCACCACCATTCAGGTCTCTCTGCGATTTTGGGGAGTTTGATTTTAAAGAATTCGTCTTTGAATGCCCTCGCTGGCTCTAGTGGTTTACGACGTCTTCTCAAACTTGGAGCCAATGGTGGCAAGCCATGACCAAAGAGCTTGTTGGATGGTGCTGCTTCTGTAAAGTCCATTGATGGAGTTGCTGCAAATCACATTAGCACATGTATTAACTTCTCAATTCACAAGCTTATACAACGTTTCAAAGAAGCATTTTCAAGTGATATGGTGAATCAATTCACATAATACCTGAAAGAGGAACAATCGCTCGGGGACATTTCAGTGAGATTGAGCTCGCTGACAATCTTAATTTTGCGGAAGGGTCTAATTTGGGGAGGAACACTCTTGATCTCAAATACTTCTTTGGAATTACACTATAGTTCCTGCTTCATAAATCATCAACATTAAAGACTCAGAGAAATTGGAGAACAAAGTGTGAAACACAAAGCAAATCAACATTCCTAAAGGTCAAATCCAAATCCAGCCCAAGAAATTTCAACCGAAAATAGCCAAATTTAACTCGGATTTCACTGAAATTGACGATTCAAAAGCTCAGAACAGTTCGTTTCTTCAGAATGGAAATCAAATCGATACAACACAAAAATCATTCAACAGCGCGACGAGCTCCGAAATCGGAGAAGTAGAATCGAAAGAATAACATCGGAGATCGAATAGGAGAATTGAAATCATGAGTTGGTGGTGATATCGGAGGGAAGAGAAAAAGAAAAACCTTGGAGGAGCGAGAAAGGCTAGAGAGCCATGGGTGGTGGTCGCCGCCAAGCCCTGCATGATTTTCTCTCCGGCGAGGATTTAGGTTTCGGTATAAAAAAAAAAATCAAAAATCAAATGACGAAATCGGCAAAGAGTATCTTTACGTGCAAGAAATATGAATCTACCTGATTTCTCTACCAGGTGGTGGCTGTATTATATGTCGGTTTTAAGGTTTTTTCTAGAACTTGAGTCCTCAGTCTTATGGGGCTTTCAACAAAAGCCCAAATTTCACAGAACTAGGCCGGTTTACATTTTAACCGATCAGAAGCTGGAATTTTGAAGTCGGTGGTTAAAGGGCTAGGGTTTTTAATCAACGCATATGCTCTCTTCTCTATATAATAGCCGCATGAGACCAACCAAAATCATAATTCACATCACGATTGATTGTAAATTAGTGTTCGTCGGTTTTTTTCTATGAGTTTTAGGGTTATTTGGTAGAATTTTAGAGTAATCGCAGGAGCCTCCCGGGCTAATCTGATGAAAAGTCTTGAGGAATTTAAGCCCCAAAGCTCCTGCTAGATTTTTGCCATTCGTGTTGCAGTTCTGTATCGTTTTTCAAATCCGGCTTAACTGTGTCAAAGCAATGTCTAAATTTTTTTATTTCGATTCGTAATTGGTTTTACAAGGAATTGGCTATGATTACAAAATTATCCGCGCTTCTGAGATTTTGTCAATGAAGTAGATACGGAAAAACAATGGTTGAATTTCTTAATATGAGCCTTTTTCTTTTGTGGTTCTTTGTTTTTGTGTTTTGGCAATGATGACTAAATCTAACAGCTTTACGCCAGTTCTGCTTCAGATAATTCTTGATCGAAGAAGCTGTATAAAATCTGAGCCTTTTTTTCAAATAAAAGTTTTGTTTTTTAATGTTATTGCCGATGAGGATAGAATCCAATTTACGAGGTGCAGTGGAGCTGAGACCCTGTTTTCAGGGAGAACCCCTTGGCAGAAACTGCAATTTCTATGAAGCTAATGGATTTAACTGAGGCTTCAATTTTTATCATATCAGTTTTTTCTTTTAATTGTCATTTCTTTTTATTATCTATTATCGTTTCATTCGATGTCAAGTCTTCTGAGTTTGTCACACTGACATCTAAATTGCTTCTCTGAACAAACTTGCTTTCATCTTTGTGGAATTTGCTGGCCTATGAGGCTATGACTAATATGATGTTCTTTCCCGAACAAGACACGACAGTCGAATGTTACACATTGGCCCATATGCAATTATTGAAAGCCCATTGTGTTTCTCACGTATATAATAAAGTACAAAGTTACGATTGTTATGTATTAGACGGAATGAAACTGTAACATAAATGATAAAATTAATAGTTACGTATTAGAGGGATTGAAACTATAATATAAAATTAATATTACCATTTAAGTAGACAAAAACTATTACGCTTGACACTCTCTAATTAAAAATTTGTAAAATGAATATTTAATCCAATGTTGCGTATTCTTTAAAATAGAAAGAAATATTAACACCTAGTCTTAAGTTGACAAAATTAAAAATCTATGATGACGATTTTTGTAATGATGGATGATTAAGCATAATTAGAAAACATTACCGAACTCGGCGTATGAACAAAGCAATATTCATCACATTATGAACAAAGGGATCTACAATTTTTACAAGGTTCTCTCGCAAATTAAACAGTTCGTTTCGATCAACTGGTTTTCTCTTCTAGAAATCGAGAGAAAAACTGTCAAACAAATAACCGTAATTATAAACAAAAGTGAAAGAAAAAGAAATCGTTTATCATCATCAGCTCAAAGAACTAAAAAACCGACCCTTTTTCATCATTTGTCTAAACTCCTTGAAATTAACTCTACCATCACCATCAACATCCACTTGAATTATCATCTTCCTACAATCCTCCAAGATCTTACCTTGCTTGAGTCCCAAGGAAGACAAAACCGCTTTCAATTCTTCCACCGAGATAAACCCATCTCCATTCCTATCGAAAACGTTGAACGCTTCCTTCATATCCTCTTCTCCTACCTCGTCCTCGTCTTCTACCATTATCGTCTTGTAAAGCTCTCCAAACTCTTCAATGTCAACACAACCATCGCCGTTCACATCGATCTTCTCGATCATCAGCGATAGCTCGTTTTCTGGTATTATGATGCCGAGGTTTTTCAATGACTCGTTTAGCTCTTTCTTCGTGATTCGACCGTCTCCGTCCTTGTCGAACATTTGGAACACACGTTTTAGCTCCGTTGTATCCATTTTTAGGGTTAGGTTTGGATTAGATTGCTTGTGGAGAAAGAAAGCGTAATAAAAGTGAATGATGAGACTCCGAGAAACCGAGAAAGAACTTCTTTCTTGGCTTCTTGGAGACCCAATGATGGTAGTTTCAGAAACTGAGGAGAATGAGATTGAAAATCTTAGGAAAAAGTCTAGGTAATAACTTGTAAATACAGACAAAAATAGAAGAGATTGTCTTAGGGTTGGGTTATTGTTGGTTGAGAGGAAACGTTGGGTCTTTAAAAGGAGACTTGTGGCATTGTATCATCGTCTTGAAAGATCTCATTTTATTTTTATTTTTAGTCAAGTCTCATTATACAATGCAAATTTAAATGATTCGCAAAAAGTAAACCAGATGATAAAACGTCAATTGAAATCGTAGTACAGTATTGACTTTGTCATCGTTATTATTTTTCTTATAAGACTGACTTTATCATAGTGATTAACTAAAATAATTAGCCGACGGCAAAGACCAAATCCTTTGGAGTGGTAAACCACTTTCTGGTTACTTCCCAGCTATGTGATGTCTTTGAATTCATTTGTAAATTTAAACAAGAAAGATAAATGTCAACAAAGATAACAATTTGTTGATAACTCGGATTTAATTTTTATAATGATACTGTTCACATTCTCAATTGATAATCGCTTATGTTATGGTATTAAAATGATACCAAGGCGAAAGGTGAGTTAAATTATAACATTTGTGAAGTAAACCGTGCTTCTGTATAAATGGTAAAAAAAAAAAAAAGTGCTAAAAAGTGCCCACACGCAGGATCGAACTACGGACCTTCAGTTTACAAGACTGACGCTCTACCACTGAGCTATACGGGCCTTTTGACAGTTTTATGCACATTCAATTTATATTGATGCCACATTTTGTTCTGCAAGACCATAGACATAACACAAGTACAAACATTGAAACATATGAACCAAATCCAATCTAATGACATCGAAAGACTTTTAAGGAAACGCAGAGTGAAACTAAACAAAAGCCATGGGAAATGAATGACCATGATACTCATATAGGAGGCAAGAATTCACAGAGTAATGCCATGAAATGTATGATTAAACACAGCTTTTACATTACAATAACATTGGAACAAGTATAACACAAAAAGAGACTCGGCCTTTCTTCTTCCCCAACAAAGAGTTGTTGTAGAGTATTTAAGACCACCATGGGGCATCACCAGTCCTGAAGTCAGTTTCAGACCATGGAACAAATATAACCTTCCCAGTATCATCGATATCCGCATGAGCCAATGCTAGCGACTGTTTACATGTAACGAAGTTTATTTTAGAAACTTTAACTTGAGAGATCTTATAGTAGAGAGAGTGTAATGTATTATTGACTTACCAATGGAGCTGGACCTCTAACGACTCTGCCTTGGGCGTTGTATTGAGATCCATGGCAAGGACATAGAAACTTGTTCTCAGCTTTGTTCCATGGCACAACACATCCAAGATGAGTGCACACCGCATTGATACCGTATGTCGCTAGAGTCTTGTCGTTCTCAACGACTAGGTAAGTCGGATCTCCCTATTAACATACAAGAATCCATACCATTAAGATTCAAGAACCTTTATTGAGCTCTTAAAGTATTGTGTATGGGACTAATGGAAAATTTATACCTTTAATCCTTGGGTCAAGGTTCGATCACCGGCACCATGAGTCTTAAGCCATTCCTCTGCAACTACATCGTTTCCAAGTGCATCCTTGGCTGGAGTACCACCACCTCCACCTCCGGATCTGCATTTTTCCAAAGAAATTTTAGAGAATGAAACCAAGAACAGTGATTTAAAACCTCATTGGTCTCACATCTCAGTAGCAAGAAAGAAACAGTCTCCAATTATTCATAACTACATACTGGATTGAATCGGAACCAAACCTAACAACATACAGAGAAAATCCAAACCTCACCACAGCAAAACACAACAAAGAGTGTCTAGATTGAGCTCTCTAATATAATCAATATTACAAAAGCAGAGAAGCTCTATGAAGTCTCTTTGATATCAATTCTCAGTAACACAAAAGAAACCAATCACTTATTCACAATTGCATATCAGACTGAATCAGAACCAAAAGCTACCTCTTAAGGCATCTTAACAACAGACACAGCAATATCAAATTTTCACCAAAACAAAAGTCTCAAGATTACTCCCTAATGCAATCAAACGGTCATAAGTCTCGTTAACAGAGCGGCGAGAACAAAAATGAGAGAGAGAGATTGAAGAGGAAACTAACCCAGGAGGAGCAAAGAAGGTAGCGTAAGGGACAAGCATGAAGCCACTAGGGAGAGAAAGAGCTCCCACAAGAAGAAGATTCAAAAGCTTCCTCTTTTCCATATCTGGAACTCTGTCTGCTGGAATACTCGTTGCTTGACAAGCAATTCTCAACCCAGTCTTCTCCTTTTTCACCATTTGATGATTCGTCCTCGTGGGCTTCACAAACAACCCACGAGACATCGCCAACATAGCGCTTCTGCTCGATCCCAGCTGCATCCAAAATTCACAAAATTTAAAAATCCGATGAGAAACCCATGAAACGGATTCGATTTCGAATAATCGAGAGTGAGACCTGAGTAGCAGGGGAGAGAGAGGAGGACGCCATTGATGCAGTCATCGAAAGCTTGAAGTGGGTTTCGGGTCTGGAGATTTCGATGATATGGTAAATAGGGAAGACAAGTAGGATCACACAGAGAGCTTTAAGACCACTGGAAGAGAGAGAAGCAGATAAGGCACGCGCCAGCCTCTGGTTCCACATAACCACATACTTTTCAGATTTTTGGATTTCTTGATGACGTAATCTATTAATGGGCTTTAAATGGCCCAATAAACAACTAAATTGGTTATTAGCTTTTAGGCCCATATTCTCATTGATTCTAGTCAAAAGCTAAAGTGCTAAACAATAGATTAGATAGGTCCATATTCTCAATCGGCTTCGCTAGGCTGATTAGTTCATTTCAGACCATACAATTAACACACGAGATATTTTGAGTAAAGGAAAAAGGTACAGTGAGAGACTGAGAGAGTCAAAGAAGGAAATGAAGATGATGATATGATGAAATGTGCATGGCGTGAAACTCTGAGAGACATGCACTCATCACGTGCTTTCATGTGTGTCTCTTTGCTTGAATGCTTTCTCTTTCTTTTGTTTTAGTTTATTCTTAAATCTTAATTAACGTACAATAGATAATCCCCAATACATATTTTTCTTTCTTAATTGGCTAATCAGTTTCACATAATTAATTATGCACGTAATTATGAAAATCTCCTCATATCCGGTGCCATTCTTGCCTTGAATCGTTCACCATTATAAGATTTAATACTCCAAAGTTAAACTTAAAGTTACATTTAGAATTTAATCTTATAGTGTCTTTTGTACTTACACGCTGATATATGTCATGCATGTATATAATGTTTACAGAATACAGATGCTCTCATAGCAAGCTGATTGAAATGTATGCTATGGAAACATTCATAAGCTTACGTTGTAAAAAAAAGGCACTCATCGATTCATCATAAGCTTTTTGACCCTTATATTTCGTTTAAAATATAGTTTATAATTAAGCAACAAGAACTACGTGATTACTATTTTTGTGGTAAAAGTGATTAATGTTACTTTTTTTTTTCCTTTTTTTGAACATTAAGATCAATGTTTCTTGAATGATCGATTCGATCGATTGATACATTCAGACAGTCAACATTGTACCTTGTTAACAAACACTAGCTATTAGAAATGCGTTATATATAATATTTACCGACTAAAATGGTTTATAAACGTTTTTCGATCATGTTATACAGTGACTCTTTTGGTCGGCTCTATTTTGGTAATGCATGGTTATAAAAGCAGAACATGCGAATTTTCACGAAAGAAGAATACATTAATGATACAAAAACCATAAAACTTTAAAACGAAAAATAAATTAACTGTGGGAGTGCTTTTAGCCTTTCCCTTTATCCAATACATCATATCTTTCTTGTCCTCTTTCCAACAATGCATCATATCTCAAATCTTGAAAATTCGTAAGTTAAAGTAAAATTATATCATAGCTAGAGTCTTATTTGGATTTTATTCACATATAGGCACCTTTTTAAGTTTTTATGGTCCATAGAGTTATTATAGCTAAATTGATTTTATATATCTTATATACTGCTTCATTAGGTCATACTATTAATTTTGCTATATTGTCATTAGTTTCTTGGAACAGTATACTCTAGAATAAAGTCAAATATTACGATTATATATGACAGTAAAGAACATGCTTCTTATATTCAAATACAGATCAGAATCCGTTGTTGAGATGCAACTAATCAAATTTGGATTAGTTCAGAGTAACTGTAACTTATAATCGTTCCTTTTATAAGTGTGTTTGCATATATTTTACATAAGATTAGGCTCGTATAATGATGAATAATAGTTTAAATATAGATATATGGCAAAAAGAAAATACAATTCTAAAGATGGCGCAATGGTGAAGCAAGGCACCCCAAGGCAAACAATTGAGCTCATAAAGTCACTGACGCTTCTTCTAATATTCGTCTGCTCCCTTTTTATCTTTCTTTTTTCTTCATCATATTAAATTGTAAATTTGAAAAGAAAAAGCACATCCCATGCTTTATATATACAAACATGACACATATAAATTGCAATCCTTGAATCATACAATATTTTAGAAGAAAACAAAAACAAAATTCATGGGTTATAGTAGATCAAAGTTGTTAACGACACAAGACAGACTAATAATCTTGAATTTAGCAACCTCACAACTCCATTAGTCAATTTCACAATTAATTCTCAGTTACTTGCAATCTCCGTTATCAACATTTAATTTTTTACTATATGCATGTCGAAGCTTTGGATTCCACAGGAAATTACAAAACTCAATGGTATCAAATAATCATACTACAATAAACAAATAACGTGTCTTGCTTTTTACATTTGGTAAATATATAGAGAGGTTAGTAAAGCGTGCATACGATATATAATCAAGAGTTCTTGATTTAAGTTCTTGTGTATAGATGCGTTGATCATGATGAATCCTTGTGGCTATTAGATGACCAGTCAATGCAAATTTCTCGTGTAGAAAGGTTTCCAATGATAATCTCTATTGACACGTCTCAGTTGGGATGTAATATAGGGAGATTAACTGGATAATATACATTAATTAGTCTTTGAATTAAAAATGTGTTATAAGTGTCATGATTTGGTCGTGGATCTCACTGATCTATTCCACACACATTGCAGTTGCATAAACAAAGAGCAGGGAATATGAATTATATTGGCTGATTACTTTTGTTTCTGGAATGTCAATATACTACATCCTGATCTATATATCCAACAACTTATAGTTAAATGTTGAGCGCTAACACTTAGAATGTAGAATTATAGACTGTTTTAAAAATTACAGTAGGGATTTAATTTGCATAATTGTTAGTGTATGGAGGAAAGTAAGAAAATAAAAACAAAGCAAAGAAGTATCCTTTTAAAGTTCAAATAAAGCAGTTGGCATGACAATTTAGTTGTTGTATTCATTGTTCAGTAAACTTTTTTTTCAGTAACTTTTACATAAATCCATTAATGACCATCATTGTTGATAGGTACTATACCACTTATAGTCAGTTTTCGTTGTTTAGCTAATACTCCCAAAAACTAAAACGTTTTTTTCTTACGTTACACGCATAATTTATATTTTCTTGACATCTTAATTTTGTTAGGTTCTAATGGTTAGTCAATGCTTTTTTTTCACTTCGTTAACATTTTAAACGAAATGTGTGTTTTTGTGCTAATTATCGTCTAAAACTAGACAGTCAAGGCATTGGCAGTAAAAGATAAAAGTAAAGAAAAAAAGAGTTGTTCAAATGGCGTATTCGCATGGCAGTTTTGGTCATTGACTTCTCAATTTTTCTTTATTGACTTAAAAACTTAATAAATTTTATTACTATATAAATATATTGGGAAATTCAAAACCTAACAAAAGGTGAGTACAAAGACTTAAGGACAAGGAAACCAAGCTGTCACAAGACTCACAACCTAATTAACAATGTATGGTATGGAGAGAAAAAAAATTACAACTCAAAAGAGACTAAGATTTCAAAAGTTAATTAATGTTTGTAACTGTTAGGACGAGATTCCAAAGTCACGAATCTTTTCATGGGTTACTTTTATATACACAGAAACGATACATTACCGAAGCTCTATTAATGGCTACGCAAATATTTGGTTAAAAATATGGTTTGATACTTTGATGTTGTATAGAGTGAACTAAGTAAACATTTTACTAAAAAGAATTTAACTAAATTTTTTAATTGATGATACTATCTGAAAAAAAAACAAGAATCTCTTTAACTTGAAAAAGCTCGATTTATCTTTGCTAGAATCTTAACGCTTAACTATTAACGAGAAAATCGAATAATTATAGAGAGATCATATGTTAATAACTCAAGTGATAATAATAAATAAATGAGTAATTTCCCTCAAAAGACCAAAACTCCTCACTCTCTCTCTCTCTCTCTCTCTCTCACACACACACAATAAAGACAACTTCTCTCTTTTAATGTCTCTCTGTCTTTCTCTCTCTCTTTCTCTTCTTCTTCTTTTAACACCAATTCAGTAGAAGGAAGCTTAAGAGACTATCAATCAAATCAATGGAGTTCCATCTCGAACATCCTCTCTCACACTCTTCTCTACACAACGACGACGCAGACGATAATACTTTACCACTTCCTCTCTTCCTCGTCGAATTCCAACACATGCCTTCTTCTCACTACTTCCTTACCCTCAAGTCCTCTGCTTCTCTTCTCTCTAATCGAAACTTCGCCATTTCTTCAATCACTCAGGTCTTTTTAGAACTTGCCCAAAATTCCATTTCCCTCAAACTTTTCTGGGTTTTAGTCAGAACACTGAATCATTATCGAAAAAACTAAACTTTAACTGTTTGCTAAATTACAGTATTCCAGAAAATTCGACGACCCATCTCTGACGTATCTCGCGGTGAATTATCTAGACAGGTTCTTATCCAGCGAAGATATGCCGGTAATAAAAAAAAACAGAACCTGTCCTTTTGTTTCATCTGAGATTTTGACTAATTTTGTTTCCCACAGCAGCAGCAGCAATCAAAGCACTGGGTTCTCAAGCTTATCTCTCTTTCTTGTGTCTCTTTGTCTGCTAAAATGAGAAAGCCTGAGACATCTGTCTGTGATCTTCAGGTAAACTTAAACTAGAGCTACAAAAAAGAAAGAATCTTTACAGTGTGTTTTGATTAAGTGACATGAACATTGAGTTTTCAGGTGGAAGGGGAGATGTTTGATGCACAGACGATAGAGAGAATGGAGAATGTGGTTTTAGGAGCTCTCAAATGGCGAATGCGCTCTGTTACTCCTTTCTCGTTCTTCTCCTTTTTCATCAGTCTCTTTGACCTCAAAGAAGAAGATCCTTCACTACTAAAACACTCCCTCAGATCCCAAGCTACTGATCTTACTTTCAACCTTCAACATGGTAATCATGTTTTCTTCCAATCATAATCACATATCTCAAATCAGTACCACCAATGTGTCTAATCTAATCTAAAATGCCGCAGATATCAAATTCCTCGAGTATAAACCATCGGTGATTGCAGGAGCTGCACTTCTCTTTAATTCATCTGAGCTCTGTCCTCTACAGTTTCAATGTTTCAGTAATAGAATCTGCCAATGCACATATGTAAATAAGGTAGATTTCTCAACAAGTAATCTTCGTTTTCATTCTAAAACCGTGTGTGTTGCTTAAGAGAGTTTTAAACGGTGTGACAGGAGGAGTTAATGGAGTGTTACAAAGCGATACAAGAGAGAGATGCTATTGGAGTTGAAGAAAACGAAGGAAGCAGTGAAACAGCAGTAAATGTGCTTGACCACCAATTCTCGAGCTGTGGAGAAAGCGAAAAGAGCATCACAATCACAGCTGCTTCTTCACCTAAGAGGAGGAAAACAAGTACTCGTCGCTGTTAAGCTGAACAGGCGGTTTTATGGTCAGACATGACCTCAACGGAACCAATCACTTTGCTACTTTGGAAACCACTTCTGGTCCCCTTTTGGAAAGCGACACTTCGCTTTCTTTTATCTTTCTTTCTCCTTCAATCAATCTCTTCTTCTGCTTCAGAAAATAAGCCATTTCTCTCTTCAATGGAAGACAAGAGAGTGATGAATGATCAATGACCAAGTCTCGGGTTCCGCTCTTCCTTGTTTCTTTGGACCACAACACTAAACTCTATACTCCAAAAAAAAGCAAAAATCTTGTGGTTTATTTATTTATTTGTCTATCTATCATGTTGTGTATTTACATTTTTGGTTTCTTGTTTCACTTGGGGGAGAATAATCAATAAATACTGTTCTTGTGTAAATAACCTATGGTTATTATGTTACTATATGAGTAGTTATAGTGTGGTCACGAGATAAAAATGGATATTTAATTTTTCAGGAATAAGATTTTGTCTTATGAGACTTCGTTATCCGAGTTATATGGATCCAGTTGCCAGAATCTCTGTTGCAGGCAGGCAATATCATACTCTTTGGACCACTTTACAGTTTTGTTCTTACTGTAATCAATCCCCTCTGTTCTAACCCACATTTAGCCCATCACGCTCATAATGGGCCAAGATCATGATATTACAAGAACCACTCAGGCCCATTAAGGAAAATATTCAAAGTTCTCTTTCAATATATCTCAGACTCAAACTGTGCTGAAAAGAATGTGTAACATGCATGGTTTCAGTCTTTCAGACATTATTGAGAAGCTAGAAGAAAGAGTCAAAGCTTCTGATGTAAAATGCTAATGCACAACAACAAGACACAAAGATGAACATGAAGAAATCAGCTTCATCATTACCTTGCAAACGAGAGAGATCAGACAGGTCCAAGAGTTCCCTCACTTCGACTTCTACGCATAGAGAGCTCTGATCTCAGGCTCGACAATCTATCACCAGTAGCAACGTAATTCTCGTAAGCAGCTGGTGATACTTTGTGTCCCACAGGTGGAAGACGGCTGCTTCTCTCCTTGGATCTTTTAGGCACACCCGATGACTTACGGGCCGCGGATGATCCGGGTTTGTGGGTACTGGATGCACCGTGGCTACTCTTCCGGCTGCTGTTTTTGATCTCTGATCTCAGACCACGGTCCAGCTGATGTGTGCTTGGCCCGAGCCGAGCATCTTTAGCGCCTTGTCTGTTGTAGTACACCAAATGCGGCAGGAGTCCCAAAAGGTACTTCCTCAGCTGTTCATCGCCAACGTTCTTCTGTGCAGGGTTTCCTTCCAGGCTTATAGCCTGAAGAGAACTGTAGTTTGCAGCGAGCAGGCCGAGTGATTTGGTTGTTGAGAACTTATTGAAGCGTAAGTCCAAGACCGTAAGTTTCAAGAGACGATGGAGACCCTCGATTTCACTGATCTTGTTCCCAGCTAGGTATAGTTCTTTCAGAGAGGAACAAGAAGCCAGACCTAAAGAAGCAAGATAAGATACATCAAACATGGTTTCCATATAAGAGCAGATAAAGTAAATGAGTAAGGTCAGGACATACCATGACCAAGTCTCAGTATTTTGTTGTAGCTAAGGTCTAATACTCGAAGCCGAGTGAGTTCGCGTAGGCCTTCGATCACCGAGATACTGTTCTTTGACAAATTCAACGCATGTAGTCCTCGAGGAAGAGCACCAGCTGTTATCCTAACTGGAAAACATATAAAGAAATACAATCAGTGTGTGTGGAAGATTAGCAAGAAGGAGCAGTGTAGCTTTTACCTATCGCATTGCCAGAGAGATTGAGAACTCTCAGACTAACAAATGCACTGAGGAATGGTATCACAACCAGACCATGATTAACCAGCTGAGCTGTGGTTGCAGAAGCACTCAGAGAGGATATGTACTTTTTCGCAGCTTCCATTCCAGGTGTTAACTTGACGACATCTACTTTAGGAGAAGCTGTTGTTAGCGGCTCATTCAACACCACGTGTTCTCTTGGCAACTCATCGTCGTACCCTGTGATCTCATCAGCTTCCTCAGACAAGTTCACATGCTGAAGGTCACTGACCCAATCCTCGATACGCTTGATCTTAAAATCCTTTCCAGGAAACTCTGCTTGCTGGTTTGATGTTTCTCCTTCAAGGTACTGTGTTAGCTTGAGCTCATCTTTCGGTGGTACTATCCAATCTTTTGCCAGGGAAGGATAATCATATGCATCATCATATCCATCCTCCTCGAGGTTTTCCTTGTCGTCGTTATCTCCAGACTTATGCATGTCATAGTTCCGCTCTTGATCTTGATCTTGCTCTTGCTCTTGCTTCACCTCTGCATCAGAGGATCTGGAGTGGTGAGAGGAATATTTGGAAGGTGAAGACTTCTCTGATGCAGAGTCGGCGATATTAGGCATTGAGTTCGACCTCACAATCAACGGTGATTCGTTAGGCGTTTGGCTGTTTGAGTTGTCCTCCATCTGTTCACCGGATAAAGAGGTATCATCGAGATGACGGCTCTCTTCATCAGCATGATGACGATCTCCAACCGAGAAAATAGAGCCATATTGTGCTTGCTCTGAACCCTGGTAAGCAGAAACTGGAGCTTTCTCATACAGATTCGGACTTCCTTCTACAAGCTTGCTGCTGCCTGCTGCAAGAGCACCACTCTGTTCAAGAGAATTAGGAGAAGCAATCTGATCGTCTGTTCCAGTCTCTTTGGCATCCCTCCCGTCCAAGTAAAGTTCATCTCCAAGAGACTGACTTTTCTTGAGATGCCGTCCCTCCTGATGCGTCTCAATACCATGCTCAAGAATAATCTCCTCAGATTTCCAGACACGCTCCACAGGGGCAGAGCCAGCTGGCTTGCTGTTTCCACTAACAGAAGCAATGTTTCTCCTAAATATGATTGAGCTCAATCCTTTCGATTTGGACCCGTCTTCTCTTATCACTCGTTCTGAAAATCCTTCCACGGATTTCTGCATCACCACAACACAGGAACGGATCACTGTAACGAATCTCATGCAGAGAATGTAACAATAGGCAATGATTGTTTCAACTTACCTTAGGTTTATGGCGGTGGATGTGAGTGTTGAAGCATGAAAACCTGACCATCGTGTCAAACTTGCTAACATCGACTACATCACCAGCTAGACCAAAAAAGGAAACTAAAAAAGAAAAACCCAAAAACTGTTCTTATAATTTACAGCCACAAACTAGAAACCAATAAGATCAAGTTCTTTTTTTTTTTGCAAGAAGAAGAGAGAGAGTTGTTAAAAGTTATGGAGGTTCATGTGGCGTGAACAAATGTTAGCCGTAGTCAAGGGTTAGACCCTCAGAAACACGACGGAGCCTCCAAATGATTGAAGCTAGAGAAATCCTTGGAAGAGAAGTTGAAATCACCGCTTCAAAGCCACCCCACACCTGCGCAGAGGTGCGAGAAGCACACGACTTTGCAGTAGCGGCCAGAGTTAACAACAATTGACTCGAGCTTAACAAAGCCCACTTCCTATAATTCCTTTTAGTTGCTCACCTGATGTTGAAAAATTGAATCAGAGAGAGAGAGAGCGATTACAACACTTAAGACACCACAAAATCAAAAAAGCAAAACACTTGCAATTCGCATGGTACCAAAAAAGAAAGAACAAAGGGATATAGAGCAAACAGAAACAAAAATATCCACCGAAATTCGTACCGTCAAATTCGAATCCATCAACAGTTCGACGAAATCGCAGGAAAAAAGGGTCAATTAGTTAAAGTAACAATAAAAAATCACGAACGCGGTTTTAACGATATCATCGGAGACGAAAACACCGTCGTCACTCAATCAAATTCCGAAACACAAAATTGGAGATCAATGGAGTTGTAGAATCGGGAGAGAGAGAGATCAAAAAACAAAAAAAAACGAGAGGAGGAGATAGATTCTTACCAGAGAGCAGAGCCAGATTTGAATTTTTGGAGGATTAAGCGAAAAGGAATCAAAATCAGTTCCAAGAAAACCAAAATTATCTTCAGAATTTGAGGCAAAGCTACGCTAACCCTAAAAGACAACTTTTCTTTTTTGGCCGGAATCAAAATTGTACCACACACTTTTTGACGAACTTAGTAAACGGCTCTGATTATTTCTCATGTGACGAAATCTCCTAGTCACACAACATTATTATTTTATTTTTTATCGTACCTTTTAAACCGGACCGCATTTTACGTACTAAACCGGCTACTCAAATTACTTTGGGCCTAATTTGAGCTCTAATTATGGGCCTTACTTTTATTATTTTAAATTGTACGTACCTTCGTAAACCCTGCAACTAAACCGAACCAATAACCGGTATCGGTTTAGGAGCAGAGCAAAACAAAAAAAAGGCTATTACAAAAGCTTATACTTACTTCTTCTTCATTGTATTGTATCACTTTGGTACCGTATTGGAAGATACCAAAATGTAGAAAGCTCTAAGATGATTTACCAATTACACGATGTACCTTTCTTCACATCCTAAAACCGGTTTCATCATATCTACAAACCGGGAATTCCTAATCTTCCTTTGTACCTTAACTTAATCCATAGAAGAGCTACTATCTTCTGTCTCGTCCCCACTCAAACTAGAGGGCAATTCCACACCAGACCTACAAACATAGATTGATTCAATAAGCCATTTTAGATCTTTATTTGGGACAACAAAATGCATTATAAATGGTTACTAACCGATTTAGTTGGTCTTTTCGTGCAAGAATCTCGCTGTTTGATGATTTTGGCGCATAAACTTGCTGAAGATAGCCATGTTTCACTTGTTTGGTAACCTAATAAACAGAAATAACAAGCATTAAGGTTCAGAACAATAACTTGGTAGAGCAAATACTATATGTAAATTCTCAATATGATTAAACATCAAACTCACCGGTGGTTCATCAGCCGAATGCAATTTCTCTCTATACATGTTCATAAGATTCCTCTCTCCATGATACTTTCCCACCTTAAAAAGAAGGTATCACACAAAACACAACTCATGTTTCCAGAAAAGAGCAAGAAAGGAACATGTAGACACAGAGACATAGATGTGTTTAAGAGAAATCGTTACCATCCCAGAAGACGGAGGGGATCGGCTTCTACTAAGAGGCAACAGCTTTGGAGACTTAATGAGATGTCCGCTCTTGCGTCCACCATTGAACATATTTTTGCTATAATGATGTGTTTGATTGGTTTCAACATTGCTTCCAGAAAGATTCTGGTAGTTGGCAATCACATTGTTTCTCGAACCTTCAGCCCCACTTTTGGAACTGATCCGACTCTTCTTGATGCTAGTTAGAGGAAACTCTCGGGGTGAACCTTTGAATGTCTCTTTTAGCGATCTGTAGCCAGAGACTGGATTGGAGTAACTGAGAGGAGAGGATTTCAGTCTTGGTTCCCGAAGACTCTGCTTATCTCTTAGACCAGGCTCCATTCCAACCATCATGTCATCATCACCATCATCATCATCATCATCCTCCTCCGAATATGGATCTGGCGAATGCATCTTCGATTTACGAGCTAATGCATAGCTCTAAAAGGACATTAAAAAAGGAAAAGGATTAGAGTATAATACCTCAAAGGAAAATGTGATTGCAAACTAAATATAATATATTAGTTTATGATCCCCATGGACATGTTTCTGAAAGTTCACTTACAGAATTAGGATTGAAGCTCTTCTTAGTCCCAGTGAAAGATGGAGGGTGAGGCCGTCTTTGATTCCCAACATAAACTGGCTCTGGCAAAACAGGTGACAGAAAAAGCAATCAAATCCTACTGGACATTGGTAAAGGCATTCACAATCTGACACACAATGACACGAAGAAGATGACTTTTAGCTTCCCCGAACCACTTACTCAACCTTCATAACATCATTAAGATGAAGTTAAGTTAAAACATATTATCCTGACTCACCATGAACTATAACATTAGTCTGAGGCTCAAATGCACCAGGAGGAAGAGGATCAAAGTCAACCCCTAGAGGTGGACCATCCTCTCGGTATTGTCTTCCTAACTGTCTCTTCACAGCAGTGATAGCAACATTCTCAGTCTCTCCCTTCACTTTCAAGTACCCCGAAGGCTTATTATACCCATAGCTCCTCATCACCTGAGGACGCTGCATAACGTCATTACGTGCAACATATCTAGAACTTTCCACATCACGCTCACGGACACCATCTTTGCTAGAGACAAGATTTTTATGCAACGATGAGCTACGTTCAGAAGACGTACTATCTTCTTCACCATCAGCATTTCCCATGTTAGAGCCTTCGTAAAGCCTCTGGCTTTCAACTTCCCTTGGCTTTGGGGTCAAATAATCCGTTTGCTTAGTGCTACCGCACGAATCCTGTCTAAGCCCACTTCCACGATCCTGAAGAACAACGCTTGATCGATCTTGGCTCCCAATGTTCCCTTCTTCTTTCACAGAACGTTTGTCCTTTAACCTTCTATGGCAGAACCAGCCTGAGACTTGCTTCTCGGTTAGTCCTACTTCCTCTGCTAGACTAGCCTTCATTTCTTCGGATGGATACTTGTGCTCTGTAAAACAAAAACACAATATTAAACCTGTAAAGCATAAATGAGCACATACAAATATCAAAGCAACAATTTACCATTGTAGAAATTCTCAAGCGCCATAACTTGGATAGGAGTCTTAACCTTTCGCTTTTTGCTGTTTTCGACGGAGGTTTTCTCGCCATCGGCGGGTACCTCGCCGGAATCTATCAGAAAACAGCACACAAAATGATAAGAACATATAAGCATAATTTCATAAAGGTTTGAGTAATTCCGAAACACGTCTCCGTATCTAAGTTTTCCAAAAAGGGACTAAATTGCAGCAATTACTACCTTTTCTCATCAGCTAAACCAATCAAAACGAACACAAAAGTTTCAAATTTCTTAGCTTGATTATCCATACCATTACACAAGCCGCAAAAGCTCAAAATTTCTAGTGCAATAGATGAATTTCACTAATTAAAGCTACGAAAATGGGAGTTGCATTGTAATTCGACAGATAACACAGAACTCGGGATCATTGAAAACTATTCTAGCAGAGAAGAAACGCAGACAATCCGAACAATGGTGCGAGAGAGAATTACAAAGAAGCACAAAAGGATCTAACCTGAGTGCATAGCCAATTTGAAATTCCCAGAGAATGAATGAACAAAACCTAATCAACCCCCAAAAACCAGAAATTTTTGCTTCTTCCTTCAAAGCTCTGATTTTCTTATTCCGAGAAGAAGAAAACTCCCTTCGCACACAAACAAAAGTCTTCTGAACCGAAACCGGCATTGGTAAACCGGAACCTTTAATGATTCAAACCGGCTAAATCTCATTTTGGGCCTCGCTGTGAACCGGACGTGTTTCAATAAACCGGAGCAGCGGAGAAATTCGGACCGGCTAATGTTGGGCCTCAGTTATGGGCCTAAATTGGACAAGGAAGAAGAATAAAAGAAGAGAAGCGACGAATGTTTGATTCGACAGAACCGCCATGGCTACAGCTTCAAGGTTTCTGCGGAAGTTGCAGAGGTCTCTCAGGCTTTCTCCAACCCTTCTCCGTGGAAATGGCGTAAGGCTTTCCAGTAATTTTATTCAGGAAACCACCGAACCGTTGAATGTATTCCGGCAAATAGGATCTCGTATCCGACATGATTTTGTTACTACCAGAAGCTTCTCTTCTCAAGGTCCTGCTGCTATCGATTACAGGTAAATTAATCCTAATCTTCTCCCTTTTATCTCCATTAATGTATATGAATCGTTAATTTCATCAAAATATGAACAAACGGAAAGAAGAAAACAGTTCGGTTTTGCAGGAGGATGAGTATCACAAATTAGCTAACTTCACGATAAATGACCTTCTCGAGAAAATTGAGGTATTTTAAAGCTAAAGTCTTTCTATTTCTCGATTGCAATAGGTTATACTTTGTTCTTAATTACTTCTAATGTCGTTACTGGAACTACATGATTGATATGTTCAGGATTATGGTGATAATGTCCAGATTGATGGTTTCGACATAGATTATGGGGTAAAGACAAACCACTTTCAAGTATTTACGATCTTGTTCCTATGTTTTGGAAATCTTTGTGTGCTTATAAATGTCAGTCCTTTTGCTGTTTCCAACAGAATGAAGTTCTCACCCTAAAGCTTGGATCTTTAGGCACATATGTAATCAATAAGCAAACTCCAAATCGACAAATCTGGATGTCTTCACCTGTGAGGTAGAGATTCTCGTTTTAAATTTTTGAAAGTTGCTAACTTTAGGGGTCTAATTCGAATTTCTTATCTGGAATTCTGGATCATCATGTTCTGCTGTATCTTCTGGTTTGTGTATTGTAAATCGCTGCATTTTGGATTCACATCGATGTCATGTTAAATCTTCCTGTTTCTTCAAATTTTTTTCGTGTAGTGGGCCTGCTAGATTCGACTGGGACAGGGATGCTAATGCGTGGATTTACCGGAGAACGGAAGCAAAGTTGGATAAACTCTTGGAAGAGGAGTTAGAGAAGCTATGCGGCGAACCAATACAACTCTCATAAAATAAAGAGCCTTAAAACCATATTTGTGAGCGAGAGGGCTTCTTCATCTGGGAGCTTCAGACTGATATGCCCTTATCTATGAAACATCCAGAGGAATAAACAAACAAGGCACAAGACAAAAGTTGTTTCATTGTGAAACCCGATTGATGTATGTGAAACTAGTGTCTTATAGTCACACTGTTAAACAATGCGCATCATTTCCTCTCTGCTAAGTCTCTCTTTGATATCAGTTTTATATCAACAATTCGCGTTTGTCAAAAAGTTCAAAACTTGTTGATTTTCACAAGAATTCCGGAAAAACGTTGGTTAAAAAATTTGCAGGGTCAATCTCCACTCCTTGAAAAGCACCAATAAGGACAAAAGATTGACTTCTTTTATCACCTGTCTCCTTTTCTCAATAATTCACGTTTAGGTACCCCGTACCCCTAAGTCTCTCCCACTGTTAAAATAAACATACGTATTGTATTATTCGAAGCTTGTGGGATCATTTGGAACTATTTATAGCGAAAACGTTGACACAGAGCTTGTGTATCTGCATACAGTAGCTAAGCTAAGAGAGTGTAAAGTAGTATCTACTACTTTCATGGTTTTGCTTCAGATGCTCAACTGAAGACTTGTTCTGCTTTTTCTTGGAAACATTTTGAACACACATGATTAGCTAGCTGCGTTCCACATATCTACTGTTCCAGGTGGGTCTTTTCGTTGACGTTGAGGCAAACGTTTTCTCTTTTTCTTTGTTCGGACACGGTTTGAGTTTTTAAGAAGACAGAATGAAAATACCAGAAGAGTAAGACAAGACAAGGTCAGTACTGATCAGAGAAATGATACTTTCTGTCTACTTCTATTTGTTTTTGCTGAATGTTTGTCGATTAGATTGCTTTGTCGCAGTCGCCTTGCTCAATGATAGCCATGGAGACACTCTTGTATCAGCTGGTGAGAGATTTTGTTACAACGATCCATCACCTGGATACTTCACTTTTCAGATGGATCAAGAAGAAGACATTCATGGTGAGCTAAAACATTTTGTTTTCCTTTGTATTATAGTGGATACATGTCTCCAGAATATGCTCTAGATGGTCTATTCTCATTCAAATCAGATGTCTTTAGTTTCGGTGTGGTTGTGATTGAGACTATAAGCGGGAAGAGAAACACCGGCTTCTATGAACCGGACAAATCTTTAAGCCTTCTTGGCTATGTGAGGGATCTAACATGCACTAAAAACTTGTTTATGCACACACATTACTTGTTTAGAAACTTGACCGATGAAACAATTATATACATATGTGCAGGCGTGGGATCTCTGGAAAGCGGAAAGATGGGTTGAGTTACTGGAAATGCTTGAACGTAGGACTCATCTGCGTACAAGAAGATCCTAATGATCGTCCTGCAATTTCAAATGTTGTTTTCATGCTTGGGAGCAGCGATATAGCCACTCTTCCGAATCCGAAACAACCGGCTTTTATCCTTAGACTTTGCCCTTCATCAAGCAAAGCTTCTTCATCTACCAAACCAGACACTTGCTCCCAAAATGAGCTTACCATAACTCTTGAAGATGGAAGATAATCATAGATTTTTTTCTTTACTGTATTTTGTTATGAATACGCATAAGATATCAACAGAAAAAAAAAATCTGTAATAGCTAAGCAACTTGAGTTGTGAAATAAAAGAGATTATGCAGAAACTTTCATATTTTCATTGGAATGAGATTTTGGCTTTGGAAGAAGCCATAGAGAATCCCATTAGCTGTGACCTTATCATTTGTCTCCGGAGAGAGTCTCTACAAAGGAAACTAGATCGAAGAGTCATCTTGATCAAAGCCTTTCCATGCCTTAGCAGGAAGATCGCCAGGCTCATTTCGTTTTCGCACTCTAAGAAGCCATTAATCTCCACAAACTCCAAGTGGTTCAAGAAAGATTCCACTTCACAGGTTTGAGATTCCCAGTACTGAATCTCTGAGTTTGACATATCCCACAAATCCTTATTCCATTGCTGTCAAAACATGAACAAAAATCAGAGACAATTCACACTAACTAAGACGAACAAACAAACAAAAAAACATTTTTCACTGTGAAAACTGCTTACCCTTCTTTCACTTATTTGGTCATTAATGATCTTGAGAAGAAGTATGTTAAGCATTGGACAGCTCTTGAACAGACATGATAGTGCTTGAACATTGTGTCTGTTGAAACGTGTTTGCAGTTCCAAGAATCTCATGTTCTGAAACGGTAGAAGATGAATCTTCACTAATCCCTTCTTGCTTGACAAAATCTGTCACAACATTGATAAGACAGTGAAGCAAAGAAGTAACTGAAATGGAGATAAAAATGGTGTGTACGTGTATAAATTTACCTCTACGGATTGGTTTCCAAGTTGTAGTTTATAGGAGTGACAGAGACCTGACAAGAGAGTGAACAAGCTCTGTGTCTGAGAACTGAGATCTTGATGAAGTAAAAGCACTCCAACGAAAGCTTTTCTCAGACAAACTAACTTGTCCAAGAAATGAACACTAGTAGTGACTGCGTTTGAGTTCCAGAGGAAAGTTTTGAGATTCGGTGTGTTGATCTTCACAAAACTCTCTTCTGAGTACGAATGGAAACAACTCACAACCTTAAGTCTCTTTAGCCTATTACCAGAAACCTCTAAACCATCAAGCTGCAAAGAGTTTGTTAGAGTAAACTCTTGGAGAAGACAGCAACTGACCTTAAGTTGCTTGAGCCCGAAGCAATTTTCTAGGGCTAGTTTCTCTAGAAGAGGAAAGTTTGGATCGGTGAAGAAATCAGAGAGATAAGGCTGGTTGTTTAGAATCACAAGAGATAAAGAGAGTGAAGTGATTTTTTGAAAGCCTCCGGAGATTGATGATGAAGGAGGTAATCTAAAACCAGGACAAGATGATTTAAGCTTCAAAGCTCTTAGGTTTTGAGATGTCACAATCCAACGAGGGAAGTTGAAGTAGTCTTTGGTAGTGACTTCAATGTCAAGATCTTGAACCTGATGAGTAACAGCTAAACGAATCAAGGAATTGAGACTTGTGAAAGTGATCGGAACGCGGAAACGAAGTGATCTGAGATTGTTGGAGTCACGGTGATCACGAAGAGAAAGCATTTGGTAAATGGAGTTAGAAGAGAAAGATTGTGGTTTAGGGTTTTCATTAATGGAGGTGAAATCAAGATCAGGCAATGAGAGAAAGAGAGATCTCCATCTTCTCGAGAGTGAGCTAGTTTTAGCTGCGGATTGTAGAGGAAGTAAGATGAGAATCTGGTGAATAAGAGAATCAGGGAGGTCGCTGATCATGTCTCCATTTGCTTCCTCCACTATCTTCTTCTTCTTCATCTTCTTCTTCCATTTCACAGATCTCGTCTCCATTTTGTTAAACGAAATGTCCTTTAATTAAAGCTTTTGCCTTTTGTTTTACTCTAGTTGGTTTGAAACATTCAACACAAACCCTAAAAGTATTAACGATAAGTGCGTTGAGTTTGTTTCCGCAAATATCGCATTTTCTGTTACTTCAGCGAAACATTATCAATTAGAAAATTGATTATTTATACATAAACAGAATCATCAAAGAGCCACATGTGATCTCTTGATCCTAATTTTTCTTGGTTAAGCTAAAAAACACAAACAAACATGACATTAAAAACTACAAATGGCGATGGTGTTGGCACTCAAGAGGAGTAACAGGAAACCTAGTAGCATCAAAGCAATAGTCATAAATCATATGATTAGCTCGAACCCAAATAAGCTGATGATTCTGATGAAGGCTTAGCTCAGAGACAGTTGGCTCATCCCACCAGAAGCTCTGGTCTCCATTACACTTACTTAGATCAGTTGTTGTCGGAACATCACAAGCATCAATGTGAAAGCCTCTGTAAGAAGCAACGAAAGGAGCGTGACTCCAATCTGTTTTCACAAGACCTCCTTGTGTTGCCCAGTCATCAGCATTCCAAATCGAACTGTAAACACCCATCGCTTGATCTTTAGCAAATGGGATGCCTTTATCTTCAAGATTCTTGTGGACACGGATTGGTGTCTCATCAACCATGAATCTGCATTTACAACAACAAGAAATTAAAATGGGTCCATAGTCTCATTATTGCGCAGAAAGTCAGAGACTTTTGTTTAATAAAACTTACACAACGCTGCGTTTGCTCCAGAGGATTGAGTAAGTGTGAAACTCAGTGGTGGGGTCGAACCAAAGGTTGAGTCTTTGCTCTCTGTTTCCAACTCCATTCACATAGACATTAGTCTGGACTATGTAAGGCTCTCCGGTTTTGTTTCCTAGAAACTCGAAATCAAACTCGTTGTGGTTCGTACCTTCGGAAGACATCTGTTAGATAAAACATAATAAGGTTCAAGATTTGAGACATAAACATAATAATCAATCTGAGTTCAAAAACAGAGCAAGAGAGGTTTTTGTTACATACGTAGAAAGCAGTGACGGTTCCTGCTGAGTCACCTTCAACGAGCTTAATCTGGATAGCGACTTTCCCGAACAAGTACTTGCTTCTCGACTCAAACCCAGCTCCTGAAAGAAATCAATCAAAAAAGCATCAGCATTTAGAAACACCAGAAGAAACAGAGCAAAAAACAGAGCAAACAAAACAGAACAGAGAGAGAGGTTTGTATAGATACGTACCAGAGGATTTGTCAAGCTTGAGTTTTGTGACTTCTCCGTCGTTGACACAATGATCCATAGCCCAGCTTGAGCGGTAAAGCTCGTCGAACTTGGCTGCTGGAAGAGCTTCACCAATTGAAACCGCCCACACCATCATCATCACACACATGAACCAACCCATACCCACCATCTTTTTACTTTTAGTGTTTTTTTTCTCTCTTGCACTCAAACTTCAGTCTACAGTCTCACACACTTGACTCAGTGGAGGAGACAAGTGAGAGAGGAGGGGGTTTATAAAGGCGGGAGGTATGAGCTGGCATACAATGGAGAGAGGTGCCACGTTGGATTCGACGTGTGATTCAGGACATTAATAAGTGGACAAAAAAACCCATCTCCGTAAAGATGAAAATAAATTCACTCAAAACAACAAGAGAGAGAGAGTTGGGAAATGTAGCCGTTACTGTGAGGGCATCACTCAGTGGGGCTCCACTTTAGTACTACGCAGAGGACAAGAATTTATACTTCTCTGTTTAAGTCTAAAGAAAAAAACTTATCTTTGAGAAGAAAAAAAAAGAAAAACAGAGACTTTATTGCTTTTAGAGAGATAAGTGAATATAATTGATTCTGCTGGGTGTAATAATGAAAGAAAGAGAGGGAGAGGACCATTTTACAGCTAAGATGTTTTCATTGCATTCGATTGGATCCAGCTGTGCATTTGGCTCTTTTGGCTCAGAAGCTCAAAATTTAAAATCTTTTCTTGCATCAAAGAAAGATATTTTGATTGGAAGATGAGTCTTCTCTCTCCTCACTTTTTGGGGGAATTCAATTTTTTGTTTTCGTGTTGCAGACATGGATTAGATATTGGCAGAGATGTGACGTCACTTTTGAAAGATAAAATATCTTACCTTTGCTTTGGTAATTTAAAACATTGTCAAGTTGTGTGACTGTGCGTAAATGCAATACACCATCATCTATGCATGTATGTATATCCGGGGACGAAGTTGTTGTGTTCTTTGTCGCCATTAGAGACAGCGAAAACGACGGCGTTTGTGGACTCCATGGAGAGATTTGAAAATCACGGGCGTTTCTTGAATCAAGACAAAAGAACGAGATGGAGACGTATACTGAATCCGTTGTTTAATACACAAAACCGATTAGGTTAGGTTGAAACTTGAAGCCATTGTAGTAATATATAAATCAAAATCATCAGATTCAATGTTATCTCTCCAACAAATGTGTTGTGTTTTGTTCTGTTCGTGTGGTGTGAACATAACCGAGCAAGTGGCTTTACTTTAGTCACGCGTGCGTGCGTGCACCGAGAGGCGAGTGGCTCGTTTCTTTGAGCCCAACGGATCTTATCTCAGAGTCAGACTCATGCTTTTTAACTGTGTCAGTAAATTTAGTAAAGTTTTATACTTTTTCATCATCACCAATGGTACTATACTCCATCATCATCATCATGACCTTCCTTTGTCAGTTACAGTAACTCATGATGAGATGACGCAAAATTACAGAGTAAAGGCCTCTCTTCATTACACTTTCTCTTTTCACTCTTCATTAGACTCAACTCAAAAGTTAACAAAAAGAGCCCAATCAGAAATTAATTAACAACAATTTAGTTAGTTAAAGGGGCTAAAGCCACTCTTTAGGATTGATACAAGCATCTAATAGCTTCCATTCCTCACTTCCTTCTTCAGGTTTCTGCATCCGAACAAACAAGAGAGAAAGAAAACATCACAATTAAACTCAGTTTCCTCAGCTTATCATCACTCAGATAAAATGAATCAAGATTTGTTATATTCTTGAAGTGTGTATAAACAACTTTACATGGTCATATTCCCATCTTGCGGATAGTGGAAGAGAGACAAGAATACTCTCTATACGCCCTCCTGTCTTCAGACCAAACGTTGTTCCACGGTCATACACCTTTATTTTTCAAGAAAAAAAATTAGTAGACAAGGTTACATAAACGATCTAAAGAGGAATGTATGTATAAACAAAACAATCTAGTATTACCAAGTTGAATTCAACATATCGCCCTCTTCGCAACTGTTGCCATGCCTTGTGTTGCTCGGTAAATGGAGTGTCTTTACGTTTCTCTATTATAGGTATATAAGCTGGTATCACTGAGCTTGCACATTCTGCAAAAAACTCACCTCAGTATTCAAATTAACCATCTAGGAACTTTCTAAAAACAGAATGTCATAACTCAAGCTTTATTGGCCATTACCAGTGGCAAATGACAGAAGCATTTCCTGATCTAAGTCGTTCAAATCATCAAAAAATATCCCTCCAAGCCCTCGCCTCTCATCACGGTGCTGCAGACAAACCGTCAATTCTAAGTGTTCTCAAGCCATCAGCGACAACTTTGACTCTTAAATCTATCTCTTGACTCTTTAGTTCCAGAACAAGCTAAGATCTTTACAAAACAATCGGAATGAAGTCACACTAACTACAACCTATCAGCGAGACAGCGACAACTTGTCAATACATCAGCCTAACCAAGCCTTGACACTCTAATTCTATACACAAACATGACTCTAAAGTCTAAAACTAAGGCCTTTTAATTCCAAAAAGTGCTAAAATTCCACAAAACAATCCGAGTCGCATTGAGATAAACAGCATACCTTGATGTAAAAGTAGTCATCACACCATTTCTTGAACCGAGGGTAGAAGGACGGATCGAATTTGTCACAGGCTTGCTTTTGAACCTACCAAAAGACAAATGGTTATAAATGTATGAGCAACTCCATAATCACAAAGCTTTATAGACTTTCAGAACAAGGGATAAGGTTTCCAATACCGAGTGGAAGTGCTTGACGTCCTCTTCGAAGATGTAAGCAGGTGTGAAATCAGTCCCACCACCGAACCACCATTGTCTCGGAGCTCCAGGAACATCTAATCGTCACAAATTGGGCAATAATACAAAAGCATCAAGCTTTGTGCCAAAAAACAATAAAGATTACAACTTTACAATCCTAGAGAGATTCAAGCTTTTACCCTTTGGAGCATCAGTCTCGAAATATCGGTAATTGAAATGCAGCGTCGGAGCAAAAGGGTTTTTAGGATGCAAAACCTGGAATTGGACATGAATGTGCGATCAATTTAACGGCAACGACGACGAATGTGTGAAAGATAAAGAAGGTACCGAGCTGATTCCGGCGGCGAAGAACGGAACCGGGCCGGGTTTCTGCTCAGACGAGGCACCTTTAGCGGCTCTGTAAGCTTCAGGTGGCATAACACCATAAACCACAGAGACATTAACTCCAGCTTTCTCCCAGACATTTCCGTCCTGCAAGACGCGGCTGATTCCGCCGCCTCCGCCGGGCCGAGACCAAACGTCTTCCTTGAACTTGGGACCTCCTTCGACTGCTTCAATGGCTGAGCAGACATTGTCCTGAGCAGCTCTTATCATTGACTCGAAACGAGCCCTAACCGAAGAAGAAGAAGAAGATTGGGAGTCACCACCTTCGGAGTCTCTGAGGAAAGTGAAAGGTCTTTCGGTTTCGGGAACTTCCTTCTCGATTGAGACTGAACATCGCAAGTCCAAATCGGATCTCTTAACCGGACGAGGAAAATGGAGAGTGGAGACATTTGGAGAGAGATGAAAACGATGAGAGGAGAAGAGATTCAATGTAGAAGGAGAAGAGAAAAGAGTCGACGAGTGAACTGCCATTCTCGGCGATCGAATCCACCGGATTTCGCCGTCGCTGAAGATATGAAATGATAAGGAATCTTCAAGCTCTGGATTTTGACCAAATCCGGTTAAGTTAAACCAAAACACACCAAATTCAAAATCCGGTTTAGTTCTTCTTTATTTATCTTGTTCCTTACAACACAAGCAACCAGTCTACTTGGAGAGTAAGCGAATAAGAGAAGAAGAGTCGAAGACAGGAGGACTACAAGTGAAGTGTTGACAAACAAGAGCAACCACTTTGTCAGAGCTTCTGTTTCTCTTTGCCATCTCTGCTACATTACTGTTATGCTCTTCCCAAAACTCCATCTCATCAGAGCTTGAAGGATCTATGTGAATCACCTGCCAAACCAAAAAAAAACAAACCTCACAAAATCACAAATTTGTTGCTCGTTGATCTGAAAACTCGGATCAATGTTAAAGCTTCTTACCGTTTTATTAGGATCATAGACTGAATGTGCTGCAGAAAGCATGTCATTGATCTCCAACGAAGACTTGGGACCAACCAATACAACTTGTTTCCTTGACGGCACAGTGATCATATCCGCGGCACAGCACATTAGCGGCACTGCCACCGCCAGTTCTCTTAACCTCAACTCAAAGACAGCCTTCAAAAACAACAACAAAGAGAGAGACACAGCAATCTTTAGTTAAAGAGCCTCAATGTCTAACGATGGGGGTTTGTTGTATGTTTGTTTACCAGAAGACGCTGTGCTGTGTTTAGGTAGGAGTTAGCTTTTTCTCCGGAGACTATGGAAGCTAATCTCACAAGGTTAATAGCAGAAACAGAGTTTCCTGAAGGCTCTGCGCCATCATGATCTTCTTTTACACGGAGAAGAACAGATGGGTCATGTCCTTGAGTATTGAAGTAAGCTCCTCCTTCTCTGTCGAGATATAACTCATCCTGATACATCCTTGAAGTTTTAGCCACAATGGAAGGCTTTAAGGAAACAAGCTGGTAAAAAAGATCTCACTTGCCTGTACTTCTTGAAGCTCAATCGCCCATTTAAGCCACTCGATCCCACCTCCATTCTCGTAGAGATCAAGTAAACCAGTGATTAAGAAAGCATAATCGTCTAAAAAGGCAGGAGCTTTCGATGGTCCCTTTCTGTAACTGTGTTGTAACATGTGTGATTGCTCATCATACAGATTCCCTCTTATAAACGATGCTGCTTTCTCTGCAACTTCTATGTAATCCTCTGGCTGTAAATGAGAATGAAATTCAATAAGAAACATCACACGGTAAAAGAAGACATCGATGAAGCGGGTGTGTAGTGTTCATTACCTGACTATTCACAACAGGGAAATAGTACTTGGTGCTTTCAGGCTCAGCCCTGAGAATCTTGGAAGCTCTTGCAAAAGACGAGATAACAAGACCGTTCCATGACACGATTATCTACGAAAAGAGACATCAAACAGTTAACAAAGCTGAAGAAACAGTGGAAGAAGAATAAGACAACGAAGAATCTCCAAGAAGATTTCACCTTATCATCTAAATGAGGCTTAGGTCGCTTTAATCTGACATCAAAAAGCTTTCTTCGGCATTCACCTAAAATCTCCTCATACTTCTCAACAGAGAGGCTAAACTTCGACGCCATGGCAGACAGCTCATTTCTTTCGATGAGCACGTTCTTTTCAGCGAACTCGTTGTGTGGATCACTCTTGCTCGAAAGATCGCAGTTACCTGATTTCTTAACGTAATAATGCTCCTTGAAAAGATCCGCATTCTCCGCAAGAACTTCATCAATCTTGAAATGAAACACACACAACAAAACAAGTCAGTATACAGAGGGCAACACTATTCAACTGATGAATAATATATCAGAGAAAAGAACCTCATCGCTGGTCCATATATAGAAAGCTCCTTCTTTCTTTCTCTTTGCACCTTCGAATTCAAAGCTATCAGCATCTTCAGCCGAGAATATTCCACCTTCAGGTGAAATCATGTCTCTTCTCAGATAATCAAGAATGTCTCTTGCCACATAAGAATACATGACATCCTTTGTAATTGCAAACCCATCGAGGTAAACATTAGCTAGCTGCCCTTGATCGTATAGCATTTTCTCAAAATGAGGAACTACACCAAAAACAAAATAGCAAAACGCATCAGTTTCATCATCCTACATTTCATGCGATGAATACTCTTTGAAGTCTCACCGTGCCAACATTCATCGACGCTGTATCTATGAAACCCGCCTCCGACGTGATCATGCATCCCACCATTTGCCATGCCTTGCAAGCTGAATAAAACCATACTCTGGACTTCATCAGCCTCACTCGTTTTCCCAGATTCCTTCAACTTTTTGAAGTGGTAAAGCATCAGCTGGATCTCGACAGGCCTTGGGAACTTTGGTGCAGATCCAAACCCACCATATTCCGAATCAAAGCTCCGAGAAAGCTTGACACACAACAAACACTCAATGTTAGAAGCCTTATTCATGTTCATGCATCAGTACACTAGAGTTGGAATCATACCTGTTTTGCACATATACTCACAGCCGCCCGAGAAGTCCCATCTGACAACTTATCAGATCCTGCACTTGCGGATAAAGCTTTTGACAGTTCTTCAATAGCGTAATTACCACTCTTCATAAGAGTATCCCTCTTAGTCACCCACGCATCTTTCACCTTTCTGAACCAAACCCAAAGAAAACAAGGAGAAGTTAATAATCGAGTCCATTTCTCCACATGTATACTCTTTTCTTTACTGAAAACAAAACCAACTTCTCCATCTTGAAACGAGAATGCTAGTGTGGAAGATAACAAGAGATGAGAATGGTGTTTTGCTTACTTAAGGAGAGTCTTGAATCCTGGTCGTCCATAATTGTCATCTGGAGGAAAGTAGGTTCCACCCATCAAAGGCTTTAAATCAGGTGAAAGGAAGACAGACAGTGGCCACCCTCCTCCACCGTACAGAGCCTGGACGAACGACATATAAACCTGAAAGTGCCAGTAAATAACGATTCATAAGTCAAGTCCTCATCCATATTTCAAGAAACTGACGCAGCTATACAAGTCTACAATGGTTTTGCATCTCTCACAGGCAAATACTCTCTAACAAAGCAACAAAAGCTATTTTTTCCAGCCTACGACATGATTGAATAAAATGGGAAAGATACCTCTGAAACTAAGCAATCAGAGAAATAAATGTAAATTCGAACTTGGAGGTGTTTAACACATTATAGTGGCATGCAGACTGTAGTTTACCTTATCGACATCAGGCCGCTCTTCTCGATCTACCTGTTGCACAGACATTTTAAACAAGTTGGCTAGTTTTTCAAGAGCAACCAGAACCGTATATAATCCACAGCCGTAAGAGATTTTTCCGCTTAAACTCTAACCTTGATACTAACGAACGAATCTTTCAAGAGTTTCGCCACTTCTTCATCTTCAAATGACTCAACTTCCATCACATGGCACCTGTGAAAAAAAGAGAGTAAACTGGTGCTAAACATACAATTCAAAAACAGAAATAAGATAATTCGTGCTCAGTTTCTCTACTCCTAGCATCCCGAACTAGAACTAGAACTAAATTTTCTCCATTTCCTTATACAAAAATCTTTATATCCTTCATCAGGCTTGCATCTATAATATTAACAAATCCAGAGTCATTTTAATTTTTAATATGTCATTCATTCTCTTACTCCTTCCATTCAGTATAAACAGAACTCAAACTCACAATCATGGAAGTAATTAAAGTCTCACCAGTGACAGGTACTGTATCCAACTTCAAGATTCCATATAAACGAGGTTTTTGAAAACAAAAGGGAACTAAATTAGTGTCATAAAACTAAAGCAATTAAGTAAATCTGTTTCAGCAACAACAAAAACGATCAAATGAGAGGGTAAAGTGAAACTACTTGATAAGAAGATAGGCACGTCTCTCTTCCTTGCTTCTTCAAAAGCTTCTTCTCCCCATGGATACCAATCAACCTTTTTTCACATGAAATCAATTCAAATTCAAATAACGATCAAGCCAAAATCGGTTCTTAGCTCAAGTCCGCTTCATTTCTGAGCTAAGAAATGGTTAATGAATCTGTATCTACATTCTAAACCAATTGTAACTTAACTAATTGCAACAAAGCTCTACAATTGAAACTGAAGATGGCCTAATTGAAACAAAGAGTGTTCCTTTATCGGTAGGATATTTGAAAAGATTGGTACTTTATGAAAGAGTGATAACGAGATCAATTTCAATTTACCGGATTATGAGCGTGTTGAAGAAGGTAAGGACTATGTTCGGCGGCCAAACGGTTGGTATGTTTCGGAGATGTTGAGGAGGTCGAAGACGAGGGCTGTTCCGCCATGGCCAAAACTTTGCCTGAGGAAATGGGTCTCGAGAGAATCGTCGATAAAGGGAAAGGAAACGAAGGATTGAGTGTACGGACGCGATTTCCTCTTCTGGGTATTGAAGACAGAGACGCGATGCTGCGAGAAGCAAAGCGGTGGAGAATCGAGGAAGACAACAAGTGAAGACTTTTCATCGATGATTGCTAATCGAATACGACGACGTTTTCTGGGTTTGGTGAGATTGGCTGAACGTAGTCAGGTCGAGAGGATTCGCCATGCGAGCGGGAGAGCTTCAGACACATCTTTCTCTTGTTGGATGTGTTCAGTATGTGACACGTGTTGATAAGACAAGAAGATGGATATTACGGTAGGAATAATTCCACGGTAAAAAAAAAAGACCTCACTTTGCTTTCTCTCTTCAACAGCTTTGACGCCCACATGAAGTTGTGTTTTTTTCAATTTTTTTCAAGATTTACAAACCGATTAATATCATCATCAAAGTGGAGTTGGTAAACCAGTTTTTCTCTCTCTTCACTAAAATCGATAGTGGAATAGTGTCTGCTTTTAGCAATAAACCGATTCTTTGTTTTGTTCTGTATCTTTTTGGTTGTAGGCTTGTAGCAATAAAGAGGTACATGATTTAGACTAAGAAATTTGGATTTAGTGCAGGTAAGGGTTCCACTTATCTTCTAAATGTTGGTTTCTTGTAGCAATCGTTTAAGGCTTTAAGCTCTTCTCAGAAAGAATTCTCTCTCGTCGACTTGTTTGCCAAAAATATCGATACACTAGAAACTCTATAAATTAATACTCGATAAATTAATAAACACGATAAATTAATAAATTTTCCGGTCCCAAGTTGGGCCATGTAAAATATGACACAATTCGATAAGATAATAAGATTTTTTTTAAACTCCTATGTAAAATATGGTCCCAATAATATCATAAATTAATAATTATCATATAAAAAATTATTTCTATATATATATTTTTTTTATCTAGATATCTACCTACTAAAATATGAATTTCTCACACATAAAAAATAAAAGGAAAAAAGGAAATTTAAAACAATGTAGCGAGTATGAGAAAATGTAAACAATAAAGTAAATATAGAAATAATTAAAGAAAAAATTTAAGAAAATATATGTATAAAGGAAAATTCTTATTTCATTTGAAGGAAAACTTAAAAGATTCTTATTATTGAATTTTATTTTTTTGAAAAAAACATTTTGGTCAAAATCTATATATTAATAACTCTATAAATTAATAAAATATCAAAGTCCCGACATTATTAATTTATAGAGTTTTTACTGTATTCTCTTATAGATTTTCGATTGTCCATGCGAACAATGAAAATTTGGTCATCTTATCCTTATTTGGCTGATTTAATTTTTTATGCTGTAGTCTTAGGCAATTGACAAATATTTTTTTCTTTAGAATGACAAATCACAGTTAGGTTATATAAATTCGTACTATTTTTTTACCGTTTCAAAATGTTAACGGCATAGAACTAGATAATACGAATTTTTTTTTACCGCCAATTGTTTTGTTTTATGTCATCATCTTTTGTCTTGTGGTTAACGGTCTATTTCCCCACGATAAGTATACCGTCGCATTAGATCCACACCAAACTAAGACCTCGTGCTATTTCCCCACGACAACAAAGTTTTAAATCTATATCTCCCTAGATTGAAAGTTTTAAACCTTAAACCACATAAAATTTATTTTACCGGTTACTGTTTACAAACCAAACATAAACCAACCAAACTTGATCCTAAACCCAACTAAACCCATTTACATTAAATCCAACCAGAAAAATCTGATCTAAAATCCGACTTCTTCTTCCCCAGAAAAAAATGAGTTCTTATTTGTTTTCAAAAGAGCCTCAGATCGATGATTAAGAACATCTCTAAGAGGTGAGAGGACTCACGTGAGGAGAGCTCCGGCGGCATCTCCGTGGAGCAGTAAAGCTGAAACCATGGCTTGAAACATCTGGCACAATCTTAAGTTCCGTTCTACCTAATTGGAGCATCGGATCATCACCAGTTCACCACCACCACAATCAGCAACATCGACCCAATCGTCTTTCCCTGCCTTCACGAACAGCTCAGCAGTCGTCTCAGATCGATCCATGGAACCACCAAATCTTCAATTTCGTTTCTCTTTCTCATCCTCTGGTCTTTGCGATCTCTCTACTCTCTCTTACGTTTCTTTCGTTCTTCTCCTTCATTCTCTCTATTCCCTTTCTCATTCCTCATCTCTCTTCTCTCTTTCGCTTCATATCACTGTTGCTTTCTCTCTCTTCTCTGCGTTTTCTCTCTAAAAAGACCAATTTCTCTGACAGAATCGTGCCGTTTTCTCTCGATCTCTTCACTCTCCTCGTCTCAAATCAAACTCGTACTCGCTAAATCGGGTTATTTTCTATCCATTGTTTTCCTCCTCCGTTTCCAATCTCTCTGTTCTGCTATGATTTAAGCTGAGCTCTCAAGTACAATCTCTGCTAGAATTTTATTGGAGGCTCCAAATCGACGATAATGGTGGAATTGGATCATTGGGTGAAACTCGAGAAATGGGATCAGAGTGAAAGAGATAAAACATGGTTTTGGTAGAATTTCGTCGATTTGATTTTGGGATGGCGGAGGAGAGAAGAAAAAAATTAGGGGAAGAAGACGAACAAGTATTGGGTCGGGTCTGATTTTATTTGGTTGGGTCATGTTTGGTTGTAATCCGGTTTAATATTGGTTTGATATCAAGTTTAGAAAATTAGTGGTTTATTTATACATAATAAACCAAATAAAATCGGATTTGTGTGTATTGAGATTTCAAACTTTCAATTTGGGTAGATACAAGTCTAAAACTTTCGATCTAGGGAGATATAGATTTAGAACTTTGTTGTCAGGGAGAAATAGCACGAAGTCTTAGTTTGGTGTGGATCTAATACGACACCATACTTATCGTGGGGAAATAGATCGTCAACCCTGTGTTTGTTTTCCAGTTGGTTGGTGACATACAATAGTTGGTAGTCGAATCTTTACCGATCTCAGTCACCATTTTAAAAAGTAACCCTAGTGAGTAAATTACTAGTATTCAAATCTGAAACGCATGTGTGAAATGGGTAATAAATGATGAGATCCAGGAATCATATAACCCAGAGCACACATGTGATTGATCAGTGGTATTATAATTAAGGCAACTAACTAAATCAGTGAGCCTATATCTACAGTCTCACATGGGTGCAAGCTCAACTTTATTAATGCTCTCACATGGCCTTTGTCTCCCTCTTTTCTCCTCTTGTCTTGTCACACTCTTGTCTTTCTTCCCCCACTTTCACATTCCCTTTATATATACCATCTTAAAGCTCCACTCTTTCGATTTACATCGCTCATTTCGAATCAAATCTCAAACCTTTACTTTTTCTTCTTCCATCTCTCTGTTTCTCTCTTTGTTCTGTTCTGATGTATCTCCGATTACCTTCAAAGGTTCTTGAGCGTATCCTCTTCTTCATCGACTCCAACGATGACAGAAACTCTGTTTCTCTGGTATGCAAGTCATGGTTCGAGACAGAGCGGCTCACGAGGAAACGTGTCTTCGTCGGGAACTGTTACGCGGTTACACCCGCGGCGGTTGTACGGCGGTTCCCGAAGATGAGATCTTTGACTCTGAAAGGGAAGCCGCACTTCGCCGACTACAATCTGGTTCCTGACGGTTGGGGTGGTTACGCTTGGCCTTGGATCGAAGCCTTGGCGGCGAAGAACCCTTTGCTTGAAGAGATCAGGTTGAAGAGAATGGTGGTGACTGACGAGTGCTTGGAGATGATCGCTGCTTCGTTCAAGAACTTCAAGTCGCTCGTCTTGACTTCTTGTGAAGGTTTCTCTACTGATGGCATCGCCGCCATTGCATCAACTTGCAGGTTCGGTTTCAAAGATGATTGTTCTGTTTTTTTTTCTTTCTAAAAGTAATAACTTTAGCTTTTGTCTGATTTTCACCAAACAGAAGCCTTAGAGAGCTGGAGCTAAGAGAGTGCATAGTTGATGATCTAGGAGGAGACTGGCTTAGCTATTTCCCAGAGACTTCAACGTCTCTGGTCTCTCTTGACTTCTCTTGTTTAGACTCTGAGGTGAAGTTCTCTGACTTGGAGCGTTTAGTGAGCAGATGCCGTAACCTCAAGTCACTGAAGCTGAACCGAGCCGTGACTCTAGACGGGCTCGAGAGCTTGCTTCGTCGAGCTCCGCAGCTGACTGAGCTCGGCACAGGTTCTTTCTCAGACGAGTTGTCACCAGAAGCGTTGTCAAAGCTATCAAAAGCTATTTCAGCGTGTAAGCAACTTAAGAGCTTATCTGGTCTTTGGGATGTCCTCCCTGAGTATCTTCCTGCTCTTTACTCTGTTTGTCCTGGTCTTACCTCGTTGAACTTGAGCTACGCTACTGTTCGAATGACTGATCTTGTCGATCTTCTTAGACGCTGCAAGAAGTTGCAGAAGCTATGGGTAAGCATAATGCTTTTGATCTTCTCGCTTACAAGACTCAGTTATGTTGGTTCTCACTAACTGAATGAGATGTTTTTGTGTGTAGGTAATGGACTTGATAGAGGACAAAGGTCTTCAAGCTGTTGCTACGTGTTGTAAGGAACTGCGAGAGCTGAGGGTGTTTCCATCTGAACCAGATCTCGAAGAACCAAACGTGGCTCTCACGGAACAAGGCTTGGTCTTTATCTCTGAAGGCTGTCAAAAGCTTGAATCTGTTCTCTACTTCTGTGTCCAGTTCACAAACGCAGCTTTGATCACCATAGCAAGAAACCGTCCGAGCATCAAGCGTTTCCGTCTCTGTGTGATAGAGCCGTTTGCTCCTGATTACAAAACACAAGAGCCGCTTGATCAAGGATTCAAAGCCATAGCTATGGGGTGCAAGGATCTTCAACGGCTCTCTGTCTCCGGTCTCCTCACCGACAAGGCCTTTGAGTACATTGGGAAACATGCCAAGAACCTTGGGATGCTGTCAATAGCGTTTGCTGGGGACAGTGATCTGATGCTTCATCACTTGTTGTCAGGCTGCAAGAAGCTAAGGAAGCTTGAGATAAGAGATTGCCCTTTTGGTGACACTGCGCTACTGGAGAACGCTTGGAAACTGGAAACCATGCGATCCCTTTGGATGTCTTCATGCTTTGTAAGCTTTGGTGCTTGCAAGCTTCTGAGTCAGAAAATGCCAAGGCTCAATGTGGAAGTCATTGATGAAATGTATCCTCCAGAGACAAGACCTGAGAGCTCTCCAGTTGAGAGGATATACATTTACAGAACACTCGCGGGACCGAGACTGGATATGCCTGAGTTTGTGTGGACAATACACAAGAATCCTGAGATTGGAGTTTCACATCTAGCCATAAAGTAAACACTTGCAGCTTCAGTCATTTTTTTTGTTTCCTTTTCAATCTTGAGTTATTGCAGACATTGTTGTGGGAGATTCACCTTCCATATCTTCTCTTGTTTTCACTAGAATAATCAGTGATAGAAGCATTTCATAGCTTGTACTCTGTTAAGCAAAACTTCGTATTTTTGTACTAAAGCTTGGAATAAAAATTGTCACTTTATGAGATTTGTATTCATCAGTTTTTTTTGTGTAACCAGTAAGCAAACCAATGTGTTGTTGATACAAGTGTTCCCTAAGCCAACACAATAACCAAAATACTAACCAGTAGTAAAATATATTTGGCAAGAACTAAACCGGTATCTGAATAAACAGTAAGATTTATCTTTATCAGTTTTCTAAAGAAACAGCCAAAAACAGTAAGCAAACACAATGTGCTGATGATACAAAGGCAACACGATAAGCAAAATACTAACCAGTAGTAATCTATCTTTGGCAAGAACTAGATGAGTATCTGAAATGAAAGAAAGGCTTTCTTGATCTTCTGCACTGTATCTTCTTCATGCGGTACTGCTTCCTCCATTGTTTGATTTCTTGATCTGCTCAAGAAGGTGCTCTATTCTGTATTTCATTACAGGCTGACCATGTTGAGTCTTCCTCATCATTTTCCCTTTTGCTAGTTTCCTCTTGGCTTCGGCCTCTGCTTTGGCTTCCTTCTTCGCCTTAATTTCAGCCTCTCTCTCCATCCTTGCTTTCTCCATCTCTTCTCGTGTCTGCTTGTACACCTCCTCCACGCCGATTCTCTTGTTAGATTTCACCTTCTGCTTATCATCATCACCATCATCATCTACCTTACTGCTACTCTCTCCAGTCTCATCCTTATTATGAAAGTTCTGCTGCTTCATCGACTTCCTAAACTTGCTCACATACTTCGCATTCTTGTAGAACTCTTTTTGCTTTTCTAAATAGAGAGAAGCAAGAGAGAAAGTTAGAGATCTCATTCAATCTTAAGGAACACCCAATGGTTCGCTTCTGATGCTTAACACCAAAAGCATAGTCAATGACTAAACGGAATGTTCTGCTTTCTTCAAATCATCGAACATAAACGTCACATAGACACAGATAAAGCTTGAGACAAACGCAATCCTATTATCATCTTAACGCTAAGATTCCGAAGACTAATTGAAAGTTATAGCCAAAAAGGTGATCTTTTGAAATTGGAGAGGAGAGAAGAAGCTCTTACTGATCTGAGCAGGGTTATAGTGACTGTTTTGGGATTTCATGTTAGCGAAAGTTTGGAGAGAAAGACCACCGCCTCCCAATCTCTTCATGTTCTTCCTCCTGTTCAACCCCGACGACTTTGAGCTATTCGTCGTACCAGTCCCTTGTTCGCCTTTTCGAAAGAAATTCTTCATTGTCGCGTGATTCTTCAAGCTGTAAAACTCGACAATCTGGTTTCTCCCGCGATTTGAGTAACAGATCGAATTACCAGAAAGGGGGAGAAATTACGAACCCTAATTGTAATCGGCGGCGACTCTGCAGTTTGGGTTTTGGAACTAGGAGGGATACTGGGAATCGGGTCGACCTTATTAAAATTATTACGATGCCCTTATAGATTTATTGTTTTTCAGAGAGCCCCCCATATAAACTTATAATTGTGAAAAGCACCACATTAGTTTCGATTTTGATTTTAATGATACTACTGCAGATCAGAATTTGTCGTATTGGGCTATCCTAATGAACAAGCCCATATTGTTGACAACAAAAAAAGAATTCTGAAGAATTGTAAGCCTAATTTAAATGATTTGTTCTGAATTTTTGATTAATATAATCACCATGATATAATTAAAAGTTTAAATACGTGAGTTGTGTTGACCTCAAAAAGATACTCTTGACTATAAAATCTAATGAGATAATGCATTTGAAGACTACCTTGTATATACTTGTCGTTAGTCGTTATCACAGTTTTGAGAAAATATAAAAGATTTTAAGTATAATCATGGCTAGAGAAAGAAAGAGATATTCGCGTGATTTTGTTCCTATCTATCTAAAAATGTATATAGAACAACAACAAGAACAAAAACACATCATTGCTAATGCTAGATTATGGTTGTTTTATAAAGAGTGATCAAACAAACCTAATTTCAAGAACATAGAAGTTCTTAATTACGCCGCCACATCATCATCAAAACGTTGCACTGCATTACACATTGTCACAGCATCGAAAAAGGTAAAAACAACAAAAATTAGGAGTGGAAAGTGGAAACGATGAAGGAGACATCAAAGTGGTGGTGGATTAAAAGTGACAACAACACATCAAATTCCTCTCCGTGGCTCAACTCTACTCTCTCTGGTAACTAAAAAAAAAATATATATATATATATATATTTCTAAGCTTTTCAAATTTTTGGTTTGCTCTGTAATTTATGTAGTGAAATTTTTTTTTCTTGTAACACAAAATCACAGAGCTTGATGCAAAGACGAAGGAAATGCTGAGAGTGATCGACGAGGTTGATGATGAAGCAGATTCCTTGGTGAAAAGAGCAAAAAATTATTACGAGAAAAAGCCAAAACTCATTGCCATGGTTGAAGATTTATACCGTTCTCATTGCTCCTTGGCACAGAAGCATGATCTCTTAGTTAAAGCATCATCTTCACTGGATCCGGACAGACATAACTCATCAACCAGCGACGAGTTACGTTCGGAAGAAACAGAGTCTGAAGTGGATCATGGTGAAGGAGACCAAATTGCTGGATGTGGCGATGATGATGGTGAGACGATGAAGGAAGAGTTGGAGAGATTGAGAGAAGAAAACAGAGTTTACAAGGAGCTGATGATGATGAGAGAGAAGAAGAGTGAAGTGGCTTCGTTGTCTACAAATTCAATAATTAGGATTTGCTTTCGTTTGCTTTTTGCTTCCATTTCAGTTGGTACTTATTTTCGTTTCTCGTTATGCGTTTTTGTTTACTATTTCCTCAGAATTCTATAGGAGGTTTTGGTGCCTTTTGTATTAATACAACTCATACTATTTTATAAGGAAGACGAAAACAGAGTTTGCAAGGAAATGATGAGAGAAAGATGATTGTATAATGCACAGATGAGTTTGATTGATAAGGAAGAGAAGCAAAAGAAACAAACTTAGAAAGAAGACAGATCTTTGTATCGTGTGACAAAAGTAATCCCTGTTGTCTGGTTTCAGCGTTGAACATATTCATGTTTCAGATGATATATTTTTTTATAGAGGTAAAAAAAAGGGACCTGTCAGACCGCCGTGCGACCACCCCGGCAAGGCTAGGCCGAGCCGAGTAACGATCCTCTACAGCACCGGAAGAGTCCGAAGACGATCGTGGCCGTTAATCACGCTCAGATCGCACGGTCATGGTTCATCAACCAGGGTGTGGGGCCTGTCTCCTTAGAAATCAAGGATTCAGAGGTACGAGCCTATAGAACAGATCCTGTTCAAGTAAGGTCGTGACTATGGATGGTCTCTTGCCCCTATATAAACAGCACAACTTATTTCCACGTTACCGATGTGGGACAATATATTTGATTTTAGGGATACAGGGGCGAAGGGCCGAAGGCCCACCTATATATAAAGCCCACACCTAACCTATTGCTCCAGTAGAGAAGAAGACAAATTCTCTAAACCGAATTTGATCGGTGAGAAGACACGGTGAGAAGTCAAGCTACTCTTGTTTTATGACCAACAATTTGTGAATCTAACGTTAAGATCTTTTAGAAAATTTGTCTTGAACATAGATGGCGTAAGGAAGAAGCAAAGATGACAAAACCTTGGATAATTTTTTTCTTTTTTTGGTTAATAAGGTTTTGTGTGTTGTGTGGATAATAGTTTGATAAAAATGAAGAGAAGAGGATTTAGCTAAGCCTGCTTAGCTAAAAGCCTAAAACACAGAGTTTACAGTATTTGGCTCTCGTTCTCTTTACTTGTGGCATTGTCAATGGAAAAACAACCTTCTTTACAATATTGCCCTCTTTTGGCTTAACAGTTGCAATGTCGTCGTATAAAGCAGACACGTCACGAGCAGCCTTGTGGTCTTGAATCTGACGTCATCTTCTTATCTTCCTCACTCAATTCAGTTTCAGCCACCAAAGAGAGAATTTTTGTTTTCGACACGGAAGTGAAGCCTATAGAGCGTGAGACGAAGAATGAGCTCATGGGTTTGCTCTTACGTGACTCGAAACGTCGCAATCGCCGCTAATTCACATCCTTTTTCAGTAACTAAACAGTTTGGTTTTCCGGCGAGAATTCGGAGAGCATCCGTCCCATTTCCGATAACATCTGCGCCGAAATTTCCGTCATTTAAACTCCAAAAGTCTCAATCGTCTCCTCAATCGCCGACCCATGAAGGCGAAGAAGAGTCCGAATCATTCGTACAAGCCCTTAAGATTCCAGACGAGTGGTTGCTCCCTTCAAAGGCCATTGAGGTGCTTTCTCGTTCCCATCAAAATGTCAATTTTAAACAATTCCTCTGCTTCTGGTTTCAACATTTCCGCAACATTGCTTACTCAAATGCTGATTTAGTGTTTCTCTGTTTCTGGTTTAACTTTCCCAAACAATGCTTGCTCAAATGCTGATTTAAAACTTCTCTGTTTTTTCGTTAAAATTTGGTTAATTTTCAGCAAAATTTGACAATGTAGCTTGTTTACTAACAATGTATTGATTTGAAATGTTTGATTAGGAATCTGAATGGTTGAAAGTAACTTTGCACAAATGGTTAGACGATGAGTATTGCCCTGAGCCAACCAATGTGGAGATCAGTAAAGTAGCTGCAAAGTCTTTCTACACTTCATTGCTAGAGAAAGAAACAGACATGGGAGAGATTTTGCTAAAGATGGCACAAGACTTAACCTCCATTTCATACCAAGAAAGCTTCCATGGAGCTTTCACATCAGCAAATGCAGCTATAAATTTGATTGTTGAAAGACTAGAAACAGAAACCAGCCTACTCTAATCTAATCAAGTCTAGTTCCCTTGAATGTTCAAGAACATTGTCTTTGTAAATTATGAATCTATTTGATCAGGTGAAGGGAAATCTAAAGTCTTAACACTTGTGAATCCTCCATCTACGACCAGGTTATGTCCATTCACATACTTTGAATCATCGGAAGCTAAGTAAACCGCTGCGTTCGCTACATCGATCGGTTCACAAACCTCTCCGTTTAACACTCCCGTGCTCTGCACTAGATTGATCAGCTTCGAGTCGTCGACGTTAGGGTAAATCTGCCGCATCTCATCTAACACAAATGATGTTGTGATTGCGAAAGGAGAAATGCAGTTGACTCTGATCCTGTGCTTGCATAGCTCTGAAGCTGTTGATCTCACGATTCCGATAACCGCTGATTTCGAGACGCTGTATGTGTGTTGTGCTAAACCTCCCATCATCCCTGTGACACTCCCTGCACAGATGATGGAACCGGAGTTTCTTGGGATCATAACACGAGCGGCGTGTTTGATTCCGGTGATGACTCCACGGACATTTGTGTTGATCACCTGTAGAACATAAACAATATCAGATAAAACCAACTGTCCCCAAGATTGAGATATTTTAAAATGTTTCAGTACCTTGTCGAAAACGTTGAGATCAAGATTGATGATGCTAGGAGGCGTTTTGCAGGGTATGCCGGCATTGTTGTACATAATGTCAAGCTTTGTGTGTAGGGAGACAGAGAAATCAACTGCGTTGGCAATGTCTGATTCTTTGGTCACATCACAGGGGAAATAAGCAGCGTTTGGGCCGAGTTCTTGTGCGGTTTCTTGACCGAGCTGCGGTTGGATATCGGCAATGATAACTTTGGCTCCATGGCTGATGAAATTCTCTGCTGTTGCTTTGCCAATTCCACTTGCTCCTCCTGTGATGAGGGCTACTTTGCCTTCTAGCTTCCTTTTATAACAAGTCACACAACTATTAGGTATTAGGATTAGCCTTTTTAGTTGTATATGAATTTAGAATCGAAATTATGTCTCTCCTCACTTTTGAATTTAAATTCATGTTTTGTTCTATTTCTGATAACACAGTTGGCATTTTCTTAGCTGGTAGGAAGAGTAAAATGTTTTCTAACTTGAAGATAAGGTTTTGTCGAAGAAGAAGACAAATGAAAGCAAACCAACTTGTAATATCAAATGATTATATTACATATGATAATTCACAAAAGGATCACTTCACAAAAAGATGTTTGATTCATTAACCCCAACGTCCAAGTGATAAGTAAGATTCATTTGTTAGAACATAAAACAGAAAATGTTATTCCAAGGATATCTGTAATCTATCATTGAATTTACTACTTAAAACTTTCAAAAACAAAAACTAATTAATGTGTTCTACCTAATTCGGATCTTTTAAAGCTGGGATTAAGATGAGACTTGACTTGCCTTAAACTTGAATGAGATGATGCCGATGAGGAGATTCCCTTGATGAGGAAGTTCTTGCCCACATACAGTTTCTTGGTTAATGCATTTTTTCTATTTCAGATAAAAGAAAAATTATAACAAATTAGTGTTCCTTGTTAAATCTGCAGAAATGGAGAAGAAGGGTAATAATGGAAGAGGAGCTTGACCCTATTTGAAACATGTCTTGTGTATTGCTCTGAGATAGATTGGTCGTTGTCGTTTTCAGACTTCTGGCTTCGAGTCTTTGAATTGCCTGTGTTTGTCTATACTCTATAGAGTAATATATATGCTATATATGTAATGTAGAGAGAGAAAGAGAGATATACGTAAATATGTGGGGTTTTAGGAGAGAGAGAAAAGTGTGTGGCCTTTAAGGATAGATAGAAACAGAGAGAAAGAAAGGAGAATCTAGTGGGGCTGTGATTGAACCAGTAGAATACTAGCATGCAAGTGTTTTGTAAAAAGTTTGATCCTTATTTTCTGCTAAGAAGACAAATAAGGGAACATGCTATACAAGTTAATTAAGCATGTGTTGATATCATCCCAAAATAAGATTGCAATAGCCTAATAGGCGTTTATTACTTATAATTCTACATGTGTTGATATCATCCCAAAATAAGATCCTGACTCAGGGTATTTGACTATTTTCTGAACCACATATTGTTTTGATATCAATCTAAAATATGTGAAAACATAGTATTTTATTACTTATTTAGTTAACTTCATATAATTTTCCTAAAATACTGATATAGTTGGTATCCTATTCATCGATTTAAATGGAGTTTTCTTGTTTTAACTTTGAGAAGAAAAAAAAAAATTTGGGACGTCAGAAAATAGCCCTTTAAAAAACCTCTAATGGTTGTGGTTGTGTCATGTGTTGGTGCTTGTTATGCGGAGGCTATGAGCTGTCTATTAGTGAATTATATTTACGTATTCACTTATAAAACGTACCTACCAATACCATCTTCAGATGCCGACAGAAAGCTAATAATTATCTATTCAGTAGACAGATGTTATTATCCAGAGACATCTGCTGGATTGCATACGACCAGATTCATTTGCTATCTAATGGTATTCCACCTAATAAGATGTATCTTTGTGTAGGTATTGCAGATTTTTTTTTTTTTTTAAATGATAGTGTTAAATAAAATATAGTTTCTTACAACAATACTACACATTTGCAAACGCGTAAAATCTAGGTAAAACATTGACTTATGTCGTTAAAGTCCAAGCGAAGACTTGCCAAAGAGAAAGGTTCAACGACATGTTTTATGAGAAGAAATTACTTATATGAAGTATGAACAATGACTTCTGTCGTTATTCGTTAAAGTCCATGCTATGTACTGTTTCAAAAAAAAAATTCACATACAATACAACTATACAAGTCACCAATCTTTAACGTACAGATGAGTTCTGTAAACATTCTTAATGTAGGTCATTTGACCGTATGACGATTCTTCGCCAATTTGCATACAAAGAGAACATTAAAAGTTGTTTTCGGATGTATGATGTGAGTCGAATATAAGTAGTTTCGTTATCTTCTAGAAGAAATAAATAAATACGATTCTTTCTTTTTCGAACTAAAAGGTTTAGACTAAAGGCAGAACAATATGGTGGAAAAAGGAGTTTATTTCTTGGTTGAAAAAAAATGGTGAAGAAAATAAAATACTTAAAAGACAAAAATAAAGAAAAACAAGGGGGCATTCGGAGAATTGAACTCCGGACCTCTCGCACCCTAAGCGAGAATCATACCACTAGACCAAATGCCCTTTTGACATTTCTATTTCACTTTAACGTAAATAAATACGAATTACACGTATGTCGAGAATTCTCCTCGACTCTTCGTCTCTCTTCTCCCGCCAATGTGCCCGAGTAAAACGCCGGTTAACTTCAATGGAACCTCTAGGGTTTCTTCTCGGATTCTCGTCTTACTAGGATTGGGCACTTTTAGCTATTTGATTTCTTCGTAGACAGCTTCGAAATTCGAGTTTCTATGGTCAATTATATCGACACCGAAGTTTTCGATTCCGATTCGAAGTCTCCTCCAGCTCCTTCGGATCACAGTGAGTTTCGCGATTACGAATCGTTTCTTCGTCTTGCGAATTACTTTTGTGCTATCCGGATTATTGCAATTTTGAGGTGGTTGATTTACTGTACGAATTTTGATAAAATGCTTAGACGACTGCTACGGATGAACAAAATTTCCTTTCGGAATTTTCTTAGGTTTTGTGATTAATATGATTTTGGGATTAGGTGAGTCTCAAGATACAGAGCCGATTGATGAAGAAATTGAGCTTGATAGCTCGTTGCTTGAAACCCCATTTCAAAACCTCTACGAGGACACGGAGCTCGTAGTTTACGGAAATGACGAAGAGACACTGGACCAGGAACTTGGCGGTGTCGAAGGAGTGGTGGATGATAGTGAGGATGACGAAAATGGAGGAAATGGAAGCGTCGCTGCTGCCGAATCGGCAGTTTTGCGGGAGCGAAGCCCCAAAGCTAAAGCTAGACTTTTGGAGTCTGATGGCTCGAATGATCACGAATGTCAAAGAGGTAAGCAATATCTCTGTGTTGTTATGATGCATCAATTCTCTTGTGTGCAAATCTTGCCTTATTTGTATCTCTTTCTTCAAGGAAATCAAGAATCAAATTGTGATACTGTGATTGGTTTCCAAGGTTCTTTGCCGATGACTGGTGGTGGTCATAGTCCAGGGATGGATTTTGTGGATTCTCAAGAACCTGGAGAGTCAACACAAGCGAATGCGCTTGGCTTTGTGGACCAGTTTTTGATGGACAAAGATTTGGATTTGTCCCCAGTGGGTCACCGGGAAACTAGTTGGAGGATGAAGTCACCGCCTTTCTCAGGTGCGAAAGGACGTCAGTCTCTGGCCAAAAGCATCAAGACTATAAGTCCAACCAAGAAAATGAGAGTCTTTGATTGGGATGGTGATGTCAGTGACTCTCAAAACTCTCCAGTGACTCCGAGTGCAGACTTTACATGCTTCAAGAGAGGAGAAGATCATGTTACCGATGATGATCCTGGAGTGAAGAAAGGATCTTTGGATCCGTGTGAGAGTAGAAAAGTCTTAACTCATCCCACGCAGAGTCTTATGCAGATGGAACAAACATTGGGTCTCTCAGAGATGGATGCTCAGTTGCAGGATAAAGCGTCAAAGGAGCAGTCGGAGCCTGAGGAAGAAGAGTTTATTGACATCGGTATTAGCACTCAGATTGCTGCTGAAGCAATGAGTTCTTTACTGTATGCTCCTTTTACTAAAGTAGAATCTCGTGAGTCAGAAATGAGGGATCAAGTCAGTAATCTCTCTAGAAGGAACAATGATACCATTGAGGGTAGAAACAAGAAGAGAAACTCTACGAGAAAATTCAATACGAAAGAGGCAACGTGCACAAACGTCTCTGCTATAACAAGTCTTCTCAACTTATGTGAATGGAGTCATCCCAGGGCCAAAAGATCACGTCTTACGCAAAGGCATCACGTCTCACCTAGGAAATATTGGGGTGCTAGGTTAGTTAAAGACAGAAGCGAAACCAACACTTGGTCAAATACGTTACGGAAATCATTAAGTGGGACAAGACAAGCCTCTTCTTGCCAATCAGGTGTCAGTAATTTGGATCCATCTCCAAGGAAAATATGTGGCAGAAGTAAAAAAAGCTCTTGCAACAACAATCTAAGTAAGCCATTCCTTAAGAAGGAGATTACGAGGCTTGGAGGATCAGGAAAGGTAGGGGACATCGTGTGGAAAGACTTGAGAAGACGAAGAAACTTGGCACATGTTAGAGTCTTATTCAGCCATAATCTGGATGACGAAACAATCAAGCAGCAGAAGAAGGTTTAATTCCTATTCCTACTTTTTATTTCAGTTTTGACAGTGTAAGTATATTCACACCATATTGGTTATCAAGAATTTCCTCTTTTCTTGCATAGATCATGGTTCGACTGGGGATATCTCCGGCATCTTCCTCGGCAGACTCAACACACTTCATAGCAGAAAGATTTTCTCGGACAAGGAATGTGTTGGAAGCCATAGCCCTTGGCAAACCTGTTGTTACACCTCTATGGCTGGAGAGCTGTGGACAAACAAGATGCTTGATAGATGAGAAGAATTACATCCTAAGGGATAGCAAGAAGGAGAAAGACGGGTTCTGCATGCTTACATCTTTGGCCCGTGCGAAGCAGCATCCTCTTCTTAAGGTCACAAACAATCTATCTCATTGGAGCCTTTGTCAGAGCTTCATGAAAATCCTTTTGTTCACAAAATATCCGAGATCATATAAAGTTGCATTTCTTCACAGGGGTTTAAAGTCTGCATCACTCCCAACATTAAACCCGACAGAAGTATGATTGCTGACTTAGTGAAGTTGACTCAAGGGCAGGTAAGAACAACTCACTTCCATTGAAAGATTTTGTTTTATAGAATCTTGGCACTTAAAGTTCAGACTGGTTACGAGTTGCTTTATCAGGTAGTGGAAATAAGCGAGATACTTGCTGCAGAGGATAGAGAAATTCCAGATGATCTATTGATTCTTTCTTGTGAAGATGATAAGGATTTCTGTCTTCCTCTCATTAATCAAGGTAACCTCTATGCCAATTTAAACACTATGAAGTTAAGCCAAGAAAGAACACTTTTAATTTGTGTTTGTAATGTAGGAGCTGAAGTTTACACCTCAGAGTTTCTGCTGAATGGAATCGTGCTTCAGAAACTGGAATATGACAGGTTTGGTACTGCCCTTATACCACAGATCACCAAATTCAGATACTAGAATCCTATTATAGAAATCGTCAAACACGAAGTCCTTACAATTATTTGATTCTGTCTTGCAGGAATTGTCTCTTTTAAATCGCAGACCAAAGGAACACAAAGTAATTATCAATGCGTCTCCTACTGCTGGTTGGTGCGAGCAATGAGGAATGGAGCTTTTAAATCAAATGTATCATAAATCTGACATGTTTGTTTTAACTTTTAAGAGATAAAAAATACTCAGATTTTCTGCCTTGATCACTCTTATGGATATGATTAATCTACCACATAAAAAATGACGCATTTCACATACATGAATTCTAAACCTCTTCACATAAACTGGATTAGAAAAGGTTAAGATACTGTGCTAAACAAAAAGGTTTTTGGCAGGAGAAATGACTCATCAGACCTAAACTCTACTCATTGCTTTCAGGAGATTCAGCACCGGGGTTGGGGTTTGGATTGTTGAAGTTGCCACCTGGTGGAGGAGCAGCAGCTGGATTTGTATGATAAGGAGGAGGAGGAGGAGGTAGTCCATTATAATTGGGAGGTGGTCCACCACCTTGACCTGGTAATGGAGCCATTCCTGGTGGCCTAAGAATACCATTTTGCGGTGGAGGACCTGGTAAAGGAGCACCAGGCGGTGCCATCATCTGTGGTACTCCTGGAGGCGGCATGTAACCTGAAAAGGGTACAATATTACATCTCACATCAAATAACTGAATGAAAAGAAAGCTGAAGAGTCATGATACAATCTAATATCGATCATGTGAACAAACAGTCTACAATTTAATCCAAAGTTTAGTACCATGTTATGTTTCTCAAATCAGCTATATGGAAGAAGTTCTTTATTCTTTTCTTTTATCATCTAAAACTTTCTAATGTAAATCCGCATAGCAAAGCGAGTTATTGTTTCTAGCAAGAGAAATTACCTTGACCAGGCATCATCATGGGTCTAGGCAGAACAGGAGGTCGCATCCCCATAGGCATACTTCCAGGGGGTGGCATCATAGGAAGGCGAGGTCTAGCGAGCATATGCTGATTAAACATAGCACCAACCTGTTGGAATGCTGCAGTTTGGCCAAGATGCTCCTTGACTCTCTGATCAATCAGACTTTGCGTTTGTTGTTCCTCGAATTGCTGATAGTATATTCTCACATTCGCCTGAAAGATCATCAAACTCTCAACACACATTAACAAAGGTCCTGTATGGTGTATACACAGTACACACACTAAAAGAACAAAAATAAATATTGGACTCTTTAAGGTACCTTGTGTTTGTAACCAGCATTGTGCTGCTTCCTCACTGATGGCTGAAAATAAGAAAAACATAAAAACATTACTGGTAAGAGAAGATGTACAATCCAGTAATGATAACAAAATGCAACCATTTCGTTTATAAATTTCATAATGATTCCCAGTAATGCAAGAACTTGAGCTTAAACGGACTCTAAGCCTCCAAGTTCACTTGAAAATAAAAGAATCAATCGTCTTTAACAATTAATTGAGCTACGCCAATCAAAGACAAGAAGAGAACAAGTGTGACATACGTATATGCAAATAAATAGCATTCTACTAAACTTGAATCCAAATCGGAAACCTAGCCGACACCGCCGGAAATCGATTTCTATACTACCAAGCTTAAGTTCATCAATGAAAACCGCGCAAGTGAAAAATAAACAGGAAGTTGGATTTAGACTTACGGAATCGTGGGTGAGATAAGTGTCGCAATAATCACAGTAATACCTGCGAAAATCAGCATAAAAAGTAATTAAAACCTAATATCGATTATTGAACTTCGTAAATATTTAGGAACCACTAGAACGATGAAGATCTAGAACCCTTTTACCTTGGCATCGTTCAGAAAATTCCAAGAACCCCGCGAGTGAGAAAGACAGAAGCTTCAGGAGCGCGAGGAAGAAGAAAGTGCAGAAAGTCGATTTTTTTCTTTTGCCTAATTTTAATAAGAAGGATGGTTTTCATCCAACGGTCTAGATCCTTTCGTGATATCTGACGGGTATGAATAACCGGAGAAGTATCTTTAATGAAGCGACGCCGTTTCGCACAATGGATATAAGAAAAACAAAAAGGAAGATACCAATTCCCCAGAAAAAAGTTCAAACAGAATTATTCTTAGCAATGATCGGAGATGTCTCCCCGCCGGTAGCTTCAATCCCAGGTTCGTCGGATCTTCTGCTTTTAGCTTACTCTCTACGATGCTATTAATATCGCCATTAGTTTCATGTCAAATTTCGCGGTTCGTGCTAAATCTCGCGTGAATCGAGATTTACTTCTCCGTGTTTTTTTTCCTTCCGATAATTTGGGTGATGGGTCGACGAATTACAATGGCGGAGATTTTTGTAGAATTTGAAGGAAATGCGGAAGTGAGGAAGCAGAAGAATCTGCTCCCGCCATTGTCAGTTGTGGCGTCTCATTTTGGCACAAGCGGATTGTCCGTCGCATTGGCCACCGGCGTGACTCATCCTCTCGGTTAGATTACTGATGCCTTGTTCACTTACAATTTGGAAATGTGCGCATTTTGGTTAGAAATTTGAACCAGAGTAGTATTCGATCCACCATAGAAGAGAAACATGGTGTTTGTAATTCTATCTCTGGAATATCCAATGCCTGCAATCTCCTTTTCTGGAGAGCTACAAGTTTCATACTTGAGTTTATTTGATACGAATTTTTTCTGTAGATAGATGTGTTCTGCATAGGTTTGTAGCACTTGTGATGGCTTTTCAAGTTTCCTTTTAGAAAAGCTTTGTTGGATAGTGATCTCTGGATGCTGTAGAAATATATTCTGGCTCTTTTAGCTGGTCAGTGCATAAGTCTCTGCTCAGATAGATGTATATCACTGAAGAAAATGATTTTACTTCTCTTCATACTTTGCTTAAGCGGTTTCCTTCCGTTATCTTTGTTTCCAGATGTACTGAAAGTAAGATTGCAGATGCAGCATGTTGGCCATAAAGGGCCTTTAATAGGAATGGTAATATTATTTTAGTGAATTTCCTTTCTTGATGATATTTAGGATGTAAAATTTAACTTTTGTTTGCATTCTCTGGAACGTTTTTCAGACTGGAATCTTTGTTCAACTGATGAAGAAGGAAGGGCCTAGGTCTTTATACTTGGGATTGACTCCTGCTCTCACTAGATCAGTACTTTACGGAGGTCTCAGATTAGGACTATACGAACCCACCAAGGTTTCTTTCGATTGGGCATTTGGTTCTACCAATGTCTTGGTCAAGATCGCATCAGGCGCAATCGCTGGAGCGTTTTCCACAGCACTAACCAACCCGGTTGAAGTTGTGAAGGTAGATGAAACCTTAAGAAAATGTTAGATTCTGTTCATTGGAGATCTCTTTCTTGGATTTTAAGATGCATATCAATTTGCTTTTCTGTTAGGTAAGGTTGCAGATGAATCCAAACGCAGTCCCCATTGCAGAAGTGCGGGAGATAGTCTCTAAAGAAGGCGTAGGAGCTTTATGGAAAGGAGTTGGTCCTGCCATGGTTAGAGCTGCAGCACTAACCGCCTCACAGCTTGCAACATATGATGAAACCAAACGGGTCATACTCTAAGACTACGATTGCTCCGCTTTTTTAGCACCATGAAGTGATTACTTGCTGTTTTTTCTAACGTTGCAGCCTCTAAAGTTTCTTGTAATTGCAGATTCTAGTAGAACGAACTTCTTTGGAAGAAGGAATTCATCTTCATTTGTGGTAAAGTTTAGCAACCCTTACTCAATTCATCTTCTTTAAAATCCCCAAAAAAAAAACTGTAGAAACTAACTTACTCTAGCACTTGATGAATGAAGCTCAAGTGTGGTTGCAGGTGTAGTAAGCACGATGATAACCGCACCTATGGACATGATTAAAACCCGTTTGATGTTGCAAGGAGATTCCGAAAGCTCCAAAATCTACAGAAACGGGTTTCATTGTGGTTTTAAGGTATGTTAATCCCTCCCTTAGTATAGATTTTCACTGGGAATTGCTTGCGTTGAACGTTTTAATGTTGTGTATTCTCTGTATCCTTCTTTAGGTTGTTCACAAAGAAGGACCGCTTGCACTTTACAAAGGGTGAGAAAGAGAAACCATTTCTTGGTCCTTGAGGATATAAACATTTTTAACGTTTCTTGTGTGTTTGAATTGACACAGAGGCTTTGCGATTTTCGCACGGCTCGGACCACAAACGATGATCACGTTCGTACTTTGCGAGAAGCTAAGATCACTAGCTGGACTTCACAAAATGTAGCCACTGATCGGGTCTTGCCAAGCTTGTCCGGTTCCAGCTAACTTCTACTCCATTTTTTGTCCACACTATAGGTGAGAATTTTTTTCTTTTCTCACAAAATATTTATTTGTTAGTGTTTAATGTATCTATTTGAATTGGACACAATGCTGAATCCATCATCTAACTCATTTTATGACCAAAAAAGTGATTCTGCTATTTTTCAATTAAAATTAGTTTTTATGCGGTTTGCTATTAATCGGAAACAAAAAGAAAAGGTTTTTTTAGTTGGTATATTCTTATTGTCTTGTGGATCCAGGCTTTAATTGCATCAAGCCTTTGTTCTTAATTATATTGGATAGGCGTTGAAGTGAAATGATGTTTATCCAAATAAAGTATGATACGTAGTAGTGGTTATGTCGAAATCACTTATATATTACATAGTGTGTCTGTGTGTGTCTGTCACTCTAATAATTATACTAGTCTCCATCGCGAAAAATGCAAAATTTTAAATGATTGAATATTAACTAATTATCCAAAGAAATAATACTTATAGATTTGTCATGGTGGAAGTTGGTTGTGGACAAGAATACGCTGGACCTTGTCTGTTTTATTTTGGTTGTTGTTGGAAGAACTACGTAAATTAGACAAACATGCACTTTAAAAAACCTGTAGGGTTAAAACATAAAAGGTGAATAAATCGAGGGGTCTATTTGTTGGAAATAGAAGAAATTTAATTTTGTGGCGTGGAGAAAGGAGCAAGTTGGAGCTGCTCGAGTCTTTGTTTTTTGGTCGCGTTGGCGGGACAGCCTGTCATGCTTATGTTTCGCCCCTCCATTTTACGTTTTATATACGGTTTTGCCATTCTATTTTTCTCTGACTATTTTACCCTTAGACAACGACATTTCGGTTGTGATCCCCTCCCTCTTTCATTATTTTGATTCACGGTCAAACTCTTTTCGCGTTTATCCATTTAAATGTCCTATATTATTAAATGTTTTAAAACGTAAAAGTGAGTAGGGGTTTCGAGATATTAAAAAAAAAAAAAAAATTATGTTGTACAAACAAGAGATTGATACATAGGTGACTCGTATAGTTTGTAACTATGTAGAGTAAACTGTAAACTGGAGTTACTAAGAAGAACAAGATGAGATCCAAAAAAAATCGTTTCATCAATTTTGTAGTCTTAATGATCTTCGGTTCTTCACCCTCTCTTAAAACTCTTCAATATTTATTTGGGCCTTTCAATATATTCTCGTTTTCTATTTTTAGACTTTCATTATTTTTTCTCAAACTTTTTTTAGCCGTTATGTTTTCCGAACTTTGACAAATATATTACTTATACAATATACTTTTTCTTTAATGTTCGACTCACGGGTGAATTTTTTTTTGAACAACCTACAACATTGTTTTTAACGATGTCTTATTCGATATCGACACTTTTATTTAAGATAAACCGTTTCATTTAAAAAAAATGGTTAAAATAATTCATTTGTCATATATGAAAATGTTGGGAGTTGTTAATTAAAGTCAAACCGTACATTATATGAGTTGCTAATTTCTCAACTAATATTAATTTATTTTCTATTTTGAATTACATTATCGACTTCCTCAAAATAATTAAAAATTAAAATATTGTTTATAAAAACTTACAAAATATCATCTAAATTTTGTAATTTTCTTTCCTCTCATCACAGTAGTTATACTGAAAATAGTTTTATACTATTATTTTAATTAGTTTCAGACGTATGTCATTTTAACACTTCGTCAGATCTATTATGTTTGGCCATAAATTTACTTTGATTTCATGAACAAATTTTGATATGTAGAATTTTAGATGATGAAATTTAAATTTATTATTTACAATATATTATCGTTTATTTTTAATAATTTTGTGTTCATTACTCTGGTTATCTAGGTTTCGGATTATATCATTTTTTTATGAATTTAAAAGTGACAACTTCCCTTTTTAACTAAACATAACAAGTTTGACTAGAAAATATATTTGCGAATAAGAAAACAGAGAAAGATACGAGGGTAACGTAGTAATTGTGATTGCATTCCCATAACGAGACAAAACAATCCGAAGTGTTCCCTCGCATCATATAGCCTTGGCCTTCCCTTTTGTACAGCTGTAATGGCAGTACCGTAAATTAGTCGTGACAGGAAGGGCAATTATTGTCAGCTTATAATTAAATTTCTAACTTCTCAAACTCCACCATTTTCTTCTTCCTCTCCTTCATAATTATTGATTGTTTTCCAAAATATTTTTAGAAACCAAAAAAAAATTGTAGAGAGAGAGATAAACAGAGAAAGAGAGGAGAGAAGGAGAAGACGACGAAGACAGGAGAGAGAGAAGAAGGAGAAGAAGAAAAACAAAACATTTTGTCAAGAGAGAGAGAGAGAGGTTGTGAAGAAGGAGAGACGGAGACAACAATGGCGGAAGGGAAAGAGGAGAATAGGGAGAATAATGAAGAAGAAGAGAGCGTTAAGCTTTTCGTCGGACAAATTCCGAAACATATGTCGGAATCTCAACTCCTTGCATTGTTTCAGGAGTTCGCTGTCGTTGACGAGGTCAATATCATCAAGGACAAGATTACACGCGCCTCTCGAGGTTTCTTTCATCTCTCTCTCGTCCTCTGTTTTTCTTTCTTCTTCAATTTTTTTTTGGGATTTTTCGACTTCGGAAGTTTACTAATTCGAGAATGTGGTGTCGGATTTGCGTGATCCGTTGTGTTTTTATGTGAATTTTCGAAACCCTAATTATTTTTTGCTCTCCCGATTTTAGGATGTTGTTTTCTGCTATGTCCATCGAGAGAGGAAGCAGATAAGTTGGTCAATGCTTGCCATAACAAGAAGACATTGCCTGGGGTAAATTATTAATTCCTGACTTTTTTTTTCTCTCTTTACCTTCTGGGTAATTTCTGGATTTGATTGATGTTCTCTTGTTTCCAATAATTGAAATTTTACACATCACACATTTGTTCCATGTCAGGTTTAGAATCTCGAGATTTGTTTTTGTTTTTAATATTTTTCTAATCATTAATCCGTTTTAATTTTATTTTGTCGAACTGCATTGTACTTCTCTTGGTTTTTGTTGATTCCGAAATAGGCAATTTTGTGATTTTATTCTTGTTTCGCACGAAGCATTTCCCTTTCTGTTTTAGGTGAACTTCAATTTTCTTCTGCCTGAATCAGAATCGAATCTTTCGGTTTAAGAGTGTCACTTGTTGGAATCTAATGATTTCTTCAAACCCAAGAAACAGCAATTAATGAGGCTGGCGTTAACACTAGAGAACACTTTGTTTCACTCTTACTCGAATAATGATGTTTGTTTGATCCTTTTCTCTTATGAGAATCTTACAAAAACCTTGCTAAATAGATGATTTCTGCTTGAACACAATGGTTCTTATGATTTATCTCTAAACATTTTTTACTTATGATTGCTCAGGCATCAAGTCTATTGCAAGTAAAGTATGCAGATGGAGAGTTAGAAAGGCTAGGTAACACCATTCTTCAACTTCTTCTACATGTGATTTTTGTTCTCTATGTTGCATTCTTTTAATGTTGTTACATGTTTTTTCTGCAATGTAGAGCATAAGCTTTTCGTTGGTATGCTTCCAAAGAATGTCACTGAAGCTGACGTTAAATCTTTATTCTCCAATTACGGGACCATAAGGGATCTTCAGATTCTAAGAGGTGCTCAACAAACAAGCAAAGGTTCTTAATCCATCTCCTATATATGTCCTGTTCTTTGGTTTCCATTTCCCTTTTCCAAGATTTTGATATTTTGGGTTTTTTTTTGTTTGTTAGGCTGTGCTTTTCTTAAGTATGAGACAAAAGAACAAGCTGTTTCTGCCATGGATGCTATCAATGGAATACATAAAATGGAGGTAATTGCTTTGTTTGCTTGGTTGTAAAAACTTCTCATGTTAGTTTGACATTAACACCATCATTTGCTCTTGTTAGGGTTCGAGTGTTCCTTTAGTTGTGAAATGGGCAGACACAGAAAGAGAGAGACACACAAGAAGACTCCAAAAGGCTCAATCTCACATTGCTAGATTAGCTAACGCTGATCCAACAAACCCTTCATTGTTTGGAGCATTACCAATGAGTTATGCTCCACCATATAATGGATATGGTTATCATGTAAGCAAAGCAAAGCCTAATGTTACTTTTACTTCAAGCTTATATAAAGATTTGTCTTCATCCATCTTGTAGTTGATAAAAATGCTCTGTTTACATTTTCCATAGCATGCTCCTGGAAGTTATGGTTACATGCTACCACCAATTCCAAATGTGATTGCACAACAAAACCAAGGCAATAACAGCAGCAACAACAACAGCAATGCGTTGCAAGGAACCTCGCATGACTCTGTGCCGCCTCGTTTGGCACGAAGAAACTTTCCTCTGCCTCCTCCTGGAAGCTACATGGGCTCTGGCTACCCTCCTGTAAGAGGTCTTGCTTATCCATTGGCTTATCCTAGAGGACTCATGAGTCCTCGTCCTCTAAATACATCTCCTGGATCCTTATCACCTGCCATTGCCAACAGCGGCGGGTTAACACCTTTAGGTCCCGTGGTTCAAACCGAAGGTCAGTGTTTAAAAACCTAAATTCTTTTTTCTCTTCTCACATTCCTTTAGACCTCAAAATATTGTTTTGGTTCTTCAGGTCCGGAAGGTGCCAATCTGTTTATCTACAACATACCTCGGGAGTTTGGAGATCAAGAACTCGCGGCTGCGTTTCAACCTTTCGGTATTGTTCTGAGCGCAAAGGTCTTTGTAGACAAAGCCACTGGTGTAAGCAAATGTTTTGGTAAGCTCTCTTTTTGTCACTGTAAAAGGTTGAAACAATGCATGTTTGTTTGGTTGTTGATGTTGATGATGTTGTTTGGTTTCAGGTTTTGTTAGTTATGACTCACAAGCAGCTGCTCAGAACGCGATTAACATGATGAATGGTCGCCATTTAGACGGCAAGAAGTTGAAAGTCCAGCTTAAGAGAGAGAACAACAATGGCCATTTGAGTAGTAGCTCCTAAGACTCTGAAGCATCATCATCTTTCCTCTCTTCTTCAACTAAAAAAGTTCATGACAGAAAAAAACAAAAAAAGGTCGGGCTAATGGGTCGACCCGGTTCAAGATTTGGACCGATCTTGAATAGATGCATCTGTGTATAAAAAAAATTCCAAATCTCTCTCTCATTGTGGGTTTAAAAAATTATTCCCATCTCAACTCAAAAGCTGTAACGTCCCCTTGAAATGGATCATCTTTTCTTCTTTTTCTCTTTTCCCTTTCCTTTTGCAAGTAACAATTTGTAATTTATGTGTATCATTGAATTTCATCATGTAGACATTTTATGATTCATTAACATTAAATTCATTGAAATTTTTTTCTCCTGTACTTGCTGATCTGATGTTACCGTGCCAAAAACTCAGAGTTTGTTGTCAAGCTCTTACATAAGTGTAAACCATAAAACAAGTTGAAGTTGAGCCAAAAAAAAAACGAGTATAAAACATCAAGCACATTATAAATAGGCAACACTGTCAACGTGTTGGGGTGATAAAGAGAGGCAACAAGCACCTGTGAGTCCAAAAGGGCCCCCAAACTGGGTATCTGTGATTCCGTGGATCTGCACTCTTCTCAAGTCTTTGCTGTCTGTGTTGTAGTAGTAAATGTAGAAAGGAACCCCTTGAAGTGGCAGAGTTGTTGAAGAGAAAATGATTTCACCAGCCTTGTTGGTTCCCTGTGAAGTTACATATTTAGCAATCCCAAAAGAGAAGGGAAGCAAAAATGTTTGCTTGGACCACTCAGGTTTCTTCATATCCTCTAGTATCCACAGATCAAAACTGTTGAAATGTTTCAAAGGGTACTCCTTTACAATGCAAGCTAGCTTCCCTTTGTATTCGATCAACACTAAGTGACCTTCCCAAACCAGGAAATCCTTAGGGGTTGTGATGAAACTTAGACTCTCATGTCTAACATCAAAACACACAAACACCGGAGTGGTTCCTCCTAGTCCTGAAGTCCAAGCACCATAATACAAGAAACCATTGATGCATATTCCCTTAGTCATAGGGTAATGAGGCAAAGAGGTGAATTGCTTGCGGGACACTACTCCTCCTCCTCCAAGTGTTATAACCTCGTGCACTAGAGAACTTTGATTCAGGCCGTTAGGAGGTGTCACTAGTGTCAATGCTTTGAATTGATCATGGAGAGGATCGTATCCCAAGGATGTGCGAGCTCCATTGCATGGAAAGGTGATGGCTTGTCCTGTGCTAGGGTTACATATAGTGAACTTAAAACCATGGCAACAACCGACAAAGCCGTGGACGGAAGTACATTTGGAGCCGTGAGCTAAGGTCACTGAAGGTATTGTCATGTCTAGATTTGCAACCAAAGAAGAAGTTTCATCCCCCTCGTGTGAAGACGAGAAGATGAACAAACGCTCGACATCAACCTTGGCTAGTACGACCTCGGCTAGTACACAGTTGGTGAAAGCGATTATAAACCGTGATCTTGTAGCAGAGGACATAGCGTAGTAAGAATCTACGAAGCTTTGGCTTCGGATGATGGAAGACCAGCTCTTAGACACGCATAGGAACTTCATAAGAGCCTTTCCAGGTAATCTAGTCAGTGTCTCCACCTCCATATCCAAAGGGAGCACCTGTAGCTTACCTGAGCTCTTGTGGTCGCTCTCAACGTTGTCCTCGATACCATCTCCCAACCAAACCCTGGACTGATTGATTCCGCGAAAGAGTTTATTTTGGTGATGGTCTTTTATTAGAAAATGTGTTACCATCTTCTTCAGATCAAGAGGGATCGGTTCCAAGATACTTCGGCTGCTGCTGCTCAACGAAACCCTAAATTCGACCCGAAGAAGCTAATTTGGGGAGATTCAGAGAGAATAGATCAATATTTATACTTGACAATCACCCTGTGGTTATCAAAACAAAAGAAAAAAGAAAGATAAATAAAGGGCCATAAATATAACAAATTATTTTCCTCGGGGAATTCAGACAGATCTCAACCGGTTTGTTTGAGGTTAACTTCTCTCCTCAGACAGATCTCAGCCGTTTGTGTTCTTGTCGGAGCATAAACAAAGGTTCGATTTTGCTTTGAATTTTCATCTTGATGTTTCACAGAGTCTCTTAACGCAGCAGATCATTTTGCAGCAGATCTGATGTTATCGTTAGAAGAAAGATTCAGTGTTTCCAAATCAAAGAAAAAGAAGATCAGAATCATCTTGTTACAAAACCAAACATCACAACACAAACAGAGAAAAACACAAACATGGAAAAGGACTACAACAACAACAGTCAACAGACAGGTTTCAGCCCTTGTTGAACCCTAATCAAACTCACCACCAACATATCCCCTAAAAAGACCCTAACAAATTGGACAACAATCTCTGTATTGATTTACAGACACAACAACCACTTCTCTTCCTTCCTGTTTTTTTCTCTCTGCAGGAAAACTACAATTATACCGTGGCAAATTCAGATCCGGCTTGAATTAGATGATCATTACTTCTTCTTAGTCGCTTTTGCTCGAGCTCAAAGTGTTGTTTTTGTTGTTGTTTGTGGCTGTGAATGATACTAGCGGAGAGCACTTAGGGCTCCAGTCTTCAGAGATACTTGTGTTTGAAACTCTAGCATTGCTGTTGAGCTGACTCAAGAAGCACTTCTCTATCGAGCTCAACGATCCAACATCGTTCTCATCTTCTTGTTTCTGTTCTTCTTCTTCTTCTACTTCTTCTCCGCACTCTGAATCTGTGCCTTGTGATTCACAGCTAACTTCCATGTCTTGAGCATTGTCAGAGTCAGAGTCAGATTGGGAATTGGATGAGTGAGATGGAGAATATCCTTCTGATCCAGTCGCAGTCTCTTCCCGTTCAGCTAGTGTTCTCGTGATGAGTGTCTTGAGCAAGTTCATCACTTGAACAGCGTGCATCAGAGCCGTTAACGGATCTGTCATCTAAGAGACAGGGAAAAAAAACAATAATCAAATCTCAGCAACTTCACTGATTGGATAAAAAAATAGCAAGGTTTGTGTTTTTGTTTTTTTTATTACCTGAGTCATATTAGGAGCAAAAACCATGGCTATATTCCTCGCATTCATCTTGTTAGACTCTTCTTCCTCAACAACATCAGCCATGAGATCAACAGCCCAGTTGAGCAAAGCAGACTCTGTTGGCTTCAGCTGCTTTATGAGCTCAACAGATTCTTCCTCGGTGTTGCAGTTGAGTACTTCCTCAGGAGAGAGTCCGTCGAGGATTCCACTAGGCAACTCTCTAAACCAAGCTTTTATAAGACCGGCCAAGCAATGCACATCAATGTTCTCAGGAACAATTCCTCTGTTTAGCTGGTCTCTTACTTGTTCCTCTTGACTATTCTCAGGATTAATCCTGAAAATCCCTTCAGCCTAATTCATCCACACAAAAAAATCAATCAAAATGCTCTCAAAATTCTGCAAAATCTTGATTTTGGTATCCAATTTTACATACCTTGAGACCTTGTTGAGAGTATAATCTTTCCTGCATTAGTAAGAGAATAGTTGGGACACTGTTCCCTTTCTCATCATAAGAGCATTGCATTGATTCCGCCGATACACCAAACACGCTCACACTGCGCATTTATCACACAAATCTTATTCTAGATTTTGCTAATAATAATTATATAACTAGATCCAGATTAAGATTCTAAGCCTTTAATGCGATATTGAAATGGAGAAATTGAGATCTAAAGTGTTGATTGAATCAAACAGTTACCTAGCACTGGGGACTCGACAAGGGATCTCGACCTGAAGCTCGTGAGGGAGGCCGAGAAAGCCGTGGAATCGATCGAACGTCACGTGAGTGATGTGTCGAACGTTCGTCGGCCAACCAATCTCCATGTTATGAACGGCGGAGGAGATCCCTCCGCCGATTCCGCCGTCGTCTTGCCGATTGTCCACGCGGCAAGATACAACCGATTTACGCAGCGCAGTCAGGAGAAACTCCACGAGAGAGAGCTGCTGATTCTGCTCTTCCTCCTCCTCCTCCTCCACCGCCGATTTTCCTCTCCCTCCTTTTCCTCCGCCGCAGCCTACGCCTTTAGTCACCATCACTAGCCCCGTCATTGCTCACAGAAGCTACGCAGAGAAGAAGAGACAAAGATTGAGAATAACCGTCTCGAACAAATGAAGAATTCGCAGCCTCTCTCTCTCTCTCCGGACTTTGTGGTTCTTCTTCTTCTCTCTCTCTTTGGAAGAAGATGAGAGCGATTTTTGATTTTTGAAGTTCTCGAAAAGGTTTCTTATTTTATTCTTTTTGTTTGATTTAATTAATATTTTTTGTGTTTTTGTGTTTTTGAATTTTGTCTTTTTGGTTGGATTTCAAAACCAACGGCCACTCTCATTTTCAAATTTGCTCTCCCTCTAGGACTATGCTTTTATGAGCTTTTCGCTAATGTTGGCTTTTATTGGAATCACGTTTTGCCCTGTGAATTTCTGTACATCTACGATAATGCCACTCGATGTGGTTGGGTTCTTGGTCTTGGTTGTTGACGTGGCGTTTCATTTATGGATGGGAATCTATTGAGTTCAATCTTTTTTTCTATGTGAAAATTGACATTTAATTATGGATTATATTTTTTGACTAATGTTCCCATTCATCTGCAAGTTCCGTGTACATTTCTTCCCAAAAGCAGACCATCGGAAAATGATGTTCCGTTCATCCTATAGTGGTATAATAGGTCCTCTTTGGCTTACATCAATTCAAACATATTTACGCAAACTGTCAACAAATAAATATATAGTTCTCCAATTCAAATGTACAATTATAAACATTTGATAAACTACTAGTCTAACAAAAAAAAAATTAATATTCCTTCAGTTTATTTTTAGTTGTCGTTCTAGACTTAATTTTTTGTTTCGTTTTAGTTGTCGTTTTCATTTTCCAATATAGTTTTTAGTACTAAATCCATAAATAAACTTTAATATAATGAAAAATACTAAAAGCCATCTTGATTTTTAAGGGTAAAAGAGAACTTTTAATATGTTTTCTTAAAATACGTATAAAAGTTTGGAACGACAACTAAAACGAAACGGAGGGAGTACTAGTTCTTAAACTATTTTGGTGGGCATTTAGAAAAAAAAATACACATGTTAAACTATATTTGTTTGCTAATATGTTTAAAAGGTTATTTTTTTTGTCACCATGTTAAAAAGTTATTTTGATAAGAAATGCGTTACGTTGACTGTATTTATATTTTCTTTTTGTTTCCTAAGTAAAAATTAGGAACCAGAAGTTTATTACCAAAAAACAAATATATATATATATAAGTAAAATGCACATACACACACAAATCCTCCGCGGCTAGGGTTTTTGTTGTGCGATCCGAGATGAAGCCGCCTCCCCAAGATTTGCTTCGGGTGAGTCGATTTTTCATTCGTTTTCAAATTAAGTGAAACTAATTTCGATCTCTTGCCCAATTTGAAAGATGTGTGTTCTTCTTTAGTGCACAATCCCATTTAAAGCATTTTTTATCATGAAGATTTTCTTCATAAATCAAACCATTTATGTAATGCAAAATCTATGTTTAGATTTCTTAGATTCTGCAAACGGCTCATTATATATTATTCGGGTAGTCTATTTTAAACTTTTATATGTATACCATGAATATGCGGCTTAAGCTATGGCAGATCTTTCAATTCTAAGTGTTCATAATTACAAATAAATCTCAGATCTGAGATTTAACGATAACATTTTTGTTTATTGTTCTAGTTGGGACTTATGTGATTTTTTCTATTAATTTTGATGTTTTTTGAGTGCGCGTGAGCTATTATACTTGGAATTAACGTGCAAAATTTGATTGTTGTTGTCAAGATTTGATATTAGTTTTTTTAAGTTGCTTATACATTTTGATATTTGATGTTCTGTTTTCAGACTGTGCTTGAAAAGAAATATTCTCAAGCAAGATCATCATTGAGATCTATCGATACCGGTGATACAGTAAGTACCTTCCTTCTAAATGTTTGATGATAGAGGTTGTGGTGATAATGATTTGATAGTTCTAGTTGGTCAATTGGTGAAGTTACCCTTTTCTATGATTTGAAATTATTTTGTTCATTACACCTCACTCTTTTCATTGTTTAATTGTTTTGCTGTATTTGAGTCATCATTTTGAGATAGCAAAACAAGTTACTAACAGTTAGATTATTTTTTGTACCTTTAACAAAAAAAATTGGTTCATTTAATTGCAATTTATAGTTATCTATTTTTAAGATTGAGAAAAAAACACAAAATAAATCTACACACATTTATAATACTATAATGTTCTTATGGCAAAAATAAAAGCATTATATTTGTTTGTATTTTTAAAAAAGTAGTGGTAAAAAGGTACTATTAAGAAGTTGGGCCAAAATGCCAAATATAAAACTAACTAGGGCTTTGATGATAAGTAAAAGCTGCGTTGGGCTTTGATGAAATGATTTTGATCCCAAAAAAAAGTCACGTGTTCTCTCACGTGATTGTCTTCATCGTTTCGACGTTTCGGAGAAAAAAAAATGTTAGGGTTTGAAATTGTAGCTGATAAGCTCTCGCTGTGTTTATGGCAGAGAGAGAGACTCAGTGTCATCATATCTACAAATTGACCTCCATGTTTATACCTATTTACGTTATGCCACCATGCCCTTAAATAGTTTCTACTTCCGCTTCACCATTATCCTCATTTGTCCTGATTTCTTATCTCCTTCTCTGCCATAATTTAACTCTATAGAAACCACAAAGACTCAAAATTCTAGTCACTGATTGCTCTGTACACCGTAATTTGTCACCGGAAATCAGCTTCAGTCACTGTTGCATCATATAAGTAACCATGATTGGGTTGTTGCAGCCTAACCGTTTGGCAGCAGCTGTGAAGAGTTTGCATTCGCGAAGCTCTCTGGAGATTCATAAGCTACTTAAAGATAGTGACGATTTCTGTATTTGTTATAACCCTGGAGAAGAAGAAGAGTCACCACAAAAGGTGCAGTAACTTCTTTCAATTTCCATTTCCCCTCCATTTTTTGCCTCCAAATGACTGAATTTGAGCTCTTTCAGATTAATGTAGAGAAAATGGTGGAAATGTTACCTCAGCACCTCATGGCAGTGCTTGTGACTGCTGATAAAGATGAAAAGTATGAATATTTACTGCGTGGGATCAGAGTGTTGCAGACATTTTGCGACTTAACACCTCGTCACACTAAACTCGAGCAGGTTCCATCTTTGTATATGTGTTTACAAGCTTAAAAAGAATTCGATTTTATGTCTCTGTAAAAAAGTAATTTAGGAAAATGTCTGTGCATATTGTGATAGGTCTTGCTTGATGATGTGAAATTATCAGGACTGATGCTTGATTTCGTGTTCCTTGTGCTAATAGCTCTTGGCGGGCATAGAAAGGTTCTTTCCCAAAATCTGTTTGTCTCTCTTCTTGTTTCTCTTTCAAGCTGTGATTTTTACGTCTGTTGCTTGTTTCTAGGAAAGCCGGAGTTCAGATTATAGTACATTGTTAGACGCAACAGTGGTGGCTTCGAGTCTCTACCTGTTGCACGGGATAATCTCTCCTAACTACCAAGATCTTGTTCAAGTCTTGCTTGCACACCCTAAGGTATATGACCTTATCGTATGATGTGTGCTGCTTAAGTTATGCTTTTGAGATCTTGTGTGTTGGATTCGTTGATCTGATTCTTGTATTTTCTCATCTAGGTTGATGTGTTTATAGACAGTGCTTTTGGAGCGGTTCACAATGTTTTGAGGTCTTTAAGAGGGAAGGTGATGTATGGACGAATTGATCTACGACCGAGAGTTGTAAGCTCAAAAGCTGTAGAGGCGATTATCGTCCACTGCCAACAAGCTGAAGCTGCTTTGCAGTTCCTTCTATCTCTATGCCAACACAAACAGTTTAGAGACCGTGTCGCGGAAAGCAAGGTTTCTCTATGGCTTGCTTCTTTCAATCTTGAGATGCATCAGTTTGTAACTCATTATGATAAAACTGATATTGTTGTGGAGAACGAAACTCAGAATTAGGGTTGCTGGTATTCTTCTTTCAGGAGCTATGTGGAAATGGTGGTGTACTTATGCTAGCTCAATCCATATTATCTCTGACTGTTGTAGTCGAGTTTGTTAGAGCACCCGCAATATCACCTTGCGTATCTAGAATGAAAGCAAAAGTCCTTTCACTTGTAAGTCTATCGAAACTCAGACCAGTGTTTCTCTATTTACTGCCTGTAATTCATACCAAAGTTCATGTTCCTGCAGTTGCAGCATCTGTTTGAGGCGGAAAGTGTCTCGTTCCTTGACGAGGTGGCAAGAGCAGGAAACATACAGTTAGCCAGAATTGTTGCCGCAGAGGTTTGTCCTAATATGAGAAACTCCTTTCAGATTGACAATCTTGCGGTTTTCGATGCCATGTAACATCTAACTAGTCATAGATCAAGCCTCACTGCAAAAGACTCATCAAGCCTTAAATTTCATATGCTGTTAAAAAATTGCATTTTGAAAGTTCTAATTGTGAAGTTAGTGTTGACCTGTTTAGTGATGCTATATCTGTAATCTAGGTTCTTGGAATATTGAGGGGTGGCCTTTCTAACGCTACCAAGGCTAGTGCTCCTTTTGAGTATCCAATGGGTTTTGTGCTCCTTAACGCTCTGCGCTTGGCTGACGTGCTCACCGATGACTCAAATTGTCGACGGTTTTTCACAGAACATTTTGTAAGTATTAAATACACTCCTCACTACGCGAAAACTCTTGCTTTATTTATTGTTTTGGCACATATGATTCTCTATCCAAGATACAATCTACAAACTTTCATTGCTCCCGGTTCTATCAATTTGCAGTACTGAAAATTCTATGATTTGATGTTTGACCGATGTTAAATCTTATCTACAGAGTATGGTTCTCAGTGCTGTATTTTGTCTCTCTCATGGAGATTTCTTGTCACTGCTGTGCTCTTCTGATCTTCCTAAAAGGGAGGATGATGCGACACTGGATTATGATCTGTTTACTTCAGCTGGATGGGTTTTGAGTGATATTTTACCTGGTAGTCAAGTAGCCGTACCTCAATTCAAGCTTAATCTTCAAAATAATCTCACCATGTCTTCGTACGCACATCAAAGAACATCCTTAATTGTTAAAATCATGGCGAACCTTCACTGTTTCGTCCCTGAAGTCTGCCACGGTGATATTTCCTTTTTCCAGTTACTGCTTTCTTCGTTTTCGATATCATATTGTTTGACACGCCTTTGTTTCTCACTGTGTGTATTTTGCTGTTGAAACCCGCAGAAACGGACAGGAACCGTTTCATTGGGAATTTTGTGAGTGGATTGCGAAAGGATCCTTCAAGCATATTGGCTAATATATTGCCATATTCTTCATATACTCCAGAGGCACAGAGAGGCACTGGTGTTTGCAAAAATCTACGTGTGTAGCACATTTATCCCGAGACATTACTATTTCTTTGTTTTGGGGATTTCGTTATGATAAATCTATTTGTATTTTGTAGGTTCTCTGTTGCGCCATGCACAATCCTTGATCCCTACTGCCCTCGACAACGAAGATTTCGTCATTTTTAGGTGACATAAACTCTCAAACATTCTTCATTTTCACTTATAAAAAAAAACAAAAGAATCCTTTTATAGTTCCCGAGCTGTGCTGTTTTGTATTCTCACTGATACATATTTTGTTCTTGTTGTCGTCTGCAGGGTGTTCTACGATCAGTTAGAACCACTAATCTGTTCTGAGTTTAAGGATTGTCAAGCTCAGGTGAAAAGCTTTTTTTTCTCTATCATGATTATATGTTTAGTTACACCTATACAAGTAACTGTAACGAATGTATATCTTAATTTCTTTGAAAGATGTCTTATTTTTCTAGTGTTACGTTGTATGTTATAGGATATTCAAGGTGCGGGATGGAATTCGTCTGGTAAGCAGCTAAGAAAAGAGCCTCTGAATCTTAACGATGTGGAAGCTTTAGAGAATTCTGATATCCGCGTGGAAGGTGCGGCGGCGACGACAAAGCAAGGCGTGAACGAGGAGCTGGAACTAGCTGAACGGTTGAAAGAGAGCGACCTAGATGGTAGCAATCTTGAAACCAGTGGCTCAGATTCGAGCTCCAACAGAGGGAAGAGCATGGTTGATCGGGCTGGAGATGGAGAGTTGGTCCATAAAGGGAGTGCGTCGGGAGAAGTGAAGGAGTCTGAGAGAGCTGATGGCTATCTTGTCTTTGAGACGCAGAGGAAGAAACGTAAGCGTAGTATTATGAATGATGATCAAATGGCCATGATCGAGAAGGCGCTTGCTGTTGAACCTGAAATGCAGCGAAACTCGGTTTGGGTACAGCATTGGGCCGATAAGTTGAGTCAAAATGTGAGTTCAAGATTTCTTCTCTTTTCAGTTTCCAACTTGAAATGCGATTACAGACTCTCGAGCTTGTTGATGTTGATGATGCGATTTTTTTGCAGGGTCCTGAGGTCATTACATCATCGCAGCTGAAAAACTGGTAACTACTTGCTGTTTTCTTACTCTGCTCGCTGCAAAGAGAGTCTTGTAATCACTGTTTCTGGATCTGACATTGATTGTTGATTGTTTGGATCTCAGGTTGAATAACCGAAGAGCCAAGCTAGCTCGAGCAAATAAGAATTCGGGACTAGTTCGTGATAATAACAGCTCAGGGGATTTAGCGGAGAGTCCTGGAGATGAAAACAGTTGGCAGCAAAAACCAGCAATACCATTTATAGATTTAGCTGCTGCATCATCGGAAGGGCTGAAGCAAGGGCAACAAGTGATGCTCGTGGACGAGAGAGGAGGCGAGATAGGGAGAGGAATGGTGCTGAAAACAGACGGTGAGTGGTACGGTTTAAGCCTGGAGGCAAGACGGGTTTGTGTGGTTGATGTAATGGAGCTTAGTGTGTCGTATGATTGGAGCAAAATGAGCATCCCTTATGGATCTGATGATGTTGGGAGGACTTTTGGAGAGGCGAACTCGAGGTTTGGAGTTATGAGAGTGGCTTGGGATGTGAACAAGCTTCGGTATCAGACTGTTTGATCTGTAGCATTGACTTTGATCTGTAGGTTTTTTTGTTTTGTTTTTAACTGTTTAGAGATTCTCATTTCCTCCCTCATTGGTCTTAATCTGAAACATTCTCTGTTTATTGAGCTTTGTCTCTCTCTCTCTCTCTCTCTCCTCTGTCTGTCTGTCGGTCTCTCTCTCTGTTGATTTTACAGGTAAAGGTTGAGACTTTGAGAGTAAATAATGAAGATAATAACAGACGGAAGAGTTTGACTTTTCTCTCCTTTAGTTGACTTAATGGCAATGCTATTTAAAGTAAAGAAATTTACTTTTTTTCGGAATTTAAGGAGATAAATTTAAGAAGTAATCAATTGACGGTTTAGACTTTAGACAATGAATTCCATAAGGAGTTAATGACTAATGATCACTAGAATATTCAGAAATAGTACCTATACTATCTTTTTTTATGAAAAGCATATAGACAATTCTTTGAAAACTATTTGAAAAAAGTATATATTCTTTGAAAAGTAAAAGAAAAACTGAAAACGTGTTCAAATTATTAGAATTTGTCTACATTTATGTGTCTTGGATGTTGTAGGTTGTAACGCCTTTAAATGGCATAATGAGAGATAATGATGTTCAAATTTTTGATTTCGTCATTAGTGTTAAAGTAAATTTAATAACTTCATTTCAAAACTGAGGAATTCAAAAATGTACTAATGGACTTCATTGTACCTCTAACAACATACTGATAAAAACACATTTTGAGGAGTGATCGACTCAAAATATGATATTTAGAACACTTTCGTTTAAACTTCTTTGTCTTTTGGTGTAAAGTAAAATATTTAAATTACATGCCGAGGGGTGTTCTCGGCTTTTCACAGACCAATAAAGCCGTTGACTAAAGAAGAGGACTAAAAAGTACAGCTCAGCACAAACGCCTTTTCTATCCGCAGAAAACTGTGTCCTCGAAAATCCGCCGGAGCAGCATTTTTAATTTATTTTTCCTCATTCTACTAAAAAAAAAAAAAACGGGAAAATAAGAAAGGTTCACTTGGGGGAGGGAGAGAGGGAGAAGACAGAGTCCGCCGTGACCAGCCACCGTCGTCCGCCGTAAAGTCTCACTCTTCCGATCTGAACTTGCTGTCGAAGCTCTTTCACCAGTGCCGTACCGTGGTCTTCCTTCTTCGATTCGCTTTCTAGATTTCATTTTCCTCTTCCCTTGGTTCCAATTTTACCGTTGCTGGGGCGATTTCTACTCGCAAAGTGGTCTCCATGGGCACGAAACCGTGGCTACATCCAGCTCCTCAGTACAAAACCCTAGAAACCTTCTGGGACGATGATGACGACGCTCCTGGTCCTAGATGCGCTCATACACTTACGGCGGTTGCAGCTACCAAGACTCACGGCCCTCGTCTTATACTCTTCGGCGGCGCCACTGCTATCGAGGGTGGAAATTCTTCCGTACCTGGGATCAGTAAGTAGCCTTAATTGAATTTGAATTTGAATTTCCAGATTTCAAATTTTTGTTTTTTTTTTGTTTGATCTGGAGTTACCTAATGCTGATGGTTTGTTCTGGTTGTGGTTTGTTTTCTAGGGTTAGCTGGAGTGACCAATACGGTGCATTCTTATGATGTTCTGACTAGGAAATGGAGAAGGTAAAAGAGAGACATTCTCTTCAGTGTTAAGATTTTGTTGTTTGGTTTACTGTTTTCTGAAGAATCCTAATTCCGGAATTGTGCAGGCTTAAACCGGCTGGTGAGCCTCCGTCTCCGAGGGCTGCTCACGCTGCAGCTGCAGTTGGCACCATGGTTGTCTTTCAGGTAATTTATCGATCATTTATTGTTTCTTGCAAAGCGCAAATTTTTGAAAGGCTTTTGGTCAGTTTTCAGTTAGCACTGTCCATGTATGACACTTACTTATGTTTGTCTAATTAAACAGGGTGGCATTGGCCCGGCCGGTCATTCTACTGATGATCTTTACGTTCTTGACATGACTAATGATAAGTTCAAGTGGCATAGGTGAGCGATCCTTTACGAATTTCTCACTTCCGTCACTCTTGTCTGTTTATTATATTGACGACAATATTCTTGCATTTAATGCGTTTTCAGGGTGGTGGTTCAAGGGGAGGGTCCAGGCCCTCGCTATGGCCATGCTATGGACTTAGTTTCTCAGAGGTATCTTGTTACAGTCACCGGAAATGATGGTAAGAATATTTCTGTATATATGCTGTTGGGTTACAATCTGACATTTCATAAGCCTAGCTTCAGGAATTCTGTTTACTCGTTATAGGCATCAAATAGCGTAGTCATACAAATTAGAAAACAGTTAAACCGTTTTCCTCCACAAAAGGCACTGTCTCAGTCAAAATCCTGATGGACGGACGATGATACTGCTAATTAGATGTGTATATGCATTTTTCTTTCATCCTTACATTGTATTTATATGGTTGTGATACTTTCCTTGCACGGAATAATGTGTAAATGTTTTTACATGGAAACTTTTTAGTTTTCACTATTCTGTTTATTTCTCAAGCAAATGTCCTGAATTTTTTTCCTTCTGTGTATGGAATAGGGAAACGAGCTCTCTCGGACGCTTGGGCGTTGGATACAGCTCAGAAACCATATGTATGGCAGAGATTGAGCCCTGATGGTGACCGACCAAGTGCTAGAATGTTAGTTATTTAGTTCATTTGAGTAGCTACAGTAGAACATCTGTTTCTTCTACTAAAATTTCATATTTCGATAGGTATGCTAGTGGCAGTGCTCGTTCTGATGGCATGTTTCTACTCTGCGGTGGAAGAGACACCTTGGGGGCGGTAAACTTCTCTTCTCCATAATTCTTTTTGTTTGTTTGTTTAGGAATCAATAGACTTCTCTTTCGAGGATAAGGATTAATAAGTAACGTGTATCTCCATTACTGGAACTTGAATTCTTTTGCTAGAAGATCTCAACTTTAAGATGCTTATCTCCTTTATCAATTCCGGCACATTCCCTAATATGTATGTGCATCTGCAGCCACTAGGAGATGCTTACGGGTTACTAATGCATAGAAATGGTCAGTGGGAGTGGACACTGGCTCCAGGCGTAGCTCCTTCTCCAAGATATCAACACGCCGCGGTAAGCCAAATCTTACTCTAGTTTCATAACGTATGAGTTTTTGAAGTGTCTACAATACTGCACAATGTAACGCAGAAGACTGCCTTTTATAGCCATAGAAATTGAGTTGACTCTTATTTGCCTTAAAAATAAATTGAATTACAATACAGTGCTATAATTGTAGCCACTGCAATGCGTTCATTGATTGCTTCTATTATCAGGTTTTTGTAGGTGCAAGATTGCATGTCAGCGGAGGTGTTCTGAGAGGAGGCCGTGTAATAGATGCAGAAGCATCTGTCGCAGGTAATGTTCAATGGCTGTTTTCCCTTGAAGTAGTTCTAGTGTTCTATGTGATTATCTTTTATTTTTGCAATCTTGATTTGGTTTCACAAGCCTCTCCTGGAGATCGTGGTCAATTACATAGAATGCACTTCGAATAGAAAAGCTGGGTTTTACTCCCTCTTTTCCATTTTTTGTATTGGTAATAAATATAGTATCTTTCTTCTCGCAGTGCTTGATACTGCTGCCGGTGTATGGTTGGATAGAAATGGGCAAGTGACTTCTGCTCGCGGCAGTAAAGGACAAGTCGATCAAGACCCGTCTTTAGAACTTATGCGACGCTGTCGCCATGGTGCTGCATCAGTTGGCATCCGGATCTATGTACATGGTGGTCTTAGAGGAGGTAATCCTGATAGTTTTTCTTTTAATAAAACAAGAAGTTTATGTCGCAAATACATATGCTTTACTTCTAAGGTTTCACGTAATTTTAGCCTATGTCAAGTTGATTCTTGGGAAGCTTTTTGCGACACACTTCCATTTCTCTTATTTCAGTTAATGCCTTTCTTTGTATAAAATATTGCTGTAATTTTATTTGCTTGCAGATCTATTGCTTGACGACTTTCTAGTCGCTGAAAATTCCACATTCCAGTCAGACATCAGTTCTCCTTTGTCAGCATCGGATAGAATCCAACAAAGCTCTACTCCCAGGTTTTCTTATGCCGCACGACCTCCTTCAGGCTCTGAACCAGCACTCCCCATGTCCGAAGGACTGAGGTCTATCCCGTTTCTTACACTCGTTTGGTTTTTTCCTTAACTCTATCTAGTTGTTCAAGCGTTACATTTTTCTCTTTTCTCTGTTAACAATATCAGCTTGGACGAAGATTCCTTGGAAAAATTGACGGAGGCTTCTGCTGCTGAAGCAGAGGTAGCAAGTTCTGTTTGGCGAGCTGCACAATCAGAATATGCTTCTCTCGATGTAGAGCCCTCTACATCTGATGCCAGCTCGCCAACAGTAGAAACCACTACTGATGGTCCTGAAACTGAAGGAGATGTCCGGCTTCACCCAAGAGCTGTATGTTAATCCCTAATATAAAATTTCTCTTCGTTTCTATAGTACTTTTAGAGAATGTATATGTCTTTCCAACCTTAGATATATTCTGTTACTTAGTTTGGGATACTTCTCAACATATTATATGCTTTGAGTTGATGTTATATCTAGTCTTGCATCTATTTGATCACCAAAAATGGCCTTACTATCTCGTTTTATAGGTTGTGGTAGCAAAGGAGACGGTCGGCAGTCTGGGCGGCATGGTGAGACAGCTAAGCTTGGATCAGTTTCAGAATGAAAGCCGGCGAATGGTTCCCATGAATAATAGCGACGTGCCACAACCCACCAAGAAGTTCACGAGACAGAAATCTCCTCAAGGCCTACATAAAAAGGTATGATTCCTTCTGGACACTGTCGTCACATTTAATATCTATCTACTAATAGGTTGCTGCTTGCAGGTCATTTCTGCTTTGTTGAGACCTCGAAACTGGAAGCCTCCTGGCAATAGGAAGTTTTTCTTGGATTCTTACGAAGTTGGGGAACTCTGTTATGCTGCTGAACAAATATTTATGCATGAACAAACGGTTCTGCAGCTAAAAGCTCCTATAAAAGTATTTGGCGATCTTCATGGGCAATTCGGCGATTTGATGCGGTTGTTTGATGAATATGGATTCCCCTCAACAGCAGGGGATATCACGTAAGTTTAAGCAAACAACTTAATGATTTTAGTTTTGCTGAAAAATAACCACTGAACCATTGAAACGTATTTGCCTCAGGTATATAGACTATTTATTTTTGGGAGATTACGTTGACCGGGGACAACACAGCCTGGAGACTATATGTCTTCTGCTTGCTTTGAAGGCAAGACGGTGCCTGATTTCACATCACCCATATTACTAGTGTCATTTAAATTGTTCTTATGGTTCTGAGCTATTATTCTGCAGATTGAATATCCGGAGAATGTTCACTTGATTCGTGGAAATCACGAGGCTGCTGACATCAACGCACTATTTGGTTTCCGTCTTGAATGCATAGAAAGAATGGTACATACCTCTATACAGAATATATACATTGTCTTTGTCTTTGGCTTTTTCTGCTTGGACTAATCCTGGTCTGAACTACTTTTACCAGGGAGAGAATGATGGGATCTGGGCATGGACAAGATTCAATCAGCTTTTCAACTATCTTCCCCTCGCCGCACTCATCGAGAATAAGATCATATGTATGCATGGTGGAATTGGGAGGTCAATCAGTACAGTGGAGCAGATCGAAAAAATCGAAAGGCCCATAACAATGGACGCTGGATCCCTTGTTCTAATGGACTTATTGTGGTAATACGTTCTATCTGCTCCTACTTAAAAAATCAATCACTATTTCTTACATCTCAAGAAGTCATAGCATAGTTTTTCCCATGTACAGGTCTGATCCTACAGAGAACGATAGTATCGAGGGATTGAGACCAAACGCCAGAGGACCCGGTCTTGTCACGTTTGGGGTAAAACACCTTCACTTATCGTCTCTTTTCATTAATACCATTCTTTTGGGGGCAATCACTGAGGGTGTAAGTGTTGATATTGCAGCCTGACAGAGTCACAGAATTCTGTAAGAGGAATAAACTACAGCTAATTATTAGGGCTCATGAATGTGTTATGGACGGATTCGAAAGATTTGCGCAGGGACAGTTGATTACGCTTTTCTCCGCCACGAATTACTGTGGTAAGGAGAAACAATATTGTATCTATGTTTGTGTTCTTGGATATTGGCTTGAAGTAAAAAGCGTTTGTGTTATTTTTCAAACAGGAACTGCGAACAATGCGGGAGCCATATTGGTGGTTGGCAGAGGATTGGTGGTTGTTCCTAAGCTGATTCATCCTCTTCCACCTCCCATCTTGTCTCCAGAGAATTCTCCTGAACATTATGGAGACGATGCTTGGATGCAGGTAACAACATCTGTTTCAAGTTCATATGGCTCTATGTTTTGTTGTAGCTAAGAATCAGACACTGAACCAAAAGTATCTGTTGCAGGAGCTGAATATCCAGAGACCGCCGACGCCAACACGAGGCAGGCCACAACCAGATTTTGACAGAAGCTCGCTTGCATACATCTGAGTCTGATTGCATTCCTTTCTCTTTCTTTTTTTTCTTCTTTTTCCAAAACAATTCATGAAGCCAAGTCGGAAACAATCAAGACGTTTGATTTTGGTACAACTCTATACAAGTATAGCAGGATTTGCGTTTAAATTTTTGCATTGTTCATATGCTCTATCGCACATGTGTAATATATAACCTACTGTATCAAACAATGAGAATGGTGGTATAGTACCTTTTCTTTTGTTTCTTCCCTCTTTTGTCTGGTGTGAGATTAGGACATAATTGGACAATATATATAAGCAACATGAATAAAAAGCCCACAATATTTGGATGGGGTACAGATACAAACAAACTAGGAATCAGTAAACATAAAGTCATACTGTTTTGACGAAGTTAATGTTTATGTTTCAGAGGGCACAGAAAGCATGGATACTAGATTGAGCTTTACGTCCAGCTTCTGAGTGAAAGAAGGTAAGGAAGTCGTCATAGTCAAAGGGTTTGAATATTCGTGGATGTTCTTCGTCGATAAGTTCTTGTGGTGAATCAATGATAAATCCTGATTTTGGAACCGAGAACAGCCCAGTCGAATACCTTGTTTTCTTTTCGGTCATCAGGACTCGGTGATATGGAGAAGACAATCGACCATTCAAGAATGCCTGCAACATCAAAAACTTGATTATTTCTCTATTTAAGAACGTGTGTGTAGGAAAATGTTAGGACTTACACATAGAGAATCTCCGACCATAACGAGGAAAGAATCTTGAGATGGTTTCACTTTGATCCATTTTTTGTCTTTGGTCTCTACTTCTAAACCATCAACTTGATACTGATGAAGTATTGTGATGATGTTCTTGTCTGTATGAGAACGTAAACCTATCTTTGTCTCTTCTACATCATCATCATCAGGAGGTGCTGTATAGTTCATCATTCGAAGAAGATAATTTGTAGCATTCAGATGTTCATCAATGTATTTCTCTATCCCAAAACTTTCCATTATCATTCTTCTCACCATCATATCCAATTCTGATAATTGCTCCGAAAACCGGTGAATCGTTTCCCTAATTCAACACAATATTTGAGGGTTTGAATGAATGTTTCAATAGAAAAATGAAGGAAAAAATAGCATATTTTTTTAATGCAAATAAAAAAACTAATAAGGTCTCTAAATTATTGACTACACATTGATACCTAATTTTCTTGTTTCCATGGTCAGGCCATATCTGTTGAGTGAAGTCGTTGACTTTCTCCAAAACATTAGCATCATCGATCCCCAAACTCTGGTAAAGATTATGACAAAGATACCCATGGAAGGGTTTCGACGACACGTTTCTCTGTTTGGTCTCAGTGGGCAACTCGAAAAGCTCTTCCACGGCTTGAAAAACAGACTTCTTGAGCTCCGTTGACACTTTTTGAAAGGAAGCTTCGAAGCAACCGTAGTCTTCTAGAGCTTTACGGACATCAGTCTTCACTTCCTCCCACTTTGAGCTTCCTGGTTTTAGTGTTTGGTCAGAGAAATCAATAACTGGGAGCTGAAAAGAAACATAAAGAGGAGGAACAGAAGAGGAATCTGAATCCATTTCTTGATTCTGAAAATTGAGAGTCTTTTTTCTTGTTTTTCTCAAAAAAAATTCTTTAGTGGAATCGAAATCTGAAAACTAGTTGTAGTTAGTTAATTACTATTGCGTTCACCGATGGAAGCTGACTTAGCTGTTACGCGTAGCTGTTTATTAATAGAAAATTGAGTGATAATTGCGTTTGTTGACAATTATGACCACCTTTGATAATACACTAACGTTACGCTGGAAGCTTGCTGCGTATAACAACATATGTCACTTATACAAAAAATGATGTTTTAAGCATTTAGTCAAAAGAAAGAAAGTAGTTTCGGTAGAATGTCTCTTTCTAAGAACTGAAATTGTTCATAGGAAAAAAAGACTTAAATTAGTGGGCGGAGCACCTTTTTCCTTAACACTCTATGAAACTCCATTTTATATGGTTGATTACCATGTTAACGGTTTGCATTACACGCTCTTCTTCCAAACCGATCGATCACTGACACCACACGTTGCTTAAGATTTGTTTAGACGATTTGGTCAAATTAGGAATACGTTCATTTCATAATTGTACTAGGATTATATTAATATGTTTATAATTAAGCACTACTCCCTAGCTAATCCCTAGGTACATGACGTGAAATACACAACACATTTCTCTTCAAATAACACTAGATGTTTCTAAAATGTTTAAATTCAAGAAAATGTAAATACAGTGTTTTTTTTTACGTAATTTGGGGAAGAAAAAAATACACTAGACATAAAGAAACTTACTTAAGAACACGCAAGTGTAGAAAAAACCAAACTTGAAACTGAAGTAAAGTGTTCATTTTCCAGTTTTCCAAACAAAGTATTTTGTATGTATTTCACATTCAACCAAAAAAAAAAAAAATTGTATCGGTCGAATTAACCTAAAGACAATGTGTTTGATATACTCCATGGTTGTGCGGCGAGATTATCCCACACGCAAAATCACTAAGTTGTGTCAAGACAGAGTCCATCCAAGTGGCAAGCTCATAAGTGGAATCGTTGTTGCTCTCTTCACCATTACCTTTATCATCACAAATTTTCAGTTTCTTTTTTAGTGGCTTTAGCTTTCCCCATAAACCATGGAAAGTTTAATCATCAAAGGTCCAACCTCTCTTCCCCCCCACTGAAAAATTCCTCTTAATGGCTTTATCAATCACCTTTTAGGAAACGAAAAGCTATCCTACACATTTCAAATAAGAATATTGGACAAGAATAAGCTAAAACTTTTCAAACATATATAAGAGGTCTACGAAACTCGTCTCCCTTCTCATATGCATTCTTCGTTCATAATTTACGGAGAAGTGAGTGATAGCTATATAACAAAGCATGACATGTAGACAAGTGGGCTTAAACTATAACAGTATTCGAAAAGCCCAATTAGGCCCAATACTTCAAATCCGGGTCATTTCACCTTCAACCAGATTTTGACCCAACTTCGCTTTACAGCTGAACCTTAATTGCATTTTACTAATGACCAAATCATAAACATCCACGTGGCTAATCCAAGACTTAATTTTAATTAACAGTCCCGTTGAAAAACTTGAAATCAGATTTCATTTTCCTCTCTCAGCCGAGGAATCAATCAGAATCGATCTTATCATTTCTATTTTCGCGGTGATGATTTTGTCTCGTTGATCAATCATTTCAGTGACAGCCAAATCCCGCCGGAGTTTCTTCCCGCCCGCCGGTCGATACCATGCCTTTGCCGATATTCTCGTCGCGGTTACAGTGTTCGTCTTCGTATTCGTCGCGATCTTCGTTTCCTCGGCCCAAGCCACGGATCGATCCTAGCTCGACCTTAATCCCAGGCTTATCCAACGATATCGCGAGGCTGATTCTCTCCTCCGTCCCTTACCCTCACATCTCTCGCCTCAAATCGACCTGCAAATCATGGTACGCTTTCCTCTCCTCCAAAACCCTAATTTCACTCCGCCATAGACGAGACGGCAACAACAGCAACAACACCACCCTCTCGCAACTCCTTTGCATCTTCCCGCAGGATCCTTCGATTTCGCCTCCGTTTCTCTTCGATCCCGTGACTCGCTCCTGGCGATCACTTCCCCTCATGCCCTGTAACCCCCACGTCTACGGTCTCTGCAATTTCGTCGCCGTAGCTCTCGGACCTCACGTTTACGTCCTCGGTGGATCCGCTTTCGACACCAGGTCTTTCCCTCTCGATCGTCCTCTGCCTACTTCTTCCGTATTCCGTTACAATTTCGTGAAATCGATTTGGGAGCGGCTCGCTCCGATGCGGACTCCACGTGGAAGCTTCGCCTGCGCTGCGATTCCTGGCTCGTCGGATAAGATCATCGTTGCCGGAGGAGGATCGCGGCACACGTTGTTTGGTGCTGCTGGAAGTAGACTGAGCTCGGTTGAAATGTATGATGTTGAGAAAGATGAGTGGAGAGAAATGGACGAATTGCCTAGGTTTAGAGCAGGATGTGCTGGTTTCATTGTCGGGAATGAGAAGGAGAAGGAGGAAGATAGAGAGTTCTGGGTAATGGGTGGATATGGCGGATCAAGAACTGTTTCTGGGATTCTTCCTGTTGATGAGTATTACAAAGACGCAGCAGTGATGGATTTGAGAGTGAAAGGTGGTGATAAATGGAGAAATGTTGGAGATATGTGGGGGGAAGGAGAGAGAGCTAAGCTAGGGAAGATTGTCTCTGTTGATTGTGGAGGGAAGAGTGAGTTTTTCATGTTGGATGGGGATTGGATTCTTAGGTACGAGATGGGTGTGAATCGTTGGAAGAAGGAATCGAGTTTGCCGAAGAAAGCTTCGTACGATAAGCCAGTTGGTTTCGTTGCAGTGAACGGTGAATTACATGTTATGATTCTCTTGGATGGATATAGTCTGATGGATGCAAGGCAACAGAGCAATGCTGGATCTTTGATGATTCATGTGTATGACCCGAAGAAGAAAACTTGGAGATCAGTCGTTGCTAAGCCGCCGTTTAATCACCAGCTCGATTTCAGGACTACGGTTATGTGCACCATACGATTGTAGAAGAAAGATTGTGGTGGTTCATGCATGGTGTGAGGTTTGAATGATGTTAGTATTGTGTCGTTTCTTTTGCCATTTACATATCATACCATATATGTCTGTACATGTTGATAAATATGAAGTTTGGATATTCTGTTATATTGTGAATACAAGTTATAATCATAACAATAGATCCTGTAGTAAAGGTTTTGTCATAGAAGAGAAGACAGTTTCCTACCATACCATAAGCAAGAGTGGTCATGGGACAAGGACAAGACGGTCTCTTAACATTGGATTATTGTAGCATGATGTGCTTGTTTTGGGTTATACGAACCAGACATTGGTGAACCTATAGCTTCACATTCTGAATTGTTGCAATCTCATTTGATTTTAATTTTTGTTTCCTATAACGCGTAAGCATCAAAGAAGTTGTGGAGGTTTTGAATAAACAAAAAAGGACAAAAAAAAAGCTTTGTAAGATCCAATTTTAGGCATCTTGTAATTTTCTTTTGGAAGAACAAGAAAACACCCATTTAGAGGTCTTAAACTTTGTAAGATCCAATTTCTATCATCTATCAAATCTTGTTTTAGTTTATTAAAGGGCTTTACTTTTTCTTCTTGCTAGCTTGTTTAACAACCTTTCCTTCATGGGATTTGGCTTATTAAATATGGTTAGTGAATCTCTCAGAGTCTTTTAGGCAATGTAGATTTAGGGGTCTAGGAGCTCGATTTTGACGCTTAGAGCTTTTAAAAAGTTTCTCTTTTACTTAGTGCTCTTTAAGGCTGGGATTTTCCTGATCAGTTTGTATCATATCTCAAACGCTTTTCACAGCAAAAGTGTGTCTTGAGTGTTGGATAATCTAAGTAAAAGGGTTCACCTTCTAGCTTGCGATTGCAAATGTCCTTTGAAGGTTTATCGGCTAAGGTAAATCAGCACTTTAAGCTTGTTCAGCTCTAGGCTCACCAGCGATGGCTAGTTCTTGGGTCTAGAGCTTGCATCTTAGCTTCTATCACAAAAGTAAGTTGCTTTTCCTTTAGATTCTCCAGCCAAGAAGCTTGTTCTTTGTCTTAGCATTTAGCTTCGAAATCAATTGCATTGTCTAAAGGAGTCGCCTTTGTTTATATTTGCATATAAATCTCAATCTTTCTCTTAAAGTCGAAGTCTTTCTCTCTTGATTTTGGATTTCAGCGTTTATTCACTATTTAATTGATGTTATCTCACTGTTCAAGTTCGATTTCAAAACCATAATCTTTTGCTCGACTTGTTTGATTTCTTGTATTTTTTTTCTTGTTCCAATCACTCTGAAATGGATTGATAACCTTAAATCACTACAATGATATGAGTAGAGGTTAAGGAATTGATACACCTAAAAATCTTGTTCCAGGAGGCCTGACTCTTCACTTTGTGTTCATATTTCGTGCAGAATCTAGCAACAATACCTTTTGTGCTGCATGGATTCATATTTCGGGAATTAACAATCAACTTTTGTTAAAACTCTTCATGTTAATATAAACTTTACTGAAATCAAATGAAACGAAACCACAATTTGTAGACATGCTTTGAGCATGTAGGCAGGGCAAGTGTTCTCCGCTTTCCAGCTTAAACATTTCCGAGAAAATGAATATTTCAAAACTCTTTTCATATTCTGTCTGATTTCCCATCAAAATCTCAAGAAAGATGTCTACCACGTTTTTCAACAGTGACGTATTATCAATCTCATTATCCTTGCGTTCCTCGTTGATATGTCAATACAAGTTGTGTTAGATAGAAGGCAGAACCAGAGTCATTCAGTAATTTGCATTACAAATATCATACTTACAAGTGAGACTACAACATCTTTGAACTTCGTTTTTATTATTAAAGCACAAGCCCATATCAAGTTCAATGTGATCAAAGTCCATGTAACTAGGGAATCTATCAAAAATAGATTCATATAAATATGTGTTGAAAACAATATTGTAAACAACTTGGGAGTTGCCTTAAAGTGCAGCTCCCTTCCTCAACATTTATATGATCTTAATCTAAATCGAACTTTTGGTGACAACTTAAATCTCTTTCCTTGATTTGAAAAGATATTTAGAAATCATTATTTGAATAACAATGGATTTAAAAGAACTATTGCTTCTAGAGAATCTATTCGGTTTGCTTGTACTTGGTAGTTGTTATTGTTTTGGAATTCTTTCTCTTGATGACGTATATTGTCTTTTAGACTGATTAACTTGAGGACTAAAGTTTTCTTAATTTTGTATCATTAGGGTATTTAATCTGTTATAAACTACAGATTTCAACATTTTATTATCCATCTGAGATGAGATCGGTAATGAAAGATGAAAATTTCAATTTTCCATTCTAGCATTTGTTAAATTAACCGGATCTTTTGTCCCGAAACAACGATTATGGTACCTTTAACGCAAATGTTATCAAAATAATAAACCGGGGAAAGACCAAACACCAAACATCATATTAGACCATGATCCATCACTGCCTTTCGCAAACATATTAGAAAGTCTGTCTTAAATGTTATGTTCATATGCTAGAGACCACCGCTAGCATCAATCGATCTGGTCCAGTCCACTGCTTTAAATAAAAAGATAGTATATTGTTTTTGCGTCTATTAATTTGTTTTGTTTATGGATGGCAGATTTTGCCTATAGCGAAAAGAATGGGTTTTACATCTATCATTCATTATCGGTCGATGTACTCAGAGCCATGGCTCGTGTTTATAATACTCTTCTTTGTATACATTCTCTTATGTAATTAATCAACATAGCTTAAATGTTGATGTTAATATAAATCGTCTTGCAGAATCTTGGAAATCCCACGACAAACGTTGTTCATCCACAGCTTTTTATGGAAAGATTTAAATCTCCGGCAGTGTTGGAACTGCCAGGTCAAAAAGCCAATGACATGCTTTCTTTATTCATAATAGTTTGTCAATCTTTGTATCTCGAATCTTTATGTCATTTTTTTTCTTGTCTTTTCAGAATGATACAAGCACTCTTCCCCAAGGTCTCCGTCTTGAAACAGGTCTCACAATACTCCCGTCGAAGGAGGAGTATTGTGACTTTCAAGAAGGAGAGCAGTCGTAATTATTTCCGTCATCATCGGTAATTTGCCTCACCAAACTTGTATTTTTTTTTTCCTCTCTTACTGGCTAGATTTTCATTTTGATCGTTGCATATATTCCTCGTGTTCAGTTTGAAAGCTCTTCCAGGAGAAAAAGGGCTTATCCCCTCAGGTTTGTTGGATTTGCATATTATCTATTGCTAATTATGGCGATCATATGATATGATATGTTACATCCTAATGATTTGGAGATGTAGCAGTTGATTTGCAGCTCTTAATTTATTGTGGACATGTGTGGCAGGAATGTAGACCTGAATTCTCATTCATGTTAACTAGCTAGTGTTCTGAAGATATCATTCAACAAGGAGAGAAGGATAATGAGGTTGGAAAATGGGCTGGCAAATAAGTAAATCAACAACTACAAGACTAATTTTGTATGATGAGTTTTTCTTGGCATGGAAGCCTTATAACACAAGACATTGTTTTATACAAAAGAAATGATAAAACATGATGTTTTAAGCATTTTTAGTCAAAAGAAAGAAAGTAGTTTCGGTAGAATGTCTCTTTCTAAAAACTTAAATTGTTCATAAGAAAAAAAGACTTAAATTAGTGGGAACCTTTTTTCCTAAAAACCTATGAAACTACATTTTTGTATGGTTGATTACCATGTTAACGGTTTTCATTACACGCTCTTCTTCCAAGACGATCGATCACTGAGACCACACGTTTCTTAAGATTTGCTTAGACGATTTCAAATTAGGAATACGTTCATTTCATAATTATACTAGGACTAAATTAATATGTTTATAATTAAGCACTACTCCCTAGCTAATACCTAGGTACATGACGTGAAATACACAACACATTTCTCTTCAAATAACACACAACATGTTTCTAAAATGTTTAAATTCATGATAATGTAACTACAGTTTTTTTTTTACGTAATTTGGAAGAACAAGAATTACACTAGACATAACGAAACTTACTTAAGAACACTCAAGTGTAGAAAAAAACAAACTTGAAACCGAAGTAAAGTGTTCAGTTTCCAGTTTTCCAAACAAAATATTTTGTATGTATTTCACATTCAACAAAAATAAGATAAAAAATTTGCAGTCGAATTAACCTAAAGACAATGTGTTTGATAGACTCCATCGTTGTGCGGCGAGATTATCCCACACGCAAAATCACTAAGTTGTGTCAAGACAGAGTCCATCCAAGTGGCAAGCTCATAAGTGGAAATCGTTGTTGCTCTCTTCACCATTACCTTCATCATCAAAAGTTTTCAGTCTTTTTTAGTGGCTTTAGCTTTCCCCATAGACCATGGAAAGTTTAATCATCAAAGGTCCAACCTCTCTTCCCCCACTGAAAAAAAAAGTACTCTCAAGGGCTTTATCAATCATATTTTAGGAAACGAAAATTTATCCTTATCCTACACATTTCAAATAAGAATGTAGGAAAACAATAAGCTAAAACATTTAAGAGTTCTCGGAAACTCGTCTCCCTTCTCATGTAGTCATATGCATTCTTCGTTCATAATTTACGGAGAAGTGAGTGATAGCAAAGCAAGACAAGTGGGCTTAAACTATAACAGTAATCGAAAAGCCCAATTAGGCCCAATATTTCAAATCCGGGTCATTTCACACTCAACCAGATCTGACCCAACTTCGCTTACATTGCATACATCTGAATCTTAATTGCGTTTTACTAATGACCAAATCATAAACATCCACGTGGCTAACCCAAGACTTTATTTTAATTAACAGTCCCGTTCAAAAACTTCAAATCAGATTTCATTATACAGACATATCATACCATATATGTCTTGACAGGTTGATAAATATGAACTTTCGATATTATGTTATATTGTAAATATACAAGTTATATAAATGCTTTCGCAGGTTTACCGTAAACAATGCAGGATTTTTCAGTTGTCTTTCAACTTGACTTATTGTCCAACACAGAATTGTTTGGAACATTTAGTGGAAGATGATCCAATGAATTGCAGGTGAACAACTCTTCTTCTACTATCATGCCAAGGTAATTTCTCCATTTACTATCCAAATTCAACACTTTGTGTATCTCTTTGTGAACGTCAATCATATAACAATAGATCAGTTTCCTACGGCAAGCAAGAGTGGTCATGGGACAAGGACAAGACAGTATCTGAACATTAGATTATTGTAGCATGATGTGCTTGTCATGTGTTACAAACCAGACATTGGTGATTTTAATTGATTTTAATTGTCAGTTTCCTATAGCTTCACATTCCAAATCTGTTGCAACCTCATTTGATTTTAATTATTGTTTCCTATTACGCGTAAACAGCAAAGAAGTTGTGAAGGTTTTGATTAAACAAAAAAGACAACAAAAAAGAAAAGAAAGATAAACTCTTTGAACTGAAAAATACTATTGAACGCTCCCGCTCATTGAATTTGGGACAGATGGAATATTAGTTAACTAGGAATGTAAGTAATATAAAGAAGCGAGCGGTAGAATTTGGAGCTCATTTTCCTTTGGTAACATACCACCAATTATGTTGAGCATAAACACATTCTAAATACCTGTTTTCCATAATTTTTGGCAAAATTTAGAATCTGAAAATTTAAGATTGGCAACTAAGCCAAACTATGAAAGAAAATAACAATCTTCATCAAGGCGAACCATACTCTGTGTAATCAATACTCTCATCAGATTTCTCTGATCCATTTTCTTCATCCTCATCATATTCTCTGTCCCAAAAAATATTACAAATCCCTCAAGTTTATTAAAAAACTTTGAAATTATGTAACAAATGCAGTTATTTACATACTCTACGACAATGCAGAATTTAGTTTGATAATCATGGCGGGTCTTTGATTCCTCAGCTTAGCAAGACATATCCGCTCTTCAAATCCCTCTTGCACAATTTTGGCACATGTTCGCTCTTCAAAACCCTCTTGCGCAATTTTTGCTTTTACGACCTTTTAAGATAGATCGAAATAAAGAAAAGACAACCAATGCCATCAAAATAAGTGAAGAAGAAAGTATCGAATGATTTACCATAAAAAATGAAAGAGAAGGAGCGAGAAATGGGTCACCCTGCATATTATATTAACAATGATGGCATTACTTAAAGAAACTTGCAATGCTCCTAGAAAACTCCCTTAAAACTCATTGATTTTGAATTGGAGATTTATAGTATCCACGGCATGAAGATTGGCATTGATGTCTGGAATCCTATGATTATTTTTCGCCTTCAAGATGATAAGAATTCGTTGGCACATATGATCAAGTTTAAATTCTTCATCCATGTCGGGAATGAGGACTGGCACTAGTAACATTTTGTCCCGCTGAGCAACAATCTGGCATATCCTATCACAATAGGAAGCTTCGTTGTGAGGAAGACGTCTTTTATAGTCCCACATATTATATTAACAATGATGGAAAATTTAAAGAAACTTGCAATGCTCCTAGGGAACTCTCTTTAAACTCATTGATTTTGAATTGGAGATTTATAGTATCACGGCATGAAGACTTAGATGCTTCATCATTGAGAATTTTACCACAAATCCGTTCAAGATGGAGTTCTGGATTGTTAAGCCATCACAACTGAAGGCAAACCACTCCAGCAGCGTACAACAGAATACCATAAGATCTCTTCATTGTAATCACTACCAGTGCGTGGACGGATGAGTCTCTGCGCTAGCTTATTGCTGCAAAAGAACATTAAAGCTCGTTAATCTGCATTAGTGTTAAAAGTTCAATATAAAACTATAGGTACCAGTAGATTTTCAAGAACTCATCATTTTCTCCAATATTGTCAAACAAAGTCATCACCAGTAATAATTATGATTAAATATTAAGATTCAGCAAAGGACATATGACCATGTGCATAAGAGATATGAAGACAAAACTTACATTGTCAAATGCACTTTCCAAATCCTTTTCATCTAAGTTTCCCTTGACAAGGATGTTTTCGCAGAATGTAACAAGTAATTCCGGAATGGAACGTCCCTTCAATTTTTTTGATCTATGGTCATTTGATGATATATTGTGGAAAAATCTATGATCATTACAGAAGACAAGTAATTGTTCAAGCATACCTGATGGAAGAAGGCGTGGTCCTGAAAACATGAATTGACAAAGATCATATGTTTCTTGTGAAGCTTTATCAAAGTTTTGATAGGGATGCTTCTCCATAAGGGGGCGACCCTCTGCATTGACATACTGTAAACACAATTGCAGTTAAAATTTGTCTCAAATAGATTATAAAAACACAAAAACAAAAAAGAAATGAGAGAGAGAAACAGACCAAAAACCTGCTTGAAGAGCTTTGCAACAAGTTCCAAACACTGAGTTTTGTGATAAAACATGTATATTCTGGATAGGTCATTCATCTGAAAGTTGTGTATATATCAATGAGCTGTCTTTTGAAAGGATTTAGGACAATAACCGTTTAGAAAACACAAGTAAAATTGCATACCTCTGAAATGGATTGATAACCTTAAATCACTACAATGATATGATGAGTAGAGGTTAAGAAATTGATACACCTAAAAATCTTGTTTCAGGAAGCAGGCCTGACTCTACACTTTGGGTTCATATTTCGTGCAAAATCTAGCAACAATACCTTTCTTGTTGTCATTCAGTAATTTGCAGTAATTTGCATTACAGATATCATACTTGCAAGTGAGATTCCAACATCTTTGAACTTGGTTTTTATCATGTCATAGATCGGAAGCTTGTCACGCCAACTTCCTTTATTGTGGGAAAGGGTCCCCGGTGAATGAAGTAATTGTCAATAGAGCTCAATAAACCGGATGACGTAGTAACCATACTCATCAGATTAGACCAGATTAGACCACTTCAGAACAAGCTCTCTCAGCAGATCTACACCATACTTGCCCAGTAAACGGCATATATCTAACCACACATAACAACAATTTTAAACATGACTCTTCACACACTAAACTGTTCGAATATTAGTCAGCAATCAGACGGAAATTCTAATGACAAGAACTATTGCTTCTAGAGAATCTATTCGATTTGCTTGTACTTGGTATTGTTTTGGAATTCTTTCTCTTTTTGACTGATTAACTTTAGGACTAATGTTTTCTTAATTTTGTATCATTAGGGTATTTAATCTGTTATAAACTACAGATTTCAACATTTTAATTTTCCATTCTAGCATTTGTTAAATTAACCGGATATTTTGTCCCGAAACAACGATTATGGTACCTTTAACGCAAATGTTATCAAAATAATAAACCGGTGAAAGACCAAACACCAAACATCATATTATACCATGATCCATTACTGCCTTTCGCAAACATACAGTATTAGAAAGTATGTCTTAAATGCTATGTTCATATGCTAGCTAGAGACCACCGCCATGTTTTGTTTTGTAATATAAAAAGAACAATTAACATTTTAACTCAAACAAGAGGACTGCCAATACAAGTTTGATAGCAGTTGTACACAAAAGTCAAACGTGGCGACATAGCTTTGCACGCTTCATCGACACACACGTAGACGAAAAACCATATCCGCTCATTAAAATTTACTGGAAAAAAACGCTAAGCTTTTCGACGAATTTCAAAGGGGGAAAAAGAGAGAGCTTTTGTAAACTGTTACAAATTGTCTCCTTCGTACGGGTAATCATCTAAAAATCTCAACTTTATTACATTTCTCTACAAATTCGGGCGATCCCATTTCGGATCACAGCTCTCCTAAAAGTTTTCAATTTGGAGTGATGCTGTGTACTGGATTCTTTCGATGTCTCTGATGGTTTTCATCTTTTGTGCATTTCTGATTTGATGCTGCAATAAATTAGGGTTTGATGCTGTTTTCTGCTCTCATAAAGGTTTCGTTTTTCTTTTCCAATTTCTCTTCTTTTTCCTCTGGGTTGATTGTTAAATTGATGATTGATGAATCTGTAATATCGCAATCGTCGATTGTTTTCTTTGATTTATACTTCTTCATTATTGGGTTTACATATGGCCAAGAGGGTTTTAGTAGTGTGATTCTATTTTCCCCAAATGTGTTAATCAAAAACTGTGACTTTTCGCAGGCAAGACATGGTCAAAGAGAGCTGTGAATGAGACTATGTCTATGGTACTAGTGAAAATCAATGGTCGTGGTTCTCTGCTATAATGTTTTCTGGACCAAGTGAGATTGATGCTGGTGAAATGGGTTATGCAATGAGTAGACTTGAGATAGAATCCGATCTGTGTGATACTGGTAAAGACTTTTGTGGAGTTGGTAGTAGCAGTGGTAGTCACAGATCAAGTGAGAATTTGGCAGATTTAGACCATGAGATCAGTCAGGTCACTAAATTGAAATCCACTCCTCATCAACGGCTTAGCCGTGAAGTCCCTGGGAGACACCAGTTGCCTGTGTCTACTGTGAGGATGTTGGCTGGTCGAGAAAGCAATTTCTCTGGAAGAGGAAGGTTCTCTGCAGCTGATTGTTGCCATATGCTAAGCAGATATTTGCCTGTTAAGGGACCTTGGCTTGTTGATCAAATGAACAGCCGAGCTTATGTCTCTCAGTTTTCAACTGATGGCTCTCTCTTTATTGCCGGGTTTCAGGTAAATTAGAAACACACAATTCATCTCTAGGCTTGTGTTGTGGAGATGACTTTGCTTTATTCGTTTGCAAAATGTTTCTTCATTGAGGGAGAGGTCACTGTAGTTTCCTAAGCTTAGAAACATTTTCTGAATTAATCAACCTTCATGACTTTCATTTTGTTCTGAATTTTCAGGGAAGCCATATTAGGATTTACAATGTAGAGAAGGGCTGGAAAGTTCAAAAGGATATTCTTGCAAAAAGCTTGCGTTGGACTGTTACTGATACTTCTCTATCCCCAGATCAGCGAAACCTGGTAAGTTTTTTGCATCTTCAACTACTTATTCATGTATGATGAAAACAATTTCCCATATTAATGCACAGTACGTAGTTTTTTTGTCTTCCAAATAAATGAATAATGAATTATTTCGATGTGGCAGGTTTATGCAAGCATGTCACCTATCGTTCATATAGTCGATGTTGGGTCTGGTGCAACCGAGTCTCATGCAAATGTTACGGTATGAATCCACACTGTTTCGTAGTAACAGAAATATAGTAGAATGGTGTTTAATTAATTCATTTTGTGGTCATCCTTGTCTTTTGCAGGAGATCCATGATGGGTTAGACTTCTCTTCTGATGAAGATGGAGGATACTCTTTTGGCATATTCTCTGTGAAATTTTCAACCGATGGACGAGAACTTGTTGCTGGGAGCAGTGATGATTCCATTTATGTTTATGATCTTGAAGCAAATCGAGTTTCGCTCCGGACTATTGCACACACGGTAAAATCATTTCTTGTTTGGTGCTTTAGCTCTACATTCACAATAAGGTTTATCTGGAAACGCCGAGTCTTGGCCTTTGAATACTGATAGCATGTTCTCCATTTGCTGCAGTCTGATGTAAATACTGTGTGCTTTGCTGATGAAAGTGGAAACCTGATTTTATCTGGAGGTGACGATAATCTCTGCAAGGTAAGCTTTTCCGTGAAAGTACAACAAAGTTCTTGCCTTTGTTTTAGCAAAGTTGTAAAAGGATCTTGTTCAAATATTGATTACACAAACAGGTGTGGGATAGGCGTTGTTTCATTGGGAGAGATAAGCCAGCTGGTGTTCTGGTGGGACATCTTGAAGGTGTTACATTTATCGATAGCCGTGGAGATGGTCGCTATTTCATATCAAATGGCAAAGACCAAACCATCAAATTATGGGATATCAGAAAAATGTCCTCAACTCCACCTGCAAAGTAACAATCTTCTACATGATTTAACTGTATTCTGCATGCAGCATTATTGTCGTTACTGAAACTGAATTGTTCTGTAACTTTTGATACAGGCATGAGGTGCTCAGGAACTATGAATGGGATTACAGATGGATGGATTATCCTCCAGAGTCAAGAGATCTGAAGCATCCTTTTGATCAGTCAGTGTCAACATATAAAGGTCACTCAGTGTTGCGTACTCTAATCCGTTGCTACTTCTCTCCAGTGCATAGGTCAGTCTTGTGAAGTTCCTTAATGTTCCAATCTTGACAAAGAAGAACTCTCTTTATATGTTTCTCTGATTCTTGTGTTGGATGCTTTGGTTCTTTGTTTTTACAGCACTGGCCAAAAGTACATCTACACAGGATCCAACGACAGTTCCGTCTACATATATGACTTGGTAATGACTTTATCCTTCTCATTAACACATTGAAAGCTGAATCTTCCATTGTTCTTGTTGACAATTCTTGGAATCAAAATCTGTTCTATAGGTAAGTGGAGATAAAGTGGCAGTGCTAAAGCACCACAGCTCACCTGTGAGAGACTGTAATTGGCATCCGCATTACCCCACGCTTATAAGCTCTTCGTGGGATGGAGATCTTGTGAAATGGGAGTTTCCGGGGAGCGGTGAGGCGCCGATCATGAGCAAGAAGAGGGTTCGGAGGAGACATTTCTACTACTGAGCATCTATCTCTACACATACATATAAGGTCTCTGTGTAAGTTATATATGAAAAAATGTGGAGAAAAAGATGATGAATGGTATAAACACAAATGAGAATCATCAAATAAGGCTTTTTTCTTAAGGTTAAAAAGGCTATGGCGTGTGTGTGTTGTTGTTGTGATAAAAAGACCATTCTCTTCCTCCAACCAGTTTTAAAAGGTTATATATATGTGTAATCGAATGGTATGAAATGTGGAGACAGGTCCCTTTTTTTTAATCTGAATGTTTCTTCACTTTTTACTATCAAATTTTCATGCTTCAATAGACTAACTTAATGATATATGCTAGTGATGTCGTCGTCCCATAAACCATATCAAATGCGTGTGTTGTTTAACAGAGGAATCAGTATCCAAGTATAAATGGAGCTCTTGTGCGAAAGATGCTATTAATGGAAAAAAGATACAAGTCTTGTGTTTTTTTATCTGCCTTTTAACTCAGAGATCAACGAATCATCAACAATGAAAATATAAAGCAAATCATATAATTAACAATAAGGCAAAGAGATAAACAAAAGAGTTGAACAATCATCAATCATACTTACGCTTTGGTGTTGGTTGATGAGCCAAATCATCAGCTCACATCCTTCAAACTCTTTATAAACGCGTCTAACGATTTGTTCTTGGGGTTTTGCCTCGACCCTCTTGTTCCAAAAGTCCCGAAAATACTATCCGATGGATCTCTGTGTTTCTCAAGGACCGTTACAACTTTCCTGGGGTCCAAAGCGTTGTAGTTTCTTTCTCTGATCACCGCGTTCTTGTAACTAAGAACATTATTACTCATGAGCAAGTTAATCATCTGTCTTATCTCCACGAAAGCATTCTTCATCTCTTTCGCTTCTTTCTCCGTCAGCAATGGAGTTAGTTGCTCTGTAAACGAGTCCAGCAACTGAATATCCACATCCACTCCCTTGATCGCAGCCAAGCTCAATCTTTTCACCAAATCTCCGCATAACGTTCCAACGATCTTCTCAGAAATGTGTGCAAGGACGTCGTGCAAAACCCTATTCAGGACATTAGCTGGTAATATCTGTTGTGCGGTGGAAACCAAAGTCTCTAGGTAGATCAACACTTCGTTCATGTACTCGTTCCCGTTCCCGCCTTGTGGAACGTCGTCGCTTGTCCAGTTAACATTCTCGATCAGTGTCATGAATCCGTCTATCTTCTTCTTGAGCAATCCCGAGAGCCTATCTTCGGCAGCGTTTTGGGCCTTAGTCAACGGGAAATGTCTCCGACCTCTCTCCGCCATTCTCAAGGGAACTCCTGAGAGCTGAGCCGCGTGGCGGAAGAAGAAATCGCAAGCTCGCTCGAACACAGCCATGTTCGCTGCGACCTGCATCGCCTGAGAGACTCCGTGCACCGACGTGTTAATCAGCTTCAACAGAGCCTCGTCGAGAACCTCGCCTAGAAGCCTATCGAGATACTTCTTCACGACATCGTAGAAATCAAGCTGACCTCCGTGAGACATGAAACTAACCGAATCCTCAATGAAAGACCGCACAATCCGGCAACAATCTGGCACGGTGGTTGAAAACGGAGCAATGTAAGGGAACGCCGGTACAATATCTGAAGTTTGCAACTGGAAAGAGAGCACATTCATAGAATATTCATACTCTTTCTTCATCAACATCTGCTCAAACTTATCTGCAGATAACGCTTCTGTGATCTGTTTACGGCAATCAGATAACAGCAACTCGTGATACTTGTCCCTGTGCTTGCTCAACACCTCGAGAAGGGAATCAACAGCGTAGCCATACCTGCGTAGGCTCACTCCTAACAAGCTCACGTAATCCTTAATCAGCAAGAGATGATTCGCCGTCTGCATCCTAGAGAACTGATCCTCCAACACAGCACACATGTCAACAACAGCGATATCCCACAAAGCCTCCACTTCCAGCTTCGAAACCAAACCTCCTCCAGTCCTCAAAACTTTATCCTCTACTATGAAAAACCCAGCAATCTGTGCGAAAAACGTCTGATGAGATTCAAGAAACGGAGTCATAGAAGAAACCTGTGAGTCGTTTCTAAGATGATGTTTCCTGTTCGTGAAATAGTACTGCTTGAAGCTATCTTCAAGGGACAGAGTCTGATGAATGTGATAAGCTCTATAGAGCGGAGTCATGTCAAAGCCCATCAATCCTCCACCGGAACTGCCAGCATCGCTGCTATCAGGGCCGGACCCGAATTCATCTTCTTCTTCTTCGTTTAAGGCGTAGACGCAATCGCGGAGACTGAGTCTGCTCTGCTCCTCCGCTTGTCCCTGCTTGATCCTGAGCTCTTCCTCTCGCTGACGAGCTGCAGAAGCTTCACCGATCGCTAACTGGCCCAAATTTCGACTCACCACACGGATCTCAACCAACCAATCATTGAACTCTTTCATCACTTTCCTCTCCACATAAGATCGAATCTCCGGATCCTTTTCTCCAGCATCCGTTTCAGCGTCGACGAGGGAGTTTTCTCCATCAAATCGCTCTCAATCGAGTCCACACACTTCAACGCCATGTAGAAATTACCGCTCTGGAGATGCTGATTGGCTCGGGAGACGAACGCAGTGCGTCACGGCTCCAACCGCCAGATCGACGTTCTTCGACACACCTGCGCCTCAACAAGCGAATCGAGAGTCGAGAGAAGCGGCCCTGCGACGGACTGGAGTTTAGAATTCGAATCGGATAGCGCAGATTTGAGAGATTCAACATCTGAGAGAAGCGACTTGAGATCGTCTACGGCGTGGATAAACTCCTGATAGTGAGCCTTACACACCTCCTCGATCTCCGATTCCTTAGATCGCGCGAAGAACTTGAGATGCTGAAGAAGAGTCTCCAGTTTTCCCGTACCGAACGTTTTCCGCACAAACGGTCCCAAATCCTTGCCGTTACAAATCGCAGACGATATCAAGAGTTCATCAAGCTCAATCGACTCAGCTCCAAATTTTCCACAGTATGCCACGTTGGAGTTCCATCTTCATACCCATTCCACGTCAGCCGTTCCGTCCACTTTCACAACATACAAGTCCCCGTACGGCTGAAACTGGTTTGGCATCGCCACCGGCTCCGCCGTTATACCACCGAGGTTCGCCGTGAAAACTAGCCAATCACCATCGTTGTTGAAAATCACGTGATTAACCCTCTCCCTCGCCGCTTCCTCCACCGTGCTCTCCATGGAAACAACGGCCGTGAGATCGAAAACCGGTTTAGTAAAAATTCTCCTAGTGGCAGGTTTTGTAATTCCTGTCAACAAAATTCACGTGTTTGTGTTGAACTTTCGGTGCACAAGTAACAAAGGTTTTAGGATTATAGCTTAAATCCGAATTTTACTCAACAGATAAGATTTTCTGAGTTTGTCATAGTATGAAAAAACAAACGACAGATGGATAATAAGTTCACTTTTAAGTGATAATCTCGTTACAAGAAAATGATTTTTTTATCAAGTTGGAAGAAACATCATTTAGATTTTAGAGATTATGGAAAGGTAAAAAAAAAAGTAAAAATCAGAAGATTTCCAAGGATGATTAGAACAACACTGATAAAAGAGTGCATGAATATAGTTTTATAACCAACCCAAGCCGTAAAAAAAATCAAGTCGAAACCAAATTTGAATCAGAGAGATATCTGATGAAAAAGTAATGTCTTCTTTATGCTCATTTTCGCATCTGTTAATCACTTGAGCAGAAACGGGCTTCTTCAACTCGAGAGAGACTTTGCTGCTGAAACCAAAGCAACACCTCCTTTCTCTGCCTTCGAATCCTTCTTATACACCGCACGTAACCTGCTCTCTCCGCATCTCGAGTGATGAAAAGCTAGAACCTTTGAGCATTCTCTACAACACAACAAAAAAAAAACAAACCTCAGATTAAAACCACATGACAATGATGATGAAATATTTGGAAGTCGTTTGTGATCTTACATGATCTCAGATTCTGAGTAGCCGGTGTGGAACTTCAAGGTATCAGTCCAAGCAGGGGACTTGTTCAATGAGCATCTCGCCGTGTACACAGCTGAGGCAGCAAGCATGGAGGGACAGAACTTCAATGTCTCGTAATGCATCAACCCCAATTCAGCAAGAAAATGAACCATATTCTCCATCTAGAAAGGGCAACAACAAAACCAAAGATGAGTCTTTTTCCAATCTAAGTGTTAACAAAAAGATTACAAGTTCAAGCAAAAAAAGCCACTCACTTCCGGGTCAGTCATCGAAACTTTGATGAAGCGGACAAGGAAGACGTATTGAGTTGGGACTGTCAAATACGTGAGACGTGACCCATGCCAGAGTAGCTGCCAAGAGCATTTTCGAGTTTAGGAACGCTATGGTCGATACAAATCTTTACTACAAATATAGAGTTGGAATTGTTGTTGTTTACCTCTCTGTGTTCGATCTCAGCTTCTTGGAACTCTTTAAGAGTCAGTGTCCCAGACTTGTCTTGGTCTGCTTTGCTAAATATCGCAGAAACATCCTCCTGCAACACGAAACCATTTGGTAATTTATTGTTAATAATCCAAAACATTAGTCCAGAGTTTAGGAAGAAGGAGAAGATTTTAAGTTACCATGACTTTGCGCTGGTTAATTGTTGCGTAATCACCAAGTGCGTATATGTTATCCCATCCTTCTACGCGATGCCATTCATCAGTGGCCAGAGCACGTCTATTACCCTGCAATAACAAAGACAATTTCTTAAAGCGTGTTTGCTAGGATATGTTAAGTGGCTGAGAGCTTATCTAAGCACACTACTTTACCTGACCAATTTGTTTCAGGACAATCATTCCATAAGGAATTGAGGAAACCTCTCCTGCTTTGGTTTTAGCGTATATATCTTTCTCATTCACTTTGGTCACCATGGAGCCAAGTTTCACATCAATGCCATCTCTGCTAAACTTTTCCTCGGCAAACTCAGTGATTCTCTTGTCAAACCTGTGAAAGAAACGCTTCCCATGAATCATCATACAGGGTTTTTAAAGGAAACATGAAACGTAAGAAATGACCTCTGCTGACCAAGAAACCAGGAAAAAAAGATAAAGACAACGATTCAGAAGATTTAGAGGCAAGAAATTTCACATGGTGAGAATGTGGTGTGCGCCCTCCAGAAGCGTGATTCGCACTGAATCCTTGGCTCTAGGATAGAGTTTGACTAGATCCTCAGTAATGAAATCATGAAGCTCAGCGGCAAACTCAACACCTGTTGGCCCACCACCAACAACAACAAAGTGCAGGATTCTCTTCCTCTCTTCATCGCTTGGTTCTGGTAGACTTGCCTTCTCAAAGGAGTCAATTACAGTTTTACGAATTCCTTGAGCATCTGAAACCTCCTACACGTAGACATTGAAACCAATAAAAGCCTCAGAAATTTAACATGCATACAATGATCAGCCATTAGACATTACATACTTCTCATATGCTTTTCGAGCTGTGAACTATATAACTGCTTACAAAACAACATACCAAGTGAAGCAAGAAATGGAGTTAAGAGCCAAACAAAAAAACTTACTTTCAGAAAATGACAGTGCTCCTCCACTCCGGGTATATTAAAGGTGTTAGACTGAGCTCCAGTGGCAATCACAAGGTAGTCGTAGTCATAGTCAACAGAAAATTCTTTCTTGCCATTCGAATCAAGCCCTTGTTTGGATCGGCAGAAAACTTTCTTGCCTACTGTATCAATCTTAACAGACTCTGCCTCCACGTAAGATGTATCAACATTTTTCTGCTTGCCAGGACAGTAAAACAAGCATGCATTAGCAAACTTTACAATATTAAACTTTTTGCAAACAGAAGAAGCAAATGCAAGTAAGTCTACTCAAGATAATATGTTTCGGAGAAATTTAATGGAGCACAAAGCAGAACAGGGAAAGAACAGCACAATTACCTTTTTTCCAATGTTTCGAATTGGCTCAACAACGCTGCGAGCTTCAACAGTTCCACAAGTAACGCTAGGCAGCAAGGGAGTGAAAGCAAAGTAGTTTCGAGGCGATATAATCTGAACCTCATACTGAGAATTGTTCAAATTCTTCAAGAAACTAGTTCCAGCCCATCCAGTTCCGAGCAGCACCACCTTCTTCTTCTTGATTCCAGTTTCAACAACACCACTGTAACAATTTACATTTTACAGTATATATTATCAGTAAACTTTAGTGATAATCTAAAGAAACCGATAAAGCTTTCAAATATCTGGAGAAATCCACAACATCGATGCTTCCTAATCGACAAGATCCAGGACATGCTATCTAGCATAAACGTAAAAATGAAATTTGCAAATCCGACCTGATCGTGGAAGAAGCTTGCTCTTCTGCTTGCACAGCTTGATCCTCTGCAACATCTGCTCCTTCCACATCCTCTGCAACCTCCGCTTCAGCTTGCACATGCACAGCTTGCACGTCATCTACAACCTCTGCAACTTGCACAGCCGGATCTTGATTTTCTCCCGCTTGTTGGACTTCAGGATTCGGATCTGCAACTTCTACTTCTCGGTAATGAACCAGCGCCACAAGATTCAGAATTGCACCAGCGTTGGGGTATCTAAGTACATGATGAGTGCGTCTGAAAAATGTAAACAGAGGAGGTACAGATTCGGAAGCAACGGTGTAATTGACCCTAGGATCAACTCGAGCACCGAGAGGTCGAGACTTGCAATTGAGTCGTTTTCCTTGGTTGACGTCATCCCAATCGTAATTATCGAAGAACTTCGCCTCCTCGTAGACGAATAAACCGGCAACCCTCGGAATCGGACCTCCTTTAACATCCGAAACTGGAAAAGATGAACAAGATGGTGTGCGTAGAGGTAGAGAATCTGTTCTTTGTTTAACCAGTTGTGCATCGAGTGGTGAACGATCTCTTGTACACCTTCGTCTTCGATCGCTAGATCCTGAAGGTTATCCATGGAAAAAACAAAAAAGCGCGAATATATTTTTTCTCGGGATTTCGGAGCAATTTTCTCGGAAAGTGAAAGAAAGTGATTAAATGTGAAAGCCGAGTGGAATTTAGGGATTGGGTTTATAATAAGGAATCTTAGGCAACTGTAAAAAAAAAAGTAATCACACTCTTATAAGAAACGGCGTCGCACTGACTCTTATAAACGACACGAAGCTGTTGCGTTTCGCTCGCCTTATTCAAAGTATGACATGTTTTATAATGACGAAAATGCCCTCAGGGGCAAATCCGTAATATTGAATTGTCAGCACCAACCCTCCTGTGTCACAAAGAAAGAAGCTGACGATCAAAAATTTTGTTCGGCTCCTCCTTGTCCTCCTAAGCCACGCACTTCCTTTCTTCTTCTCACAGTGCCTCTTTTTTTCTCTGCAACACTCTTTATATACAATAATATATTCTTTCGATCCCTCTCTCTCATCGATTCTCTTCCGATCGTCTTTTTCCCGCGGTTTCTCTTCCACCGTACGCCGTTTCCGGTCAGTTTCCCGTGTTTTTGTTTTCCGGTTGAATTACGATCGGAAGATTGATTTTTTTTTAATCCGGTTTCGATGTAGTTGTTAAATTGCATCCCAGTTGAGCTGCGAATGAATTATTTTGTGACGTTTGAGAATTATGTGGTTCCGTGGGGGAATTGGCGTTTGATATTCTTCTGGGATTTGATTAGTTGTTGGGACTTTCGGCCGATTGTAATTCTGGTTTCTTGAATTTGCAGTCGTCTCCGCATGTTTGCATTATCTCGAAGCTTCTTCAATACATTCTTTGTTGTTTACTGAATCATTTCCATAGAATTGTGAACGGAATTGTTTTTTGTTTTTGATCATAATTCTCAGGAAATTAGCGCTTAAATGGTTAAGAAGCAAGAAGAAATGAATGAGTGTGGTGCTGCTCTCAATGGTGGAAATGGCAAAGTGGGGACTTCTTCAGTGTCACCACCACAAGAGAAAGGAAGGAAGAACAAGAGAAAGTTAGCTGATCCTTCTCAGCAAAACGCTGCTTCTTCCTTGACTGAATTCCCTCGGTACGAGCTGCATTCACTGAAATTCCCAAACCCTTTGAGTGAAAACGACTCGACGAGAGCGGAAGAGTCCGATTCCATAGGTTGGGATGATCCGTTTGCATGTCAGCTCGAAGAGCTATTATCATCGAATCTGCTCAACCTCTACCGCAGTGCAATGAATCAGATTGTGGATTGTGGTTATAGAGAGGATGTTGTTCTCAAAGCTATCTCGGGCAGTAGGCTTTACTGCGGGGGAAAGGACCTCGTGGCGAACATTGTCAATGATTCGTTGAGCTTTTTGAGTAATGGGAAAAAAGGTTTGGCTTTGAGAGAAACTGTGTTTGAGGATTTACAACAGCTTGTTGCGTATACGTTGGTGGAGAAGATCAGTCTTGTTAGAGAGGTTAGGCCTTCCCTTTCACCGGTTGAAGCAATGTGGAGGCTGTTGATGTGTGACTTGAATGTTTTGCAAGCATTTGAGGTGGAAGGAGATGGACTGGAGGGCTCTTCTTCAGCTTTCAGTACAAGCAAATCTTCTGAGTCTGCAGGAGCTGAGAGCAATCCTCCAAAATCTAGTGACTCGGATAATCCGAAGCCGCAACCATCCAATACTCAAGGCAATCAGAGTGAGGCAGTCAAATTTGGGAACTTCCCGAATTCAACCAACTCAAAATGTTCTCATGGTAGCGGAGCAACACCAGGGAAAGAGGTATTTTCTGTTAACAATGCTTCTGGTGAAGGCACTAAAACTACATCCCTGACTTCTGTTTCTGATGAAAAATTAGTATCTTGTCGAAAAGTCCGAAGCAAGAAAGATATGACCATGCTTCGGCAGAAGTCATGCGTGGAGAAGCTTAGAAATTATAGCAAAGGTGGTGGATATAAGACGGCAAAGTTCGCTTCAGTCGGTGGTTTCCTTGTGGAGAAGAGAAGCAAAGCGGCTAATGATTTGGCAAGAAACTCTTCATCAAAAGTAAAATCAGAGGCTGCGAAAGCTCCTGTGGCCGAGAGTAACGGTACTAAGTCATGTGTTCTTGCTTTACCTGCTGTTAAAGCTTCAGCACCATTACCTTCAGAAAAGAAGTGTGGTTCTGAGTCTGAAGAAAAGGCTTCTGTGTCCACAAAGCCAGCACCTGACTACTATGCTGCGATCCCGTATGATGCAACTCTGGGTATATATGTTCCCCGGAGCAAGAGAGATGAGTTGATTCTGAAGCTAGTCCCCCGAATGAAAGATCTGCAGAATGAAATGCAGGTTTGGACTGACTGGGCTAATCAGAAAGTAAAGCAGGCTACTGTTAGGCTTCTTAAGGACCAACCAGAGCTTAAGGCACTAAGGAAAGAGAAAGAAGAGGCAGAAGAGTTTAGGAAAGAGAAGCAGTTATTGGAAGAGAACAGTATGAAAAGGCGGTCTGAGATGGAGCTCGCGTTGCAGAACGCAACGAACCAGGTCGAGAAAGCTAACAACACAGTTCGCAGGCTCCAGTTGGAACAGGCGCTGTTAAAGAAAGAAAGGTTTGATGCTAATTTAGGAGCTGCCGAAGCCGCTGAGAGCTGTATAAAAGCAAAGGAGAGAGCGCAAAGAGCGCTGAAGAAAACTCAGTCGTTTGAAGGACAAAAGGTTTTGTTGCAGGAAGAGCTCAAGAGTCAAAGGGACAAGGTGGCAGAGCTGCAGCAAGAAGTTGCCAAGGCCAAAAAGCGCCATAACCAAATTGAGGTTAGGTCTTCTCATCTTTGGGGCTGATGTAATTATATGATTACTGATCAAATCCTTTCCTCTACAATTAACCATTGTTGTTGATTAGAAATGATGTTTCTGTTTGACAATGAGAAGTATTATAGTTTTAAGTGCAGAAGTTATGATCAAGATAACTAATGAAAATAAGTTGCAGGCTACTTGGAAACAAGAAAAGGCAGCGAAAGGGAAACTCACTGCTCAAGCGGCTGCATTAAACAAAGAGAGAGAGAAACTGGAAGAAGTTGGAAAAGCAGAAGAAGAGCGGATCAAAACAAAAGCAGAGAACGATGTGAAATACTACACTGAGAACATCAAAAGACTCGAGAGCGAAATCTCGAAGCTGAAACTCAAATCAGATTGCTTGAAGATAGCTGCATTGAAGAAAGGCATCGACGGAAGCAAAGGTGGTAACAAGAGCGGAATGACTCATAACACCGCAACAAAGGAGAACCTGATGATGGCAGTAGCAAGCGTGTGGGAGAATCATAACGGGACAGAGGCGAAAATCAAAAGGGAGAGGGAATGTGTCATGTGTTTGTCTGAAGAGATGAGTGTGATTTTCTTGCCTTGTGCTCATCAGGTTCTTTGCTCTAAATGCAATCAGCTTCATGAGAAGGAGGCCATGGAGGATTGTCCGTCTTGCCGGGCCAAAATCCAGAGGAGAATTCAGGCTCGTTTCGCTCGCGGGTAATGCTTTTAAATCATAATGGCAATCATGAAGGTTTTTGCTTTGGTTTTTCTATTTCTCTTTGGACTTGCTCTATTTACAGCAATGGTGGCATTTAAAATTATACACACATCTTGTAAAGAGTGACTTTACATTTGCTCCTTTTTACACATCCCCTCAATAATGAATGGAAGAAGCTCTTGCGACTTTCTCAATCTCCAATTCTATCACCATTGTTGATTTATGATACTTTATTAATTGTCTAACCCAAGCTTTGAATTTTTCGTAAACAAACTATATATACACATACATGTTCTTTTGTAAGACTTGACTTTTCTTGTCTGATTGCATTATCTATCTCAGTTGTTGGTTGTAGGTCCCAAATTTGTCTTCTGCTTGATAGTAATTTTTGGTTTTTGTGATTTGTAGTTTATCACTGGATCTTAAACTACTTACTCTCGTGCAACTGACTTTAAAACCAAAGGAGAACCTAATTACTACTTTCTGAGGCTCTTTGAATTTGTTTAGTTTTAGTTTTGGGTTTGGAATATGGCATTTCCTTGAGTGATTTGCATTATCTTTGTTGTTGATTGTATGTCCAGCATAATTTCTTTCATTATCTTTATTGTTGATTTAAGTTCACGCTATATACTATAATGATAATTGTATTGTTTTGTTTCATATCGAGAGCTTAGCTTTTAAATTCTACTATTAAACTTGCGTTTGTGCACTATAGTCTTTGGCCACTATGACATTCTTGATACTAAATGATTTTGGTTAATGATTATCTTATGGCAATGACTTGTATCCATCATTTTAGGGTTTGATGGTATTCTTGTGTTTAGGCCGTAAAGTAAAACCTTTTTTTAACAAGAGATTATGAATGCACAACCATATGTGACGCTTTTTAATCATCACTACGTGTGGATGAATCAACCTTCTGATTAACAAGTTCCCTTTAACAAAATACAAATGCATAGTTCATTAGTCTCCTACGCCCATCATTATCTTGTTTCTAGGACATGGTTGCCGACAACTAGTAATGGATCTGTATAACACTATAGCTCGTCTTTGTAGGTAGCCACTCAATTAAACTGTCCAAACATGATGAAGTATAGGTTTTGATGCGTCCTAATGTACACACAAAAAAAGATGGTTCTAAGTTGAATAATTTGCTGGGTGGCTACTCCAATTCGAGGATCAATAATTTTTAACCATATCGTTGTCCATTGTGGTCATAAAAATTATATTTGATCGAATTTGCAATCATTGCAAAAGGTAATCATTAGAAACCGTAATGTTTTCGTTATGTGTAGTGTACTTAAGTGTGGAGCATGAAGAAAAAAGACAGTAGATGGAATGAAAATGACTAGTCATAGAGCATCACTAACATTCATCTCATTAGCTCCCTATCAAGTATCAACCACTATCATCAGCATCAATATCAACATCATCATTCATCACCACCATCAAAGATCTCAAACTTTAATCTCATTTATTCACATGATCGACTTGGTACATTTTTTGTACAGCTAATGACTTCAAAAATTGATGGAACACAACCAAAAAAAAAAAAATTGATACAATCTCTCTTGCTGATACGTTTAAGACCAATCTTTCTTACCTACTTGGAGTATTCTGATTATGTTCCTAAAGAGTATCCACTTGTGAATCTCAACTCCCTAGTGGAAGCTAAGCTGGATCTTCAGGTGGACGAAGATACTTTATGGGTTGAGGAACATGAAGACAATTTTGATCCAATGAATCTGATTAATGGGCTTAAAAATGCGGAGATCTTGGACTTAACCATTGATACTATGGAGGTAAGTCTCTCTATTGTTTTCTTTCTCTTTGATATGTTATTATTGCATCTATAATCAGAATACTCCAAGTAGGTAATACGTTTAAGACAGCGATTTCGCCATCGTCGGGTCGATTGATGTTGGAAGCCATCATCTACTTGGACCCAAAGATCAAGAGGGATCTGAGAGCTCTTGAACGTAACCATCTTACTGTGGACGGTGCTGATGATGTTGACATCCGCCACATGTTGAATTTCAATGCTCCATGACGTGAACACTCTCTCAAAACAATACAGTTTATCCCTTACTTTTGCATGAGCTTCAACTGTATGTCACGGATTTATTTACTTATGACTTATTACCTATTTCTTGTTCTTTTCTTCCTTGGTTCTAACTCCATTATAAGAAATCTTTCGTTGTTACAGAAAAATTATACTTGATCGAATTTGCAATCATTGCAAAAGGTAATCATTAGAAACCGTAATGTTTTCGTTATGTGTGCATTAGTGTGGAGCATGAAAAAAAAAAAAGACTGTAGATGGTGTGAAAATGACTAGTCATAGAGAGTATCACTAACATTCATCTCATTAGCTCTCTATCAACCACTATCATCAGCATCATCATCGAAGATTTCTTAGTTTTCGATTTTTCTTTTGTTTTTTATAAACTCGGGTGAGCAAATCGGTGCAATGTGATCATGACGACTGAGAGGATACACACACAACCAAACAGGTGTGCAAATTCTCTATTGGTGGGACCACAATTTTGGAGACCAATAGAATTTTCTTCTTTGGCTTTGATCACTTGGAACATTCTCTATTGGCTTCCTAACAAAAGTATAGATCCATTTATAAATCTGATTTAGATGTCACCTAAACTTTGACAAATCAAGGGTATTTCTTTCTTCTTATATCTACTCTAAGAAGAAACCGCACATAAAACCCCCAAAATTAGTTTATTACGGGTAAGTAAATTAGCTTGTGGACAAAAAAGACACATATATCTGACGTGTCACGTACATCGCATACGTGTCACAAGACTTACGACCCTACCATCATAAAGTCCACGCTCTTCTCTCCCGAAGCTGCTGATCTGTCATTCCGAACCTTAGGCTCGGACGGCCGTTTTCCCTGTTTCATATTCCCGACATAAAATTACATTATTTTTATTTTTACTGACACACACGAATCACGCAAATGTGAAGCCCTTTTCATTGTAGCATTAACTAGTCTTTCTTCATAGACAACACAGAAAACTAAAAGCAGAGGAGAAGGAAGAAGAAGAAATAGAAAGAAAGAAAGAATATTCAGCTCTTGATTTCGCTTCCTTCTTAAGCCATTTTTGATTACCTTTTTGTCTCTCTGATGCTTCGTTTCAAAGAAATCATTTTCATTTCATTACTTTCCCTCCTATTTTAGTCCATTTGACGTCGCTAGTGTCAAAATCCGACATTAAAACTCTCACAGAAGCTCCCACAAGAAATTGTAAACCACACCATCATCTCTTTCTGACGTACTCGTAAGACCCATTTCTCAATTTTAAAGCTTCTCGGGTTTGTGTATATCAAGTCTCTGTTTTTTCACTTCACCGAAGCTATAACGGCTATTTTTTTTTTGATGAAGATGAAATCTGTTGCTTTGATTTGGGTATTGCTGCTTCTTCTCCGATTCAGGTTATTCACCGACGCTATGATTGATCCAGTTGATTTCTTGGCTCTGCAAGCGATTCGTAAGTCGCTCGATGATTTGCCAGGCTCCAATTTCTTCGATTCCTGGGATTTCACCGCCGATCCTTGCAGCTTCGCCGGAGTATACTGCGACGGCGATAAAGTTGTTGCTCTTAATCTCGGCGATCCAAGAGCCGGGTCACCCGGTTTATCCGGTCGGATTGACCCGGCGATCGGGAAACTCTACGCTCTCACGGAGCTCTCAATCGTCCCCGGTCGGATCATGGGTTCGATACCGGAGACAATCTCGCAGTCAAAGAATCTCCGATTTCTCGCTGTCAGTCGGAATTTTATCTCCGGCGAGATTCCGGCGAGTCTTGGCGAGCTTCGCGGCCTTAAAACCCTCGATCTGAGCTATAACCAGTTAACCGGGTCGATACCTCCGTCAATCGGATCCTTACCGGAGCTCTCCAATCTGATTCTATGTCACAATCACTTGAATAGATCACTTCCTCGATTCCTATCTCAAACGCTAACCCGAATCGATCTCAAACGCAACAACCTCACCGGTGCAATTTCTCCGACGTCTCTCCCGCCGTCGCTACAATACCTCTCACTCGCCTGGAACCACCTAACCGGACCAGTAAACCAGGTTTTACTCGGACTAAACCAGCTCAGCTACCTCGATCTCAGCCTTAACCGGTTCACTGGCGCAATCCCCGGTCAGATCTTTGCCTTTCCGATGACGAACCTCCATTTACAGCGCAATTTCTTCTACGGTGTGGTTCAACCAGCGAATCAGGTCACGATTCCAACCGTAGATTTAAGCTACAACCGTTTCTCCGGCGAGATTTCTCCGCTTCTCTCCAACGTACAGAATCTCTATCTAAACAATAACCGGTTCACTGGTCAAGTCCCGGTTAGCTTCGTGGATCGGTTATTGGCAGCGAATATACAAACACTATACCTTCAACATAACTTTTTGACGGGAATGCAAATCAGCCCAGCAGCGGACATTCCGGTGAGCAGCTCGCTGTGTCTTCAATATAACTGTATGGTGCCGCCGGTTCAGACGCCGTGTCCGGTTAAGGCTGGTTCGCAGAAAACCAGACCCACAACACAATGCAGCGAGTGGCGAGGGTAAAGACGTGTAGTTTCAACCAGTTATGGATTTTCGGGTTTCTCCGGTTATTTTGTTATAACTTTCGATTTCTATCTAAGGGTAGGGAAGAAAACTATTCGTTTATTCGTTTTGGTGACTTTGTGAATGGGAATCATAATGTTTAATTCAAATTATATCTTATTATATGGCTTCGAATAACACGACCAAGGCCTATATAATGTTTCTTTTTATCCTCGTTTTTGTTTCAAGTATATTTTAGTTGTTACAATTCTTGTTTTTGTATGTTGCAAATTCAACATACCAATGTGACTAAGACAAAATGCAAGATTGTTAAAAAAAAAAAAGAGGTTAGAAAACACAAAATTAAAGTTCTATAGGGTGGATATTCATTATATGTTGTTGATTCGGTCGAGAAGAACACAGCTGCTGATGCTACCTTGCATACATTTGTGAATTTTCGCAAATGTCAAATATTTCGGTATGCATTATATGTTGTTGCTAACTTGCTATGTTATATGACATTTCAGGTTTTTACCATGTTAGATGATAGTGTCATAGTTACCGATTTGGGTTTTCTCACAGACAAACGAACGCCACTGCGCATCAATTCATGCGCCACGCGCCACAGTCAGAGGCAATTAAGTAAGTATTTTATTATAGTTTGGGAATTTATACTCAATATTCATATTGGATACCAATATTAAGTCAACAGCCATATGGTTATTTTGGCTAGAATATACTCCCTGTGTCCCATATTATAAACTGTTTTGCCATAATGTATCTGTAATTTTCTGGATGTATCTGGATGGTTTTAGGTCCAAATACATCCAGAAAATTGCAGATACATTATATCAAAACAGCTTATAATATGGGACAGAGGGAGTAAGCAATATTTTCTACAATATTGTCCAAATGGACCCTTAATTAATACTAATAAAAAAAAAATATGTTTTGTCTTCTTTGATAACCTACAATGTGAATATAAGGTGAAAGAAGTAAAGAGGTAAACTTCATAATTCCAATTTCAAAATATTCCTTGACTTCCAAATTAAGTTAATCCAAATGTTTGATTGTCAATTATCGTAGGGTTTAGTTTTTTAGGGTTTAGAGTTTAGTTTTTGGGTTTAGGGTTTAGTTTGGGTTTATGATTTATAGTTTAGTTTTTAAATTTAAGGTTGATTTTGAATTTTGTGTTTAAAGTTTATTTTTTTGGATTTATATATAATATGTTGGGTTTTTGGATCAAGAATTGAAGGTTTAGTTTTTGAGTTTAGGGTTTAAGATTTGTGTTAAAGGCTTCAATTATAAAAAACAAACAAACTATCCATATAAATGTGTAGATTAGCTGGTTGATATATTTAATGTAGTCTTAGACTTGTGAACGTGTGGTATAATATGGATCATATGTATGAAATATTTTTGACTAAACATTAAGCGAATTGCATAATAGGAGATTTTGTGTATCACATATTTTCGTTGGGACATGACATCACAACCGGTTGTTTCACTTAGTTTCTCAAGAGCTGAAGGCTAATGGTGTAATTTCATAGCCGAATGATTGTACCATAGCAATTTCTCAACTCATATGGCTATATGCTTTATTTAGTCTCCCATAATGATTATTCAGCAAATTCACCCTTATAATTTTGAAAATTCCGTTTCATATTATTAACTTGCCCAGTTAAGCCTTTTACAACCAGATTTTTCATGTCCACAATGAACAAAAAAAGAAAAATGTAGAAAAATAACAAAAATAACTCACTCGGATTAGGAATGAGAAGACCACCATGAACAGAAAAATAATAGCATTACATCATACTTTAATCTCATTAGTTCACATGATCACTTGGTACATTTTTGTACAGCTAAGCAAAAGATGACTTCGGAAATTGATGGAACACAAAAACAAAAATCTCAATCGAGGAGTCCACTTTGCATGCATTTGTGGAAATTTTCCCAATGATCGATGATCTCAGCCATTGTATCACTCTCATTTGCAAAAATAGTCCATGTGTTTTGTGTGATAATTGATTTGAATTGTGTTTGAATAAGTTTTCTGAACATAGTATGTTATGGAAATTTAAACATAGATATGTTATGGAAATCTAAATTAACGTGAGTAGTATTTCTGTAATAATTATGTCGTTCAAATTGATGTTATTTTTGAAAAGTGGTACATCAAAAGTGACATATTATGAAACTTCTATTAGACAAAAGACGATAAGAGAATGTTGTTTTTATATAATGTCTGAAACCAAACCATGACAAACATATGTGTATATTATTAGTCTGTCAGCATCGGCGAGTTTTCCGGCCGTTGATTTTGTGGGAAGTCCTCACTGTGGTTGTGGGTTCGATTGTAATGGGCTTATCTCTTCTTCTTAAATCTATTAAGCCTTGTGTATTCCTGAATAAAAATGCCCTTATTAGTGTGTATATGATTATGGATTAATTATGTTTATATTTATTTGCGTTTTATACATTAGCCATTTTTGAATTTTTTTGTTGTTTTAATGCTCTCAAATCGAAACCAGAATTTTGGTCAAGTTGGTAAAATAAAACATTTTTTCTTCTTTCATTGATTAAGTCAGCTGTATTTGGTCTTTTTGTTAAGAAATGTCTTAATGCAAATTATTTCAACTTTATCCATTTGAGATCATTTTCCAAAAATAATTAGCTCATCATAATAAAATGACAGCCTGTAGAATCTAGCCACGTGCCAGCTGTCTCTTTAAATGACGTCATATTTAACAATATGTGAAAAGATATTTTCGACGACCGCTTTATCAAAAGTCTCCGGCGGATAAATGAAACCCAAAGGCGGAGATGGAATTCTCCGTTGGGATCACATCGGCAAATTTCGCGATCCAGAAGTTTTTAGAGTCACGGGTGTGGATTCGAGTATAAGGATTCAGATTCGAAATTGGAGATGTTTGAGAGAAACCCTTTTGTTTCTTCGTCTTAGAAAATTGAAAAGATGCTTTTGACCTATTCGTAAAGATTGCATCTTTAATATGTTCTTTTTAGTATTGTCTTGTCCAATAATATGACTATAGTTTCTGGAAATTCTGTTTTTGCGATTGTTGCTTCTATTTCATTTATGGGATACAAAGTTCTGTAGCAGTTAGAGGAGTGATTGCAGGAGAGATGTGAACATTGTGAAGTGAATTTAATAGTGCTTAAAACCCGAATGTTGTCTAAAAGTTAATGTCTTTTGTTCAAAACTCGTGCATTTCTTATTCATGTCCCTGGATAAAGTATTCTCTCTTTTTGGTGTTTTCTTCTTTAGTAATTTGGTTTGAATGAGCTGAGAGATGGGCTTGAGAGTTGCCTAAAATTTATGGAACTATTTCAATTGATCTCGAATCTGTCTTAACGGGTGAAAAGAGAACTAGCTTGTAGGTATTAGAGATAGTGAAATTGATTTTGGGTAACTAGAAAATGTTGCTGAAGTCTGTTTTTGGATTAACATGAAATAGGGGAATGGTTCTTCGAAGATCTACACTGATCTCTCTAATGCATCATACCATTGTGTTGATACTTGATGGTTGGTACTGTGATTTACTCAGTTTGAGCGCCTTAAGAGGCTCAAGATAGTATTAGGAACTGGAAAATGCCACAAGAACCTCTTAGTTATGGATTTTATTCTAATGTTTACGTTTTTACATGTAAAAAGTTCTTGAATATTCTCGTTTGAGATATATGTCTATTGTAGCAGAGAATCTAGGTAACAAATCTACCCGGAAACACGAGTTTGAATGTAGTAATTGAATTACATGTTACAATGTTGGTGTCATAAATCACAATCTTTTGTATGAGCTGCTTTTGAGAGGGAATGGTGTAGTTTAATCGATGGGATCTCAATTGAACCGGCATGGGTCGAATAACCGGTTTGATTTTTTTTTGGTTTGGTGTTGAAAACCCATTCCTCGTGGCTCGTGTACTCCATTCGTCAACGTCTTCATGACCCAATGGCCGATACTGCAATAAGTTTTTTTGGGTGGTACTTTCATTGCAGTTGGTCTCAAGGTTAACGAAATATGGTTATGTCCTAGTTCACTCGTCAACGCATAAGTCAATGAGTCTGCCAAATAATCAAGTTCCGGTTTAGAGGTCTAAACCGCTGGCGTCGAGCTCTTGATAGTTGATATGGATGGGGCAATCGATGTTAGAAAAGTTATCCAAAATTAACCGGAAACTTGTTCGTTCTACGATGTGCGACCTAATGGTGGTATTGTCCGAATCATAGATATCATAAGATTAAACAAAAAAACACCATGGTTATGCTTCTTTTATGAATTATCGTGATCTCTTTTACTAATAAAAGTTGAGCCTATATGCATTAGAGGGTGTACACCTAGGATTCTAAAACTGTATTTGATTGGTCCATGTCATTATTATTATTATTATTTTTAATTGAATAATTATTAGCAAATTTCCCTTTTATGCATATTAGCAAATTTCCATTTTTTTAATATCCATATATTTTCTTTTATTCCAATAAGTATTATTACTTTAACATATAACTTTAGTAAATTTCCTATTTTACAAATATTTTATTAATTAGATTTTAATAATTATAATTTTTATATAGATTATCTAATAAGAAATGACATTAGAAGTTGTCTTTTATATTAGTGGAAAATTGATTAAGAAGCCCATACTATCTATTATGGCACATTCAACCATTCATTTTAATGAAATCTCATATTTGAACATCTCTATTAAACAGTTTTTCATGGCAAATACACTAAGTAGTTAGACAAATTTTTTTTTTTTTAGCAACAAGGTGTTGTGTATAGCAAAAGAAAATAAGAAATTTAATTTGATCGGTACACATAAGCATCTTAAAAGAATTTCATTTTATTTGTTATTATGATATTTCCTTAATACTCAATTCTATTTTTATTCATATTAAAGTGTTTAGAAAATAGAAAAAATAAGATTTCTAATGACATAAAAAGGAAAAATTACTTCTATGTTTTTTTTTTAATTTTTCTAATGGATGTTTGGAAATTATTAGAAGATTTGGGGTTAAGAGGATTTGGTATAAATCATGACCTTCAAAGACATGCAATCTCTAAAATTCTGAAACGAAATGTTTGGTAGTGTGCATATAATTAAAGCAAATGAGAGATAGGGTGATCCGGGTCGGCCTGAGGTTCTTGGTGGCCTCAAATTTTAAAATATATTATTTTTTCAGTAAATTTATTTAATAGTTAAATAAAAAATAATGATAGATTGAAGAGTCTATTGCTGAGAAGTTTCAAACCATCCACATTGAGAAGAATGAAGAGCAACACTGCATATAAGCTAAATGAACATTTAGTAACATGTGGCATTAAAGTTTTATATATCTTTTGGTGGCGTAAATCATATGCTTTACCAGCTTTATATAGGGCCGAGGGTAATAATATTGATGTAGAATTTATGAATTCGATGAAATTGATTTTCAAGTGAAATTTAATTTAAGACTTTTGAGAAACACTGGCAAAAAAGTCGCATTTATGAATATTCATATTTGCATTTCAAATGTGAAGGTAATGAGTTTCTAATTTCACAGTGACAATTATCCCAAAATGTGACAAAACTAACTATTGAACCAAAAATTGGAGATTTAGTTATATATAATTAGAAAAGAAAATATGAAAAATATTAAAATAAAAATAAAAATTGTAAAGGATTTTATATCAACGATTTTTTTTTAAAAAAATGGAAAAATTAGAAAATTCATAAAACAATTTAAAAAAAACATAAAAACGGAAATTGGATTTTAATAATTGTAATTTCTATATAGATTATCTAATAAAAAATGACATTAAAAATTGTTTTGGAAAATTGATTAAGAAGCCCATATTATCTATTATGATACATTCAACCATTCATTTTAATGAAATCTCATATTTGAACATCTCTTATGAGATTTCATTAAAATGAATGGTTGACCACTTTGTCATCGAGCCAATTCCACCACTTCTTGAGTGTCATTGACCACTTTGTCACATGGAGACTCATCCCAGAATACAAGAGACCAAATGGCTGCGTCATCAACTTCTTTGAAGAGGTATTATAATATCTCCATGGATCAAAAAGTTTGCTACTTCTTCTCGCTTTTACTTTTAACATTCTTGGATATTGCACTTTGTCTTTCAGGGTGAATACTCACAGCCTTTCCTCAAACCACCTCATCTAGAGCAACCAATCTCTACTCTTGTCCTCTCGGAATCAACAATGGCCTTTGGACGCATTCTCTCTAGCGACAGCGAAGGCAACTTCAGAGGACCTCTCACTCTTTCTCTCAAACAAGGGTAACAGAACATTCAAACCCTTCGCTCTTGTCCATAAGGCAACTTCATTAACCATCTCTCAAATTAACCTGGTTTTTATAGGTCTCTCTTGGTGATGAGAGGGAACAGTGCTGACATGGCAAGGCATGTAATGTGTCCATCAAAAACCAAAAGAGTCAGCATCACATTCTTTCGTGTACGTCCTGAAACCAACCATTACCATTCACAACCAAACAGTCCTCACCACAACGACGGTGCAATGACAATGTGGCAACAACAACAACCATGTCCCTTCCCAATGCCACCAACTCCATTCCTCAACGGCTTTGATCATTCGGTTGAAGCGATGCCAAAATTTGGAGTCTTTCGTCCTCCGATGATCATGATGGCACCACCACCGCTTCAGCCAATGGTACTAACAAGTCCCGGTGCGATGGGAACCGGTGGTGGTACCGGAGTTTTCTTACCATGGGCGTCGGTTAGCTCAAGAAGACATGTGAAGCATTTGCCTCCACGCGCTCAGAAGAAGCGATTCCTTCCGCTTCCTTCATCAGTCAGTCTCTCTGCTGATCTTGAAAGATACAGTTATGGAATTGATCGTCGAGAAAAATGATGGCTCAACGTTCTCCATTGAAGCAGATACCAGCGAAACAGTGTTAGATATCAAAAAGAAGATCGACAAGTCTCAAGGTATCCCATTTTCCAATCAAAAGCTTTTCTTCCAAGGCACGCTTCTTGAAGAAGACGATCTTGATCTCAAACACTACAAGATCGTCAAACAATCTCGCATCCACCTCTTCTTGCCTCCTAACCTGAAACCTAATCACAACAAAGATCAAGTTCTTCATCAAACAGAGCAATCTCCGAAACCGCCAAAGTCGAGTACAGAGAAATCTGTAGTTCCTTTGACAAACGAAGAAAAAGTTTACCTTCAAGATTCGTCGGAGGGAAACAGCTACTATCAAGATTTGCTTCAAAGGGAGCCGTCAAATTTAGTCGGAGACTTGGTGTCCGGTGAGAATAAGCCTACGACATCCGAAGAAAACGTTAACATTCAAGATTCGTCGGTGAGACACAACTACTTTCAAGATTTGCTTCTAAGGGAGTCATCATCTCCTCTGTCATACTTAACCGGAGACTTCGTTTCCGGTGAGAAGAGGCCAATGAGAGCCGAAGAAAACGTTAACATTCAAGATTCTTGCGGGAGAAACAACTACTTTCAAGTCACCTACTAAGTCATATCCACCGTCAAACTTAGTAGGTGACTTCATGTACGGTGAGGATAAGCCTTTGTCAGCCGAATATTTCGCCAACATTCAAAGTTTCTTGCCTGAGAGTACATTCGAAGATATCTTTAGCAACAAGAATCAAGTGTTACCGTCACACTCAACACAACAGAGGATCAACACTCAAACGGAGAAATCTCCACCCGTCATTGACATTACAGATTCGCCTGAGAAGGTGAGAAGCGCCAAAAAGCCGGCGCAGAAGATGAGAGTAATGGTGTTGCCATTTTCCCGTGCGAAGAAAGCTGTGAATACGTTTCCGGTGGATGTAAACGCGAGTGAAAACGTGGAAGAGCTGAGGAAAGAGCTGGAGAAGATTCATCAACAGAGGTCTGAAGAGTTAAATCTTCCTGAAGAGGGTTACTTCTTTATACACAAACAGAGAGTGTTGGACGATGATCAGTCATTCCGGTGGAACTGTGTTGCTCACGGCGACACAATTGAGATATTTCCAGGCTCTACAGGCAGAAGATTTCGCCAAACGGGTTGTTAGTCTTAGCTTAACTCTGTTGCAGTCTCTCTTTCCTTATCGCTTCTTAAAACTTTGTTTTTTCTTAAAACTTTGTTGCTTTGTGTAAAGACATGTAATTAACTAATTACAAGGCAATGCAGTAGAATCATATTTTGTAGAATCACAATTTACGACCAGAGAAATGTCTTTCTTAAGATCAGATAAAAAACAGTGAGGCCAAAGCAGAAGAAATCTCGATCATGATGGATTATGGTTATGATTTACGCAGAACTAACAGTTTTTTAGTTCCCTAATTTGATTTAACGATAAATCTTTGATTTCAATCCAAAGTAGATAATGTTTTCTTCGGAAGAAGAACCACAGAAAAGTTGAGTCGGAAACTTCAATAACAAGTTTCCCGTGGCTCTAATAGCAAACCCTAATCGGAATAAGAAACGCTGCGTTTCAATCATTTCGAGTTGTTATCACAAAATAACCGTTGGATCATTTTAGTAAGGAGCGCTATCGACGGTTGAGATTCTTCGACGAGGCTTTCATTGATATTTAAACCAAATTTGGTAGAAACTTTCGTTACAGATCATCACTTTCCCTCTCTTTTCTCGCTCTTCTTCTTTTTTTTTTTGGTAAAACTCGCTCTTCTTCTTCACCAGTTTGATCTTGAAACACCATTGATACAGCTATCTATGGAATTAATCGTCGAGAAAAACGATGGCTCAACGTTCTCCATTGAAGCGGATACAGTGTTAGGTGTCAAAAGAAAGATCGAGATGTCTCAAGGTATCCCAGTCTCCGATCAAACGGTTTTCTTCCAAGGCACGCCTCTTGAGGAAGACCATCTTCATCAAATCTCGCCTCCACCTCTTCTCCTCTCCTAAACCTAATCACAACAAAGATCAAGTGCCTCCAGTACGTGCATATTCATTTGAAGAATTGTTTAACAATCAAGATTCGACTTTAATGGCGAGAAGCAACGACGACGATCAAATGCTTAATCAAACCCAGCAGCCTCTACGCCATGCATATTCATTTGAAGAGCTTTTTAGCAATCAAGATTCGACCAAGCATCAATCCCGGCAATCTCCAGTGCAGTCATATTATTTGAAGAGATTTTTAACACTCAAGATTGGTCTGTGATGGAGAGGAGCAACGAAGATCAAGTGCAAGGCTTTTGGCCTGTGGCAACCGAAGAAAACGTTAAGATTCATCAAGATTTGCTTCAAAGGGATCCATCTCCACCGTCAAACTTAATCGGAGACTTCATGTACGGTGACGATAAGCCTTTGTCAGCCGAACATTTCACTGACATTCAAAGTTTCTTGCCTGAGAGTAACAAGAATCAAGTGTTACCGTCAAACTCAACAGAACAGAGGATCAACACTCAACAAGTGACTGTGAAACAAACGGAGAAATCTTCACCGGTCAAAGAGGTCGTTAACATCCGAGATTCGCCTGTGAAGATGATCAGGAGCGCCCAAAAACCGCCACGGAAGATGAGAGTAATGATGCTGCCGTTTTCTCGTGAGAGTAAAGCTGTGAAGAAGTTTCCGGTGGATGTGGACCCGTTTAGAAACGTGGAAGAGCTGAGGAAAGAGCTGGAGAAGATTCAGCAGCAGAGGTCCAGTGAGTTAAAACTGCCTGAAAAAGGTTATTTCTTTATACACAAACAGAGAGTGTTGGACGATGATCAGTCATTCCGGTCTAACGGTGTTGCTCCCGGCGACACGATTGAGATTTTTCCCGGTTATGTTACCCATGATGGACATATTTGAGCTTTTTTTTTAACTCTGTTGTAGTCTCCTTTTTCCCTTTGTAGCTTTCAGTTTTACTTCAAAGTTTTCTTGTTTTTCGTTTTAAAACAGCTTTCTGTAAATATGCTAAGACATGTGATTGATGAATTAATAAAACAGGGCCTTTTTCAACAAGATGATCAATTCAAAGGAAAAGTCTGATTAAGCTCAAAAGAAAACAAACATTACGAGTTATGTATCAAACTTTTGCAACAAGATGATCAAATCTCATTCTACATTAGAACTACGCAAAGAGAGGAGAAGATGAATGAAGCAAAGACTTCTTTCTTCTTCTTCTTCTTCTACTGTCACTGTTGTTCCAATCTTCCTTATCTCTAAGTAACTCTGCGTCAAGGTTAAGTCTTCCTCATGATTCAGAATATCAATCTCCTACCATCATCATCTGATTTCTGAAAAATCCAAAGGTAACAGATTAAACCCTTAGCCCAACTCTACAGTAGATCATGCAGTGACAACAAAAGCCAACTTAGAACCTAAAACTATGGAACATGACAATCACCGGTTGCTGCAATCACTACTCAGAACAAGATAGCAAAGTCTACAAACTAAAGGAGGATCCGACATCAATCACCAAACAAGAGGCTAAACCCTGAAACGCTAAATCACCAAATCGATCAAAGAGGGAAGCTCACAAGCAGAATCAGTAAAGAGTCTAAGGACATTCCTATTTCCAGCATAAGCACATGAAATCCGTTTACTCCTAACATTATCCTATAAAGTATAATTCCTTTTGCAGATGAAAGCAACTGTTCTGGAAACAACAAAACAACAGTTCCAAACACAAAAGAAACAAAGAGGAAGCATCAAAAAGGAGACTAGAGTAGCAGCTTCTATAGGTCTCTGTTCCAAAGCTAAAAGCCTCACAGTGAGATTCATCAAATAAGAGAGTTAAAGAGAGCTTACATTGCTGAATTTTTGGAAGATAGCCAAACACAATCGGCCCACATGCTGTGCGTGGATGCCAACAGAAAGATATGCATCCATCCATTCCAAAAGTTTTCACCTTGGCAAGACACATCATGTGTCGTTCGTGGTTGTAAAAGCAAGTGGCAAGTTTCTCCTCCTCGTCCACGTAGAAACTCACGTGCCTCGTATAGAATGGTGTCGCATCATCTGCTAAGTACTTGGACCAAGACACAGACGCGGTCTCACCACCAATCACACTACTCATCCATATTTCCGTCTGTTCTTTCGTTGAACTCTCATAGAACAAACAGAGACGGTCTTCCTTAACAACCGAGAGAGCCAGATTGTTCAGAGCTTCTTTGAGAACATAAGGACCCAAACAGTCTGCTTCGTGGAAGGGAAGGTAGTGATGCTGAAACTTCTCGGTAGAGAAATCAAACTCCAGCAGAGTGTACTCCTTGGCTCCTCCTTTTCTCGAGATCCAGTAAGCATTCCCTTTCAGAGACACGCCGAGAGACTCAAAGCTTCCACCGGGAGAGACGCCATCAAGAGTCCTCCATGAGTCAGACTTAAACTCGTAAATCTCCACCGTTTGATCCTCAAGAGACCTCAAGATCTTGTAGCTACGGCACAGCTCCTTGTTATCGTAACCAAGAGCGTAGATTTTGTCACTCTTCATGCCATCGTTTCTCGGTTGGATCCATCTGGTTTGCCCCGAGAAAGGTTTCCAAGCCACAAATCGATTGTCCTCGGTGTTGGTGCATAACAAAATGCCATCGCAGTGAAAAGCTTGAGCTATTTTGACCTTTTTATTACTGACGGGATCGATGAGAAGAAACTGATAAAGTGACTCTTCATGATCGCATAGGAGCTCATAGTTTCGATCCCAAAATCATGCAACACGATCGCTTCATGATACTTCCTTGCTGGTGCCTTATCAGAGTGCCTTTTGATGAAGCTTGGATCTTTGAACAAAGGGTGATGGTACCATTTTTTGCCGGTAGCTCGTACGAGTCTCAGCGATTTGACCGGAACCCTAAAGAGTATCTCCTCTTCTAATTCCCTTGGAAGATTGGAGAGCTTCATCGTCGTTTCTGACTTCGAAATTGTGAATTGGTTAGCTCAGAATTCAGAAATCGTCGTCGTTTCTCCTCAAACGGCGACACTCTTCACACTTCGCCTTCACCGATTCAGAGATTGTGAAGAAATGATAAACCCTAAACGCAAAACGATGTCGCTTCCTTTTTTTAGAAAAATGAAAAAAAAAAAAAAATCGGATCTAAATGGGCTTATTTCACAAAACAGACCCGCTAATTATGGGCCCGTAAAGAAGCTTCAGTTCAAGCTCTGTACATTCTCCAAAAAAAACTTTCCAGTCGGATGATATGAATGGCAAATTTCAAAATACGTGGATAATTTGGCATTTAATAAGAGGTGTATCCGTGTATGGTCAAATGTTGAAGCAATCTGATATCTAAAAATCACTGTTGACAAACAAAAAAAGAAAGCCAAAAGCATGTTCATGCAAGGACTAAGGAGAACGTAACTCACTCCCAAACACGATGGAAGATGCATCTAATTTAACTTTGCCAGATGAAAAACTTCAAATCTTCTTCTGCGACATCAATAGTTCTGATGAATCAGACTAATAGAACAAGGCTTATTAACAAGATGGTCAAAAGGAATCTCTGATTGTGCTCAAAAGAAAACAAACATTACGAGTAATGGATCAAACTTTTATACAACAAGATGATCAAATCTCATTCTACATTAATACTATATAAAGAGAGGAGAAGATGAATGAAGCCAAGACCTCTTTCTTCTTCTTCTTCTTCTTCTTCTTCTACTGTCACTGTCCTTCCAATCTTCCTTATCTAAGTAACTCTGCGGCAAGATTAAGTCTTCCTCATGATTCAGAATGTCAATGTCCTACTCCTACCATCATCTGATTTCTGAAAAAATCCAGAGGTAACAGATTAGAGACCCTTAGCCCATGAAGTGACAACAAAAGCCAACTTAAAACTATGGAACATGACAATCACCGGTTGCTGTAATCACTAGTTCACTACTCAAAACAAGATAGCAAAGTCTACAAACTAAAGGAGGATTCGACATCAATCACCAAACAAGAGGTTAATCCCTGAAACGCTACATCACCAAATCGATCAAAGACAAAACAAGAAAAGCTCGCAAGCAGAATCAGTAAAGAGAAGTCATTTAACAACCAGCTCAAACGATTAGATACCTTTTACTAGACATTCTCAGTTCCAGAATAAGCACATGAAACCACTCAAAATATACCAAAACAAAACACAAACGTTTTAATCCTTACATAATCCTAAAAAAGCATATTCCTTTGGCAGATTGAAGCAGGCTATTTTGGAAACAACAAGCGACAGTTCCAAGCACAAAGAAACTAAGAATAAGAATCAAAAGGAGAGTAGAGTAGCAGCTTCCTAAAATTTGTATAAGGCTCACATTGAGATTCATCAAATGGGAGAGTTAAAAGAGAGCTTACATTGCTGATTTAATCAAACCTTGGAAGATAACCAAACACAATTGGTCCACATGCTGTGCGATCATGCCAACCGAAAGATTTGTATCCAGCCATTCCAGGAAATCCTTTCCTCGTTGCAACATCTCCAAAAACTTTCACCTTGGCAAGACATTCCATGTGTCGTTCGTGATTGTAAAAGCAAGTGGCAAGTTTCTCCTCCTCGTCAATGTAGAAACTGACGTGCCTCGTATAGAATGGTGTCGATTCCACTGCTAAGTACCTGGACCAATACACAGACTCGGTCTCACCAATCTCACTACTCATCCAAATCTCCGTCTTTGATTTCGTTGCACTCTCATAGAACAAACAGAGACGGTCTTCCTTGACAACCGAGAGAGCCAGATTGTTCAAACCTTCTTTGAGAACATAAGGACCCAAACAGTCTGCTTCGTGGAAGGGAAGGTAGTGATGCTGAAACTTCTCAGTTGAGAAATCAAACTCTAGCAGCGAGTACTCTTTGGCTCCTCCTCTTCTCGAGATCCATAAGCATTCCCTTTCAAAGACACGCCGAGAGACTCAAAGCTTCCACCGGGAGAGACGCCATCAAGATTCCTCCATGAGTCAGACTTAAACTCGTAAATCTCCATCGTTTGATCCTCAATAGACCTCAAGATCTTGTAGCTACGGCACAACTCCTTGTTATCGTAACCAAGAGCGTAGCTTCTGTAGCTGCTCATGCCTTCTCCCTCGGCTGGATCCATCTGGTTTGCCCCGAGAAAGGTTTCCAAGCCACAAACCGATTGTCCTCGGTGTTGGTGCATAACAAAATGCCATCGCAGTGAAAAGCGTGAGCTATTTTGACCTTTTCATTACTGACGGGATCGATGAGAAGAAACCGAGAAGGGCTTATGCGGCGATGATCGATGTATGAGCTCATAGATTGAATCCTAAACTCATTCAACACGATTGCTTTATGATACTTCCTTGGTGGTGCTTTAGCAGAGTACCTTTTGATGAATCTCGGATCTTTGAACAGAGGGTGATGGTACCATCCTTTGCTAGTGGCTCGTAACTGTCTCAGCGATTTGATCGGAACCCTAGAGAGTATCTCCTCTTCTATCTCACTTGGAAGATTGCAGAGCTTCATCGTCGTTTCTGACTTCAAAAACTGGATCTAGGCAGAATTCAGAAACCGTCGTTTCTCCTCAGATGGCGACACTCTCTTCTCCGATTCAGAAATTGTGAAGAAATGACATCAACCCTAAACGCAACAAATTCGAAAAATGGTGTCGTTTTCCTTTTTTTTTTTTTAGAAAAATGAAAAGAAAAAAATCGGGTCTAAATGGGCTTATTTCACAAAATAGGGCGCTAATTATGGGCCCGTTTTAACATTAGTCTAAGGGACAAGAAGGTTCACTTCAAGCTCTGTACATTCTCCAACAAAACTTTCCAACCGGTTGATATAAATGGCAAATTTCAAAATTCGTGGATAATTTGGCATTTAATATGACGTATATGATCAAATGTTGAAGCAATCTGATGTTTAAATCACTGTTGACAAACAAAAAAAGAAAGCCAAAAGCATGTTCATGCCAAGAGAACGTAACTCACTTCCAAACACAAAGGAAGATGAATCTAATTTTACTTTGCCATTCTTAAATTCTTCTTCTGGTACATCAATGTCAATACTGTTAATCAGAATTTTTCACATCTTCACCAAAAATTTATATATTCAAACAAAAAAAGAGAGCCGCTAGTAAAAAAAGGTTATAATCGAAGCAGAGAATCTTTATAATTAGTAATAACGAGTGTTTATCATATTTTTGTTCAAATTTATTCTCTCAACACTGGACTGAACCAGGAACTTCTGATTTTAAATAAACTGTAGTAAAACAATTACAGAAACTAGGAAACTTCAACAACAAGTTACCATTAGTTAACAAACCCTAAGATTTGCTGCGTTTTCAACTTCCAAACATTTCGAGTTGTATCGTACACATAGTGACCGTTGAATCATTTTAGTAAGAGGCGGTATCAACGGTCGAGATTCTTCGGGGCTTTCACTGATGATCTTGATTCGTCAGTGATATTTAAACCAAATTCGGAAGAAACTTTCGTTACAGATCATCACTTTCCCTCTCTTTCTCGCTCTTCACTCATCTTCTTCGCCAGTCTCCATTGATACAGTTATGGTAGTGATCGTTGCGAATAAAAGTGGCTCAACGTTCTCCATTGATGCGGATACCAAGGAAACAGTGTCAGGTGTCAAAAGGAAGATCGAGATGTCTCAAGGCATCCCTGTCTCCAATCAAATGATTTACTTCAAGAACACGCTTCTTGAAAGACGATTTTGATCTCAATCACTATAAGATCGTCAAAAAATCTCGCCTCCACCTCTTCGTCCCTCACAACGATCAAGTTCTTCATCAAACAGAGCAGTCTCCGGTACCGTCAAAGTCGAGTACAGAGATCAGTAACATCGAAGATTCGACTTTGATAGCGAGAAGCGACAACGACGGAGATCAAGTGCTTAATCAAACCGTGGAACCTCCACTAACGTCAGACGAAATGGATGAAATACTTAGCTGGCCATTATTAACAGCCGAAGATTGCAGAAACGTTCAAGAAACTTGGAGGAGAAGCAGCAACAATCAAGATTTGCTTCAAAGGGAGACATCTCCTCCGTCAAACTTAAACGGAGAATTCGCGTATGGTGATGATAGGCCGTTGTCAGCCGAAGAAATCAGAATATTGCAAGAAGACGTTAACGTACAAGATTTGCTTCAGGGGGAGCCATCTCCTCCGTCAAACTTAGTCAGAGATCACTTCATGTACGGTGATGATAGGCCTTTGTTAGCCCAAGAAATCAGAATATTGCAAGGAAACGTTAACGTTCAAGATTCGTCGAGGAGTAAGACCTACTATCAAGATTTGCTTCTATGGGAGTCATCTCCTCCGTCAAACTCAACAGAAGAAAGGATCAACACTCGAGATGAGACTGTAAATGTTGGGAGCAGCAATCCACCTGTGAAGATGATCAGGAGAGCCCCAAAATACCCGCGGAAGATGAGAGTAATGATATTGCCGTGTTCCCATGAGAGTAAAGCTGTGGAGAAATTTCCGGTGTATGTGAACGCGTTTGAAAACGTTGAAGAGCTGAGGAAAGATCTGGAGGAGCTTCAGGAGAGGTCTGAGTTAAATCTGCCTGAAAAAGGTTATTTCTTTATACTCAAACAGAGAGTGTTGGAGGAAGATCAGTCATTCTGGGGGAACAATGTTGTTCCCGGCGATACAATCGAAATCTTTTCCGGCTCTAAAGACGGAAGAGTTCGCCAACCGGGTCATTAATCTGAGCTTTAACTCTGTTACAGTCTCCATTTTCTTTCAAAGTTTCCGTTTGGTTTCAGACAGCTTTCTGTAGATATGGTAAGATATGTAATTACTCCGAGGATAATCAAAATGTAAAGTCGTTATATGCTTCACGCGAAGCTCTATATATTAAGTTCAACCGCAATTGCAATCAAGATCTGCACAGTTACATATTTTCAAAACCAACAAGAATCGGCTTGAATTGAGAGTTTCAAAGATTGGGCGTCTATATATTCATGGTAACTAAAACCTTTACCAATTTTCCAGCATCTGCAGTTACAATAACTTAACTAAGAATTTACCAATTAAACAAACGTGCTTGGTTTTGTCCTAGGAGGCTTTGCTTTAAAGCTCGTCTTTTTGAGATTCTTGGAGGCATTGCTCATCCCAATGGTAAGGAAACTTTAACCTCGCAGCAGTGTGTGGCATAAACCAGTCATCGTAGGTGAAGCTAAAAAACACAAAACGTTCCGCATGATTAGTAACAGAACACAGTCACATATAACACCTATAAGCAATTTCTTGGAAAAAATGTTACATACACTTTAATAGGCGGCCGAGATATAATAACCAACACCTGCAAGTCCTCATGACCAGTGTTCTTGACCTGTAAGAACCGTAATAGATGATTGTGAGCTAGTTTCATTTGACATCCCAAAAAAAATTTCAGCAGAAGAAAAAAATCCATCTTCCTCTGATTTCTATGGATATACAGAGGACACGCAGCATATCTAACACTCTATAGTAATCTTAAACAAAATACCATAAGTTGCTCATATATGTTCAATGTTACTTTAAGTAACATTTTGCATACGATTAGTTGCATTAATTGAATCATTGGCCTTCCATGAAGTTTTTTTTGCATTAATTTAATCAAAATTTACAATTAACAGAAACTTTAACAAACTTGGATTTCAAAGTCTTAACTTAAAAATTGAAGCCAAAAGCATGTTCATGCCAAGAGAACGTAACTCACTTCCAAACACGATGGAAGATTTGAGTGTGTACTGTTTATCCTCTTTTTGTTCAAGTTTATTCTCTCTCAATATTGGATTTAACAAGGAAATTTTGATTTTAATCAAACTGTAGTAAAACAATTACAGAAACTAGGAAACTTCAACAACAAGTTTCCATTAGTTCACAAACCCTAAGATTTGCTACGTTTTCAACTTTCAAACAATTCGAGTTGTATCGTACACATAGTGACCGTTGGATCATTTTCGTAAGAGGCGGTATCAACGGTTGAGATTCTTAGAGGCTTTCAAAATGTAAAGTCGTTATATGCTTCACGCCAGGCTCTCTTATTAAGTTCAACCCAAGTTGCAATCAAGATTTGCACAGTTACATATTTTCAAAACCAACAAGACTAGGCTTGAACTCAGAGTTTCAAAGATTGAACGTTTATATATTCATGGTAACATCATTTAACTAAAACCTTACGAATTTATCAGCATCTACTGTTACAATAACTTAAACTATGAGTTTACCAATTAAACAACCGGGCTTGGTTTTGTCCTTGGAGACTTTGCTTTCAAAGCTCGTCTTTTTGCGATTCTTGGAGGCACTGCTCATCCCAATAGTAAGGAAACTTCAACCTCGCAGCAGTGTGTGGCATAAACCAGTCATCGTAGGTGAAGCTATTAAAAAACAAAACCGATTTTCCGCATGATTACTAACAGGACACAGTCACATATAACACATAAGCAAATTCTTGGAAAAAGGTGATACATACACTTTTATAGGCGGACGAGATATAATAACCAACACCTGCAGGTCCTCATGACCGGTGTTCTTGACCTGTAAGAACCGTAATAGATGATTGTGAGCTACTTTCATCTGACATCCCAAAAAGTTTTTCAGCAGAAGAAAAAAATCCATCTTCCTCTGATATCTCTGGATATACAGAGGAAACGCAGCACATCTAACACTCTCTAGTAATCTAAAAAAAAAATACCATAAGTTGCTCATATATGTTCAATGCTACTTTAAGTAACATTTTGCATACGAAATTAGATCGGTTGTATCATTAGCCTTACATGAAGCTTTTTTTTTGCATTTAATCAAAATTACGGTTAACAGAAACTGTAACAAACTTGGATATCAAAGTCGTAACTTAAGACTCTAGGCAAGAGCAGAATCATCTAAAACGATGTTGAGAGGTAGAAGACTATACCTGATGAGCATCATTGATTGGAATAGTAAGTGTACTGTTAGCAAAGACAGGAAATTCAATTGGTTTCCCAGGGAAACTTTCATGTGTTTCAGCGAGATACAGAGTACCACTGCCCTTCAGGACAACGAAAATCTCTTCACAGGAGTGCCTGTGAATCGGTGTCTCTGAACCTGGAGCAAATGTTTGAAGCCATATTTCAACCTGCAAAAAAAAAACGAAACGAATCGATGTTACTGTTGCTATCTAGTGTTTAAAAGTGTGAACAAAATATCCATCACCACGAATCCAACCATGAAAGGACAACACAGTTTGATAACGGCATTGAACATTACCTCTTTCATTCCGTGCAATAGTGCTCCAGCAACAGTAATGTGAGAAAGACCTGGTCTTCCATAGTTATCCTGAGGAAGGTCACTAATGTTCCTCACGATTGGCAAGCCTGCATATACCACTCTCAAGAGTCAAAAACCAGTAATAACATCAACATTTCTAAGTATCGATGAAATTGCAGCGAATCTGTATCATATCAGCAGCTCAATTCCACTACAACGCATTCGGAAACACTACCACAAGAGACTGGAAGAAAATTTGGTACCGAGAAATGAGGATTCTTAGATTCTAATCAACCGCAAGTTCAACACAATTTGGTCCATTTGATTCTAATAGGACATATAGAGAAACGATTTCACACCTAAGTCAGATCTTAGATTTATAAGTGTAATGCGCATAAGAGGAAATCCGCATTCAGAGCATAATCTGCAGGGCCGTAGATCGAAGCAATCTTATGGCGAGTGAGGGAGAAAAACGCGAGACTCACCATTGATAGGGCAAGGAGCTCCTAGAGTAGCTTGAAAGCAGGAAAGCAAAACAAGCACGCCGGAGATGACGGCGGCGATCGGAGAGGACGAAAAGGAACCAATCGGAAAGACGATCATTTCCAAATGCTTCGTGGAACGATTTTCTTTTTCTCTTGAGAATGCCCAGAACTGGAACTGTTGAAAAAGATTTAAGATGTTTTCGAAATAGCCCCCTATTTTTATCTTTTTCTATAGTAGTCCCACTACTATAAAAAAATCAGAAATTACCACTGTTCATTTTAATAATGACGAAGAGTAAGATAAAACTAAATAATTTATATCAAAGATAAACAGAAGAAACTATGTTATTGACTTATTCATTAACTGCTATCATCAAAGTAATACTAGATGGTGGGTTAATGGGAACATTTAAGATAGTATATAGGTTGATAAGGGGAAATCTAAAAGAATAGGGGGTAGAATGTTATTCAATTGGATAAAACTTTTCTGGAGTGTCATGTAGTGATGAGGATTCTGCTTCTCCTGTGAAAAAAATTAAAAAACCTTACCCGCTCCTCTAAAACCTCCGTCTTCTCCGATATATTTCCTCATTTCCGGTGAGATTTCACTGACAAAATCAATCACACGCTTATTTGTTTCTTCTTTGTCTTCAATTTCATAGTTTCTGTCGTCTGCTTCTGTTTAGGCTTATGTTATTTGTATTGTTGATGTCACTACCACTGAAAATGAATGACGACTTTTTGGGAGAAATTGTTTGAATTTTAGTGTTTTCTGGGTAAATATACAGTACAGGTTTACTCCGAATTGATATGATTTCTCGTTAATTTTGTTCTTCCGTTTTTGCAGGAGAAATTTTCGGAAATCATGAAGATTAGGTTCTGTAGCGGCTTCACGAAACCTGGGTTTTTGCTAGTTCATTTTGAGCCACCATCGGTTTTCTCCGTTGGATCTCGTTCACTCGCCGATTCCACTTACGGAAACTTGTGCAACCACAAGAAGAGACCTGGAATTGGTCTAACTGTCCAATGCGCTATTGCAAATCGGAGATTCTCTTCACGTCCCGTGGATTCGCCGAGAAGGGAAAGGTCTCGTTCTTCTTCGGGACGGGATAAGGATAAGGATAAGGGGAGAGAATCTCAGTCTCTGTATAGTCGTCCGAGTCTGTTAGAGATGAACAAGGAAAAAGCTGCTAATCGTGCTAGGGTTTACGAGTTTCTGCGTGGGATTGGGATTGTTCCTGATGAGCTTGATGGCCTTGAGCTCCCTGTAACAGCTGATGTGATGAAAGAGCGTGTAGACTTTCTCCACAAAATCGGACTCACCATTGAAGATATCAACAATTACCCTCTTGTTCTTGGTTGTAGCGTGAAGAAGAACATGGTCCCGGTTCTAGATTACCTCGGGAAGCTAGGCGTGAGGAAGTCGACATTCACTGAGTTTCTTAGAAGATACCCGCAGGTTCTTCACGCGAGTGTTGTTATAGACCTTGCTCCGGTGGTGAAGTATCTCCAAGGACTTGATATCAAACCGAGCGATGTACCTCGTGTGCTTGAAAGGTATCCAGAGGTTTTAGGGTTTAAGCTTGAAGGGACTATGAGCACATCAGTGGCTTATATGGTTGGTATAGGTGTAGCTAGGAGGGAGATTGGTGGTATTTTGACTCGGTACCCGGAGATTTTGGGGATGCGAGTTGCTCGGATAATCAAGCCTTTTGTTGAGTATCTCGAAGGTCTTGGTATTCCAAAACTGGCTGTAGCTAGGTTGATTGAGAAGCGGCCTCACATTCTCGGGTTCGAATTGGATGAAACGGCGAAACGAAACGTTCAAACTCTGAAAGATATCAATGTCAGAGAAACAGCTCTTCCTTCTATCATTGCACAGTATCCTGATATCGTAGGAATCGACCTTGAACCTAAGCTCGAGACGCAAAGGAAGCTGCTTTGTTCAGCTATTGATCTGAATCCAGAGGATCTCGGGCCTATGATCGAGAGAATGCCTCAGTTCGTTAGCCTCAACGAGCCACCGATGTTGAAGCACATTGCTTTCCTTAAAGAGTGCGGATTTTCGATTGAGGAGACGAGGGAAATGGTTATTGGATGTCCTCAGGTTCTTGCTTTGAACCTTGGGATAATGAAACTCAGCTTTGAGTACTTCCAAAAGGAAATGAGAAGACCTCTTCAAGATCTTGTGGATTTCCCTGCGTTCTTTACCTATGGGCTTGAGTCTACGGTAAGGCCGAGGCACAAGAAGGTATTAAGGAAGGGAATCAAGTGTTCGTTGGCTTGGATGCTTAACTGTTCTGATGAGAAGTTCGAACAGAGAATGAGTTACGACACAATAGACATCGAGGAGGTTGAATCTGATCCATCTATCTTTGACATGAGTACATTGATGCAACCTGAAAGAGAGGAATCTGATGATTCTGAGTACGAGGAAGAAGAAGATGATGAAGACGAGGAGTTTGCGTAAACAAATGGATGTAGAAGAAAGGTCCAGAGGCGAATAATGCTTTGATGGGATCAATGGGGAATGATTTGCTTTGAATTTGAACAATCTCTGTCGTTGTATTGATTCTTTCATCATGTTGTTGATAGCTGAACAATGTAGCAGATAAAGCGAGCGAAACGCTAAACAGCTTCGTGTCGTTTATAAGAGCCAATACTTTTTTTTACGAGTGTCAGCTTCTTTCTTTGTGACACAGGAGGGTTGGTGTTGACAATTCAATATTACGGATTTGCCCCTGAGGGCATTTTCGTCATTATAAAACATGTCATCCCTAATATACTAAAGCACAAGTCACATGACCAATTAAAAATCGACATGTGTACTGTTTAAGTAAAATAAAGCGTTAATAATCTATCATTAAGTCTGCCACGTCACAAATACAAAGCATTAATTTTATAGGCTTTAAATTGAAATCGTTTCGGGGCTTTCAAACTGAAACAGAATGTTTTATTGGGTCAATATGAAATAAAGCCCAAAAAAATAACAAACCCATTTAGAAAATCTATTTCGATTTTATCACACGATTCAGTTCACGTTTCGCTGTATCAACTCAAATCCCTAATTTTTCGAAATCCTTAACCCACCACTCTTTCACGATCGTAATCACAACTGCTAATCTCCGATACAACTCACCATCATCTTGCTTATTCTGTTGCAGTTTTTCCTCATTCATGTTTTTCTCTCTCTCTTCTCCGTTATCTCTTCAATCTAAACTTCATATTCATCATATTCAAAGTTCCTTAGATCACGACTAATTTCTGGATTCGGGATACTGTTTCTCAAATCATCTACAAAGTCTTCTATGATCTTTATCGATCTTTTTTTTTGGCTTCTAACTGAGAAAAGCCAAAATTTACTTCACAGGTTTCTTACATCCCATTTCTTACTCATTTTAATTCATATTAATGTTTTTTTATTTACTTACTGTCTCTTTCTGTTAACATATGGCTAGATATCATGAATTTCGAAGTATTGGAGAACAAAGTGATTACAGGGGAACCACACACCCTTACAAAATCGCTTTCTTATTCAATACTTACCTGAAGCCGTGTGATCATATCGAGCATGTTTCTCGCTTCAATTTCTGCCCTTTTGGAGAGATTGAAAGTCGATCTAATGCTGATGATGTTTTCATTGGTATGTTAGTTAATTCATTGGTTGGAAGCAAGTTTTTTGTACTTTATGCATTCTGAATCGCTTTTTGATGTTCATGCTCTACTCTCATTTACATTGTAGACATACTTGGTGAAGTTATCGGGATGAGTGATGTGAAACAGAAAAACGTTGCAAACAATCCATCAAAGTTGTTGGAGTTGCAACTTAGAATCTAAAGTAAGTTGATTCATGATATTGTAAATATATTACGTTTTCATTCATAAGAATTATCTCAATAAGTTAAGGATTATATAGGATTTAGTATTACCTCAAAAAAATGTAGGACTATTTATCTCTAATCTCTTCAAAGCTTCGTAGGTTTCTGAAAACTGAAATCGTTCTTTCAGTAGGTCTTCATGATTTGGGTAAACATGTCTATAGCATCCTAATTTTACTTACCCTTTTCTTTTTTTTTAGCTTTTACCATGCCTTAATTCATACTGTAACAATAATCGACAGTAGGAGCATCTTCACAGGTTTCTTATGCATCCTATTTCTTACTCTCTAATTGGTGCAGCCTCATTTCCTCACACATATTTGCTTTCTTTATCATTTTGCGTTGATCAAAGCCTTATCTGTTTCCGTTTTTACTTTTATGGGGCATACACACAAAAAAATTGTTGTCTATGAAGAACTCATCAACGCAGAATTGCTCACTTGCTTTTATTTTCCTTTTCTTTGGCTGTTAGAATGATATATTGCTTTCGAGAAGCAAAGCACTCAGATATAGTTCTTATAAACATGTGTAAGCGCTTTTCTTTATTGTATTCTCACTGGGGTTAATACATATTTCCAGGTCTCTGATCATCTTGACCTTTTGTCTTATTGTTACATGGATGGATTCGTAATGCAGGTGGTGTCATAATCTTGGTCGGGAACAAGAAGCAAACAAGCCTCTTTTAAAGATTATCTTCCAGGTATGCATGTGTATGTTTTAATTAATCAGAATAAATGACCTAAAATCTGAAACTTCAGATTGATTTCTTTTCCTTCAACATTCAATAACAGGTTATGATGCGATTGTTGCGGAAGACAACTTTGATGTTTGTCATACGAGATAAAACACGGGTATGATTTCTTCCAATGCATAGATCATTGTTTTTTAGGTTTTATGCATAGATCATTGTTTTCGCTGAGAATGCAAGATGAATGGGCTTTTCCTTTTGCATTATTTTGATATAAATTTTGTAACAATATCTGTGTTTTCAAATTTCCCGAGCATTTGTGACTTTTTAAAATCTGTTATCATCTAAAGAGCTGCTATATGATTTAAATTTTGTGCCCTTGCATTCTCAATTTTTTTGTTGTTTCCATGGGTTCTTCACATATTTTTTTCCTTTCTACGTGGTTATACATTCAGTTCACATTTAATTATTATTTAAATATGTAATTGTCTTATAGTTTGTCTGGCAGGATAGTTAGAAGAAGGTAAAAGATAATGAATAGGATAAGCTTGGATCGTGGAAACACCAATATTGAAGAAGAAGAAAAAGACGTAGAAGAAGATGGTAAAAGGATCACCATCGGCAAATATATTTTGCAATCTTCTTTCTTCTTTAAGTGGATATTTTATGTAGTTTTTCATTTGCTTTTAACTTACTCTTAACGTAAAACTATCAACCAAATAATAGAATATGAATCTTTTGATTTTAAGTACTTAACGATTGCAAAACATATCTTAAAGATTATATATACTAAAATATATCTCCATAATCTTATTTTCTGTATACATTAATGAGAGACTGACTATTTTAAAAAAATTATCATAACAAAACAGAATTGTTATAAAAATTTGTCATAACTAAAAATCTGAAAGAAAAATTAAACCCGTGCGTATGCACGGGAGGACACACTAGTACTTTGAATAAGGCGAGCGAAACGCAACAGCTTCGTGTCGTTTATAAGAGTCAGTGCGACGCCGTTTCTTATAAGAGTGTGATTACTTTTTTTTTTACAGTTGCCTAAGATTCCTTATTATAAACCCAATCCCTAAATTCCACTCGGCTTTCACATTTAATCACTTTCTTTCACTTTCCGAGAAAATTGCTCCGAAATCCCGAGAAAAAATATATTCGCGCTTTTTTGTTTTTTCCATGGATAACCTTCAGGATCTAGCGATCGAAGACGAAGGTGTACAAGAGATCGTTCACCACTCGATGCACAACTGGTTAAACAAAGAACAGATTCTCTACCTCTACGCACACCATCTTGTTCATCTTTTCCAGTTTCGGATGTTAAAGGAGGTCCGATTCCGAGGGTTGCCGGTTTATTCGTCTACGAGGAGGCGAAGTTCTTCGATAATTACGATTGGGATGACGTCAACCAAGGAAAACGACTCAATTGCAAGTCTCGACCTCTCGGTGCTCGAGTTGATCCTAGGGTCAATTACACCGTTGCTTCCGAATCTGTACCTCCTCTGTTTACATTTTTCAGACGCACTCATCATGTACTTAGATACCCCAACGCTGGTGCAATTCTGAATCTTGTGGCGCTGGTTCATTACCGAGAAGTAGAAGTTGCAGATCCGAATCCTGAAGTCCAACAAGCGGGAGAAAATCAAGATCCGGCTGTGCAAGTTGCAGAGGTTGTAGATGACGTGCAAGCTGTGCATGTGCAAGCTGAAGCGGAGGTTGCAGAGGATGTGGAAGGAGCAGATGTTGCAGAGGATCAAGCTGTGCAAGCAGAAGAGCAAGCTTCTTCCACGATCAGGTCGGATTTGCAAATTTCATTTTTACGTTTATGCTAGATAGCATGTCCTGGATCTTGTCGATTAGGAAGCATCGATGTTGTGGATTTCTCCAGATATTTGAAAGCTTTATCGGTTTCTTTAGATTATCACTAAAGTTTACTGATAATATATACTGTAAAATGTAAATTGTTACAGTGGTGTTGTTGAAACTGGAATCAAGAAGAAGAAGGTGGTGCTGCTCGGAACTGGATGGGCTGGAACTAGTTTCTTGAAGAATTTGAACAATTCTCAGTATGAGGTTCAGATTATATCGCCTCGAAACTACTTTGCTTTCACTCCCTTGCTGCCTAGCGTTACTTGTGGAACTGTTGAAGCTCGCAGCGTTGTTGAGCCAATTCGAAACATTGGAAAAAAGGTAATTGTGCTGTTCTTTCCCTGTTCTGCTTTGTGCTCCATTAAATTTCTCCGAAACATATTATCTTGAGTAGACTTACTTGCATTTGCTTCTTCTGTTTGCAAAAAGTTTAATATTGTAAAGTTTGCTAATGCATGCTTGTTTTACTGTCCTGGCAAGCAGAAAAATGTTGATACATCTTACGTGGAGGCAGAGTCTGTTAAGATTGATACAGTAGGCAAGAAAGTTTTCTGCCGATCCAAACAAGGGCTTGATTCGAATGGCAAGAAAGAATTTTCTGTTGACTATGACTACGACTACCTTGTGATTGCCACTGGAGCTCAGTCTAACACCTTTAATATACCCGGAGTGGAGGAGCACTGTCATTTTCTGAAAGTAAGTTTTTTTGTTTGGCTCTTAACTCCATTTCTTGCTTCACTTGGTATGTTGTTTTGTAAGCAGTTATATAGTTCACAGCTCGAAAAGCATATGAGAAGTATGTAATGTCTAATGGCTGATCATTGTATGCATGTTAAATTTCTGAGGCTTTTATTGGTTTCAATGTCTACGTGTAGGAGGTTTCAGATGCTCAAGGAATTCGTAAAACTGTAATTGACTCCTTTGAGAAGGCAAGTCTACCAGAACCAAGCGATGAAGAGAGGAAGAGAATCCTGCACTTTGTTGTTGTTGGTGGTGGGCCAACAGGTGTTGAGTTTGCCGCTGAGCTTCATGATTTCATTACTGAGGATCTAGTCAAACTCTATCCTAGAGCCAAGGATTCAGTGCGAATCACGCTTCTGGAGGGCGCACACCACATTCTCACCATGTGAAATTTCTTGCCTCTAAATCTTCTGAATCGTTGTCTTTATCTTTTTTTCCTGGTTTCTTGGTCAGCAGAGGTCATTTCTTACGTTTCATGTTTCCTTTAAAAACCCTGTATGATGATTCATGGGAAGCGTTTCTTTCACAGGTTTGACAAGAGAATCACTGAGTTTGCCGAGGAAAAGTTTAGCAGAGATGGCATTGATGTGAAACTTGGCTCCATGGTGACCAAAGTGAATGAGAAAGATATATACGCTAAAACCAAAGCAGGAGAGGTTTCCTCAATTCCTTATGGAATGATTGTCCTGAAACAAATTGGTCAGGTAAAGTAGTGTGCTTAGATAAGCTCTCAGCCACTTAACATATCCTAGCAAACACGCTTTAAGAAATTGTCTTTGTTATTGCAGGGTAATAGACGTGCTCTGGCCACTGATGAATGGCATCGCGTAGAAGGATGGGATAACATATACGCACTTGGTGATTACGCAACAATTAACCAGCGCAAAGTCATGGTAACTTAAAATCTTCTCCTTCTTCCTAAACTCTGGACTAATGTTTTGGATTATTAACAATAAATTACCAAATGGTTTCGTGTTGCAGGAGGATGTTTCTGCGATATTTAGCAAAGCAGACCAAGACAAGTCTGGGACACTGACTCTTAAAGAGTTCCAAGAAGCTGAGATCGAACACAGAGAGGTAAACAACAACAATTCCAACTCTATATTTGTAGTAAAGATTTGTATCGACCATAGCGTTCCTAAACTCGAAAATGCTCTTGGCAGCTACTCTGGCATGGGTCACGTCTCACGTATTTGACAGTCCCAACTCAATACGTCTTCCTTGTCCGCTTCATCAAAGTTTCGATGACTGACCCGGAAGTGAGTGGCTTTTTTTGCTTGAACTTGTAATCTTTTTGTTAACACTTAGATTGGAAAAAGACTCATCTTTGGTTTTGTTGTTGCCCTTTCTAGATGGAGAATATGGTTCATTTTCTTGCTGAATTGGGGTTGATGCATTACGAGACATTGAAGTTCTGTCCCTCCATGCTTGCTGCCTCAGCTGTGTACACGGCGAGATGCTCATTGAACAAGTCCCCTGCTTGGACTGATACCTTGAAGTTCCACACCGGCTACTCAGAATCTGAGATCATGTAAGATCACAAACGACTTCCAAATATTTCATCATCATTGTCATGTGGTTTTAATCTGAGGTTTGTTTTTTTTTTGTTGTGTTGTAGAGAATGCTCAAAGGTTCTAGCTTTTCATCACTCGAGATGCGGAGAGAGCAGGTTACGTGCGGTGTATAAGAAGGATTCGAAGGCAGAGAAAGGAGGTGTTGCTTTGGTTTCAGCAGCAAAGTCTCTCTCGAGTTGAAGAAGCCCGTTTCTGCTCAAGTGATTAACAGATGCGAAAATGAGCATAAAGAAGACATTACTTTTTCATCAGATATCTCTCTGATTCAAATTTGGTTTCGACTTGATTTTTTTTACGGCTTGGGTTGGTTATAAAACTATATTCATGCACTCTTTTATCAGTGTTGTTCTAATCATCCTTGGAAATCTTCTGATTTTTACTTTTTTTTTTACCTTTCCATAATCTCTAAAATCTAAATGATGTTTCTTCCAACTTGATAAAAAAATCATTTTCTTGTAACGAGATTATCACTTAAAAGTGAACTTATTATCCATCTGTCGTTTGTTTTTTCATACTATGACAAACTCAGAAAATCTTATCTGTTGAGTAAAATTCGGATTTAAGCTATAATCCTAAAACCTTTGTTACTTGTGCACCGAAAGTTCAACACAAACACGTGAATTTTGTTGACAGGAATTACAAAACCTGCCACTAGGAGAATTTTTACTAAACCGGTTTTCGATCTCACGGCCGTTGTTTCCATGGAGAGCACGGTGGAGGAAGCGGCGAGGGAGAGGGTTAATCACGTGATTTTCAACAACGATGGTGATTGGCTAGTTTTCACGGCGAACCTCGGTGGTATAACGGCGGAGCCGGTGGCGATGCCAAACCAGTTTCAGCCGTACGGGGACTTGTATGTTGTGAAAGTGGACGGAACGGCTGACGTGGAATGGGTATGAAGATGGAACTCCAACGTGGCATACTGTGGAAAATTTGGAGCTGAGTCGATTGAGCTTGATGAACTCTTGATATCGTCTGCGATTTGTAACGGCAAGGATTTGGGACCGTTTGTGCGGAAAACGTTCGGTACGGGAAAACTGGAGACTCTTCTTCAGCATCTCAAGTTCTTCGCGCGATCTAAGGAATCGGAGATCGAGGAGGTGTGTAAGGCTCACTATCAGGAGTTTATCCACGCCGTAGACGATCTCAAGTCGCTTCTCTCAGATGTTGAATCTCTCAAATCTGCGCTATCCGATTCGAATTCTAAACTCCAGTCCGTCGCAGGGCCGCTTCTCTCGACTCTCGATTCGCTTGTTGAGGCGCAGGTGTGTCGAAGAACGTCGATCTGGCGGTTGGAGCCGTGACGCACTGCGTTCGTCTCCCGAGCCAATCAGCATCTCCAGAGCGGTAATTTCTACATGGCGTTGAAGTGTGTGGACTCGATTGAGAGCGATTTGATGGAGAAAACTCCCTCGTCGACGCTGAAACGGATGCTGGAGAAAAGGATCCGGAGATTCGATCTTATGTGGAGAGGAAAGTGATGAAAGAGTTCAATGATTGGTTGGTTGAGATCCGTGTGGTGAGTCGAAATTTGGGCCAGTTAGCGATCGGTGAAGCTTCTGCAGCTCGTCAGCGAGAGGAAGAGCTCAGGATCAAGCAGGGACAAGCGGAGGAGCAGAGCAGACTCAGTCTCCGCGATTGCGTCTACGCCTTAAACGAAGAAGAAGAAGATGAATTCGGGTCCGGCCCTGATAGCAGCGATGCTGGCAGTTCCGGTGGAGGATTGATGGGCTTTGACATGACTCCGCTCTATAGAGCTTATCACATTCATCAGACTCTGTCCCTTGAAGATAGCTTCAAGCAGTACTATTTCACGAACAGGAAACATCATCTTAGAAACGACTCACAGGTTTCTTCTATGACTCCGTTTCTTGAATCTCATCAGACGTTTTTCGCACAGATTGCTGGGTTTTTCATAGTAGAGGATAAAGTTTTGAGGACTGGAGGAGGTTTGGTTTCGAAGCTGGAAGTGGAGGCTTTGTGGGATATCGCTGTTGTTGACATGTGTGCTGTGTTGGAGGATCAGTTCTCTAGGATGCAGACGGCGAATCATCTCTTGCTGATTAAGGATTACGTGAGCTTGTTAGGAGTGAGCCTACGCAGGTATGGCTACGCTGTTGATTCCCTTCTCGAGGTGTTGAGCAAGCACAGGGACAAGTATCACGAGTTGCTGTTATCTGATTGCCGTAAACAGATCACAGAAGCGTTATCTGCAGATAAGTTTGAGCAGATGTTGATGAAGAAAGAGTATGAATATTCTATGAATGTGCTCTCTTTCCAGTTGCAAACTTCAGATATTGTACCGGCGTTCCCTTACATTGCTCCGTTTTCAACCACCGTGCCAGATTGTTGCCGGATTGTGCGGTCTTTCATTGAGGATTCGGTTAGTTTCATGTCTCACGGAGGTCAGCTTGATTTCTACGATGTCGTGAAGAAGTATCTCGATAGGCTTCTAGGCGAGGTTCTCGACGAGGCTCTGTTGAAGCTGATTAACACGTCGGTGCACGGAGTCTCTCAGGCGATGCAGGTCGCAGCGAACATGGCTGTGTTCGAGCGAGCTTGCGATTTCTTCTTCCGCCACGCGGCTCAGCTCTCAGGAGTTCCCTTGAGAATGGCGGAGAGAGGTCGGAGACATTTCCCGTTGACTAAGGCCCAAAACGCTGCCGAAGATAGGCTCTCGGGATTGCTCAAGAAGAAGATAGACGGATTCATGACACTGATCGAGAATGTTAACTGGACAAGCGACGACGTTCCACAAGGCGGGAACGGGAACGAGTACATGAACGAAGTGTTGATCTACCTAGAGACTTTGGTTTCCACCGCACAACAGATATTACCAGCTAATGTCCTGAATAGGGTTTTGCACGACGTCCTTGCACACATTTCTGAGAAGATCGTTGGAACGTTATGCGGAGATTTGGTGAAAAGATTGAGCTTGGCTGCGATCAAGGGAGTGGATGTGGATATTCAGTTGCTGGACTCGTTTACAGAGCAACTAACTCCATTGCTGACGGAGAAAGAAGCGAAAGAGATGAAGAATGCTTTCGTGGAGATAAGACAGATGATTAACTTGCTCATGAGTAATAATGTTCTTAGTTACAAGAACGCGGTGATCAGAGAAAGAAACTACAACGCTTTGGACCCCAGGAAAGTTGTAACGGTCCTTGAGAAACACAGAGATCCATCGGATAGTATTTTCGGGACTTTTGGAACAAGAGGGTCGAGGCAAAACCCCAAGAACAAATCGTTAGACGCGTTTATAAAGAGTTTGAAGGATGTGAGCTGATGATTTGGCTCATCAACCAACACCAAAGCGTAAGTATGATTGATGATTGTTCAACTCTTTTGTTTATCTCTTTGCCTTATTGTTAATTATATGATTTGCTTTATATTTTCATTGTTGATGATTCGTTGATCTCTGAGTTAAAAGGCAGATAAAAAAACACAAGACTTGTATCTTTTTTCCATTAATAGCATCTTTCGCACAAGAGCTCCATTTATACTTGGATACTGATTCCTCTGTTAAACAACACACGCATTTGATATGGTTTATGGGACGACGACATCACTAGCATATATCATTAAGTTAGTCTATTGAAGCATGAAAATTTGATAGTAAAAAGTGAAGAAACATTCAGATTAAAAAAAAGGGACCTGTCTCCACATTTCATACCATTCGATTACACATATATATAACCTTTTAAAACTGGTTGGAGGAAGAGAATGGTCTTTTTATCACAACAACAACACACACACGCCATAGCCTTTTTAACCTTAAGAAAAAAGCCTTATTTGATGATTCTCATTTGTGTTTATACCATTCATCATCTTTTTCTCCACATTTTTTCATATATAACTTACACAGAGACCTTATATGTATGTGTAGAGATAGATGCTCAGTAGTAGAAATGTCTCCTCCGAACCCTCTTCTTGCTCATGATCGGCGCCTCACCGCTCCCCGGAAACTCCCATTTCACAAGATCTCCATCCCACGAAGAGCTTATAAGCGTGGGGTAATGCGGATGCCAATTACAGTCTCTCACAGGTGAGCTGTGGTGCTTTAGCACTGCCACTTTATCTCCACTTACCTATAGAACAGATTTTGATTCCAAGAATTGTCAACAAGAACAATGGAAGATTCAGCTTTCAATGTGTTAATGAGAAGGATAAAGTCATTACCAAGTCATATATGTAGACGGAACTGTCGTTGGATCCTGTGTAGATGTACTTTTGGCCAGTGCTGTAAAAACAAAGAACCAAAGCATCCAACACAAGAATCAGAGAAACATATAAAGAGAGTTCTTCTTTGTCAAGATTGGAACATTAAGGAACTTCACAAGACTGACCTATGCACTGGAGAGAAGTAGCAACGGATTAGAGTACGCAACACTGAGTGACCTTTATATGTTGACACTGACTGATCAAAAGGATGCTTCAGATCTCTTGACTCTGGAGGATAATCCATCCATCTGTAATCCCATTCATAGTTCCTGAGCACCTCATGCCTGTATCAAAAGTTACAGAACAATTCAGTTTCAGTAACGACAATAATGCTGCATGCAGAATACAGTTAAATCATGTAGAAGATTGTTACTTTGCAGGTGGAGTTGAGGACATTTTTCTGATATCCCATAATTTGATGGTTTGGTCTTTGCCATTTGATATGAAATAGCGACCATCTCCACGGCTATCGATAAATGTAACACCTTCAAGATGTCCCACCAGAACACCAGCTGGCTTATCTCTCCCAATGAAACAACGCCTATCCCACACCTGTTTGTGTAATCAATATTTGAACAAGATCCTTTTACAACTTTGCTAAAACAAAGGCAAGAACTTTGTTGTACTTTCACGGAAAAGCTTACCTTGCAGAGATTATCGTCACCTCCAGATAAAATCAGGTTTCCACTTTCATCAGCAAAGCACACAGTATTTACATCAGACTGCAGCAAATGGAGAACATGCTATCAGTATTCAAAGGCCAAGACTCGGCGTTTCCAGATAAACCTTATTGTGAATGTAGAGCTAAAGCACCAAACAAGAAATGATTTTACCGTGTGTGCAATAGTCCGGAGCGAAACTCGATTTGCTTCAAGATCATAAACATAAATGGAATCATCACTGCTCCCAGCAACAAGTTCTCGTCCATCGGTTGAAAATTTCACAGAGAATATGCCAAAAGAGTATCCTCCATCTTCATCAGAAGAGAAGTCTAACCCATCATGGATCTCCTGCAAAAGACAAGGATGACCACAAAATGAATTAATTAAACACCATTCTACTATATTTCTGTTACTACGAAACAGTGTGGATTCATACCGTAACATTTGCATGAGACTCGGTTGCACCAGACCCAACATCGACTATATGAACGATAGGTGACATGCTTGCATAAACCTGCCACATCGAAATAATTCATTATTCATTTATTTGGAAGACAAAAAAACTACGTACTGTGCATTAATATGGGAAATTGTTTTCATCATACATGAATAAGTAGTTGAAGATGCAAAAAACTTACCAGGTTTCGCTGGTGAGCTTTGCCGACAACTTTTTGTTTGTTCAAATGAAATTTCGGTTGTAGTGAATTTCTTTTCAAATTTGTAGATTTTGTATGTGATTAGGGTTCCATCTTGTTTATTTAGGTCGAGCCCTGGAGAAATCTCCGGGAAGCTGGAAATACTTGATTCTTTGCCAAGGCTTAGCAATTGGGCTTTCGACGTTTATTTCCTGCAAACTTATAGCTATTGAGTGATAATTCTCTCTGCATTTGGGATGTCAAAGATTCACGAAAGGCTTTTGATACTCAGTCACCAGGTTAGTTTTACTGTACTGGGGGTTGAAGACTCAAGTTAGAAATTGTGCTCTGTTACTCCTCTTCCTAGTAATTACTTGGTTAATATTGGCTGCGTCTTGTCATTCTGTGAGTTGCAAAGTAAACTGTTGGTAATATTTCGTTTATGAATACAGGTTTGGGATTTCAAAAAGCGGGTACTAAACTCCCAGTGGGATGTTGGGTGTACATTGGTTAAAATTGTCTAGCACCGAGTAAATGGTAAATTTTCCTGATATAACCTTGCCTCTTTGTTTGCTTGTATGTTCTCACATTTGTATCTAAAATTCTTCATCACTTGGTAGGTCTTTTGGCAACGGTGGGAGATGATTTTGTTATCCGCCTGTATGATGTTGTGGCACTAGAGATGGTTCGTGAATTTAGAGACCATACAGACCGTATAACGGATGTGTGCTTTAGCGAGGATGGCAAGTGGCTCATCTCATCTAGCATGGATGGGACTCTTAGAATTTGGGATGTCATTCTCGCAAAACAGATTGATGGAATGCATGTTGGTGTGCCAATAACAGCATTGTCTCTGTCACCAAATATGGACATTTTGGCAACAATCCATTCTGATAAGAACGGGATCTACTTGTGGTAAGTCTCAAATCAAAGCTTTCTCAAATTACAAATACATTTTTGTCTGTTATTGTTTTAATGAGTTTACTCTCCTCCTCTTGACCTTATCAGGGTTAACCAATCCATGTTCTCTGGGGCTCCAAATGTCAATTCCTATGCTAGTGGGCAAAATGTCGTGAATGTTAGGTTGCCTTCAGTCTCTGCATTGACATCTTCTGAAGCTGATGATGATATCGAAATGGAGACACAAGTTTCAGAAGGCGAAAAGGCTATCAGTTTCTCGATTTCCCCTAAGCAGATCCCGGAACTTGTTTGTTGCCAAAAAGCCAATGGCAAAGTTTGATCAACTTGGATATAATAAAGGTTTTGCATATTCTCTCCTTTCTTACCTTTCTCGTTGATGTTATTTTGCTTCGTTGTTTCTCCCATTAATCACAATGTATGTTTGATGTTGTGTCATAGGCCCGCAATAAACCAATAGAGCCTCCGAAGAAACCTGAAAAGGCTCCATTTTTCTTGCCCTCGGTTCCCTCGCTTTCCGGAGATATACCATTCAAGCCAAATGAATCAGAAGCTGATGAGGAGGGTCGGGAGAAGAAGAAAGACTCCAAGAACATCATGAAGAACTTTGGTTCACTGGAATCTCCATTCTCAAAACTCCTCAAGTCCTCATGGGATTCAAAAAACTGTAAGTTTGGTCTTTGTTTAAGCTCTTACAGTCTGATCAATGGTATGCACAAAGAGAAACTTAGATTACGTAATACGTTTTTTTTTTTGCAGTTTCAGATTTCACCGACTACATAAAGGGTTTAACCCCATCAGCTCTCGACATGGAGCTACGGATGCTTGAGATTATAGATGAAGATACTGAAGAAGAGCTTATCAAAAGACCTGAGTTTATATCAATTGGACAACTTCTAGACTACTTTATCAAGGAGATCACTTGCAGAAACAACCTCGAGTTTATGCAGGCAGTTGTGAGATTATTTCTCAAGGTAATTCAAAACTTCATTTCTCATACCAACTAAACATTGTCTTCGCTTTAATAAAACTCAAACTCTGGTTTATACGATTGACTTCTTTTTATCTGGACAGATTCACGGCGAGCCATAAGGTGTGTCATCCGAGTTTACAAGAGAAAGCGGGGAAGCTTTTAGAAACTCAGAGTTTGGTATGGCAGAAAATGGATGAAGCTTTTCCAGAGCACAAGATGCATGGTTACCTTCCTTATCAATTCACTGTTTCGTTGATGCTTTTTAACATGTTGCTCTGTTTTTCACATTTGAGTTTGTTGTATTCACAAATATAACAGTTTTGGAGCTTCATTAACAACATATTGCTCTGTTTTTCACATTTGTGATGTGTTCACAATATAATTTTAATTGGTGAATGAGTTTACAATCTAGTGATAAATGTTATAATATGTATAACAATATTAAATTAAGGAGACATTATTGAGAGTTTAACCTATCTTTTCTTTATTAAAATTAAGTCATTATTAAATTAAGGGGAATTACCAAATATAGTGCACAATTTGATTTTAAATGCAAAACTAGACCCTATATTGCATTTAGAGCAAAACTAGTCTTCTGGGCATGTAGAATTACAAATCAAGCCCTTATGAACAAAGAAAAAAACGCTAGCCACAATGTCTGTTTTACCCTGTTTAAAGTCTATTCATGAAGTCTACGCATGTTAGTCTATTCATAAAGTCTAATTCCTAAACAACTCAAATTTAATTTATAAAATTATAGGAAATTGTTTTGATCAAAGAAAATTATACATAAACAAGATTAGAACATTTGGCATCCAAGAAAAATAAACTTGCATAAAAATGACTCCATTTAACTCAAGTAAGAGAAATTATGTTTGTAACCTATAAACTGCGTGAAGTCTATTCCCGAAGTCTAATATATAGCAAAATCGTAAATTTAAAGTTTGAAATCTTTTAAAAATATTTTGATGAAGGTATTTACACATAATTAAAAAAGACAAGTACTATCCATGAAAAATAAATTTGCATATAAATTGATCAATTTAAAATCGGTAATACAAATTATGGTATAATCCAAAAAATATTGTGTGAAGTCTACTGAAGAAGTCTACCAAATAACAAAATCTTAAATTTAAAGTTTAAAATCTATAAAAAATATTTAGGCTTAAAAAAATTATAAATAATCTAAATGAAACAAATCCTATCTATGTAAAATAAAATTTTATGGAAATTAATCAGTTTATAAGTTTCATGAGTAAACCAATCATCAAGCTTAGTGTTTGAGGTACAATGTATAGGTTTATGAGTATGATTGTTAGGGTTTAGAGAATTTTGACATAAAAAATTGTTTGCGGTTTGTTTAACGATTTAAAGCTAATGAATTTATAGTTTATAATGTAAATTGTGATTATATATTCATAATTGATGTTTTCTATAGCTTTGATCTCAAAAATTCGATTTAGGGTTTAGGGTAAGTCAGACTTCATCGGTAGACTTCATAGTTACTTTGACATGAAGTCTTTATTCAAAAAACGAGCGGGAAACGAAATATTTTGGGCGGGAAACGAAATATTTTGGGCGAATAAATTTCTCATTAAAAGTTCAATTTGTAGACTTCACGAGTAGACTTTGTACATCAATTCCGGTTTTTGCTTAGAACCGGTCGAGGAAATTCTAATGTTTGTTGTAATTGGGTTTAACCAAAGTTAACCGGCCATAATCGAAAGTGAGAAACCCAAAATCAGGGTTTCACTTTCACATTTCACTTTCGCAAACCCAAGTCCGTTCCGTTCTCTCTCTTTGTCGGATAGGCGATTGCATGTTCTCTCCGCCCACCGTCGCCGTCGAAGAAGAAAGACAGACCCACTATCGTCGCCGCCGCCTTTTCCCCTTCCTCCTCCGAAGTATACTTCTGTAAGTCATATTCATATATCAGTGATATACGTGTCTGTGTCTGTTTCCCTCTACTGTCGTTATACTCACAGTGGAATCTTCATTTGAACCCTTCCGCCACCGTGGCTTGCCGCCGTGTTGCCGTTGTCCGTTTAGGATTCAAAAATTATAAATAATCTAAATGAAGACAAATCCTATCTATGTAAATAAAATTTTATGGAAATGAATTAATTTATAAATTTCATGAGTAAACCAATCATCAAGCTTAGTGTTTGAGGTATAATGTATAGGGTATATGAGTGTCATTGTTAGGGTTTAGAGAATTTTGACAAAAAAAATTGTTTGCGGTTTGATTAACGATTTAAAGTTAATGAATTCATAGTTTATAATGTAAATTGTGATTATGTATATATAACTGATGTTTTCTATACTTTTGATCTAAAAAATTTGATTTAGGGTTTAGGGTAAGTTAGACTTCATCCGTAGACTTCATTGTTAGACTTTGCTATGAAGTATGTTATTCATAAAATTGTGAGCGGGAAACGAAATATTTTAGGGGAAATTAGCGGGAAACAAAATATATTGAAACAAAATTTTGATACAATATGTCGGTTTAGGAGACTTTGGGAATAGACTTCTTTCCTAAACTTCATAATAAAGTCTATTTAACCGGAAATTTTTTCACTAACCGAATTTTTTTTTCACCTAACCCGAAAATTGACCTAGATACATATAGAAATAACCTAATTTTGTGGAAGAAAAATCTGTAACTCAGCGGCGTCTCTCTCTCGCTGGTCTCTCTCTCTCTCGTCATCTCTCCGTGAACCTCCGCCGCTTTTCTCGCTTGAGCGAAGCCACTCGCCGTCAACCGTCGCCGTTTCTTACCGCCTGAGCGAATGGCAGCTCTCTCTCTGCTCCAATGGATCTACGCGCTTCTGCTCGCCTGAGCAAAGCTACTCACCGTTAACCTTTTCCGCCTCTCACTCGCCATTCACCACCGTCTCCTCTCTCTTATCTTTCACCATTCTCACTTGATAAACCATGTTTTTCTCTTCATAACAGATCGATGAACGTGATGGCGGAGGTCTCTTAATCATATACTGCTTAATATTCTTGATGTCACTTCATTTTTATTTTTCTTATCAAATATCTTGTTTCTTGCTTTTCTCCTAACAAGTAATTTTGAATTCTGTATATGCAGGAGATGATGGAGGAGTCTAGGGAGAAGACAAAGAGGAAGGAGAAGAATAAAAGACCACAAAATCTCTTCCTGTTTTCGTAGTAGTAAGCCCTCTGTTTTCTTCTTCCTCTGTGTTCATATCTCTAGTTTGTAAGATAATTTATTGTTTCTGACATGATTCTGCTTGATGATTCTGCTAACCTCTGGATTTGAATTTTTTAGGTTTCTCAAAGTTCTTGTTTTGATACAGACGAGTTGTAGATGGTAAGTGAATGATTTTTCTTGGGAAAGTCAAATATTGTGAATTGTTTTTGCTTTAAGAGAGACCCTTTTCCTCACATATATAAGTTTTTTCAGGGAGAGTTACGAACGATTCGTGAAGATCACACGAAGATCTCCTTCTCATCTTGGTACCGTTGGAAAGATCTCCTTCTCATCTTTCCAGAACATCCAAGATCACGGTAATCAGAGATATATTTTGAGAGATACGTCCATTTGTTTTTTGAGAAGTCAAAGCAGTTTTAAGATTTAAAATCTTCTTTTCTAGTCAGGTTTTGTGAAGCGATTTCCTGGCGATAAGTAAGGAACCAGTAGTCGATCTACCTACGGTTTTGAAGATCTCGAATCCAGCTTTTCAGATATTCTTTCCGTTGTCAAATCCGAGGTATAGTCCATCTGCAAATTTGTTCCAAAGATGATAAAAAATCTCTGTTTTCTGTTTCCAGAAAATTGCAGGTTTTCGATTTTACTACAAAGCTTAGTCAAAGCCTGCATTAAGCTTTGAGAGGTGTTGCTAATCCTCTTAGAATAAGGGTTTGTTTCTCCATCTTGTATCAGATTTTGATTTCTTCCCTAGTGAAACTGATTTAGGTCTTTGTGTGTGCGATCTTGATTTCACTTCATTTTAATTTTTATGATCACATATCTTGTTTCTTGCTTTTCTCCTAACATTGTTCTGGCCTCATGATATTGGGGGTTTTTTCTCAGGAACTTGGAGAGAAGAAAAGAAGATGAGGACGAAAAGAAGGAGAAAGAAGAATGCTGAACAAAAGGCGTTAGTAGAAGAGGCAGCAAAGAGATGTGTGCATTGCTGAGGTCACTCGAGACAGTGAGTTGATACAGGAAAATGGACTTCAGGCTGGACTTTGTGGATTTTTTTGGCTGGTTTAGGAAGCAGAAATCGATGTCAATTTTTTTATGGGATCATATGCGTTTTGTTACTATTTTCTGATACAAGTTTTGGTACAATTTTATTATATTATCCAAAGAGTTCTTGTCGCATTACAGTTATAAACAAGTTGTTAGATATAAACCACTTGACTTATGCATAAAGTTTTTTGTTGTTATCTATCACTTACCATTTTGGCTTATACAAAAGTAATGCACGACCATATTTCATAAACTTGTCATAAACTTCTAAGCTAAAATGGATCAACTTTAAATTGAGAGGAAGATTCTTTAGTAAACTTTAGTAGACTTTACAGATTTATAGTAAAAACTCAAATTCAAACATTTTAGATGCATTTTACTTAGCTAAAACGGACCAAATTCAATCATATAGTTAAACTTCTTATATAAATTTCAGTAGGCTTCACAGAAAAGTCTACTTGGTAATGTTTAAGTGCTAATCAAACATAAAAACCATTTTCACTTTGTATATAACGAATAAACATGTCAAACTAACACATAAACAACTAAATAGACTAATACAAATAATGTTTCCAGAAAATCTTAAAATTTGTTATACATTTTTCAAAAATGCGTTTGAAAAAAAACATATTATAGTAGACTTCATGTGTAGACTTCACAGATAGACTTCACGACGAAGTCTACCTAGTAATGTATAATATGCTAACCAAACAAGAAAACCGTTTTCAACGAAATATATAACGAATAAGCATGTCAAACTAACACACAAGCAACTAAACAGACTAAATCAACTAATTGTTCAAGAAAATCTTAAAAATTCGTTATATATTTTCCAAAAAAGCGTTTTCAAATAAACACTAAATAGTAGACTTCACGAGGAAGTCTTTAGTAGACTTCCCCGTGAAGTCTAATAGACTAGTTTTGCAATTTTTCAAATTACAATTTTTTTATGAAGTCTACACATGAAGTCTACCGAAAAAAAAGACTAGTTTTGCAATTGACCAAGCTTTGACTTTTCAAATAGACTTCATTATCGTGAATAGGCTTAAAAATGAAGTCTAACTCGAAAATGAAGTCTACCCGTGAAGTCTACAACCGGAATTAGACTTCATAGAGATTAGTTTTGCAATTGATCGAATTTTTGAATTTGGAAAATAGACTTCATCGTGAAGTCTACTCCGATAAACGTTGACTATTAGACTTCACCAAGAAGTCTATCAAGAATTAGGCTTCGAAATGAAGTCTAACCCTTTATTAGACTTCGCAATGAAGTCTAACGCGATATTAGACTTTGAATAAAGCCTAATACAACATTAATAGACTTTAGGGGTAGACTTCACGATAAAACAAACTACTTAAAGTTTGCAAAACTAGTCTTTTATTGAAGCAGACTTCACAGATAGACTTTCATAAAAAGTTTTTATTCTGTCAATTGCAAAACTAATCTGTTTCGAGTAGACTTCATTCTGAAGCTACGCCATATTTTTTTGTTTTCAAAGGAATATGGGTAGACTTCATTGTGAAGTCTACTCTCTAAATTTTTTGAAAACTCAATTGCAAAACTAGTTTGTTAGACTTCGCTATGAAGTCTAAGGACCTGCAAAAATATGAAATTCACTCAGATCTACCGGAATTTTACCTTGCCGTGATCTTAAGTTTCGTTGACGGCCTAGAACTTCGATTTAGAGCTTCAGCAAACTTCCCCAACCGTTATAATGATCTCCCACACCAAAAATGGGAAGATCTAAGAACATAAACTTTGAAAAGATGAAAATGTGTGTTCTTGGGGTGAAAATTGAGAAGAAATTGACGAATACAAGTTTATGAGATGATATAATGAGTTTATATATATGTTTGAAGAGTAAATCATGCATTCAAAGCTTGATTTCAGGTTGAGAATGGTTGTTGGACGAATTGATGGTGATGGCATTTTCGTGAATAAATGAAGAAGATGAGGTTTCTTTGGACTTTTTATTTTCGTATTAGACTTCACGGTTAGACTTCAAGGACGAAAGTAATGGCATTTTCGTTATTATCATAAATATGTGAGGATAAACAAGGAAGAAAAAAAGAGTGAACTACTTTTGCATTTGACCTCAATTTTTGAACTAAAAGTGAAAACAGCCCTTAAATTAAGGGTCTACTTGAAAGGTTTATAAAAGATTGGCTATCTTTTCTTTTTGCTGCCAGTTTTTAGTTCTATTGCGGTGCCTTAAAGATAGCTTAAGCAAGTGGAATTGACTGGTTGTAGGCAGATCATTGTTTCAAGGGCAGCTGGCGTTGATGGTGACAACTTGGACAATGGGCATTATTGTGCTTCCCATATGCGTAGACTTATTGGTCATGAGGGTTCAATATTTCGCATTGTTTGGTCTTTGGATGTCTTGCCTGGGGGAAAGGTACGCGAGGCTTCTGCATTAGATGACTGGGTTGCTCTTGGAGATGGGAAAGGGAATATGACACTTGTTCGGGTTATTGGTGATATGTATAACCCACTTGCGGGATCAAATCAAAGTTGGAGAGACAACTTCTTGGGACCTTCTGGTGCAAATCATTAGGATATAGGTAAATACCCTCACTGGTTGAAAGGATATCAGGCCTGAATAATGATTCATGTTGAATAATTTTCTCGGTCAATGCATGTAATGTGTGGAATCATTTGGTTAGAAATACTGTGATTACAATTTTCAGTCTCTGGCTTCCAGGTTTGTTTGTTCTCGCAATCCTAGAGGACTATTGAAGCTGTGGAGACTATCTGATCCTGCTTCAAGCGCTTCTGAAACTTATGATATCGCCCTCTTGGCCCGAATTCTCCTCTTCTTTTACTTTTAGCTATTGCCATGTTTCTGTGTTATATTGCTTTCTTTTTCCTCTCTCCACTAGTAGATAACTTTTCTTACATATTAAGTCTAAAAAGTTTGCATAAAGAGATGGTTGTGTTTTAGGCTTTTAGCCTTGTGAAGTTTGTATTGTACTGAAATGACTGCTGCTTGCAGGTGCTTGTGTGTGGAGATTTACGTGGCAATATCATACTCTTTCCACTGTCAAAGGATATGCTGAACGGGGCATCTATTTCTCCAGAATTGAACATGCCTTCACTCAATTACTTCAACTGTTTCCAGTCTTTCAGTTACCAGATTAACTTCCAACAAAGCTGAAATATGCTCGGTATGACTAATATATCTTCTACTCTTGGTGGTTGTCTGCTTTATGTGGACAAGACAACCATGAAACTCGCTATTATTTTCTTGCCACGTGGACAGTAACCTTATTTTGTTGATCTTTCCAATGGTCAGACTGGAGGAGACGGTTGCATATGCTATTTTGAATATGACAGGGAGAGGCAGACTTTAGAGTTCATGGGTTTGAAAGAGTTGAGCTTAGTTCAATCTGTTCGCCAAGGCATGCACTTTTCGAAAGACCATCCAAACAATGAATATGCATCGGCGGATTTTAACTGAACATCTGAAACGAAGGTCCACCTCTGCCTTGTCATTTTGTTAATCTTTTTACTGGGAGCTTTAATAATATTTTGTTTGATGATTTTGATTATTACCTCGAGTTTCTCCACAATGTTCATGTGTTTCATTTTGATCTACTCTGCGCCTAATATCAGCTTTGATGTTGCGTCTTTGGTTCCTCTGGTATCGCCAGATCTGTCATTACATCACGCCACTGCGCCTCTGCATCCCCCATACGAAGGTTTAGCCATTGATATTAGTACTCAATTCTTTTCAGTTATTTTTCTTCTATGCTAAATGAAGTTGCTTTTCCTTGTGTAAGGGTTTTTACTCTTTGCCTTTGCTTAGATATGAACCTTTTTGTTGTTTGAGAAAAGTAAAAGACACAAAGTATTTGATTAACCGAGAATCACCGGCCTCTAACCGGGACCGTCTCGGGTGAGATCCTTCCCACAACTTTATTACTAACCAAAGAGTTACAAACAATCTCTAGAAAAGAATACAAGAAGAAAAAGACTTGAATAAGACTACTCTCTTTTTCTCTCTCTCTATTCTCTCTCTCTATTGTTTCTCTTACTCTCTGATGCTTGAGATGCTTGTATTTGGGATTTAGGATGATTCTGAATGAGAGGAGGATGCCTCCTTATATAGCCAAAGATGTCTCTGTATTTCCATTTAGCTTTAGGAAATCTTCCCTTCCTTCATTGCCTTTTTCCTTTGTTACCTTTTTCTTGTTGCATAACCAACAAAACACGGAATAGGAAATACCACATAATTGGACTATCTTGACTTGGGCTTGAATTTGGCCCATTATCTCACACCTTGAAATCTGGTGGTCGTGAAAGTTGTAAAGGATTCAACCTTGTTTTAATACCTCACTCGTGTAACAAATTTTGGTAACTTTAGTACATCATCAGGTGATGTTTATCTTCTCATCAGTGGAGCCACAGATGGAAGCATAGCCTTTTGGGATGTAACTACATGTGTAGAAGCTTTTGTAAAGCAAGCATCAAACCTCCATTTTGAGAAGTTCATTGATTCTCAGAAACGAGCAAGAACTGGAATAGGAAGCCAAAGTGGTAGGAAATGGAAACTGTTGGGCGCCAACATTTCTAAGAGATCACAAGAGAGTAGCAGTAACTCGGTCAGTGAAGCTGCAGAAGAAGATCCAGCCACCTCTTTGGAACTCACAAATGGCGAATGCAGATTCTCCACCCGAGACAAGCGAGAGAAAGCCATCACATGCCGTTAGGAATGCTCATCAATCTGGGGTTAATTGCCTTCGCGTTTCCCGCTCGAGCACTTGTCCAAGTTACGGCAGTGGTTTGATGTTCAATGTGATTAGCGGGGGTGATGATCTAGTAGTAAACAACATCCTTAGTAGTAGTAATCCAGCAAACAAATCCGAAATCATGGATCAAAACCAAACTCCAGGTTACAGAATCAAGCTCACAGACCGTGGAGGAATTGCATCAGCTCATAGCTCTACCATAAAAGGTAACTTCACCTCGAAAAACTCTTAAGTGGATCAATCATAAGTCTCTACTATACTTTCATCATCTGATCAAGGGGTGTGGATGGACGTGAAATGGGTGTTGTCGACAGGTCTTGATCAACGTGTAAGATGTTGGTTACTCGACAAAGATGGTAAACTGATCGAGCATGCTCATATAGTTATCAGCGTGCCTGAGCCAGAGGCACTCGATGCCAAAGCCATTGATAAGTAAGTGAAATGCTTTCATACTTTCACTTACCAAATCCTTATATTGAATCTGTATCTGTAGAAATCGATACCAAATCGCTGTTGCTGGACGCGGGATCCAAATGGTCGAATTCTCCGGTTAACAGCTTGGTTTAAAACCCGGATTTAAGTCTATTTTTGGAGCTACTCTGTTTTAACTTTCATAACTGTGTCCTAGCTTCCTCCTTGAACTTGATCCCATTTTACATATTACAATATATCGCCTTATGAATCTACTAATTAAGCGCACAAGTGTACTAAGCAACCAGTGAAACAAAAAACCAAGTCCAATATGGCAAACGAAAAGAAACAAATTATTTATTGACCAACAAATAAGTGAAAAAAAAAACAAGTGAACTAGCTAATTAGGTTGGATTAAACTTGGAAGATAAGAGCAGGCGAGTGGAGGCAAATTTTTGTGAGCAGTCTCTCCAAGATCAACTTCCTTGACGGATCCATCCACTCCAATGATGAAAGCTAGGTTGCTAACAGGCCTGTGATAGTAATCTTCATCAAAAACCAAGGCGACTTTCTTGTCCTCGTCAATGAAGAAACTACCACCTGTAACCATAAACTGAAACATGGGGTAAATGGATTGTTTCAGACTCACTGACAAGAACACCTCGCTTTCCCAAGACACGGCGTCGGGCTCAATCTTGCTCGTGACCCAGATCTCCACCTGTAAAGTATCCCACGGCTGAAACAAAGCCGCAAGCTTCCCTCCTCTGACAGGAGACAGACTCACAGTATCCCGAGGGAAATGCTGGAACGGCAGAGGCAACATCGGCCCAAACGTCTCTCTCGTGAAATCAAAAGAGAGTAGGAAAGTTTTTTCATCCTCGGCTTCGTCTAAATCTCTATCGTCCTCTGTAGCAAGCCAGTAGGCATTTCCGTTGACAGACACCCCGGAATGCATGTATTCTACCCTCCAGCCTGGAGGAGTGATATCAAGATCCCTCCATGAATTCATGGAATCAGAGCCTAAGTCGTAGATTGAGAAATCATCGGAAACCGGGCCATAATCCCTAAATCTTAAGATTTTGTGGGAATTGCTGCTCTTGTCGTATCCCATGGCATACAAATAACCGGTATATCCTTCAACTCTATGCGGGGCCTCGATCCACAGGGGTTTCCCGCAATACGGGTTCCAAACCACCAGCCTTGTGTGGTCTTTCGACACGCATAGCAATAAACCGTCGCAATGATACACTTTGCATACATCGATTTGATCTGAATCTGAATCGTGGGGAAAAATCAGTTTACCTTGGAGCTTTAAACTACACGATTCAACGTCCTTGTTGGAGAGATTGACTCCCATCAAATAAACGCTGTAATCCATCATCACCACCACCATAAACTCCTCCTTGGCTTTTTCTGCCTCTCGACTGAGATGCTTCTTTGCAACGAAGCTGTTTTTGGACAAAGTGTTCCACTTTTTGCAAATAGATGTGACTCTTCTCACGCTTGTCAAAGGAATTCGAGACAGCACCTCCTCCGACAAATCCCTTGGAAGATCCAACACCACCTTCTTCTTTGCAACGAAGCTGTGTTTGGACAAAGTGTTCCACTTTTTGCAAGTAGATCTGACTTTTCTCACGCTTGTCAAAGGAATTCGAGACCGCACCTCCTCCGACAAATCCCTTGGAAGATCTAACACCATCACCTCCTCCGACAAATCCCTTGGAAGATCCAACACCATCTTATTCTGGATTTAGTTTTTTTCCTTCGAAAGAAAATAGAGACCCAAGGATTTCTTCCCCACCCGATTCAACTTTATATATACAACACACAGAGAAAAAGGAGGAAAAAAGGATTCAGTTTCCACACAAAATTAGGACTCTTTCCTTTTTCTCTTTCTGTGCTGATTACATTTTTCAGAACGATTGATTATACATAGATATGTGACAACAACCGCGAAAGATTCGGTCGACCCAAAAACTACTCAACCGGCTCGGTCCATCTTTACTAAATTAGACTTAGAAGCCCAAAATCACAATCCCGCGGAAGATTGGGCTTGCTTGTTCAGTTAGGGGGAAGAGGCTGAATGCAGTCTATCCAAGGTTTTTCAAAACCGGTTACTACAGACCGGAAACCGGTTCCAAAGAGATTGACCCAGCTGAGCTACGACTCTACGAGCAGCTCTCTTGAACAACAAGCAGTGATTGATTAATTTTAAAAAGAGTCTCTTTTTGGTTAGAGGAGATTCGGTAAAAGAGGGTGATGATCTGTTTCGAACTTTCGGTGAACCCTGTTTTCATCTGCTACGTGCGGTTCTGTAATAACGAAATAGAGAAGTCTTTGGTTCCTCTATTTTGTCACAAAAAGGATCGTTTAATGAATGATGCATATTAATAGAGTTTTTCTTTTTCTAAATCATTCGTTTACTAGCAAATTCACAGCTTTTTAACCAACTTAACATAATTAACATTGGCATCGTCGATCATATAAAATTTTCGTCACAAAAGAGGCAGCTCGAGTTCTAGTAATTAATCAAACTTACATCAAAAGGAGTTTCGTCTTTATATTAGATCGTTATAAATTTGTTGTGGAAATAAACCAGTCTCTTCTTCTTGGAAAAAATTTACATAAGTATATTGTCATACTATTAGCATATCGTAAAATACATCAATAGTCAGATAATATATGTTTAATTTGCTAAGTAGATACATTAAAATTAAGATCAGTATTTGGGTGATTGGCATTTGGCAACAGTATCGACTATCGACTTTGGATGGTGCAAAGATCTGTAGGACTTGATTAAACACTTGATGACTGTTAATCTTAGTTCAGATTTATGTACAGCTACGTGGGATAAAGTTATATTATTGCATTTTTTTTTTCATTTGTTGAAATCGTTACATCAAGGGTGAAATACAAGGGTAGGATACAGAGGTGAAATACTAAGCGGGACGACAACAACAATCTCCGGAGAATAAGCCGGTGAAAAACGAAAAACACCGGAAACTATGCCCACAAAGGGAACCAAACAAATCAACAAGAACCAAACAAGTTATATTATTGCATATGCGTGTGTTTTCCAACTTATAATTGATAACATATTTAAAGGAGTGGTATCAAGTATTATTGGCGTATAATATAAGCCAAGATAATGTATTCATAGTAAACTCAATGATAATCGGTATGAGTATATTATAAATTCGGAATATATATATGGTTTTGTTGCTTGCATGGATATAACCGACAGAATCTTGCCTTGGTTATCTAATTGTTGCAATTAGCGACAGCCACTTGACATAAACATCGTTTAACCATGTACTTAGTTAACTTAAATTAGTTTTAAAGACATGTTTTGTGCTTTTGGAGTTTCGACCGTTCGTTTATGATTTTTTTATAACTAGAGTGTATGTAGATGTTAAGTTTAGGAGACATCTTACTATCTAAGCTTTATAATCGATAAGTTATTTAAATTTCAGCGAAAAAATGTAGCGAGTCATGAGAAACAAAGATCAACCACACTTTGATTCTTCTATTCAATATCACACGGAATAATAAAACAAAAAGGACAACAAATCTTCCTTACTTATTGGATGATTATTTCAGTTTTCATTGGCAAATTCATTTTCATATTTAGTATAACCAAAAAAAATAATAAGAATATGCACAATAAAATTACAAGATTTTTATTGTTTTTTTTTTAACCAGGCAAATATGAAGTTTTGGTTTTGCTAATTCTTTATATTTTTTTTTATAAAAAAATCTATTAATAAAAGACCCTTAATAAAAAGGAGATATTTGGGAGGTGAGGTGAAAGAAATCAAAAGGGCAAAGAAACATAAGACGTGTCCTGGCTTCTTTTGAAGAGTCGATTATGCTCAAAGGGTTTTGAGTCTTGCGAGAGCGACTTACTGAGAGAGGCAACTTGGTACGTGGAATCTATCAATATTGAATTTTCTTTTACTTGATCAAAAAAGAGTTGAGTCATCTCTTCTATTCTTTTTTTTTTTTTTTTTTTTTTTTTTTGTCGACAGCTTCTGCTTCTAAACCAACTCGGAAACCCAAGCCGGAGAAACATAGTTTACATAAAACATATATGCAAGTAGAACTCGAGCACTCCGTGCTAACTTGTCTGCCTTCGTGTTCTTCGTTCTTGGGATATGCACTATGGAGAAGAAGGTGAACTTCATCCTATATCTGCAGAATTCCTCTAGTATTGGTGCAAAAGCTGGCCACTCCTCGAGTTTAGACACCATCTTTACCACATCGGAACAGTCCGTTTTAAACACTATTGTTAACTTTCTCTGCCGTAACATGCACTGCATAGCCCATACCAACGCTTCAAGCTCTGCTTGGAGTGATGATATACCCCACCTTAAGTTACACGTACCCATAAGCTTCTCGACTGTTTCCGTATTGAAATTATACCAGTCTAGATCCGTTCGGGAGTCTGTGGCTTTCTATGATCCATCAATCTGACAGATTTCACCTCTGGCCGAGAACTCAGCCGAATTCCCCTCCAGGACCGGTGTGACCTCTTGTCTGTCTTGTGCCGTCTTCCATGCTACCGCTTCACTTACCGCGTGATTAATGATATCATTAGGATCTGAGTCATCATTGGAGAAGACTTTATCGTTTCGGACTTTTCAAATAAACCAAAGCAATCACGGATACATACCCATTCTTTCATCATATTCCTTTATTCTTTTGAGTTGTTTGCAAATTCGTATCTAATCTTTTCAATTTTCATATAGTCATATTTGCATATAAACACATGATTTGTAAATTGTAAGTTGAAATTCTAATTCTAAATAGTTCAGAAAAATATATACAGAATAAGAACATTTAAAAGTTGGTTTGTTCCTTATACTAAAATGTATATTTTTCGCATGTGTTTAGATATCGACTAATACATGATTATAATCTCTCTTAGATAGTTTAATAAATATATATATCTGCCTCTTATTAAAAATACCTAACCCTGTAAGGCTGTAAAAGTATGTTACTTATAACTCGAAAATATTATGCCTTGAGAAAGAAAAAAAAAAACAATCAAAACAAAAGTTTGCAAATGGACACATGTACCACTTTCGAAAATAGAATTAGTCGTCGACATCTCAAGTTGAAGCTAATGGTCAGTACGTACTACGAACTATCATATGATCATATGATATGAACCAGCAAACTTCTTTTTTTTTTTTTGCTAAGACCGGCCGTCAAACTTCTTGATATGAATTTTCTCCAAATCTACCACAAAAAAAGCACTCGAATCGAAATCCATTCATCCAAGTAATCGAAACATAACGATTCAGTCCGCACAAAGAAATCAAATTCAAAAGCACTAAAAGTCATTAGTTCACTATTTTCTTTATGATTAGCAAATTGATATTTTGCTAGTCTAGAGACGACTTTTTTTTTCCTCCGTAAAATAGTCTAGAGAGACGACTTTTCATTCGTCATTTCGTTGCTTTCATTATTCGTTTGATATTTGACATAAGAACACAATGCCTCCAACGGAACGCTCTATCATTTTAGTCGAAAATTCAATGGCATTTTTAGTAACCAATTTATTAATTTAATAGCTTTTTTTGTTATGACCTACATATTTTTGTTTTTTCGACGTTCAATAGACGAAGATTACATCTTAGTATATGACTATATGTTATATCACGATATTTAATAAAAGAAGCATAATTATGATGTTTATTTTTTTTTTATATATATATATGTTTTGGACAATACCATTAGGTAGTATCAATCATATATCTGTTTATATAAGGTCAATATCCTCTCATTTATGTTGATTGTAATACCTTAGTTAGACTCATGTATATAATCTCATATAATCCCTTCAGTATCAAATAAGCCTCATTCCCCACACATTTCTCAACCAAATTTGGCCCAAACACAAGTCACTAATCAAAACTCAGCGACTCCGCCGTTTTCGTCGACTCCGCCGTTTTCGTCGATTCCACCATCTTCGACGACTCCGCCGACCCCATCATCGCCATCTTCTCCACCATTGTCTTCTTCTCCTTCACCAACCTCAGTCCCCGTCTCCTTCCTCTGAACCTCAAGTTCAAATTCTTCCTCAAAACCACCATAATATGGCTACCCGTGCCAAATCTGGCATCACGAAACCAAATACCAAATATCTTCTTGCCGTTTTCACCTCCTCTACATATGAACCACGTACTGTGACTCAAGCGTTACAAGATTAACAGTGGAGAAACGCCTATACCTCTGAAATTAATGCGCATATTGGAAATCACAGTTGGGACTTGGTCCCACTGCCAGAATATGATGTCACGGTGGTCGGTTGCCGATGGATTTTTACTATCAAGCAGAATCCGGATCAGTCGGTCAATCGGTACAAAGCTTGTCTTGTAGCCAAGGGCTACGATCAACAATTTGGTCGCGACTACTGATGTTGAGTCAGGTTTTACCAAACTCCTAGACCTCTGCAAGTGCACAGATCGCGGAAGTATGGGTATCGAACACAAGGACTGGCTATTGAGTACACTTTGAAACTATGGATTTTGGATCAAGCTAAAACAAAAGTATGATTGAGGTTGTAATGGTGAACCGAACTAGCAAGTATAACGAGGTTGTAAATCAATAAGGAAAAGCGCTAGGTCATAGGGGCTATCGCAGAGAAGCAAGCAATGATCAATGAAACAATGATAGATGAATTGATTAGGGATGTTGGGATATTAAGAACCGTCTAGAACACAGATCACGAATATAAAACCATTCCACTTTCGAGGCTCCGGCTCCTTTGTTAATCTACCTAGTCGCTAAACTTTTGGTATGTCCCTAGGTGATTAAATCAAGCTTTAGAATGAATAGGTTCTGATACAGTTCACTAGATTATAGTAGATCAACTTTCGCAGTCTAAGAAACCTAGCTTGTCAAAGAATATGTCCGGCGAATGATACAACACTGTCGAGGCTCAAATCAACCTAAGATCGGATTACTAGATGCGCGGTAAAGCAATCAGCATTAGTTAAGTGCACAAGACGAGACAAAGACTCTAATATAATCCCTAGCTAATCATCGAAATCAAAGATCATGCAAGCAACTCATTGAATAGTAACCCTAGCAACCTAACTAGTGGATTACTCAGACATGATCAAAGCAAACACACATAGAGATGAAGAAAACATGATTGCAATAAAACTTAGAGTAGGAAATCGAAATACAAGGGCGGCTCTCTTTTCACAAGAGGCTAAAAAGCTATATATATAGTGCTAGGTCTTTTGAGGCGGCTTAGGGTTAAGCCGGGCCTTGAAAATATGAAATCGGGCTTCAAAACGGGCTTCGGGTCGACCGCGGCGTTGGGACGGTCGGTCGGGACGATCGGCCGGATGATCGGGTCATGGCCGTACGATCGGAACGGTCGTGGCCGGACGGATTCGTGGTCGGCCGCTGTGGTCGGACGGATGAAGATTTGGCCGATGATTCTCGGCCGGACGCGGGACGTAGTTTCCCGGCTCGGACGGAGCATCGGCCGTGGTACGCGAGACAGGTTGCGCGGCCGCGAGGCTTTGTTTCCCGGCTCGCGCGGCATGGTCGTGCGCCGTGTGGCGTGAGCGGTTGTGGCGTGGCCGACCGCGGGCTTAGTTTCCCGGGTCGTGATGCGTGATCGGCCGAACGGTTTTGGAACTTTGGCCGAGACTTCAGACGGACGGATGTGATTTGGCCGAGCGTGAAACATCGTTCTCGGCCAGCCGGACTGCGCGGTTTGGGCGCTGATTCTCGATAGAGCCGTCTGGACAGTCTTCACTCTTTTGGTTGTAACTCCTTTTCTACTCATCCAAATTAGGCCATTCCAGTTGCGTTGGAAAGTTAACTCAATCAGAGCACGCAGGGAACTGGTCTTGATGAAATCCATTGAGTAGATCTTTTTCTGGGCCCTCTTAAAGTTGGTGCTTGTGCATGGAGCGGCTTGAAGTGCAAATCCTATGGTTTTGCTCCAAAATGCATCATTTCACCTGTTTAGACTCTAGACACTATAAACACAGTAAAACTACCTTTTTAGATAGAAAACCTGCCAAAAATCATATTTCCGCTGAGACAAGTGCAGACCGGAGCTATTTCGTTTTGACTCAATACACAGACAAGTGCAAATTATGAGGATCCGTCCACAGCTTATTGATCAGCTGTTGCCTCCTCTGTTTCCCTACAGGCGGTACCTCCCATTTCGTGTAAAGCATCTCTCTCTCTTCAGCTCCTAGCTTCGTGTTAACCCGTTTCGCCAAGCACTCTCTCTCCTGCTTCAATGCTCTTACACTAAAAAAGAACATGATTGTCAAATTATATTGACTCATACAAGAAGAAGAAGTATCTGTTCACTTTACTTTCACTTACCTTGATGCTACGTAGCTGGCTGGTTCATCGCCGAGCAGTGCTGCACTCGCGTTTCCAAGCTCGGCTAAGTGCTGTTCGAGCCATGTCAGCCTCCGGAGCTCGACTTCCATGTAGATTTGATCGGCTGGGTCTCCTTTGAACAGCATGTAGAACTGCGTCCTGTGTATGATTGAGATGTGGCAAAGATGCCATAACATTATGATCTGCTTTCTCTGTTCTTCAAAACTCAACACCCAATCCATTTGAGATTCATCTGTTCCGTCTGACTCCGAAGCAGCAGCTGCCTCGTTTGCCTCCATTTCCAACACCTAAAAAAGGAGAATCACATGAACAAACAAGCAAGCTTTCGAGTTACTGAAATGAACGAACATTTAGCTTATATGCAGTGTTACTCTTCATTCTTCTCAATGTGGATGATTTGAAACTTCCTAACTATAGACTCTTCAATCTATCATTATTTTTTATTTAACTATTAAATAAATTAAATAAATTTACTGAAAAAATAATATATTTTAAAATTTGAGGCCACCAAGAACCTCAGGCCGCCCCAGATTACTCTATCTCTCATTTGCTTTAATTATATGCATACTACCAAACATTTCGTTTTAGAATTTTAGAGATTGCATGTCTTTGAAGGTCACAATTTATACCAAATCCTCTTAATCTCAAATCTTCTAATAATTTTCAAACATCCATTAGACGAAATTAAAAAAAAAAAAAAACATAGGAAGTAATTTTCTTTTTTATGTTATTAGAAATCTTATTTATTCTATTTTCTAAACACTTTAATATGAATAATAATAGAATTGAGTATTAAAGAAATATTATAATAACAAATAAAATGAAATTATTTTAAGATGCTTGTGTACCAATCAAATTAATTTTCTTATTTTTCTTTTGCTACACCACACCTTGTTGCTAAAAAAAAAAAATTATTTGTCTAACTACTTAATGTATTTGCCATGAAAAACTGCATAATAGAGGGGAAAACGTCCAAAAAATTCCTCAACAATTTCAATTAGAACATTTTATTCCTAAACTGGCGATTGCACGTTTAATTCATCAACCTATTGCCGATTGTCTGAAATTGGGTTTCACTTAGTTAGGCTTTAAACCTCTTAGACGTTGGAATTATATTTCCGACACAAAATCCCCAACTTAAGAACCCTATAACGATTGCCGACAAACTAAAGCTAATTTCAGCGAAAATCTGCAAATTTCATGAGATTTTAACGTATATAAAGTTGCTGATTATGGTGAAAACCATGTGGAGAAGAAGTGGAATGAGGGATAAACTCCCCAATTACACAACTCTTCTTCGGGAGTTTTTGTAACGAATGTCTCCTCATAATGCGTTAACTAATGACCAGTTTCCACGGGATTTTATTCTCTTCTTTATCAAATTTGCTATTTTTGAAAGAGATTATTTACTAACCATTAATTCTTTATTAGGCCTGGCCCATATATTCACCTTAAACCTTATTGGTTACGTGTTTCGTAAGTTAACGAAAGCCTTGTGTAAGAATCTGAACCGAAGATAAATTTTCGCAGTAAAATACTCTAACGGGTAAAAGCATTCTTTTGTAGTTTTGTATACTTATTCAACTTGGAGACTGTACACTCCTGTATAACATTGATAGACCATATAGGTTTTTACTGGATTTAGCTACTTGGAGAATGGTCTTAAGCAAGCTTGTTTATTAGGTTTCAATACAATTTAAGTACATAATGTTTTTTTTCTTAATCCAAAAACAGTGGCTAATATTAAGAGCCACCGGAAACACTTCCATTGAAAATCTCAATAGTATCTCCGTGATCAACACGGTGCCACCGGAAAGACCGATCATCATCCATTACATTCTGTTTGTATATAAAGAAGTAACCTTCTTGAGGCAGACTTAACTGAAACCTCTGTTGAATCTTAGCCAGCTCTTTCCTCAGCTCCCCAACGTTATCACCTGCGTTCACATCCACCGGAATCTTCCTCGTCCCGCATTTCGGCAACACCATTACTCTCAGCTTCTTAGGGTTGCTGTTGTTGTTGCCGTTGTTGTTGTTGTTCACCGGCATCATCAGAGTCGAGTCTTGATGGCCGTTGATGATGATCTGTTCTGTTGAGCTTGGCGGTGGAGATTGCTCGGTATTGAAGACTAGATTGTTTCGGTTTTGGTCGTTAGAGGGAGAAGAGACGAGGAGCTGGAGACGAGAGTTGTCGAGGATCTGACATTGTTCGATGTCAAGATCGTCTTGAAGAACATTTCCTTGGAAGAATAGGGTTTGTTTGGAAATAGGGATACGTTGGTACTTCTCGATCTTCTGTTTGATCTCTAAAACAGTGTCAAAGTAACCCAGTTCGATGGAGAATGGTGAGCCTCTCTGCGTCTCGAAGAACACATCCATATCAATGGTGTTTCAAGATCAATGGAGACTGATGAAGAGTGAAGAGAAAGTGAGAGAGAGAGAAGATGATGTCAACTTCAGAGTTTTTGTAACGAATGTTTCCTCATAATGCGTTAACTAATGACCCGTTTCCACGGGATTTTTATTCTCAAATTTGCTATTTTTGAAAGAATATCTATAAACCATTAATTCAAAAATTGTTTTCTAGTTCTGTATATATGAATTTATCATTTTTTGAAACTCTCAATTCAACATCACGATTTTACATTTTGCCAGTATTGGTGATTTACGAAATAATGATGAAATCACCAATCACAATGTGATTCTGATAATTAAATAGTACACAAAAACAAAAACAGAAAATGACAACATGCCTCTGGGGATTTAACAAACTTTAATTCTATCTATAAACCCTGAGTTAAACCTAAACTGATTTTGTAGAAAAAAACAAAAGAGAAGAAACAGAGTAAAAAAACAGAGGATGGCTTAGACATGGACCATATGGAAGGCTTTAAGCTCAGGCTCCACCTACACTGATCACAGGCTCAGAAGTGGATTCACCAGCAGGAGAAGAAGCAGCAGCTGGAGGAAGCGGAAGGAATCGCTTCTTCTGAGCGCGTGGAGGCAAATGCTTCACATGTCTTCTTGAGCTAACCGAGGCCCATGGTAAGAAAACTCCGGTACCACCACCGGTTCCCATCGCACCGGGACTTGTTAGTACCATTGGCTGAAGCGGTGGTGGTGCCATCATGATCATCGGAGGACGAAAGACTCCAAATTTCGGCATCGCTTCAACCGAATGATCAAAGCCGTTGAGGAATGGAGTTGGTGGCATTGGGAAGGGACATGGTTGTTGTTGTTGCCACATTGTCATTGCACCGTCGTTGTGGTGAGGACTGTTTGGTTGTGAATGGTAATGGTTGGTTTCAGGACGTACACGAAAGAATGTGATGCTGACTCTTTTGGTTTTTGATGGACACATTACATGCCTTGCCATGTCAGCACTGTTCCCTCTCATCACCAAGAGAGACCTATAAAAACCAGGTTAATTTGAGAGATGGTTAATGAAGTTGCCTTATGGACAAGAGCGAAGGGTTTGAATGTTCTGTTACCCTTGTTTGAGAGAAAGAGTGAGAGGTCCTCTGAAGTTGCCTTCGCTGTCGCTAGAGAGAATGCGTCCAAAGGCCATTGATGATTCAGAGAGGACAAGAGTGGAGATTGGTTGCTCTAGGTGAGGTGGTTTGAGGAAAGGCTGTGAGTATTCACCCTGAAAGACAAAGTGCAATATCCAAGAATGTTAGGGTAAAAGCGAGAAGAAGAGCAAACTTCTTGATTCCATGGAGATATTATAATACCTCTTCAAAGAAGTTGATGACGCAGCCATTTGGTCTCTTGTATTCTGGGATGAGTCTCCATGTGACAAAGTGATCAATGACACTCTCAAGAAGTGGTGGAATTGGCTCGATGTTAACTACAAACCAACAAAGTCTTTCCCGGTCAAGCCAACCATTTAGACTGAAATGGTGCGGATGAAAGCGATTCCTTACCTGCAGTGTCGTTGGTGTTTTCATCCTTAGCATGGCCAAAGATGGGGACACCAAGCTGAATCAGCTCTCTCTTGTTCCCTTTTATCTGTTTGTTGAACAGGATAAAGCTGTCACCTGTATTCATGATCATTTCATGTGTAAGCAACCGGAGAAGTCTTTTAAAAAAAGTCTTTAATTAGTTTCGTGTAAGAAAAGTTACCTGAAAGCTTCCCGTTTTGGCCAGCTTCTCGGAGTTCTGCTACAAAGTCTACCAATTTGGATAGCTCATCTTCTTTTAGTAACTCCTCATACAGCTTTAGTCCTTTCACAACATTCACCTGTACAAATAGTTAAAGGAACAGTCATATTTCAAATGTTCAATCAAAGGAGAAAGAAAAAATGAACGTTTGACACACTACTCACAGTGTGGCCTTTAACTTGCTCTTTGGCTTGGAAACCTTTGATAGGCTTGATCTCACATGACCGAGCATCACAATCTTCATGGCTCTGGCAAATCTGTGTATCCGTCGCAGCAGCTTGGTGAACATCTTGATGAGAACCTATGAAACATCATGATTAGTACTTCAATTCATACACATAATTTTAAATGGTTGTAATTTGTTTTATAATCAATTAATAAGGTGATCTTTGGCTTTAGTGATTTAGTGAAAGTTGACTACAGTAATGAGTAATGACGACTTTTTTTATTTTTGTTCCAATGCAATAACGCATGAATGATCTCATGGACCATTCTAAGAAGTTTTAAAGTTTTCCTTGTAAAATGTATCAGAGAAAATCAGAGATTTCAATGTAGAAGACAAGACTAGTAAGTCTATGCCTTCGTGCACGTGTCACACTCTATTTGCTCTACCTAACGTTACACAAAAAAGCTTCGACTTTCAAACAAGAGTGAGTAAATATACGCACACATCACGAAAAAACCGGTAAAAGATCTTTCAAAAGAAAAATAACCTTTTAAAACTTCTGACTATTTTTATGGCCGTGAACAAAAAGCAAAAAATATAAAGAAACTAAAAAGAAAAGTCAATACAAAGAAGGAAAATGCTCGTGAGTCGTGAAGGTTACGAACATTCCGGAGAAGAAAGTAAAAAATAAAGGGCGGCACGGGAGATCGTGGGGACCACGATTGATGACGACCTAATTGTAATTAAATCCAACGGCTGCGAAGAGCTCGCTGTTCGAAATAAAATAAGACGCAATTCTAAAATCATCATCTCTCACACGCGAATCAATGTGAGATTGATACCTTTTGATGCCGTTTTACGGTTACATCATCAAACCAAAAGCAGAAGCCAACAAAAATTGTTGCTACTAACACACACACGCACTAGCCCAACTACATTGAGAAACGGAATCCTAATCTTCTACACCAAAACGACTACGTTTAGAGAGAGAGTCAGATAGACTTTTCAGATTATGCTTTTTCAATTCAATTACACACAGATTCGTCCTTCTGTACGATTCTCATCAAAGTTTGTGTTCATTTTCATTTTTAAGCAATAAATATATGTGTATATATATCCAGAAACTTAATTACGTATTCAAACACGAAGATTTAAAATAAAACTAAGTCAAATACATTATTTTGTCCAGTTTCTAGGTTATACAACCAGTTAACAGACGACAAAAAAAATCTTAATATTATATTTTTCTTGCATGCACGTTAATGTAATGTTTGATTTAAAATTTTTAAAGTTTAAAAAGAAAACTAGCTGTCAACAAAAAAATATAGACTTCAATTTAGTTATTTGATCTTTTCAATAATGGTAATGACGCTGTGTACAGTATTGTGCGAAACAGAGAAAATCAGAGGAAAATAAAAACGATTTATTTCTTTTACGGGGGAATCTTTGTTATTTTTAGAAAATTTGTTTCCAAAAATCGAATCCACGGCATGATGATGCATTAAAATCTCACGGATTAAAAAATTTACGAATTTGGAATAAATTAGTCAAAATCGTTTAGAATGCATCTCGGATCCAGTGGAGGGAAATACGTAGTTGAATCTTGAAAATTGAATTAGTCTCAGAAATCTTTTTTTTTCTTCTTATTTAATCAAATATTCGATTTGTTTCTTAAACAACGAATATGTTTCTATTTTTTTTAAAACAAAACTTTTTCAAAACCTATGCCCATAATTTTAATGGAGTCTTTTTTTTTCTTCTCGTCACCAACCACAGAACCAGTTTACAGGTAGAGAGAATCAAATGACCAAACTTCAAAGAATATGCTAATAAACAAAAAAAAATTACGAAAATAATTAAAGAAAACAATAAAAAAGCAGAATCAGATTCAGATTGCGCTTATGAAAACCGATCACTGTAAATGTAATTATAGAAATTTCTGGATCCACGAAAATAAAATGAAAAGAATCTTTCCAAACGATTTTGAAATTTTGTAAAGAGGAAAGTTTTACTGTTACTTACCTGAATCAGTGATATCGCTAGTCGGAGAATCATCTTCCACGTCTTCTACATCTCCGTTTAGCTCATTTTCCGTTACTTTCTCGCCGTTAAAACAAGTTTTCTTCACCTCCTCCGCCTCTGTTTCCTTCTCTTTCAGATCCTCCGCCTCTGTTTTCCTCTCCTTCAGATCCTCCGCTTTCTTTGCCGCCACTTTCTGAAGCTCGATCGCGACTTCGGCGATGGAATGGTACTTCTGCATCTGGAGAACAGGGATCCAGTTCAGACGCCGGCGATGGATCGCGGCGAAAACAGCATCGTACTCCGATCCAGGAAATGCCTCGTCGTCTCCTTCTTCTCCAGTTTTCCTGAGATGCGAGCACATCGCGTCGATGATAGCGTTCGCCGCCGCGAATTCGCCTTTGAACCACGAGATTAACGCATCTTTTCCCAATCCTTCAGAAACCACAGCTCCCGGCGGAACCTGAACCGGAACAGCAACCGCCTTCGCCGCCGTCGCAAAGGCAGGGGAAAAAGCAGAGGCTGATCGATCTGTCTGGCGTGGTGCTGCCGCAATCGTCATCGGCATAAAACTCCGGCGAAGAAATTAGTTATTTAATTTTAGTGACTTTATTCTCTCTCTCTCTCTCGCTCTGACTTGGGACCTATTTTCCGATTTAACGACGGTAGCTAGATCAGTCCTCGGCGAAAACAGAAAAACAAAAAGGGGTGGGGAATGTGGGCCGGGTCGGGTCGGGTCGGGTGGCTGCACATGCAGTGTAATGAGAAGGTTTTAGGTGGGTTCGTTCGTTTCAATATATACTGGAGCAGCCGTGAAAAGGATCCGTACAGGTGGGAGAGACTCATGGGTATGACGTGGCACTCTCTTAAGGCTGACGTGGCTAAACTTCTGGCCCTTGACAAAAATGGGTTTGGTGGTTTTCTTTTTCCTCTAATAAATTATCACTAATAGTATATTTTTAGTTTTTTTGGTTGAAAGGCCTCATATATTTTTAACTTAATTTGTTTGTAAATCATAATTTAAGAAACAGTAACAAAGGAGTATGTTTAGTGGTCTGTATTATTTTTTTATATTCAAGTCCAATAACATTAGTATATTGTTGACAGAACAAATCATAAATTAAAGGGAATCTGTTTTACATTTGTTTTTAAGTATAGCAGTGTAATCACGCGCTGGTTAAAAGGATGTATTTTTTTACGCTGGATGGTTAAAAAGATGTACTGTGTAATAACTAATAAGCTCACTTATATTGAAATAGTCATTTATGTGAAATCCTTTCAAAAGTCACGATATGGTCTACCTTTTTTCATTGGGTTGATGTTCACGCACAACAGTTTCATTGGGAGAAAAAGAGGCAACAACAACAAAAGGACGGCGAAGAACAAAAGAGTCATATTGCTATACTACATAAAATGATCTCCAATTATGTATATACTCTGAATTGCAAAAGGCACACTTCTATCGTATTTTAGGGAATATCTAGCAATTGGGAAAAATGATTATCAATAAAATTGATGAAATGAAAAGTTAGAAAACCATCTTTGTAAGACATTGGGGATTTTCGTCTAAACCAAACGAGACCATTCTTTTAGCCACAAACTGTGTTATTAACATTTTGTTTATAGATGTGAAAGTTTGTTAGCTCGCAACATTTCAACATACAATTCTATTAAGGAAAATCACGCGCATAATTCACAAATAGCATGGTATTTAAACATAGAGCATTATTTGTATGTATAATTTTTGTCTTCTTGTTAATAGCCACGTTTCAACATCCCTAATATTATTTATGGACACCAGATGCATACTAAATTAATATTCTGCTATTTTTAACGTATAAACATAATAATTCATCCATTGAAATAATAAATATTACTAACTTTTTCAAGAAGTTTTGGACCAAGGTCCATAATCTTTCTGGCAGACGCCAACATTTTCAGGTTTTATTGATAGGTTGGTTTATATAAATTAGGGGGTTTATATTACTACATTTTATTTTATTTTATCATAGATCATTTCTCTCTTTTTTTTTTTTTGGTTTTTTTCAACGAAAGTTAAATATGTAGAGAGGTTAATTGCAATGTGTATTCCTATAATTATAACGCATAATCAATTTGGGTATTATTAGTTTATACGTCATTTCTTAGATCATCTTATCAAATTGTTATCAAATTTTATAAGGAAGAACCTGATTAGATTATATTTTGTGTATAATTCACCATTCTTTTTTTTCCCTATATAAGCATTTGCTATTAAGAAAAACAACTTATATACACCATATTATTTTCCGTTTCGATCTGATTTTATACTTTTGGGGGTAAATTTTCGAAAATCATATATGTTATTCTCGTCATTTATGGTATATGCAGCTAATATATACGTAGCTTTATTCTATATCTATTTACTATATTTAGTAACTGGTATTACTATTACATAGAAAGGTAATAAATTGATTGTTAATTCCGTGTTACTATGTGTCTTTTAACTTTACACCAAACCAAACTCATGAGTCATGATGTCAATGTCCATGTCCATGAGGCCCGTGGAAGATGATCTAAGAGATGACGTATAAAATAATAATACTCAAATTGATTTGCCTCTCGAACATATTCATTAGTCTAAGAACTTTTACTATTGTCGTTGTTCTCATTTGACTTCTTCCTTTGTTTTTTTTTGTTAAAGGGTTGTCATCACCTCTTCCTTTTGTTTACAAGTCAATCGGCTAATAGTTAAAAAGTTCCTTTCTACGTGATTATAAAATATCACAGTTACATTATATAAAAAGAGAGAAGGTGGTTTTTAAAAAACTTTCTAATTAGAGCTCAGCTCTAACCACCCCTTACTATTCAATATAAGATGATTAATATCAGACCGTATTTACTTACATCCAAATTCTTATGAAAACAAAAATAGCCGAGACTGAATTAAATACGTTTTTTTTTTTCATTTCACATAAGTGTGGTTGTGGTTGTAGTTAAATTTTTTTGTTTGGTTATCGAACTTGAATAAAAAACATTTGAGTACCGTTGCATTATTAATTATTATGAATCGGAAGTTTCGAAATTAGCCCGATTACAAACCAAAAGTCTTTATTTTTTTATATACACAAATTATATGTACATATATGAACCTTTATGGTTATGCTAAAAAGGTCTACTGTCATAATGCACCTTTAGTCTATATACATTGATTTCATAGTATTAATTAAGCATTGAAAAGAAGTTGAATTTTGATGGTTTTTGACAAAATTAAAGACGTTGAATTTGATGGTAAGACTAATTATAACACACCCATAAGGAGCAAAAGGTTATGTGGCCTCGTCAAAAAGGTTAGAGGCAATGAATGATGGGTTAGAAGCAACGAAATGTAAAATTATGGGACCCAAATGAAAAGTCTACAAATTGGTGGGGTGTGGTGAAATTTGGGCCTACATCTTCCCGATTTGTGGGTCGCATGAACCTCTCCACCCTCTAAGGTCAGTAGATTCCCTTTTCCACTACCTAAGGCACAAACTCAAAAGAGGCATGGCCTTAACTATGAACCCTTAGTGCCACTAAAACTATAAAGTGTTACTCGATAACACTCGAGTTGGTGTCAGAGAGAGCAAACGGATCACTTGTTGGAACAAAGAGGCAAGCGCACAAATGTTACGCTCGCATGTAGATGTCGATTATATGACCAAATTTCTGTAACTTTTTTTTTATTATAACTATGTCTAACCGTTGGAACCCAAAAATATCGTTCTTTTTCACATTCAGTTAAACAAAAATGTCAGCAATGTACACATCTAATTAATTTAGAGATATATATTCACTTTTCATTAATTAGGAGATAAAGTTCTTTTTCTAAGAGAATATTGTTACATGTGTTGGAGTGTAATGAAGTTTTTATATTCTTCCAACTTTCAAATGGGGTTTAGCTACCTAAATGAAGTAAGTCTTTTAAGAAGCTTTTTCCCCATTAATATATGATTGCTTTATATAAATAACAAAAACATGTCGAATATGTCGATATCGCATTATTCGTGTATCGATATAGATACCCTCCTTCCATGTGAAAAGATGGTCCAACCACGTAAAGTCTAGCCTATATAATTGTTTATTATGAACCTTTATGCAAATTTATACACAATAATTAATTTTACGAATCATTAAGTATTGATTGGCGGAAAGCTTATGATTAGTATATTATTCATGGAATATGAGCCACGGGCTCTACAAAGAAAGATGAAGAATAGTTTCTCTCTTTTTTGTAAATGGCTAAGAATAATTGATCTCGAGAATGAGGCATAAGAAAGATGACTTTATATATCTACTGATCAAGCATAGATATTTTTTTGTATATTTCATCATGGTCAATCTTAGTTAGAAACTCTTGCATATTATTAAACAGTCATGTATGCTATAGATTGAATAATCTAATTAAATAATTCATCATTTACACATGATTATAAAATTACAAGGTTCTATAGTACATATATGTGGATCCTGCGGGAACTAACCCTATACATATAGTTTAACGATACTACTGGATAATCATCCAAAGCTCAGCTTTTAGTCTCCAAACTTAAGTTATAACAAAATTAATAAAATAAAATAAACTATGAGACATTAGCGATGTATGATACAACAATTAAAGTTGAAAAAGTTATATTCTTTTTTACCTTTCCCGTTAAAAGGTACGATAAATGGATTATATGCTCTTCTCTTCTGAGCCTCAAAGCCTTAAGGAGATTCTTACATATCTTACATTTCAAAGTAAAGAGATAGTTGGTAACACATTCCCATGTGGTCCGGAAAACAAAAGTTCCCTTTTATTTCCGGAATATTAATCAACAAATTGTGTAGTCTTTCTATGTTGCATACGTAAAACATATAAATATCGATAATAATCATATTATCTTGAAAATTAGATTCTAACAAAGATGAAATCATCTATAATCCAGCTGTACGTCTACTGAACAAATATCAGGGTATCATTACGTATAACATTGTTTCTGTACCCCCAAAAAAATTAAGATATTAAAATGTTTATCAGGATTGCCTAGTTTTTTCTTTTGTTGGTCTTATCAGTAAATTTAGTACTGCAGTACTGCTCACGTAATTTGGCTGGGTCATGAAATAGAAAGTACTTAAATGGTTGAAGTTGCTCTAACATTGACGGTACTATGATCTATTTTAGATGTTTAGGAGTTAGGACACATCACGTACATCATTTTAGATGTTTAGGAGTTAGGACATATCTCTTTTTATTTTTCTTTTGAGTTTTTTTTTTTTTTTTTTTTTTTTTTTTTTTTTTTTTTTTTTCAATATGTATCTACGTACGAAACGGATCTGTGACTAAAACTCTGGAATTTCGCATGACTTAATCAGTAACAGTTATATACGGAGTCATTTGTAATTATGTAAATCAATAATAAAAACATCGTTTGTGTTATCAGTGAATTTTAAATTATGTTCACAAGTATGCAACTCTGTTTTATTATCAAATCAAAACCTGTGACTCTAGAATTGAGTATCCAAGATCGAGACTTTATTATTCGGACGTAAAAAGTTTTCATGATTTCTTGATGATACACATAGCGGAAGAGAATCGTGATCTTCAGAACTTTCATGTAAAAAGGCTTCATGATCGTGAATGGCAGCATATTTGTGCTTACTCTTGGCTTAAATAAAAAAAAAGGTTTATGTATTGTCAACAAATAATAGGATTGATACAGACTATTAAGAAATAAAGTAAGACGGTCCACGGCAACGCATGTGAACGTGATTATACGAACTACTATCGTGCAAACGTGGATCAATGGGAACCGTTGCTTTCAGAAGCATAAGAGAGACATCAATTTCAGATAAATCGTGTAAAGACTATAAAATGCATTGATAATTTACGTGACATTTGCGATGGTTTTGACAAAGATAGACAACTTCTTCCGACATAAATGTCTGGTCTACTACGAAAACGCAAGTTAAGTACTTTTGGAGATCTATTCATCGATAGTTGTAAACAACTTGTACACTCTATATATCTTAAAAAAGAAGAATATATAAGAGAATTCTAGATTTGTGGATATAAAATTTTGTTCAGACTGGGATCATAGTAAACAGATGAGTTGTTTCTTCAAATATCGGTTTATCTTCGGTATTAGTTAAAGCCAATATTCAGTTTCACTGTATGAAATAACTACATATTAAACCAATTATAACCGGCAATTCATAGCAATAATTGGTTATTGATTCTTTGCCACTCTGTAGCTATTTAGCTACAGATTAGCGAAAAACATATTTCGTAGCTAACAATATATAATGACAATTTATTATTAGTTTTTTTAATCCACTTTCAATCCAACGTTACTCTCACACTTTTTTTATATAAAATATGTTGCAGTAAAATTTCACAATGTAAAAGTAACTCTTTAACAAAACGAAAACTAAAAATCGTAACAGTTTAAGAGATAATCTTGAGCCCTGAATGTTAAACAGTGTGAAAATCAAAGAAACAAACAGACAGACTGTCACACTTACTAACGGACCAAGTTTCACATTTGTTGAACAAGTTGTTGATTACTGACCCAAGGCCCAATATTAGTAACGAACTAAAAATGGGCTTATGTTAGTCGGGTCGGGTCGGGTTAAAAATCAGGTTGGAGATTTCAAGAGAAACCCTCACAGGCGACTAAAACCCCATCTCAGAAGTTGCCTTCGTCGATTTGATTATCTTTCTCTCTTCTGTGTGGCTCCAGCCATCTCTCTCTTTCTGTAAAAGTCAAAATGGCCTCCGCTATTCTTCGCAACCCTAGCTCGAAGCGGCTTATTCCATTCTCTTCCCAGATCTACTCGCGCTGCGGTGGCTCCATTCCTTCGATCTCTCACTCAATCGGAGGAGATGATCTCTCTTCCTCAAGCTTCGGGACTTCCTTCTGGAGATCGATGGCTACTTTTACCCGAAAGTGAGTTTTGTTTCCTTGATTTGAATTTGGTTGGAGCTTGCGTTAGCAGATGTTGAAAATGAGCCTTTTGTTTGTGTTAATCTGTGTTGTTGTTGTTCTTCTTATCGCAGTAAACCTCATGTGAACGTTGGAACAATTGGTCATGTAGATCACGGGAAGACTACTTTAACTGCTGCGATCACAAAGGTGCTTCTTTTTATACATTTCGTTTCGCTAATTTGGGATACGAAACTTCCAAAAATGATTGTCAATGCCAAACCGTTGATGAGAAATTTAATTGGAAACCGTTTTTTTCAAGTTTGATATAGCTATTCTCAATCTATGCTTAGGTTCTTGCTGAGGAGGGCAAAGCTAAAGCTGTTGCCTTTGATGAAATTGATAAAGCTCCTGAGGAGAAGAAGAGAGGAATTACAATTGCGACGGTCTGTGTTGTCTCATTTAATTTCCCATCTCCAAGTCAAATAAATTCTCTTGTGTTTTACTTGATGTTAATGTTACTTGGTTGTGTACTGTAGGCTCATGTGGAGTATGAGACAACGAAGCGTCACTATGCTCACGTGGATTGCCCTGGGCACGCTGATTATGTCAAAGTAAGATGCCAACTCTAATGTAGTGACCAGAGCTTTTGTGAAATGCATCATAATCTAGCATACGTGAAATTTTTGGTGGAGTAAACATGCATCAGCATAAACGCTTGAGCCTTAATGATTCTGTTGATAACTTTCAGAATATGATTACTGGAGCTGCACAAATGGACGGTGGAATTCTTGTGGTTTCTGGTCCAGATGGTCCCATGCCCCAGACAAAGGAGCATATTCTACTTGCACGTCAGGTTTGCATCGTTACAATCTGAACACTCGAAGCTACTTAAACTGAGTGAGATATTATTGGCTAACATTTTGATTATGCGATGTTCCACAGGTTGGCGTTCCATCACTTGTGTGCTTCCTGAACAAAGTTGATGTGGTGGATGATCCTGAGCTATTGGAGCTTGTAGAGATGGAACTACGTGGTATGTAGATATTTATATAACACATAGTTTATTTCTTTCAGCGTATGAAGTATAGTAAAAGCTTTCTGACATCAACTCTTGTCTCCGTACAGAACTTCTCAGCTTCTACAAGTTTCCTGGGGATGACATTCCCATCATCAGAGGATCTGCTCTGTCTGCATTGCAGGGCACAAACGATGAAATTGGAAGGCAGGCTATCTTAAAGCTCATGGATGCTGTTGATGAATACATTCCAGACCCTGTTCGTGTGCTCGACAAACCATTCTTGATGCCAATTGAAGATGTTTTCTCGATTCAGGTATACTAATCTGCTTCCTCGTTGTTTCTTTTTTCCATTCACTCATTCTTTTGCATTTATTTTGAGAAATCAGTTCTGATAGATTTTTTCTTTTTCTTCAAAGGGACGTGGAACTGTTGCAACAGGCCGTATTGAACAGGGAGTTATTAAAGTGGGTGAAGAAGTTGAGATATTGGGCTTAAGAGATGTGAGTATGCATGGATATTGCGTTTAATTCAACCAAAGTAGTAGATTACTTGTGGCTATGACGATTACGATTAAGCATTTTCTTCTAGCATAACTGTGAGATATGATTTTTTTCAGGGTCTTCCAATGAAATCAACAGTGACTGGGGTGGAGATGTTCAAGAAGATTTTGGACAATGGACAGGTCAAACGCAATTTCGAAAAATTACAAAGACAAGTTCTTGGCATGTAAGATACTAACTAAATCTTGGCTTCCATTATGTTAGGCTGGTGATAATGTTGGACTTCTTCTGCGTGGGCTTAAGAGAGAAGACATTCAGCGTGGAATGGTAAGCGTAGATACATCTTTATGACTACTGAATGATCGAATAATAGCAAAAAGCATACTTTACTGAAGCTTTTTTTTTGTTATTTCGGTATGGTGGTGGCTTATTAGGTGATTGCTAAGCCTGGTTCATGCAAGACATACAAGAAGTTTGAAGCAGAGATTTACGTGCTCACCAAGGACGAAGGTGGACGTCACACTGCGTTTTTCTCAAACTACAGGCCTCAGTTTTACTTGAGGACTGCTGATATCACTGGAAAAGTTGAATTGCCTGAGAACGTGAAGATGGTTATGCCTGGTGACAATGTCACTGCGGTCTTCGAGCTGATCATGCCTGTCCCACTCGAACTAGGTCAAGAATCTTTCAGACACTCGCTTGCTTTTCTTGTGCTTCAGCAATTTCGATTTCTGACTTGCTAACATTTTGAAACAGGTCAAAGATTTGCATTGAGGGAAGGAGGAAGAACAGTTGGAGCTGGTGTTGTCTCAAAAGTGATGAGTTGAGAGTTCTCTAAAAGGCACATCCTTAGGTTTTCTCTAGGAACCCATCAATGATGTGATTTATTTTCTTTTCTTTTGTTTCGTTGCTTTGGGATTTCGAGTAGCTCAAATAACAGAGTGAGAAACATAATTGAAGTGTCCAACGAGAGAGATTAGGGCAGAGACACTTTTGAATTCCTGCTTCCTACTTTGTGAAACTTGAAAGAAAAAAAGAGCTGCTTCCAGTTCTCTCATTCTTCTGTTTGTTCAGTATTGTTTTAGTTTTCTTCCTTCAAAATATTCTGTTTCCAGTTTTCCACTTACCAGTTTTTGTTCTTCATATTTTACAACAGCGACGCCAACTTAGACGACGTCGTTTCTTCCAACTTAGACGACGTCGTTTTGGGTTATTCTTGCTGTTACCAAACCAAATCACAATTAATTTTGCTAGACCAAACCGGACTGATACAAACTACTGAATACAGTTGATAGATTCTTGTGATAATTTGGAGCACATGTACATGCTTATCAACAAGTGTGTTTCCGAGTAAAGTCACGTGAGAATACGTGAAACGAGAAATCAGAAAAGTTAACCAAGACGAAAGGGTTTTCTTTGACAAAAGAGTAAACCCTAATCGGCCGAACTAGGACGTCAAAATATTTTCCGACTTTTTATATTATTTTAGACCTAAACCGGAGGGGCCTTGTTCGGACTGAGCAAAGCATTGCACTTTTGCCGTTTCCAATGGCGAAAAAGAGGAGCTTTAGAGCAGTCTCCGTCGCTGCCACCTCACCGACGAAGGGTTGCAAAGCCCGGAAGGTGAGAGATTTCGGATTCTTTCGTGTATTCAGAAAATATTGGTTATTTTCCAAAAGCTTTTATCTTTTTATTTGTGTGTAGCTAACGGAGAAGATCCTGAAGGCTGCCTATGAGCAGCAGAAGGAGGTTGAGGATGAAGAAAACGCGGAGAAAATACCCATGATCACCTCTTTCAAGCAGGCAGTGTATGGGTTTGAAAATTTTACTGATGATGATGACTATGACCAATCCCAAGAGTTTGAGAGCCAACTTGATGATGATTACCAAGTGAGATTCTTTCTCTACTTTTTGACTATTATGTAAGGCTTGAGCATTAGCTATAGATTTCTTTGCGTTTATATGATGGAGATTGTTATTGAATTGCAAGCCATTGGAGAACGAAGAGGACAAGCTATTAGTAGATGCATTCTTTCAAAAGGATGGGGCTTCATTAGCAAAACGTCTCTCTAATGCTATTACTAGTTCTATCAAAGATCTTGAAGATAAAGATGATGTTTCCACAGGTTTTGCTTGATAACTTTGTGGAATATTATCAACTGTATGATTGTAAGTGGCTAATTCTGTAATTTGTTTTGCTGGTTGTAGGTTCTGCTTGTATTTCAGAAGCTGACTATTATCAAAAGTAACATTCTCTCTTCTTTTTTTCCTTCTCCTTGCAAATGAAGTAACGTTACTTTTGAGTTTGTCTCTGATATATATATATAACCATGCAGGTTGGGGAAGTTTATGAGTATGTACACACATGGAAAAATGCCCAAAGCTCTTAACCATGTTACTAAACTTGATAACTGGGCTGATCTATTGAAGCTGACTCAACCAGAGAATTGGTCACCCACTGCCATGTACAAGGCTACAATCATGTTTGCTTCCAGCACCAAAGCTGGACGCTTCTTTGAGCTATTTCTTCTTCCTAGGGTAAGGCAGGACATCAGAAACCACGATAAGCTACATTTTTGCCTCTACCAATCTTTGAAAAAGACACTCTTCAAGCCCAGAGGATTCTACTGTGGAATATTAATTCCCCTGTGTAAGGTGTGTGTGTGTGTTCTTTTATATATTTTTATTTCTGGTAATTGTATTACTTTTCTCTAAGTAACTTGCATGTTGTGTTTTTAGTCGGGAACATGCACCAATGCCGAAGCTAGAATTATAGGGAGTATAATCCAGAAGTTTTCTATTCCTGAAGTTTTCTCAAGGTAACAAGGATTTCACCTTTATTTTTATGAAAGTTTTGCCACATTTTTAAACAAAATTATTCTTGTACATAAACTGTAGTGCCGCATTGGTATGTTTGGCGGAGATGAAGTTTCTTCGCCCAACAAGGTAAATGCATTATATAGCTTACACGTATATAGATAGGTACATTATTTAGATACAATGTTGTGTTCCTTTCTTTGGTTACATTGTGTTTTTGTTTGCGTGTGTGTGAAGTTACTTCATAAAGGTTATTTTGGAGAAGAAATATGCGCTGGCGCTCTCGGCGATTGATGCGGTCGCAGCTCATTTCTTGAGATTTCATAAGGAGACAAAAGTTATGGATGTCATTTGGCACCAAACTCTTCTTGCCTTTGTGCAACGGTAAGGAAGAAGAAAAAGAATTGTCCACTTTCAGTCATAGTAGTCAGCTTTTTCGTCTCATTGTTAACCTCTTTACTTTTGCAGGTACAAGCATGAACTAAGAAAGGAAGATAAAAAGAGTCTCACAAGTCTACTTGACAAGCAAAATCACGACCTTGTATATATGACCACTTTAATTCCCTTGTCTAATCAAAGTCCTTAATTTAAGCGTACTCCTTTTTTTCTTTTTGTTAAACCTTATTTATCATATTGCAGATTACTCCTGAAATTGTGAGAGAGCTTGAGAATAGCAGAAACAGGGGAGAGAAGGAGGATGGTAATTCACGTTCAGCATCTACGGTCAACAACAAGCCAATCAAAGAAGACTGGTTTGACATGCCACAAGTTCCCATGGAAGAAGACTAGTGATTATCTGCTGCCGGTCTTTCAATTATCGACAATTGTTGAGAATTGTCTTTCCTTTTGTTGCCAGAAATATTAATGGTTTTATTTTTTTGGTTAAATTCAGATTTATGCTAAGACTAGATTAGACCCCGCGTATACGCGGGTTTATTTTATTTTTTTGAAATAAATCCTGGAAAATTATTAAACATAATATAATCATTTTTAAAAGTAAGTAGAATAATAATAAAAACCCGATAACAAATCACTAAATAAAATAAGATTAGTAATCTTTTTACATTTTTATTATAATTGACATTTGTTTTGAATTCATGATATGAAAAATGAATTAATTTGTGTTATCTTATTTTTATCTAATATAGAAATACTTACATGTGTTTAAATCTGATGGACTAATTAATACGTGAAACTTTGATTATTCCATCGAAGAGATTTCAGTTGATGAAATCATTTTTTAAATATTTTTTGACCTAACAAAAATTTGAAAATAAACTATTTAAAATTAGAATATCGGACCAAAATAAAATTTTCTTTTTAATATTAGTTAGCTGTTGATAATTATTTTGTTAGCTTTCTATTTATATTCTTTCTTTTATAATATTTATTTTGCCTCGGACCATTATAAATTTTTCTTTTCATTATTAGTTAGTTGTTTTACAATTTTTCGTTTTGTTATTAATTTTTTCTAATTTTCTTGTGTTAACACATGTTATAATCTGATCAAATATTATACATGGTGCGCAGTAGTTTTGATTTTGATCCAACTGATCTAAAATTAAATATTCTTCATTGATATCTAGAACTTTTAAAGACATGATTTTTCATTTCTTAATAAGAAAGAAAATTTAAACAAAATATAAAAGCACACAATTAAATCATGAAGGGTGTAACTTATTATATATTTTTTTTTCCTTCTTGTATTGGGAATATGTTTTTTTCCGTTTCTTAATGGATGTAACAATTTATTGTAAATTATATATTTTCTTACTAACCTTTTTCATCAAGTAGTAGAAGCTCAACTCCCATAAGAATATTATTTTCTTTTGGATTTCTAACTTCCCACTTTCGAATAACACGTACTATAGTACGGCGATAATTTCGATTTCGATCCAATTGACCTAGAGTCAAATAATCTTCACTGTTTTCTTGAACATTCAAAGACATGATTTTTAAATTAGAGAAAGAGAATCAGAGAAATTTAATGAATTTGCTTTGATGAGTTTGTGAATGAGAAAAAAGAGACTACTGTAACTTTGTATTTATAGGTGTTCATATAACATATTCCTTGCAGATATAGGAATTTTAGTTTACGTACCTATTCCATGTAGTAATAGGATTTTATTTATTACATTATTTTCAATCTTATTTTATAAATTAATATGTGTTTGGATAATATAAATTTGATGAATGGGAAAACCTTTTTCTGTTAGGATATGACAAATATTAATTTTTCTTTTTTTATAAAATAAATAAAATTTCGTTTTTTTAATTATCCTATTTCTAGTATTTTTTAAAAATAATTTTTTCCCCTAATACACGTGTCACGATCTTAACGGACATAATCTTAAAAGTGACACATGTCGTGATCCTATATTTTATAAAAATCCTACGTGTCGCAACCACGTCGCGCGCATCCAGCTTTATATAATAAGATATTAAAAGAAAATCGCATATTGATGAGTTTAATACAACATCAGGAATTTCTCATAGTTATTTAACGTTTCAAGAACAAAGGCAATTTCCTTTAAATTATTATTGTGTTAGGCCACATGCAAACAAAAATAATTATCCGAAAATAATAAAAGGAAATTTACGTGTAAGGTGAATTTCCTTTTACTATGTTAAGCTAAAGCTATATATACGTGTGTGTGTGCCCACACTTGTGACAGACGAGGAAGATGGATTGTTTGACAGATGATCTATGTGCGATTGTACTTGCGAGGCTACCGCTTAAGACCAGCACAGCTTCAAAAGTGGTTTGCAAGCAGTGGAAATCGATCGTAGAGTCTCCCTTTTTCCAGGACCTTTACCGATCAGTACTGCACCAAGACTCGCACTCTTGTTCATGGTCGCTCATGACTTTCGGGATAGAAATTATAGCACACTACAGATGCGAAACTTGGGGACTTGAACATTCTTTGAAGTTTTACGTCTCCTCTTTCCTAGAAAGGTTCAATAACAACAACAACAAGAATAACGTACGAGCCAGAGTCGTGGCTTACTCCGACGTTGGGTTGATTTTGATCCATGTAAAGCCATCCAAGGAGAAGATTAATGGATACTTTTACGTGGCTAATCCGGTTTCATGGGAATCCGTAGAAATCCTCTTTCCTGATGCTCTCCCTCTAGGGTTTGGGACGAGTCAGGATTACCCGATCACTGGAATTGTCACACGAACTGATGACAAGGGCCTTGTTTTAAGTTACAAACTTGTTCTCATGGATAAAACTCATATAAGACAAAGAAAGAAGAGCTTAAATTTCCTGATATATTCATCCGAGACAGGCTCGTGGAGTCTCAACACTTATCATCTTCCTTACTCTCTTTTCCTTCATGATCATCGGCATCGCTTAGCCATTAGCTTGAACGGAAACCTTCACTGCCTCGCCTGGAACAGGTTCAAGCATGATGAAATTGTATCCATCGATTTCTACGCTGGTTCTGATCGATGCCGTGTTACGCCTTTCCCTGACTCGGATAAAACTACCAAATTCGAAAAATGTTGCACACCTTCTCAAGGGTTTCTCATGTATATGAACATAGTCTCTGTAACAGATGGAAGTCTAGAGGATAAGTTATGTCTATGGAGGTTACAGAGAGACGGGTGGCAACTAGTATCGGCAATCTCTATGTGCGATTGTACTTGCGAGACTACCGATTAAGACCATCACAACTTCAAAACTGGTTTGCAAGCAGTGGAACTCGATCGTAGAGTCTCCATTTTTCCGAGAACTTTTCATATCACTGCACCAAAACTCGCACTCTTGTTCATGGTCGCTCATGTATAGTAGAACAGAAATTATGGCTCACTACAGATGCGACACCTGGGGACTTGAAAAATCTTTGGAGTTTTACGTCTCCTTTTTCCTAAAAAGTTTCAAGAACAACAACAACGATTACCTATCAGCCAGAGTCGTTGCTTACTCCAATGTTGGGTTGATTTTGATTTATTCAAAGCCACTCAAGGAGAAGAATGGATCCTTTTACGTGGCTAATCCGGTTTCACGGGAATGCGTAGAAATCCTCTTTCCTGATACTCTTCCTCTAGGGTTTGAAACGATTCAAGAGTGCCCGACCATAGGAATTGTCACTAGAACTGGTGACAAGGGCGTTGTTTTAAGTTACAAAGTTGTTCTCATGGATGAAAGGCAAAGAGAGACGAGTTTCACTTTCCTGATATATTCATCTGAGACAGGCTTGTGGAGTCTCACCACTTATCATCTTCCTTACTCTCTTATCCTTCGTGGTTATCGCTTAGCCATCAGCTTAAACGAAAACCTTCACTGGCTCTCCTGGAACAGTCTCGTGGGAGGTAGAGTTGTTGTATCCATCGATTTCTACGATGGTTCTGATCGATGCCGTGTTACACCTTTCCCTGACTCGGATAAAACTACCAAATTTGAAAGAGCTTGCACAGCTTCTCAAGGGTTTCTCATGTATATGAACATAGTCTCTGAGGATAAGCTATGTCTATGGAGGCTACAGAGCGACGGCTGGCAACTAATATCTGCAATATCCCCGGTGGCTTTGATTTCGACCGGTTTAGATTGTCCCGTGACAATGAACCCTTTTGATGGGAAAACAGCTTACTTTTACAGCAAGGAACAGGAAGGTTTGCTATCTATAAACTTGCACAATGGCAAGTTTGTGCTCCACAATCAGTTGGAACATAGCAGAGACGACGGTCGCATTATAGTTTCCGTTAAAGGTCCTGGACTCATGGATTATTTTAAAAAATCAGACTGTTCCTCCTTCGTTCTCCCACAATGGTTGCATCGGATCCCCAACACAATGACAAGAGTTTAGACTTACGTGTTAACTGCGAAGACTTCATTTTTTCTTCTTGTTTTGGTTGATTATTGTTAGTTTCTTATGCCATACTTATTATTATTGGTTTAAATCAGAGAGAAAGTAAGAAAATACCAGATATTTTCTTGTTCATGTAATCAAAGAGATTCTTGCAAAACAATTTATTCCCTCTGCAAAATTCATGACCTCTTAGTCTTAGGTTCTTCTACAACACACAATACCATCTTCACATTTACATGCTCAGTGACACTAAACAAGTTGTAGTCATTTACACACGAACTTTTAAGCTTTCGTTGGAGTAGTAAATCAAATGATTTTAAATCTTTCACCGCGCTGAGATGAAGTTTCTTGGCACATTAAGGTAAATGCATGATGGACGTACACGTATATATGTATAGGTGGGTTACATTTGTGTTCTTATTTTTGTGTGTGTGTAGTTACTTCATAATATTTATTTTGGAGAATATTGCGGTCGCTGCTCATTTCTTGAGATTTCATAAGGAGAAAAAAGTTATGGATGTCATTTGGCACCAAACTCCTCTTGCCTTTGTGCAACGGTAAGGAAGAAGAAAAAGAATTGTCCACTTTCAGTCATAGTAGTCAGCTTTTTCGTCTCATTGTTAACCTCTTTACTTTTGCAGGTACAAGCATGAACTAAGAAAGGAAGATAAAAAGAGTCTCACAAGTCTACTTGACAAGCAAAATCACAAACTTGTATAACCACTTTAATTCCTTTGTCTAATCACATGTTTTAATATTTTCCTTTTTGTGAGAGATCTTGAGATTAGCAGAAACCGCGAAGAGAAGGAGGATATAATTCACATTCAGCATTTACGGTCAACAACAAGCCGATGACAAAGAAGACTTGTTTGACATGCCACAAGTTAAGACTTAAGACTAGTGATTAATTATCTGTTTCCAGTTTTTTAGTTACCGCCAATTGTGTGAATCTTGAGTGAACCTTTTTTCTTTTGTCTTTCCTTCTGTTGCAAGGAAGCGTTTTATTTTCCTATATTTATGCTACCCAAGATATTAAAATTAATTTATATCTAAAATTGCATGTTATAATTAATTTTTATTTTATTTTTTTATTTACTTCTAATTTCTTTTTAACAAAAAAATTCCCTAATCCCATTGAAACATATTGAATTTAATAAAATAACATAAGAAATAGCAGTAAATTAGAATAAGGGGATTTCCTTCTATTATTAGGTTAAGCTTTGCCTTAGGTATATATATATACACACTTTGGGAATTCTTTAGACTTTCTTCTTTTCCTGCTGATTTTTTTTTTTTTTTTTTTTGTAAGCAGAATTCCGACAGAACAGGAAGATGGATTGCTTGACAGATGATCTATGTGCGATTGTACTTGCGAGGCTACCGCTTAAGACCAGCACAGCTTCAAAAGTGGTTTGCAAGCAGTGGAAATCGATCGTAGAGTCTCCGTTTTTCCGACAACTCTTCATATCACTGCACCAAAACTCGCACTCTTGTTCATGGTCGCTCATGTACTTTGGAACAGAAATTATGGCTCACTACAGATGCGAAACTTGGGGACTTGAAAAATCTTTGGACTTCTACATCTCCTCTTTCCTAAAAAGGTTCAAGAACAACGAGGAACATTACAAACCAGCTGCTGAAGTCGTTGCTTACTCCGATGTTGGGTTGGTTTTGATCCATGTAAAGCCACTCAAGGAGAAGATTCATGGATCCTTGTACGTGGCTAATCCGGTTTCACGGGAATGCGTAGAAATCCTCTATCCTGATGCTCTTCCCCTAGGGTTTCATGAAACGAAACAAGATCACCGGATGACTGGAATTGTCACACGAACTGATGACAAGGGCGTTGTTGTAAGTTACAAACTTGTTCGTATGGATAAAAGGTTAAATTTTGAGACGAGGAACTGAAGTTTCCTGATATATTCATCTGAGACAGGCTCGTGGAGTCTCAACACTTATCATCTTCCTTACTCTCTTTACCTTGGTGACCATCGCTCAGCCATTAGCTTGATCAACGGAAACCTTCACTTGCTCGCCTGGAAAAGTCTCTTGGGAGGAGGAGTTAGAGTTGTTGTATCCATCGATTTCTACGCTGGTTCTGATCGATGCCGTGTTACGCCTTTCCCTGACTCGGATAAAACTCCCGAATTCCAAAGAGCTTGCACAGCATCTCAAGGGTTTCTCATGCATATGAACATAGTAGTCTCTGAGGATAAGTTGTGTTTATGGAGGCTACAGAGCGACGGATGGCAACTAATATCTGCAATCCCCCCGGTGGCTTTGGTTTCGACAGGTTTTGATCGTCCCTTGACAATAAACCCTTTTGATGAGAAAACAGCTTACTTTTGCGGCAAGCATCAGAAAGGTTTGCTATCTGTAAACTTCCACAATGGCAAGTTTGTGCTCCACAATCAGTTGGAACATAGCAGTGACGACAGTCGCATTATGGTTTCCCTTAAAGTTTGGGGATATACGAGACACATCAAACAATCAGAGCGCTCCTCTTTCGTTCTCCCACAATGGCTGCATCGGATCCCCAACACAGTGACAAGAGTTTAGTCATAACTCATAATACAGGTTGCAAGACTTTCAGTTTAGTTATTTTCTTAAGTTTAATTACTGTCCTTGAAAAACATACCACTCTTTTGCCCTTGTCACTAGTTAAAACATAAAAAAAAGTACAGAAACAAAAGAAGTGAGTGATAAACAGAGGAGAACAAAGGTTAAGATCTTAGTATATAACATATATGCTTCATGGTTCATGCTACACAACGCAACAGAGACCTATTAGATATTATTGTTCATAAAATCGAAGTCTTGCAAAACATTTTATTCCACTCTGCAAAATTCATGACCTCTTAGGTTCTTCTACAACACACATTTACATGCTTAGTAACTAAACAAGTTTCAGTCATTTACATGGAGTAGTAAATCAAGAAAGTATATCTTCCACCGCGTGTTCTCAACATGCAAACCTAAGTGCAAACACAGCGATTACCGTGGCAGCTCTGAAGTAAACCTCCTTGATGCTTCTCTCCACACTGTTCATGATTTCTCCATCTTTCAAACTTGAACATTGCTTGTTTGCTTTCCTATTGACACTAACAATCACTTCCCTGAGTCTGATCACAGCCCACGACAGTATTACCAAACTGAAACCAAGTCCAGTGTCGAAAAACTTGTTTGCGCAGAAAGGCACACTCCTTGAAGCAAGACCACAGACCACAGAGAAGAGCACAGCCATTCCAGTCCCCGCGGCAGTGATAGAAAACTGAGTGAGAAGCTCAGAGATCTCTCCGCATGATCTCTGCAAAGAGAGCACTGTTGTGTGTTTGTCTTGAGGATCACTGCCTATCATTAACGACAAAAGGCTCTCGTAAGCGTGGAGATGGTTTCTTCTGTAGAGGTCGCTCTGTTTAGCTTTCCGCTTCGTGTTTTGTTTCCTTGGTGATGGCTTGACCCTGGTTTTCTCAGGACTTGTTTGAATAAAAAAACAGAATTCGACTATGAGAACACTAACAAACAACAATCAAAGCAAAACAAAGAGAAAGAGAGAGAGAGAGAGAGATTAGATTACCTCTTCAAAGGTGCTAACACAGTAGCTACTTTCAGCTTCGCTGGTGTTATTACTTCACTCTCAAACCTGAATAAATGACAAAGCAGAAACCTTTAGCACCGAGAAACGAAACACAGACAAAGACAAAGTGAAGGCTGTGTGAGGAATGTTACCACTGAAACTGCGGGACAAGCGGTGAGAGCGGTTTCCCTTTTGTTGAGTTCCTACTTGAGGAGAAGAGAACGTGGCCGTTTGATTGCACAGAGAAGTCAACCATATCCCTAACGAGATCCAAAACCGGTTTCCCTAGTTCTTGATTCAAGTAAAGAACAGAGGAAGCACCATACGGTAGTAGCTGAGAGCTTGATTTAACAGCCTCTAGCTCCATCAATTCAGATAGCATAGACATATCAACTCCTCTCTCCTTTGACCTAGACATAAGAAACTCCATCACTTTCTCTTGTCTCGCATACTTGCCAAAGCTCAAAACCAGAGATTCCGGCGCCTTCTCTGTATCAACCATAAAAGCAAAACCTCATGTAAATTTTGGGAACTTGAATAGACAGGTAAATTCATTTAAACCAATTGAGCTTACCATGAACATCCATGAGCAGAGGTTTCATCAAGGCTGAGTCAAGCTCCACGAATTGGCTAGATTTGGTAAACGAAGAAACCGGTTTCCATGGTTCCAAGTTTTGTGGATGATTCAGATTGAAGGAGCTTGCAGGTATTATCTCTTGTCTCGTTCCCGGATTCATCAGATAAGACCGGTTAGTCTGCATCAATCATCCACAATAAGAAAATCAAACAAGACGCAGACGGAAAAAGGCGAATCAAAGATGCAAACTTTACATAAACCCAGATAAAATTGAAGCATTGATACACCATTTCGACACGAACCCAGATAAAATTCAACCAAATCCAACATAACGCGAGAAGGAATTGAATATAAGTCGGCTCAAGGGAAGATGATGCGAAGTAAATTAGTTACCTTGATGATTTCAGTGTTACTGAGCTCGTGAGGAAGACCAAGGCCAGGGATTTGATAGCCATGAGAAGTCATGAAGCAAAACTTCATCATTTTGTTTTTGGGTCTGATGTTGAAGAGAAACCAAAATTCAATTCCTTGGAAGAAAACTCGGCTTCTCTCGTCTCTGCTTCGTCAGAAATCCATGGGGAGAAGAAATAAGCAAAACTTATCGCTACGACTCAACCTACGCCGCAGAAACGAGATTGGAGAATCTTCTCGATTTTGGCTGCGACAGAAGAAGACAGTTGAATTTTAAGATTTTTTTGAGGCCTATATTTGTTCAATTCACGAAAAAAGCTGTACCGTACCAGAAACAAAAACAACTCTATGCCTAAGTTAATTATGTCGACCACAAGAAACAAAAATAAACCAAGTTTATACATTAACATGTCGACTTTTGGATTTCACTCAAAATGCATTACCAATTTTATATTCTGAGAATTTGAGAAAATGCGATATTTAAGAGAACAATAATGTAGAGCGAGTGAAATGGATATTATTTAGATATTATGTGACGCATGATTTTTTTTTTTTTTTGACAACGAAAGGCTCCATGTATTATTAGAAAGCACCGATGGTAATGACTGTGGCAGCCGTACCGATCGGAACAATAGGGTCTACATGGGAAAAAGAAACACCTCGTCCACGAGCTTGTTTTGACAAAGCATCGGCACGGATGTTACGCGTACGTGGAATAAAAACTATGGAAAAGTTCTGGAAAAGAGATCGAGTAAAAAATAAATCATCCAACTCAGAGGCCATAGAAGGCCATTCTTCTTCGTCCTCAACTAGCTTGATTAGCTGGAGGCAATCCGATTCAAACCTCATGGAGGTGTATCCCATTTGCAAAGACGCCTTCATGGCCCATAGCAGCGCTTGGGATTCAGCATGCAAAGGTGAGATAACCTGTGTTTTGGCAAAGAAACCAAAAGAGGTAATATCTTGATCCATATCTAGAGCGAGTCCTCCTCCAAAATTTTTTTGTCCGTACGCCCATGATGCATCTACCTGGCACCGTGGGTATACTTCGTTTTCCGGGAATGGAGGAGGTTCGGTGGAGTCTGTGGAACCGTCTAGGGCATCTGTAATTTCTTGTGCGATTCTCCATGCTGTCGCTTCTGTTTTAGCCGCTTGTGATGTATCCATAGGCTCAACGTCCTTGCCCTTGAAAACCTTGTCATTCCTAGCCTTCCAAATGAACCAGGCAGTCCAGGGAAAAGGTGCGAATCCTGTGTCCGCTGGTCCCTGACGCGTTGCGATACATAGGAGGTATTCAAGGTTTAAAAAGAGAGCATTACACGGGAAAATTCCCGGATCCGGCAGGCCGTGTGTGAGTGCCCATGTTTGTTTTGCCAGGGGGCACTCAAACAGCATGTGGTTGATCGTTTCCTCCTCTGCTCCACATCTAGGGCAGGCTCTCACAATGCCACAATGTCTATCAGCGAGACGACTACACACCGGTGTAATGCCGGCTATAGCTTGCCATATGAAATGTTTAAGCTTTTTTGTCGTTTTCAGGGTCCATACCTTACTTTTCAGAGCGTCGACACTTGGCTGTAGCAGAGGGTTGGAGCTTAAGGTCTCTTTTAATTGCACTGCAAGCAGGTAGCCTGATTTTACCGAATAGAGACCCGACTTGGTTTGCGTCCAGCAGAAGCTATCCTCCCTGTTTCTAGTGCTTGGCTTGAGGCTTAACACAAGATGGATATCTTCGACAGTAAAGTGGTCAGTAAGCTTATCTAGCATCCATTCTTTCGTTATTGGGTCCAGAAAGTATGACACGCGGAGGAGAGGGTCATAAGGGAGACCACTAGCAATGGGGGGTCTCGGTAGGCTGTCCGGAATCCATGCATCACTCCAGACATTGGTGTTTTCTCCTGAACCAATGGTTCGTCTTAGCCCGCTCTTTAAGAGATCTTTCGCTGCCAGAATGCTTCTCCAACCATAAGATGGCATATTTGATTTCTCCACCTCAAGAGGAGAGGAGTTTCGATAATATCTTCCTTTGAGAACACGCGCCAAGAGAGATGACGGAAAGTGTAACAGTCTCCACATCTGTTTTGCCAGGAGAGCTAAGTTGAATAATTGAAGATCCCGAAATCCCAAACCGCCTTTATCGAAAGGGATGCATATCTTATCCCAAGCTATCCAATGTATACCACGGCTGGTTTGCTTATTGCTCCACCAGAAATTTGAGATGGCACTCTGTAGTTTTTTAATGATCCCTAGGGGCAGTAAGAAGCAAGACATAACATAGGTTGGAAGAGCTTGAGCAACCGACTTAAGCAAGACCTCTTTTCCCCCTTTTGATAGGAGTTTAGCCGACCAGGAGTTTATGCGTTGACTAAGCCTATCTTGCACAAAGGCAAAAACCTTTTGCTTTGACCCACTTATATTCTCTGGTAGCCCCAAATAAGTTCCCATACCGCCTTCATTATGGATCCCTAGGGCATTTTTTAGGGAGAGGCGTACATCTTGTGGTACTTTACTTCCAAAGAACACAGAGGATTTGGCTGTATTAAGTTGTTGTCCCGACGCCATCCCATAACATTGGAGAATCCTCATTAACTCTGCACATTGCAGGACATCAGCTTTACAGAAGAATAAGCTGTCATCAGCAAAAAGGAGGTGGGAGATTGGTGGGCATGCTCGTGCGATTTTTAATCCTGTAATCTTCCCTTCTTCCTCAGCTCCTTTCAGTTGGGCAACAAGGGCCTCTGTTAGGATAATAAAGAGGAAAGGTGATAGAGGATCACCTTGTCTGAGACCTCTGGATGGGTTTATATTCCCTTTTGCCTCACCATTTATCAAAACTTTATACGAGACAGAGGTAATACATGTTTTGATCCATGTGACCCATTGAGATGCAAAACCAAGTTTAAGCATAAGGGCCTCTAGGAAGCTCCATTCCACTCGGTCATAAGCTTTACTCATATCAGTTTTGACTGCTATAAACTTTGCCTTGCACATCAAATTTGTTCGCAGAGCATGGAAAGCTTCTTGTGCAATGAGGATATTGTCAGTGATAAGTCTTCTAGCCACGAAGGCTGATTGGGTCTCCGAGATTATTTTCGGCAGGCATCTCTTTAATCTATTGGAGAGAATCTTGGAGATAATCTTATAGCTCACATTGCATAAGCTGATGGGTCAAAATTCTGTCATATCCCTTGGTCTCTCTGTCTTCGGTATCAAGCAAATGTTTGTCTGGTTCAGCTGCGGGTATAGACTGCTCGATGTAAAAAATTCATGAACCATGGCTATGATATCTTGAGCCGTGACTTCCCAGAATTTTTGATAGAAGAGACTAGTCATCCCGTCAGGTCCAGGAGCCTTGTCCGGGTTCATATCCGCAATCGCCTTCCGGATCTCATCATTTGATGGAGGTTTTGTGAGCGAGGAGTTCATTTCAAGGGAGACTTTCTCCGTGACATACTTAAGTGCATCGTCAAAAGATCTCGGATTAGATGACGTGAATAGATGATGGAAATAGCCCGTGGCAGTTTGCCTGACGCATGATTTTTGTTTTTACAAAGCTGAACTAATAATAATACACACAACAAGCAAAAGTCTTAGAGAGTTTAACAAACGTATGAAACAACAATTACATATCCAATATTTATTTTCCCCCTAAACATCTACAAGAGTACAACAATGAAGTTTCTATCTTCACTAACATCATCAAACAAAATCTCTGAATCGTTTACAACAGCAATAAGAGTCACAACACAGAGTGTCATACTGTTTACATTGACCTGGGAGAGCCAGTGTGCTTGTTGGCTTCAGGAGTGGCTGTAACAGAGCTGCTAGCTTCTGAGTTGTATCGGGTCGTGACTTGAGAAGTCCTCCTGGTCGCTACAAGAGGATTACTCTCTTCCTCATCGACCACTCTTGGTCTGTCAAAGTCTTTGCCTTTGAAAACCGGATGCACGTAAGCATCTCTCAGATATTCCTTGAGGTTTAGATTTGGCTCAGTCGCTTTCTCAAGTGTATCCTTCACCATTGCTTCCTGCCAAATGCAGCCATCTCCAACAATCAGTTGAAACAGTTACATATAAAAGTACGGTACAAGAGCTTTTGACACAATAAATCACCTGTAATGGGAATCTTGAGAAGGCTGATTCAAACCGTCCTGCACAGTATCGGTTAAACCAGATGGTCAAGATAGGTTGAGGGAGAAGCAGAACAGTTGCTTTAGCAAGTTTCTTTGTGCTGAGCAAACCCATCATTAGAAGCTGCGATATTATTAGACATATGATCAACCGTCTATGCACGTCTGGCCAGTATCTAGCACCACTCTCATATTTCTGGTCGTACACATTTATAACCTTGCAAACACACAGGAATGAAAACAGTTTTAAGACACTGAAGAAGAATGCTTTGATATCTTTTGAGCTTTTTTTAAAGGTACCTGATGCCGGAAAACGACGTAGGAGAAAGCAAAGAAGACGAGAATGAATGGAAGAAGAATGGGTGCAACAGCAGCATACACAAGCCCCAGCAAGAAATAGAACTGAATCCGAGGCTCAGTGGTTGCAAAGTCCAGATGACCTGGATCCATTGCTTGTTGCCTGTCTTGTTCTGTCTTAACCAAGAAAGTGTTTTTCAGATGGAAAAGGACTAATGGAACCAGCCTGAGTATCTCGGCTGCGATGCCAGCCCAACCATCGACCATGATATAAGTGATGAAGAATGTAGCTTTCATTGGGATTGAAACACCAACTGTTTTTGGGATCCTAAGTAAAAAAAGTGAAAGAAAAAAAAATCAAGAACAGTCTTGTATGTGTTACAGTATAAATTTTTTGACACAATGAGAACATCCCCAAGTTACTTACTCGGTTGGTGGTTGCTCGAGGAAAGATTTAAGCTGCTGAAACGCAGTCCCGGTAATGATGCTTCCAAGAAACACATTGACGATAATGAACCAGAAATACTTCTCAGCTGATCTTCTATCTAAATAGGAAACCGATGTATATCCTTCGATTTGTGACATTGTCATCAGAAGAGTCGGAAGTAAGATGAGAAAGATCTTCAAGGCTATTCCTGGAAGAAACCCTTGGATTACAGACTTTACTGTCTTCCTGCAAATATGAACAAGAAATGATTAGAATACGTTGAAAATTTACCAAGCAGTGACAATGGAGATATGGTGACTTACATTTCTATCAAGGGTTTCAAGAAAGGGAGCACTTTTTGGATCCCTTCAAGGTTGGCAAGAGACTGAACGAATGCTATGGGGATCATGAAGCAGAAGATAAGAAAGAAGAGTGCGATTGTTGTGAGCAGTCTTCTTATTGAGAGCTCAACATATGGAATAGCGAGATTATCCCAGAAGACATCGCGCGGCTCAGGAGCCCATTCAGTTAACCATATTGTGGGGTTATGGCATTGCTGTGTTTGAGCACAAACAGCTGTTCCCCACCTTGATCTGAAGGAAACAAATGCTGCTGGCATTATAGACTTTGGATCGTTCATGATCTTTGATCTTTCTGCAGCCTCCTGTGAATGTAAAAAATGTTACAAATGGGCTTGATAAACTTTAAAGTTAACAATGAAAAAGTTTATATGTCTGTACATACTTTCTCCGCCAGATCATTCATCTTGGAAGTATAAAAGTCAATTGCATCGACTGTAGTTCCCCAACAACCTCCATAACCTGTCTATATATAATAAGTTAAATAACTACTGAAGAGAAATTGAAATCAGAAAAACTAGTCTTGCAAGAGAGAGTACCTTTGTTGTTGGCCTACTTGATGGTTTCCTCTCATATTTGTTCTCGTAGTAAGTCAACCAATTCTGAATAGCTTTTCTCTGAGCGACTAGTTTCGCAAGGTCATTTGCATTGTACACTACCTGGGAACATCAAATCAAATATAAAAATGCATTCAATTCAAGTGGAGAAACCAAATAGCCTTTTTAACTTTTGCAATAAACAATAAATTACAAATGTGCATAACTTTACATTCATTCATCCGGGTAAAGAAAGATACCTGATGACAAAGATAATGATCTGGATGATTTACACAAAAGAAGTGCTCAACATGATCGTTTACTGATTCATCAGGATCCGGAGGAACATTTCTCACGAGTACCTGTCATAAGCATAAATTGACAATATTAGCAAAAATCAGGTCACCAATTCAAATTCATCTACCATGGTGCTCTCAGCTTATGTGATCACTAAGAACCATTTCCCTTTAAACCAAACACAGAACCACCATTCCTAAATAAATTATGTTTGCGAGATTTCATTCAAAGCTGTACTAAATAACTCACCGTGAGTTGATCAGGACGGCGACTTTCAGAAGCTAGATGTCTCAGTCTCATATTAGCCACAGCCTTGTATTCCATATATAACGTGTAACAAGTCCACATAGAGAACACGTACGTCATGGTTAAATGTGCCCAAAACCTGGAACAAAGAAACTTCCAGCCCTCTTAGTAGATATAAATACAAAGCTGCACATACATAGCATCACACACACACACACACATTATAAAAATGAAAGCACTATTGCCAACATTATTAACACTTCAACGGAAATCAAACTTTTTCAGGTGAATAACATTTTAACATATCCCTTTATAATACCTCGGCGATCCTGGTGGAACATTCGATATCGACAGCTTGTCGACGTTACTAAACGTCAAGTCGTCGATTTTAGCTAGCGTTTCTCCTGTCCAGTTGACAGGAACCAAAACTCCAAAAGCAAAAAATGTTATCGGCACAAACATTTTCAATCTGCATTTCATCATAAGAACAACACAATCACACCATGATTGTGCTTTCATTAAAGAAAAGAGTGTTCTGAAGAAGAAAAGGAAACAGAATTAGTTTACCCAAGAAGGTAAATGCGGATGTATACAGCAGAATCAAGGCCTGCGTGTTCGATGAGCTCAGGCTCAGGCATTTGAAGAGCTGCAGGCATCCAATTAAGGAACTTGACATAGGTTGTCCAATCTAAATTCACGAATCTGGTCATGATTCCTCGTGAACGAGTAGGGCTTCCTCTTATCCCTTTGAGATACCATTTTGGGAAGTAGACTCTGTCGTTAACTGGCTGGAGCCTCAGCATTGCAAACGCAAAGAGGAAAGCAAACGCAGATAAGAGATTTATAGCTGCAGATAGACCAATATCTTGCACAGAAGCCATCTCTTCCTTAAGCTAATTTCACAGATTTTCCCAATGCTGCTGGAGAAATCATGAAGAAAAAAAAGGTAAGTCTCTTCACTATATTCAATTGGTTATCAATTGCAGGAGGAAAACGATATGGTGCCTGAATTTACCTGAGAAGGAGGTGTCGATTAGATTTTTTTTTTTTGTTTTTCTGATAGTTTCCCGAGAAAGGAGAAATCGAGTTTGGGGAAAAGAGTGAGAGAAAATCGATTCACGGGAAAAGAGGAGAAAACGAGAGAAAATTGCGCCTTGCATTCTGTGAACCTCATCTCTGCTGAATCAACCAACGGTCTCGAGGAGGAAGAAGATGATGACGTGGCGGAATACAAGAAAATAAAACACTTCAGTCTCATGGCTCTCCTTCTTCAGCGAAATCTCAATCCTTCTCCTCCAAATCTCCGAATTTTCTGCGTCTCCCTCGGAAATTTTTTGAACTTTCGATTGAAAATGTTGTATTTTTTTGAACTTATATTTTCTCTTTTAGCTGTGTGGTTCACTTCATGCGCAATTTTGGGTAATTAAAAGGACTCGGAAGGCAAAAATCCGAAATAATCTATTGAATATAGGAACACGCGCGTCACACGCGATTGGGGCTCACGTCTGTGTTTGTTTTTAAACTGTATCTCAATAAATGTTATACTAATGGCAAGATTAGCTCAAAGATCCAAAGTTTGCTCTATAAAGTGGAATAAACGCAAAAAACCAAAAAAAAACCCAAAAGCCCCTTTTATTCTGAACAAAAAAAATTATTACTCAGATGGAATCTTCGTCACCTACAGTTCCGTCTCTTTGTCAAAGATGTCCCAGCCATCTTCCAGGAGCTCCTTACGTTCGTCTTTTCCCTCGTTAACAGAAGCTTTTGGGCTCTCGCCGTTTTCTGAGGCTTCAGGTGTTTCATAAGATGGTTCTGAAGGTTTCTCCTGGAGTAAGCTCTTCATGGATGACACAGAAGATGCTAGTTTACAGCTAGTCTGGCTTGAAGAGATTGATTGGCTCAATGGCACTCTGTTGTCGAATTTCTCTTTCAAGTGTCGGATGTCTTGACATATCACAGAGATCTCTCCTCTGTTCAAGGTAATACAGAGAGACAAGTCAGTGATAAATTATATCATGAATGTGAATTGTTAGTGATGAAGTGAGAGGACTTACTGTAGGGAATCGACAATCCGACCGCGATCCATAAGAAACTCTCGCAGCTGCAGAGAGGCACAGAACAAGATATGTTAATTAAGTTGTGTGGCTTCAGAGTTTTCAGAGAATCATTTGTTAGTAGTGATGTTACCTTGGAATTTTCCTCTGCCTCCTGATTAAGAAGCTTAGATTCTTGGACTACTTTCTCCATGATAGCTTCTTGTTCAGCGAGTGCCTTCCTTGCACAACCTTCTTTCTCTTGCTTTTCTTGCTCAGCAGCGTATTTAATATCCAGAGCTGCCGCTAGTCTCGTTTCAAGAACTCCACGCATCTAAAAGAAACACAACCATTTAGCTAAATCATACACTGCCAAAGAGTAGAAGTCGATAGTAGTATTGTTAAGCAATTGAGCACGGACCTCATGAAGAACGGAAAGAGACTTGTCTCGGTCTTCTGATAAGTTTAGCAACCGGTTTTCAAGCTCGGTTACTTCAGTAGACAAAATCGACCTCTCCCCATAAACTTCACCAGCATCCTGTGTGAAGTAACAGATGATTAGTTAATGTAAAGCACATAAGCAAGCATGTATTAGCACATAATCAGTAAAATGAAGTCACCATGTCATTTCTCTCCTTCGCATGAACCAGAATCTTCTTCAGATCCTCAACCTTGTTAAGGGTATCGAAGCCTCCTCTGGTAGCATCTTCCTTCAGCTTTTCTGCATCCTTCTCTTCAAGTTCCACTTCTCTCATCAGATTCATAATCGTTTCCATCACAGTGAACAAGGTTCTCTACATCATTACAATACAAAAACAAAAGATGATATTAAAATAACCATCAGGAAACATTACTAGACAACCCCAAAATATATATATGTTAGGCACACCTTGTTACTTTTGGCATCTTCAATGATCTGTTCAAGGTGATCAATGTTGCATCCCTGGTTTGATCTGCTAACAACAGAGCTAAAAGCATCACCCAGCTCTGGCTCACCATCATCTCCAAAGGCCAAGGAGTCCTTTGATATCGAACCACTTGACTCTGCATCACTAGTTTCAGCATCTTCTGAAGCTGTGCGTCTGCTTGACTCGGCTTCATTAGTCAATTTGGTTTCCGCCTCATCTAAGGCAGCGAGATCTGAGTAAAACCCTCCAGACTCGGTCGAACCGCTCAAACTGATAGTTGATTTGCTCTGAATATGAACAGCATCACCATTTGGCATCACATTTGTCAACTGGTTACTCTTAGAAAGCAATTCAGTAGTTGGTGCACTAGTTTCATGGTCACAATCAACATCCATGGGTATAGCTCCTGAAGAAGAAGCAACCGTCTCTGAGACGGTCAACGCACTATTTTGCATATCACGTTCTACTGCATTTACAACAACAATTTCATCAGCACATATGAACCTCAAACTTTGAATGTAAGAAAGTCCGAGAAACAGAGCAAAAAACATTTAGCTTTATTCATAGAAAAGAACCAAGTACCTTTGTTATCTGGCACGTCTACAGGTAACTTGTTACCAGATTGTGTAGAATCATCAGCCAAATCTGGGTAAAACAAAGGAATAAACTCTGCTATAACCACAGCTGCAGCATCATTAACATCATGTGGGTGCTCAATAGCAACAGCTTTCAAAATCCTTGCATCAATCTGTAGCAAATATCAGATAAAAAAACATTACACAAGATGGTTCCAAAACACCAACTGAAAGATGATCCATTACTCACTAGTGTCTTTGCTTAAATTTGGGTGAAATTGAGTGAAAGGAAATAAAGAAAAGAGCTTTACCTGTGGAAATAACTCCGTGAGAGATTGAAAAACAGCTTTGGAACCCATGAGTGAACTATGAAGGGAATCTGCAAAAAAAAAAGGCAAAACAAACGATTATTGGGTTGATTCAAGGAGTACCCAAAAAAAGCAATAACTTTTCTATGAAGTCTCATCTAACCAGTCAAAATCACAAGGCCATAGTGCAAAAACCCTAAATACGCCTGAGGTATGAACTTTATACAACGAACACTAAAGCCCTAATTTCAATCCAAACAGAGGATGAGAGAAATAGAGATACGAGTGCAATCAAAAGCAAGCAACCTAAATATATTTAGAGAAGAACACTACGAGCTGGTGATCAGAATAGATAAGTCTCCTCGTAACAATAGAGAGATGATTAAGCGAAATTAATTATTCAGGAAGGGAAGAGAGGCATCGAAAGATATCAAACATAGACAGAGAGAGAAGCACACAAGTGAGTTTTTGAAACAAGAGGAGGATCAATTCTCCTCGATTTTCTCGGTGGTTTATGAGAAATCCAAAACAGAAGCAAAGAAGATAGAGATCACACGGACCTTCCCAGATTTTCCGGTCGGGGAGGATTGACAGAGCAACGGAAGCGGAAAAGGCGCAAGTCGGATGAGAGATTTTTGAGAATTGTGTGAGATTAAATTGTTTCTCGGAGAAGAAATTTATAAGAAGAGGACCAATTTGGTAGAAAACTTAACGCGGCCAAGTAACAAAGGCTAGTTCCGGTATTTTCATAGAATATTTAATGTGCATTTTTGTCAAGTAATTTACTGAACTTAGAAGTTTGACCGACGTGGATTAATTGGCGTAGGCCCAACGAACCGAATGCTATGTGATTTGGCCCATTTATAACATCTCTCTTTTATCATCGGTTTGTAAAGTAAACCGTGATGCAGAAAGAATGGGATTTTGCGACTTAAATTCGAGATTTCATAATTCTAGCTCTTGTCAAGAATGGTAACAAAAACGATAAGATCCCTTAAACAAGAATACAAGATAGAGTTGAGAGTTGTAATATATTTCTCCAAAATCTAAGAAACAAAGTAAAATAAAGTTTTAACTAAAACATTAACATCTCCAAAATTGATTCGATTAAACCGGAGTTAGTAACATGAATAACCAAACTTAAATAGCTCTCTTTTTTAGCATTGTTAAACCATTATAAACGGTGAAGTAAAACGATGGAGGTTTTCACCCGCCAAGTTAAGATCTCGTGACCTAAACCGATATGTAATTGTCACCAAAAGATTCATTTTTCATGACCTACTATGTCAACAGAAACCTTGAACCGAGGAGAAAGGCATCATGTAGAGGCCTTTGCTCTCCAACAAAGCAGCTGCAGCATCATGATCATTCATAAGCAGATCTCCCATTAACTCCTCCAGAGGTTTTGTCATCGTCGTATGCTCCTGATGAATGAAGTGACCGTATCCCTATAACAAACAACACATTCATTCTTACCAAAGCACATCATTTTCAATTCCTATTACGTTTCAGATGTTGTTTTCGTTTGCATAATTGCATTACCTCAATCGGTATCATTGGATGAGCAATTGGTTCTCCTCCCAACCTGCTTCGAGTTAATTCCTATATCCATAATAACACATCAGCAAGTTTCTCCATAGGGTGTTTAATCTGGTTATTGATTCAGAGTTTTTGGTTATCTCAATCCAACACTTGTTTGAATGAGTTTGTTAAGTTAAAACGAGTTTTTTCAGTAGGACAATACCTTCATTTGTAGCTGCAGAAGCTTAACATGAGCAATGACATCATTCAATACCAATTCAGAAGTGTCCTACAAGATCACAACAAATCTCAACAACTAAGTTTGAATCTTTCACAAGTCACGATAAATGACAAAGCAGTGGTGGAGATATAGTTACCTCAACTTCATGTGGTAGCAATTCTCCTAATGCCTTGATGTTATCCTCAATTTGCTGCTTGCGCTCCTGATAAAACACTCAACCAATGGTTTTATATTTTGAATAAACTCATACAACAGAAGGAATCGTTAAAAGCAATGATGATATGTGAGACTTACACACTCGGTGTTCCAAGTTTTGTTCTTGTTTCTGTTGGCTTTTTTCGTTGGTACATCTCTGTATTTGCCATGGAGCTGTGCAAAATCACGGTTGATGTTGTTGTTGTTGAAGCGTTCTTTCCAACTTCTCAGCTTCTGATACAAATAAACAAAACTCAAAAGAGAGACTTTTCAGATCATACTTTACTTGAATAAACTAGTGAGAACTTGGACCTCAGAATAGTTTGGGGAAGATGAATGTTTTGATATGCGTGAGGATCGTCCAGCCACAGGGACCTTAACCTTACTGCTACTTCCCTGCAAAATACAGATGCAAAATAGCTCAGTGATTTCAAGGAATTGGATGATACATAAATGGAAATGGTTTCGAGATGCTTACAAAATCTTCATTGATGCTGCGGCTTTGCACACGAATAGAAGGTTTCACCTTAGAAGAAACAATTTTTCCAGTCTCTGGAGCTGAGTATAGTGTTCGGATTCCTCTTCGCTCACCACCGGTTGCTACATCACGGCTAGGCAGAACAACTTTCTTCACGGCGTAATCGACGGGAGGTTTCTCATCAGGTGTTGATTCTTCGTTGAGCAACGCCGTGTAACTAGCTGGAAGCCATGGAGATAGAGACAGATTCGTCTCTTCATCCTCCACTTTCACTGTAGAAGAAGCACCAGATTGACGAATCGGATGGTTTCGAGATACGGTACCCAGAGGCCTTTCCCTTTCCATATTTTGTCTACGAAAGATAAACGCCATAACCGTTTTCATCAATCCATGGAATCGAAGGAATATATGAATACTAATTTCGAATGTAAGAGAACACAGATATGCAGAAATCTTCGTCATGAAGCTAGAAATTTCTCTCTAATTCAAATTTCTGAAAATTAGTCATAGAAATTGCAATCGCGTAAGGATGATTCTCGCAGATCTATTTCTAAGTAACAATACTCAGATTCTAGGGTTTGGAGCTCTATAATCAAAATAGAAGACGAAGAGAGAGAAAACTTCAAACAGTTTGACGATCAAACGGAAACGTACTTGAGAAGAAAATCGTAAGAGACTTACATTTCCAGGTGATGAAGCAGCAGAGAGTAAGCGAAACTTCTAGGTCTTCGGAGAAGAAGAAAGCGAAATCGGCAGAGAGAAAGGGAAACAGCAAAAAGCAAATTCTCTCTCTTTCTCGTTGCCTCGTACGGATTCTGCAACAAGCTTTTTCAGTCTCAGAGCATACGTGTGACGTGACAGCCTAAGGATTGATATTACTAATTTGCCACCCAACGTTGTATTGGGCCAGCATTCTCCTGGCCAGGGTCCAGGCCCAGGCCCACCCACGGATTAGAAATTAATATTTTAATTGAATAGAGTACAGTTTAAATTGGAATCGAGAGATTGCACCTCGTCTGTATAACAGCTAGTAGTTCAGTCAACTACGGCTCAGTTTGCTCAAACAAAAAGATCACACCATCATGGGGAAGAAGAAAGCTGTGAAGTACTTTGTGGTAATCTGCTTTTTATCTCTCTTAATTTTGAAAAATTGTTATTCAGATTCTTCTTCACTAATATATAAGATCGATGGAAATGGTGTTTTAATAAAAAGGTCGATGCTTTCACTGATTCGGCTTTCAAAGGGAACCCAGCGGCGGTTTGTTTTCTCGACGACGACAACAAGAGAGACGACACGTGGCTTCAATCTCTCGCCGCCGAATTCAACATCTCCGAAACTTGTTTTCTAACTCCGGTCACCGGTCTCCAAGCTCGCTTCGGTCTCCGTTGGTTTACCCCAAATGCCGAGGTTTGACTTTGTTGACTTCGAATTTTCAACATTTGAGACGCTTTTTAATTTGGGTTTATACCAAATCTGTTATCGATTCGAAATTTTGAAACTTGATTAGGATTTGTTGTATAGGTGGATCTCTGTGGTCATGCGACTTTAGCATCTGCACACTGTCTCTTCTCAAATGGATTGGTTGATTCAGAGAAGGTCGAGTTTGTCACAAGATCAGGGATTCTCACAGCCAAGCGAGTCATAAACACTATAGAGATCAATGATGGTGAAGTGAAAGGTGGATCCTTTTTGATCGAGTTGGATTTCCCAGTGATTCAAACTTCTGATATCAATCTCAGTGATGACTCCTCCGCCATGATCACCAAGTCCATGAATGGAGTTACCATTGTTGATATAAAAGCTACGGCGAACAACAACATCATCGTAAATTTCAAAATACTTAAAATTGGTTTTTGTCTATTGATTTGTAGGAGTTTTGGATCTCAAGATACTTTGCTTTGTAGGTTGTGCTTCCATCTATGGAATCTGTCATTGATTTGCAACCAAGAATTGATGAGATATTGAACTGTCCATGCAACGGAATCATTGTGACAGCTGCTGGCTTTGAAGGATCTGCTTATGATTTCTACAGTCGCTACTTCCCTCCTAAATTCGGTATTGATGAGGTAAAAAAAAGAGTAGCTTTGACTTGCTATATAATCTCGAACAAAAAAAACCAAAGAAATGTGAAATCTTTATGCCTCTACTGTTTGTGGCCTTTTTTTCATTCAGGACCCTGTTTGTGGAAGTGCACATTGTGCATTGGCACATTACTGGAGCTTAGAGAAGAAAAAGTGTGATTTCTTAGCCTACCAAGTAAGCTCTCTCTCTTTCTTTCTCTCTATAATCTCTTTAATTTTTGTAGCAAGTGTTTTAGTGCTTCCTAGAGAATGAGTTTTTTGGAAATATGGTTAGGCTTCGGCGAGGAGTGGAACAATTGGGATTCATCTAGACAAGGAGAAGCAGAGGGTTCTTCTGAGAGGCAAGGCCGTGACTGTAATGGAAGGGCATATCTTGGTCTAACCAGAGATTATTTTAAGTGTTAATTTCTGCTTACAAAAACAAGCTCCTGTAAGGAATGAATAAAGACGAATTAGCTATCTTCGATATTGTTTGTAGTATATTTTGCATGGATTTGCAATTGCTACTTCTTTGATATTTTTCTAAATGTATTTGTAGCTGTGCTTAATCACACCCAGAGTTGTGAACCTGTCAGGTTGATCATTCCTGCTAAAGAAACTTTTGAATAGACAAAACTCAAAAGGCTTCTTCATGTGTATTGGTTGCTCCAAATACAACATCTTATCAAGTTTATTACACCTTTACTTCTTTTGCTTTGCTCTTTGTTCCTGGAGGACTCTATCTATGGAATTGCACATGGTTCATTACCACATAATCATCATAACGGGAGCTTCAAGATGAACGAGTGTGATTTCTTAGCCTGCTTATTCTTGTCTCTCTCTGCACAAAACTAACGTTTTGAAGCTAGTTAAGAAGCATCACACGTTGTACAGCATTATAAAAATTAAGGTTATGTGCCTATTTTATTATTATACCACAAGTACTCTTGTTTCGTTGCTCCTCCTTGCCTCACGTGCTCTTTTATTTACTGTTTGTTTAATAAATGGAACGCTGTTCCACGTGATTTCCAGAGTTATGTTTTGCTGAATATAAGTCAACGCCGAGAGTGTTAGATCTCAGAAGGAAGAGGTGAAGATATGGCCATGATCAGGAAGAATCCTGTGAAGTACTTTGTGGTAACTCTGTCTCTTTCTTACTTATGCAGTATTTTGCTACTAATGTACATTCATTCCCTTCTTGTTTGCTATGAGTAGTTCTTTGAGCTTCTCAAGATTGTTGTGAAAACAGGTTGACGCATTCACTGAGTCAGCCTTTAAGGGGAACCAAGCAGCAGTGTGCTTTCTTGAACAAGAGCATGAGAGAGACGACGTGTGGCTTCAGTCTCTTGCCGCCGAGTTTAACCTTCCGTTGACTTGTTTCCTTATTCCCTTCACCGGTGGTTCACCCCAGTAGCAGAGGTCTATCTTGCAAACATTCTTTCACTTCCTTCTGATTGAGTCCAATTTTCAACTTTCACGTTTCACAGATGGATATATGCGGTCATGCAACATTAGCATCAGCTCACAGTATCTTCTCAAATGATTTGGTTGGTTCCTCTGACACGGTCGAGTTCTCTACACACTCAGGGATTCTAACTGCTAAACGGTTATATGACTGTGAAGCAGAAAGATCTTTCTTGATCCAAGTAAATTTCCCTGTGATTCCTACATGTGAGTACAGCTCCAACTCCAGTGAGGTCTCCATATTCTCTAAAGCCTTGAACGGAGCTACCATTGTTGACATCAGAGGAACAAGAACAGATAAACTCGTCTTTAAACCCTTGAAAGGAGATCTCAAACACACTTCAACTGATCAAATTATTGTACGCATTTCAAACATATATATATTCAGTAAAAAGAACCTTTGAAACTTTCTATTTTTAGCTCTTATCTCGTCTGATAACAGGTTGTGCTTCAATCTTGGGAATATGTTACTGAACTGAAGCCAAGATCGGAGGATATCATGAAATGCCCCGGCAATGTGATGATTGTGACTGCTGCTACTCCTGAAGGCTCTGCTTATGATTTCTGCAGTCGACTCTTTGCTCCTAAATTAGGACTCAATGAGGTGAAGAAACTAAACCAACTCTCCTGAAACTCTGAAAGTCTTTACCTTTTGACCTATTTGTTTCTTGCAGGACTCTGTATGTGGAAGTGCACATTGTTCATTAGCACATTACTGGAGCCTCAAGATGAACAAATCTGATTTCCTCGCTTACGCGGTGATTACTCTCTCTATCTCTCTGTTTAACTAACTAACCGTTTTGGAGCTAAAGAAGAAGCATTCAAACAGTTTACATAATCAGAAAATTTTGTTTGTTTAGGCTTCAAGTAGGAGTGGAACACTCAAGGTACATTATGATAAGGAGAAGCAGAGAGTTTTTCTCACTGGCAAAGCTGTGACTGTCATGGAAGGCTCTGTCTTAGCATAATCTTTGACTTCAGAAGTCAATATTATGATCATCTTCTTTATAATTTACCAAGACGTTCTACTCTGGGTTTCCTATATATGTATTGCTCTTTTTTTGTCAACAACAATCTTAATAAGTTGCATTTTTTCCTGAATTTTCAAGAAAATCTTACATATGTAAATCTTCTGTCAAATATTTGTTCAAATCTAAGTAGTAAATGACTGATAGTTTTCAGTTTTCACTTCAAGAGTAAAGAACATAATACATGTCATTGAGTTGCAGCCAAGAATTGATGATACCATGAAATGCCCTGGCAAAGTGATGATTGTTAACGCTGAAGTATCTGCTTATGATTTCTGCAGTCGACTCTTTTCTGGGCTCAAAGAGGTTAAAACTAAAAGCAAACCCTTATATTCTTGCTTCTGCAGTCTAACAAACCCTGCGCAAACGAAAACATCTAAAGTTTTTACCTTTGCTTCGTTGGCTCTGCTCTTTGTTCCTTCAAGACTTTGTGTGTAGAAGTGGACATTGTTTATTAGCACATTGATGTTGCTTCAAGATGAGCAAGTGTGTTTTCGTAGCCAGCACGGTAACTAATTAAGAAGCATCAACCAGATTAACAGAATCAGAAAATTTGCTTGTTTAATTAGGCTTCACGTAGGAGTGGAAAAGTGAAAGTTCATGATCATAAGGAGAAGCAGATACTTAGTTTCTCACTGGGAAAGATGTGGCTGTGATTAAATTATATGTCATAGTTTCATCATCAATTGAAAAGTCAAAGATTTTAAATCCTCGAACAAAAAGTTGAATCAGATTATGTAAGCGAGGACATATTAACTAGAATACAAATCATTCCCAATGTAATGAGTCTCAAACAAACAGATACATAAAGCTTTCTGTTCAAGAAAAGTTTTTCATTCGGTTTCTTTCAAATTTATAGTCCATTTTGGGTCTTAGATAGCCTTCAATGGCGGCGCTTGTTCCGGGTGGCTTGTTCCCATGAATGCAAGACATGGTTGACGATTTCCTCGACGCCAAGCCCATGCTTCACCTGAGCAAAGACGAATGGCCCTCCATCACGCATACGCAGCGAATCGCGTTCCATGACAGATAAGTCAGCCCCAACAGCAGCTGCAAGGTCTGTCTTGTTTATCACCAGAAGATCAGCTTGAGTGATTCCAGGACCGCCTTTACGGGGTATTTTATCACCGGCGGATACATCGATGATGTAGATGATATAGTCAGCTAGTTCTCTGCTGAAATTTGCAGCTAAATTATCTGCAAACACACACACAACCTCATTGAAAACAGAACCAAAACGTGTATATAACTAAGCAGCAAGGTAATAAAAAGAAATAAGCAAAACAACCTCCACCGGATTCACAGAGAAGCAAATCAGTCTTGAATAAGTTAGACAACTCCTCAAGAGGACCAAGGTTGATACTTATGTCTTCACGTATCGCTGCGTGTGGACATCCACCGGTTTCAACAGCTCTTATCCTTTCCTCAGGGAGTGCCCCATTCTTCACCAGAAACTCTCCGTCCTCTTTCGTGAATATATCATTCGTCACCTATACAACAATTGAGGACTTAGGAGTTAGGAGGAGGAGTTCACTCATAATCAGCCTCGGAGTCGGATAATAATATTTACTTACAGCAGCAAGACTATATTTGTCCCTCAAGAATCTACAAAGAGCAAGCATCAATGCCGTTTTCCTGGATAATTAGACCAAAAATGTATGAGCAAAATCCAATTTACAAAAAAAAAAGATAATAGGAACATTACCCAGTGCCAACGGGACCGCCGATGCCGACGGTAAAAGCTCTCTCGGAGAAGTTACGGTCGTGAAGAGGAGGAGCTCTGCGGCTGAAGTAGCCGGGGGAGTAGATGGGTTCGTGTGAGTGCGGTGCGAGTCCATCGTGGCTATGGTACACCTTACCACCCTCAGATTTCCTACGATAATAGATAGATTGGTTATGTTGGAGAATCAATCGCAAGAAGACCAAAACTGTACGGAGAAAAAAAATCAAGAAATCTCCAACTTGGGGCCTTGATCGTGATCGTGATCGTGTGCCGCCATTGACAAAAGTCTTGTAGCTGTGTCGTTGACTTTTGACTTGTGAAAGCAGAAGAAAAACAAAAAAAGAAGAACCAAAGTGAAATCAGGAATACAATTACCCAAATTGTGTGGTTTCATTATCTCAATCGAGCCAAGTTCACACACTACCAGGTTATTTTCTGTTCCTATATCCAAACACTCCTAAAACCTATAGAGACGAGCCTTATGAGATAGTTGCCTTATTCGTTAACTATCTCACCAACACCAACACTATCTCACCTGCGTAGGAGCGGAACACTCAAAGGTGCATTATGATAAGGAGAAGCAGAGAGTTTTTCTCACTGGCAAAGCTGTGACTGTCATGGAAGGCTCTGTCTTAGCGTAATCTCTTACTTCAAAAGTCAAGATTTTTCGACATATTCTGAAACAAGTCAATTATAAATCCAGCAGTAGTGTGCTTTCTTGATGAGGACAATGAGAGAGATGACTCTTGGCTTCAGTCTCTTGCAGCTGAATTTAACATTCCGGTTGTACTTGTTTTGTTATCCCGGTCACTGGCTCTCATCCACCACGTTTCTTTCTACGGTGGTTCACTCCGATCATCGAGGTTTTCAGGACTCAATTTTGTGGAAAATTTGAGATGATGACATGAGCTCAAATACTTTCTTGTACAGGTGGATCTCTGTGCTCATGCAACACTCACACTCTCTTCTCAGATGGCTTGGTTTGTAAGGACACAGTAGAGTTTGCCACCAGCTCCGAGATACTAACTGCTAAAAAGGTTTCAGAGACTTTAGAGTTGTATGACTACAAACAAGCAAAAGGATCTTTCTTGATAGAATTGGATTTCCCTGTGATTCCATCATGTGAGTACAGCTCCAATGATGTCTTCCTATTTTCCAAAAGCCTTAAACGGAGCTACCATTGTTGATATCAGAGGAACCACAACTGATAAAATCATCATCTCCAAAGTGTTCAATGGACATGTCAAAGCATCTTCAACTGATAAAATCATTGTATACACTTCAAGAATACTCCTAACTCTCTACGCATTCATCTGAACAGTGATGTGTTTCCTAACAAATATTTGTTATTTATATGATCTCAGATTGTGCTTCCAACTTGGGAAGATGTTACTGAATTGCAGCCAAGAATGGATGATATCTCGAGATGCCCCGGAAAACTGATCATTGTTACAGCTTCTGCTCCTCAAGGATCAGTCTATGATTTCTGTAGTCGGATCTTTGCTCCCAAATTAGGAGTTGATGAGATTAAAGATCTAAATGCCTGCATTTTCATTTTCATTAGCAGAAGCCATGACAACCTTTCTCTTTTTAGTTTTTGCTCATAGCTAGGCGGACTTTACCTTGACCTCTCTTGCTTGATGTTTTTTTGTTTCTTTCAGGACTCTGTCTGTGGAAGTGCACATTGTGCATTAGCACATTACTGGAGCCTCAAGATGAACAAGTGTGACTTTGTGGCTTACGCGGTGACTCCTCTCTCCCTGGCCTACTGATAATATGACTGTGATTAAGATTGAGTTTTGGAAATTGGTTTCTAGGCCTCGCGTAGGAGTGGAACACACTAAAGGTTCATTACGACAAGGAGAAGCAGAGAGTCTTGCTCACTGGCAAAGCTGTGACTGATGAGAGGCGATGTTTTGGTTTGATCACCGACTCTTTACCTGGTTCTTTTTGTAAAAAGATCAAGATTTTGAATCCTCGAACAAGAAGTTGTATCAGATTATGTGATAAGAGTGATGAACTCAATAGTAAAACGACATTGATTGTTGCAGAGTGGTTTAAGTTTGGCATTAAACGTATCAAATCTCAAAATCATGAAAACTTAAAAAGATAACAAGAATTTGTCGCCTTCATGACACCAAATCTCACTAACAAGATAAATCTTTTACAATCCTGCTCTTACAAAAAAAGGACCAAACTTTGGATCACTGCAGAATGCTTAACGACCACCAGGTCCACCACCACGGCCACGTCCACGACCTCTTCCACGCCCACGTCCCCGGCCACCTGGTGCAATCTTCCCTGAAACACGATGAGAAACAATAAAATGATGAGACTAGGCAGGCAGGCAATAAAATCCAAAGGCATTGTTCAGAATGAAACGGAGAGGTAGAGGAAGAAATGCTTATGCTTATGTTACCTGCGGTTGGTTTCTTCGGTTTGATTCTTGGTGTGTCTTCGACAAGCAAAGTCTCGAGATTCAAGCTGTCTGGAAGAATATAATAGCGAATGTTGTTTCCCCTGACACTTAGGTGGTCTAGTGTCACTGGATTCTTCCCTTTCAGAGTGAGCTTCACAGCTTTTAAGTGAGTGTTCATACTAACATCAACACCTGCATCAAGTCATTGCAAGTAAATAACAACCGGTCAGTGATTGCATTGTAAACGACAGTCCAAAGATAAACAGTAGTAGAGACCAATTGTATTGCACAAGGAAATCAATCAGTAAATGCGACTACATACAAAACAAGGTATAAGGTAACTGTTCTATAGTAATTCAAGAGATTCTCTATACAGGGACCAAAAAAGAGAGCGACTTTCAATTGCTAAACTCATTCTTTTTGGTTTACACAGTGATCATGCTTCTTTTGGTATAGTGATGCTAATGAGTGATAATATTCGAAGACGAACTAAACAGGTCAAAAGTCAAGACTCAGCTAAACTCAAAGCTCGTAAGGTGTTATCACTAATAATAGGATTTCACCTAAGAATCTGTGAGTACAATAGATAAATTGGTTATATCCATCAAAGGAGAAACTAGACTATCTCATGGGTGATCAAAGTTTGAAGAAGAAACAGTAAACTTACTCACAAAACGTCGAATTTAAAGAAAGAAATAGTGTATCATCAGCATCTGAATCGACCAGTTTCACTTGGGTAGCACCGACAAAGCAAATCTAGGGCACAAAATTGAAAACTTTGGCTAAAACTCAAATTTACAGCTCAGAATTTGTGAAATACGAGAACAATCAACCAGAGAAATTAAAAGCAAAAACAGGTCCGTGTAGCAAGAAGCATCGTAGATTTCAAGCAAAAACCCTAATTAAGTACCGAATAGAGCTGGAGACAAAAAAGAAGCGTACCTGTAATGGTTCCATGAACGATTGTTCCGTTCTTAAGCTCGATTGAGACTGTTTCGTTGTTCAATTTCATCAAAAACCTGCGAAAAATCCCGATTCGAAATCAAACAGCGAAAAAAGACTGAAAAGTTCCAAACCAAAGCATATTAATCGAAGGGCTGAGAGAATCCGATTGAGAGGGGAAACGAGAAATCGGCAGATGAAATAAATCATACCTGACGAGCTTCATGGTGAGAGATGGAAGATGACGAGAACAAATCTAGGGCTTCTGAGGGAGAGCTCGAAACAGCAGCTATGGCAAGAAGCGAGAGCGGGAGGAGGACTAAATTGGGGATTTATGCTTTTAGCGAATTAGAGACTCTGTTTAAGACCGATGTGTCTTTGATATCTTCGAGTATTTGCTTATTGACCCCCTATGTTATTTTCAATTTACCGAAACACCCATATTTATTTTGATTTTTTCAAAATAAATCCCACACACGCAAAATAACAAATTAACCTTAACATGTGTAATGGTGGATTTTGCGATTATGTAGTTGAAGGATAGTTCTGCGATTGTGCATCTTTTTAATCACTACACAATTTTTTTACATTCCATTCAACAGTTATTTAATTTTCCAAGATTCTGCAATGTTAACAAATTAATTGGAGTCAAAGTACAATCATGTTATAACTCGGATCGTAACACGTAACAATTTTGTGTAGTCACTTGATATGCTTTGCTATTTTGAAGTCATATCATCCTAATGAAAGAAATTTGACATTATACTATACATAATCAACTATAAAATTTCCTTACAACTCTGTTATATAACTTTCTTTCAATGGAAATCAACTTAGTCAACATAAGTTCATCAAAATTCATGCTAGAAGCTTATGTAAGTTAATTGCTTACCAAAAGAAAAGATTTACTATCTTCTTGTATCTTGAATTCATAGCCCATAATAATGTTGGTGGTCGTATTTGGAATTTGAGCTAGTTACCTATAATCCATTAGAAATTGTGACAGCTAAATAATGCATACGTCACACACACACAAATATTTGTGCATACTTCAAATGAGAGAGGGAGAGAGATTTGGAAATTTATATTATGATTGAGAATATACAGAGTCACGAACGGATTGATCTTATTTGGGTATTTATTTTACTAATCCAATGGCAACAAAGCATACACGACACAAGAATCGACATAGAATCTTTCATTTTCTTTTATTTGATTCTACTTCTCCACATTAATAAGTAAAACTGGTCAATGGCATCATGGTCGGGTCATTAATATATCCATTCTTCCGGTAGAAGTTTCTCCGGCGAATCAATCGGGGTCTCGACTTCAATGTTCAAAGGTGTTTCCACCATTTCGCTTTTCTTCATCTTCGAATCATTTTCTCGAATTTCTACGTTCATAACAAAGTAAAATATATTTATATTTAAATTTTCTCTATTTAACTCGATGCATTTTCAATAATGGTCGGAAAGAAACAAGTAGAAGGAGAATAATGGTCGGAGAAATTACCTGAACGGGGAGAAATATGGATACCGTTGTTGTGAACGTTGAGATTGAGCGCTTGAACAACACGAGCCGGGAGAAGCACCGGCGAGCAAGCTATGATCATATCATTTTCTTGTCATAAATCGATATTTAATTACATTAAATCATACATTAATGAGTGTAAATGGTATTGGCGGACTGGTGAAATAATGCTAACTAATTTATTTTCCGTCAATTGGCTGAAAGAAAACAATATTTAGTTGATGGGAAAAAATGACTTTTGGCGGTTTTTGGGTTTTGAGTACAAAACAAAACAAAAAAAATGATGTTTAACATTAATTTGTGTAGATTTAATTAATAATTACCTGGTTTTTTGGTTGGCGGATGAGAAGCGGTGGCCGGAAGAAATACTCCGGTGCCGGCAGTTGTACGGCCCGGTGAAACCAAGAAAAATGCTTGCATTCGGTCCTCTCCTTTATTCCTTTGCCAATTGTTTTGATGGTTTTGTCTTGTATTATAGTTCTTCATTCATAACACACAAAAAAATATAGATAAGGTTGAGTTTTGATTTTTTAAATTCACAAAAAATGGATAAATTAAATTTGGATTAACGTATAATGTCCATAACTATGCTTCTTCTCATATGGTTAAAAGAGTGAAAAATAACATGGTTTACCAAAATATTGAAAACCCCTTAAAATAAATTACCAAAGCAAAATTTTCTCTGAGAGGAGGTGCACCGGGATGACGGAATCCACCGCTGCCGGGCTGGTGGTGGTGGCGGTGGTTCTTGATAGATTTCTGCAACTGCATGAGACAACAACAAAATAAGACCGATTTCGATGTATAAAACGTGAAGAAACTAACATGACAATAATCAATTAGAGAAACTTAGATATAGGATGATCTTAACCTGATGTTTGTTGGAATGATCAAACAGAGGATCTTGGAGAACATGAGAAGGTGACCATGTTTGCCTATCTTTGTGACCGATGATGTCACCCATTTTAAACTGAGAATGTTGAATTTCGAATCTTAAATTCAAAAAAGTTAGTAACGTTGAATTAATCTTCGAAGAAGAACATTAAGAGATGATCAATGAAAAAGTTTTCTTTGTTGACAAAGAAAAAGAAAGAGGAGAAGAGGTTTGATTTTGCCCAACCTCTAACCTGAATCTTAACTATAAATATTACTCACGATGGGTTTGGAAAGTAGAGGACTAGAGGGAGAGACCATGACGACAAATTGTTTGGAATGCTAATTATTGTTTAAAAATAAATATTATAAGGTTTCCAAAACCGCCATTTAAGTATTTTTTTTATTTAAGAAAGTTCATTATCCCGTTGACAAAAAACAAAGAAGAAAGTTAATGATCTTTTTTATTTGAATTTGGATTCTTCATTAATTATGAGAGTAAAACGAGGGTTACACACCCTTTCATTTTTACTATTAAAAACAGAACAAAATAATCACTCATTTTACATCAAAGAAAGTTTTATTTTTGTCCATTGTTCACATAAACCGCGTAGTAACCGTGTTGTAACGCCAACATTCATTAATGGGAACTACTAGACCACAATTTTTGTTGTTCATATACTTTATGCTATGGAAAAAATTCAAAACGGAAAAAAAAAATTGCATGTAGAATCCGAATAAGATTAAAATAAAAATCGATAAATTATATATTTTTTCCATTATTCACATAAACCGCGTGGTAATCATGTAGTAACGCCAACATTTAATGGAAACTATTAGACCACAATTTCATTTTACATATAACTTATGCAATGAAAAGTTTTCAAAAAAAAAAATTGCATGTATAATCCACATAAGGTCAAAATAAAAATCTAGAGACCATAAAATTTTTGTATTTTGTTCAAAACTTTTAGAAATATTATATCTTGTTTTATTAAGATATATTAAGATATACTAGTTTTTGTTGACAATATAGTTTCTAAGAAAGATTAAGGTGATCATGTCGGGGAGTGGGTTGAGATGTATTGGGTAAACGCCTCCCTCTAATATTTAATTACAATAGTTTATATTTGATGCTTTAGTTCAAATCGTTCCTTAAAAAGACCATAACTTCTACAAATAAAGAAGGGTTTGCCTAAACTACAAACTGAGGTTTTATAGTAGTTTGTTTGTGATTTTTGTTTGGCTATAAAACATATCGAGAATCCATGAAAATAAAACTAAACCACACAAAAATTATTGCATATAATTTTTAATAAGCAAATTGCCAAACCTATATGAATAAATATTTAAATTCCAACCAAAAGTTTAGCTCTAAGTAGAACGATAAATATATGAATAGATAAAAATTTAACATTCTCTACTTCTTACCTATGTTTCCACACAATTTATACTCTTTGAGTGGAAAATAAATCCCACATAAACTAAATCAATGGTTTTCTACTCATTCAACTAAAACTTTTCTTTTAGAATGACTTTTTCCTCCTATGTTCTCGCATTTCTTGTGGTTAGTGGTTACTAATTAGACATTGTCATTCAATTCAAAAAAAAAAAATTAGACATTGGCATCCTGACCTGAAGGTTTATATTTTCTTCTTTGAAAAACAATAAACCTTGAGAAAATGGAATATAATCCAATTTTTCTATAAAAATGCATTTTCAAAGCTAGTTATGATACAAAAAATGGCCACATGGAAACTTATCAGTTTTTATATATAGTCGTATATATATATATTTGTGTTACATTGAAAATCATAGAAAACTAAAAAGAAAATCAAATGACCAACGGCGCCACTTCTTCTTAACAACCTTCACCAACCAACACAAGTTCTTCAAAGAGATTTTTTTTTTTTTTGGTCAACTTCTTCAAAGAGATTTTATTCTTACCCCAAGTGGGCTTAATATTAAATTTTAGTTGTGAGATTACACGACCAGTCGAGCAGGACAATTTCGTGATTTAATTATAGTATGGGGTGCTCAAACCTGCCAATTATAGTTTTACAATTAACCATGTCATAACATTAAAGTAAAACGAAGAATAGGATTCGAACACATCCAAGGCTTAGGTTTTATGAATTCCCAAATGTAGTTTACCTACCAGCTTAAAAAGGCTAGAATCCCCTATTCTTGGTGAATAATATAGAACCGTGAAGGATATAGAGTGAATTTGTTCTTGAAAAACTAATTTCACCCAAAATACTTGCTCCTGGATGCAAATACTCAAGGATATTCATGTCTAGGCGCAAAATCAAAAACAATTGTAGAGAACAAAAAAATGATCACAGTCGGATTCAAACAAACAATTTAAGCAACAAAACAAATAACGAATAATCAATTCTTTTGAATTAATTCGAAACGAAATTTTTAATAGTACTAGGTGGAAATTAAGACACTTAATTAATCTTCCATGAAGCGTTATATATATAATTTTGTATGGGTTTTATGGTAAAAATAGTTGACTAACTAACTGTTGGAAGTAAACAAATCCACTTTGGACACAAGTCTTTGAAGCTTACATAAGCTTACACAAGTCATAACTACCCAACAAGAAAATGGTCGAAGTAGGTTTTTCAGTTAGTCAACCTCTCAAACATCATTTGACATCATCATTCTTTAGATAAACCATAGAGAGAAGAACCAAATATATAAAATTGGCACACAAAAATAAACGAGATTTAATAATGTTAAAATTGACAAAACAAAAATGAAAAGAAAAAGAAACAAAGAAGAAAAACACTCACAGTTGATCTTTCTTTCCCGGCAATTTCATTCCTTTGCAGCCTTTGGACAGATCATTCTCCTCGTTCTCTAATTGTCCGAGCAAGCAAAATATTTACTGCTTCAAGACAAATATTTCGATACGTCGCAGGACTCGAGAGCTTCATGGATTCACTCCAAATGTGTGTTTCTGTTTTCCTCTGGTTTGTGGAAGTTGCAGTCTTTCAAGCTCAAGAAATGGTGGAAGAGATCTCAGTCACACGCATTCGACTTGTTAGTCTTATAAGCTCCTTAGTCTCATCATCTAGCTCTACATTGTCCTTCGCCATTCGCTCTTCAACTATAAGTGCCATTTCACCAGCTTTGGCATATGTACGTAATAACGAATTGTACAGCTGAGTGTTCACATGACCAGCCTTATGGAGAATACTCATAAACTTCTCTGCTCCTTTAACATCACCTTGTTCCTCAAGCTCCTTGCACACTTCTTTAACCAATCTCTCATTCACACTCCACTTCTTCACAGAGTCAATAGCTTTCCCAAAACAATCCACTACTCTCTCCATGTCTCTCCGCTTAAGATAAGCCCGTGCGAGAATCTCCCATGTCGAATAGCTCGGGTTTATCCCTTTCTCCACTATCCGTTCGTAAAACTTCTCCCCCAAATGGATCTCGTCTCTGTTCATGTACTCTCCAAGGATCAGATTCGCGATTCTAGCATCTCTCGTCCCTGAAACAGATTCCCACTCGTCGTACAAACCTTTCGCTTGTTCGAACTCTCCAAGCTTCACCACTGCAGAGATCATGCTGAGATACTCCGCATCATTCATCTTCTTGAAAGATGACTTAATCTTCTTCCATGTCAAGTTGACTCCATCTTTGTCTCCCAAGTTCCCATGCAGACTTATCAGAGAAGCGAAAGCAACACGGTTCTTCTTCGAGACTAGCTTCTCCATCTCCTTCAAAGAAAGTTTCGCCTTGTCAAGATTCTCAGTCTTAGCGTACAGATTCGTTAACACGCTGTAAGTCACCCAGTCTGGACTCAAATCAGCTTCCTTCACCTTGAGATAAACTCTCTCCGCAGCTTCCACATCGTTTCCGGAGGCAAACGCAGTGAGCCATAGATTATACGTGACGATATCTGGCGACGTTTTGCTCTTCAGCTCCTTAATCATCGCCGGGACTTTCTCAAACTGACCTTGCGATATGTACATTGATAACATGTGGTTGTAAGGCAGGCACGACTTCAAGAAACCACATTCCGCCATTTTCTCAAACAAGGCCTCTGCTTTATCAGAGAGCTTGTTCTGCACATAGCTATGGAGGAGAGATGTGCAAGCTGCGTGGCCTCGCATTTGATCCGGTAAGTCTTCGAAGAACTTCTCGGCGCTGTTTAATCCGCGGATTTTGGATATCAAATCCAAATGTACAGCGTAATCACCAGCTTGTAGCTTTATATCTTCTTGTAGAACCATCCATTCACATATCTAGACATAGAAAGCTTCACCAGTTTACCACAATGAACTCAAAATCAATCCACTTTCTCAGATAAATCAGAACAAACATATCGCTCACAGAGTAATCAAGGCAATAATCAGATAAGTTTGTTTACATAGACGATGATTCAGAGGATTTCACAAACATCTAAATTCAAAATCGCAGAATTAGGGAAAATTTAAAGCCACTGATCAGATCAATTTCGTTTACGGAGAAGAAAATTCAATTGATTTCGCGATGATAAATATTTCGAAATCTCAGAGTTTCAAACAGAATCGGAGTGACGGATCAAAGGAAGAGAGCATTTCGAATTGACGAACCTCGAGTGCGTGTTTATAGCGTTTGATTTTACGGAGCTCTCTGACGATCCGATTAAGCTCGTACTTACGAACGGAATGGCCTTCTTCCTTCCATTTCCGGATAGTTACGACGGCGCTGCGTTTGGTATACATGAGGCTCAATAGCCTCCCTCCTAGAGTGTCTCTTCCACCGGCGACACTTGCTCCTCTCGCTTCTCTTTTTTCTGTCGCTGCTGATTCTCCTCCTCCGCCTCCGCTGCGAGTCTTCACCACAGCTCCAGCCGTCGTGTCTACAGTCGCGGCGGAGAAATGGCGGCAAATGGAGGCTAGGGTTGGACGAGTGGAGCGGAGAAGAATGTTTCGGTTCATGTTTGTTTAGTCACTGTTACTGAGTCGTGTGAAGTTTTTTTTGAGTCTCTGCTGATATATGCGAGGTAGAAAGAAATGAAGACGAAATTACTTTGTTTGAGCCACTTTTATTGGGCCTAATCTCGGCCCAGTATAATGAATGCATTGTTTTTTGTTTGAAATAACCCGATGGTAAAAACTAAATATATTTTTTGAAAGAATTAATTTGACATCAGCCAAAAAAAGTTTAAAAATTCTTATATTTATCAGGGTTGGTAGGTCATAATTTAAAAAAAAAAAAGAAAAAAAGAGGAAAGGATTGTATGATTGATGGTTTCCTCCCAAAAAACAAGAAAAAAAAAGAAGGTACATGTTGAGATTTGCTTAGATTTTGGTCAATTATATGCGAAGTGATCTTATATAAAGAATCAACTTCCTCTATTCGTATGCTGTTCAGATTTGTTAGATTGGACACTACATCGTATGGTTGTCTACTTCTCATTGGCTCAGTTATATACTTACGATCTATTTTGATTTGATTTGATTTAGAGATTGGTGTAGTACGAATTTGCACGATGGAAAGGGGAGAGAATATCAAGAAAGCAGAGAGATCGTGCACAACAACAGACAAAATAGACGCTCCTCCTATTAATTTACGTCCGTATATATGAGCAAGTACATGTGTATGTACAAATGTACTAATCCTATGTAGAAATTATGTATCACGTACGTAAGCGTTATATATGCTCACGTAGTCACGTGACAAAGATATGATGATGAAAGTTTAAAGGACACTGATTTTATTACTGGAGATAAAACAAAAAATGGACACTATTTATGTTGCCAGATTCATTTATTACAGAATGCATGTTAAAAAAAATCCGCCCACCGTGGGGCTCGAACCCACGACCACAAGGTTAAGAGCCTTGCGCTCTACCAACTGAGCTAGACGGGCTTGGTACTAAGTTCAACTATTAGACCTAAAGCCTTAGCTTAGCTAAACCGATGTTTGTTATTGATGTTTAGTTGTTTACCACTTGATAGTCCAACCAAAAAGTGCTCGTTTACCACTTGATGTTTAACAAAATAAACGACATTAATATATAGTTGAACGAAATCGTTTTGTGAATATGTATTTTTGTGTCTGGTTCTGAAGCTTTGCATTGGTTTAAGAGTTTGTACTTGTAGTATACATATAATCAAAGTAACTATAACATACTAAAATGTAAAAAGCAAATGAAGACTAGTAGTCTATGTTTAGCATGTATTTATAGAGAATTATTAGCCGTAGCAACTAGCAATACAAGGAGGCCATAGAAAGCACTCATCTCCCACACTAAACGATACTTAACAATCAAACAAAAAAATTAAGCCATACATTACTAATCATTGAATTTATTGTATTAAAAATATTATTTGCTGACTTGAATTTCCCATTAACTCGTCACCCAAAATTGCTGCTGCTTCCAGTTGAGCATTGTTTTAGGCTCACGACCATTTTCATGGCATCTCCTTATTGGCCTTGTAAACTTTTTGTTTCTAGTTTTACCCTCAAACTTCTCAATATCCCCCACAATGCCCTCTTCTTCCTCTGCATCGTCAAGTTCTTCTTCTTTTTCTTCATCTTCATCTTCGTCACGGGATCCGAATTCGGTATTATTTTCTTCAAACTCTTCATCTTCATCGTTGCTAAGCGAAGAATCCTCCGATAAACAGAGACGAAGCCTTCCTTCGCAACGTTCAGATAAAAAGCAACGAGGTGGTGAACAAACCTTAATCGCTTGAACTACAAGACGACCGTCTTCTGTATACGATTTCACCATTCGGCTATGGTCGGAGTTTAGCGGCGGAGGAAAACTGCTTTCACGTACCGTATAGTTAGTCTCTTCTTGAGGTCTCGTAGTAAGAGGACTCGTCGGGATCTTGGTTGCGTCGAGAGCAAGCAACGAGATATCGTCTCCACTGTCACTCCCATTCTCAGTCCCGAGAGTCTCTGTGCACATCTCAAGGCTCAGGTTTGACACGGAACGCTTCTCAACTGGGTGGACGTAAGCTGTTTTCTTTGTGTTGTCTTCTTTGTTCCCCACAATGCCTTTGGTTTCGCAGAGAGATTGTAGGAAACTCCATCCACCCACGTCAGCATTTGGGCTGATGATCTGCTTCTTGGGAAAATGTTCAAAAGCTTGTCCAACAATTACGGACATTGTTTCTGTTATGTTATAAGCTCAAAACAAAGAATAAACTGAGAAAATGAGAGAGAGAAGATTGAGGGCTGAAGATGAAGGAGAGTGGAGGGCTTGTGTGTGTATTTATAGTGCGAGTCTACTTTAGGTTTATGGACTTCTTCTGATTTGCAGTTATGAATATTTTTTTACATGGATTGGTAAAAATTAATGATAATGTTAGCATCAATCACCATTCAGGTAGAATCAGAATTACATCACTTTTCATTCGTTTTAGACTAAAATTACTAAATTAGTGATATACTCCATCATAAAATCGAGTATCAACGAAGTAAACAAATAAAATGTCAACGAAATATAAAATGGAGTACCAGTGTCAAAAAAGGAAATGCATCATTACTTCGTTAGGAATTTAACCATATACTAGTGATTACTATTTGTTTTTTTGTCAGTATTGTGATTACTTTTAAATTTGTAGTAGCCTGAAAACGAATATTCGTCCTATCAGCAATTAAGCACCGTGGAGTGGAGTGGAACCTATTTCCATTTTTCTTAATATTTGTATTCTTCAGATTATCCTATGTTCTTTTTGTTCTTTATATATTTGTTTAAATACCGACCCACGTTACATGCATACACTTACCCACGTACATACTCTAAAGAGTATTTTATTAAATTATTTGTGTTACATGTAGTAATTTATTGGACATTTGTACAGTATAACGAAACCATAATCGATTTGATCATTCAAAAGATAAGTAACCAGGACTGTGGATATACATCATAGTCTATATGATTTGTGCCTAGCTATAAGACACATTACAAAGCGTAAACCACATATATAAAATCGCTGAGAGCCTTGTCATTTCATACCTCCGCGGGGAAAAAAAAAGATATAAAGAAAATCCTTGAAACAAACAAAAACGTTTACGAAATGGACATATCTATGATGAAAGATTAAAGACATGTGCGCTCTCTAAGGGCAACTAATGTGTGATATCTATGAAAGGGATATGTTCTTTGTTTATGTGCATTGGATACCGAATCAACGCCTCCTCCATAGTCATGACTCATGAGTCTTATGACAGTATTTGATGCATTCATGCACTTACGAGATGAGAAATTATACATTAGCATTGACGTCTACGTAATTCTTTGGATTATACATTAGGAAACTATATATATAATGGCAAAAGAAGTTTCTAATTTAAGCGAAGAAAACTATTCAAAGACGTGTGTTGCACAAACAACGGTTTCGGTATCAATGGTTTTAAAAGCTAAAGCAAAATATGTTAATGGAGTAGTAGCTTTGCTAAGTAAGTGAAAAGCTAAGAAGAATTTGTACCATTCTCTCTCATTCCTCAACGAGCCATAAACCATTCGAATGTCGCATTCGCCAATCTTTAACTTTTTGATCTTTTTGCTACGATTGGTGCTTAATAGATTGTCCGAACCAATCAGAGGAAGAAGGAGAAGGAAAAGATGATTCTTTTGCATCATCAACATTCCACTGCTGACTTGAAATTATAATGTTAGGGGAAATCAAAAGTGAAGATCCTTCCTTCAGATTTTTTAGTTATTTTGTTGAGTCTTTATTCAACTTTGTAATCTTTTAGTAGCAACAAAGCAATGTGGAATCTCTCTCATGTTTACACAAACATGTCAACTGGGAATATTCTTTTCTCTTACTTTTGACTATACTCATACCTTTGTATATAACAACATTTAAAGGTTTGGTTATCAAGGAGACATGTCATTAGATGAAAGTTAAGGATTCAATTTTCTAAACATAAGAACGTACGTTTAATCATTAATCTAATGGAACAAGCACTTACTAAACTTTATTCTGCAAATTCTGGATTAGAAGAACTATTTTTCCTCAGAAAAGAAAGTTGTGTGTTAGCTTTATATATCATAGAAAAAAACCTATCAAATAGTGACAATTACTCATGCAAACCTATGTGTGAATTCTTTTATTTTCCATATTTTAAGTTTCGAAGTCAAAAGAGTAGTATATAACAAGGTCTCATATAACAACGGCCTCAAAAAATTTGAATTTTGTTTTTTTTTCCGAAAAAAAAATAAAAGGCTAACTTTTAAATCAAAACTCTAAAATCGAGTTTTGATAGAACATTGTGCGCAATTTGCCGTTGTTTGAAACAAAATTGAAATCAACTTATCTTTTGACTTTGGCGGTTGGAAAGTTCCTCGGACAACCAATTCCTTCTTCTGGTGTCATCTTTAACTTACCAATTAATATGAGTGAACTCAAAATCTCAAAAACTTCCACGAATTTCATTAAACCTGTTATATATGTATAAAAGGAATTAGTCAAATGACACTTATACTTGTGATGTGAATTTGAGGTACATGTACACCAATGATCGATATATAAACACTCAGATTCTGTAATTTTTTCAAGCTGAGTTCTTTTACTGTCTAAGCAATTCATATCTGTTCCGGACACTCTTTTTTCGTTCTGTCAGAATATCAATTTCATTTCTTTAGAAGGAAGTTCTGTAACACTACCAAACACACAAACTCTGCATGCTTCAACATTATTGTAAAGCAAATTGTTTAGGAGGTTCAAGGAAAATTGTGTACTAAAAGATTTTTTACTTGACACAATACGTGACCAAACTAATACAACAAACAATGTGGAAATGGATTTGTTACAAATATTTTATCTTTGAGAGCAAGAAACTACTCAAAAGCTTACATATCAAGGTCTTGCGAAACAAAACAAATCTCAGACAAGTGTTTTGTTCGTTATTCTTCTTCTTCTTCTTCTTCTTCTTCTTCTGCTTTTTCAAAGCTTTCGTTCAGAGATTTCGAGACATGAAGAGCTCTTCTTTCCTCGTCTTCTTCTACTTCTTCTTCATCATCGATTTCAGGAACAGGGGATGAGAAATCTAAGCATAAACCTTGCTCGTATGAAGGAGAAGAGAGATCTTGAGATGTGAACTGATGGTACTCCACCATCTGGTGAAGACACTGGTTTTCCCTAACCAAGTTCGCGTTCTCGTTGGCTAATCTAGCTTTTTCCGTTAGCAATACCTCTAGTTGTAGCCTCACCTATACAATCAAAATCAGAAACATAAGAGAAAGAAACAAAAAACAAAACAGAGCAAAAGCAGAACAGTTTTGGAGATTTAGTACAGACCAAATCATCTTCTTCAGGTCTAACACCTTTCACAAACCCATCTCTAAGCCTCTTGTTCTCTTCTTCAAGCAACCCACAACGCTCTTGGATGAAACTAAGGTCGGATTTTATCAACTTAAGCTCTCTTGCAAGCGAATTCGCTTTCGCTGCCATGGTTATCGCAATCTGCAAGAAAACAAAGATTGAATCTTTTTATTTTATAAATAACAAAGATTGAATCTTTACATGAATTTAACACACAAAAGAAACAGAGCGACTTACGTTCTTAGCTCTCTTCATGATCTTGCTCTCTTTTGGTCTCGTCTCGTCTTCACTCGACGAATCATCTTTAACTTCATCATCAGATTCGTGTTTCCTCTTCTTCCCTTTACTCTCTTCTTCTTCTTCCTTTTGTTGTCGTTGTATCTCTTCAGCTTTGAGATTCGAGTGGAGTATCTCTGACAATGAAGGTGGCTTAGCTAATTCTCTAACTCCCTAAAGTTTACAAAAACACTCTGTTTCATCAATCATGGAGTTGTGACTATCTTCATTTCAGAAATCAGATTAATTGGAAACTGAATTTACCTGAAGGGCATTGTCGAGGTTACTAGAAAGCTGAGATAGAGTATGAGATACAGAGTCGAACCCTTTAAGCAAAAGCATCGAATCGTTCTTCAATCTCTTTGCTCTCTCTGTTTCTCCAGCAAGCGTTTGAGATTTCAATGGAGAATTGACAATGGGTTTGCGGTCTCTGCTCTTTTCTTCGAGAAGAACATCTATCCTATTACGCAGATTGCTCCATAAACGCTTGTCGGAAGACGGACTAAGAATAAGCGATGGAGAAGATTCTAAAGAAGTTGCAGATACCATTGTCAAGGTTGCTCCTTCCTGTTTAAACAGAGATGAGTTTTTATGAAATTTTCAATTTTGAATCAAACCCTATATTGTTTCTTGATCGGAGAACTGTTTGAGAGGACAAAGAGCTTACCTTGTTAGTAAGAATAGGTGATGATGGAGTTTCTACAGAAGCAGCCATTGATGGAGAGAGAAGAAGAAGAGGGAGAGAGATGTAACGGCTAGTTTATTGAAGATGGGAGATCGGGAAAGAAGAGAATTTTAAATAGGATCTTGGAACTCGGCCCAACGTTCTGATTTTCTAACTCCTTTAGAAACTAATTTTTATCGATTCAATAAATGGACAGAGACAAAACTAGATCTAAAAGTGGGACTTTGGTCGACGACTTTTTCACTGTAACTAAAGTATCTAGGGATGGATTGGTAGGTCCCACTTTTTGAGTCCAACGGTTGTTTCTCAACTTCACAATCTCTCCAATTTAGAAAAATGGTTAGAAAAATGGGAAACAAATTTCACAAGATATTCAAATATATGCATACATCCTGAGATGTCGAAAGGAGTTGTTGGTTTAGTCTCTGATTTATCTATCATTTCACATAAACATATATGCATACATTTGATTTTGGAACAAATTAGTTAACGACTGATGTTAACGACTGATGTTATCCTTCGTGTTACCATTCAGATTCAGCCCAATTAACTTTTTTTTTTTCTATATCTACGAATAAAAATTAGACAGATACGCTTAATACATCAAAAGATCATATACATATGCATTTATAGTTCATAATTTTGAGCATTACACTCTATGAACCTTACTTAGAAGTACACAGAGTCCTCCTGATCACAGTGGAGGTCTCTCCAGTGAGATATACCCGAATTTGCCTTTGCGAAAATCAGTCAGTATTCTAAATGCTGCTTGATGACTATCTCCACCGAACAAGTTAAGACCAAGCGTCTTCACAAATCTGCAAAAGAGAGAGAGAGAGAGAGAGCATGAGAATCAAGAAGAAGCCATGAACAAATGGTTGCCAAATGAAATGTGATTTTTGTGAAAGAAGATTCATTACTTTTTACCGCAGCCGCCATCTAGCTGGATCTTGTATCGGTTGTAAAGAGCCTTTGCGCCTACTTCTGGAATCCGTGCTAACATCTGTACAAGGATTCCAGCAACATCAGTGAAGTCGTAAGCTTTCTCTCCAATGTCATCGCAAATCGCAAGCTTTATAGCAGCTGCTTGATCATCAATACGCATAGGAAGCATTCCAGGTGAATCTAACAGATCAAGATCTTTCCCCAGCTTGACCCATCTGTTTACAACAAGACAAGTAAAGTGTAGCATAAGGATCTTGAATGTGTTTGTGAAAACTGAGTTACAAAAAGCAAGCGTTATTACTTCATTTCTCTAGTAACACCTGGTCTTGGAGCTGCAGCGCAAATTTTGCGCTTTAACAGACGATTGATCAAAGATGATTTTCCGACATTAGGGTATCCAATTATTCCAGCTCTAACCTGCAATCATTTGAAAAATGAACTTAAGATTTTTGAAATCATATATGTTGCAACAGAAAACAATGGAACATGATGATGTATTAAACTCACTGATCTAGGGAGAAGTCCTTTTTCTCGCCGTTTCCCATTTACATCACCTGCTAAACTTCTTGCTAACCGACCTAGCTTCATGGCTCCCTGTAACCATCACTCAGAGATCAAACCAGCTCTTCCAAGAAGAGAGAAACAAAACCTTTAAAAAAAGACCATACCATCCCAAGTTTGCCATTGGTGAAAATGACTTTTATTCCTTGCTTTGCAAAGTATCTCGCCCAATCATTTCGATCATCGTTCGATATCATATCTTCCCTGTTTAATACCAATATCCGTTTCCTATTCCCAAGCCACGCATCCATCTACAAGATTCCACACACATGGTTCCACAAATAGCACACATTATTGAACCACAACAAAGAAAGTCCCCTCTAAAAACTCAAAATGTGTTTCTCTTCTAAGCAATGCTTCCTCAATAACCAGTTTCAGTACCGATTAGCAGAATCATATTCTAAAACACTAACCTTTGGATGAGTAGTGGATAGAGGAATCCTAGCATCTCGGACTTCAATCACAACATCCATCAGCTTAAGCTGTTCTCTAAGTTCCTTCTCAGTTTTCATTATATGTCCTGGATACCACTGTCAAGGCAAGATCCACACACACACACAGAGTAAACAATCCAAACAAATTCACACTCCAAAGAACAATTTTCCAATACAATAAAATTTGTGGTTGAGATTACCTGAACAGGACGTAATGCTCTAGTCCAGAGACGAATATCAGATTCGAGATTCATCCAATCAATTTCATCTTCATTTGCCTCTAATTTGAATCCGACTGAGCCATCCTTTTTTGTGACATTCGAATTCAAATCCTTTCCTCCGAAAACCTAAGAGAGAAATTTTTCGATTTTCTCAATTTTTCATTTCCTAATATAAACCACGAGTTTCAGATAACGAGAAGAGCACGGAGTAGAAATTGGAAGAAAATGTTTTGCCTGAATCGGTGGGCGAGCGGAATTAGCAGTGGGAAGAGAAGCAGAGACTGCGACTGTGGATTTTCTGAAGCTACGGCGGTTAACGAAGTGACTTAGGTTCGCCGGAGAAGGCGACGGCGATGGCGCTAACTGTGCAAACATCGCTGATAAAATTGAAAAGTTTGAAGCAAAACCAAAAGGAAAAAAAAACTTTAAACCCCTTATCCCCTTTAGCTAACCGTATGTCGACTAATGGGCTTTTCTGAAACTGGGCTTGATCTAATTTAGGCTTTTATCAGCCCAAACATGTCTAAAGGCTTGATCAATTCGATCTTATTGTAGAATTATTAGAAGATAAACGATTATGAAAATTAGTTAGTCTATATAAGAAAATCAATTATAAACTCAAAATATAATTAAACATGCCAATATGTTTTTTCTATATAATTTAATATTATGAACCTAAAAAAATTGTAATTTTTCATCCTAAACTAAGTTTTTTTTTTTTTTTTTGCATATAACGTGTAATAATTTTTTTTTTAAGTTTCAAATATTCTACTGGAAAAATGTAAATTTTTCCCAAATCAATACTATTTCTGTCCCCTATTTCTGATGCATAAAGTGCAACTTTCATAAAATTTTACAATTATAAAAGCTGTTTGAACTTTGAACACTGAACCAATTAGGCGCTTAAAGATAATTATTTGTTTTAATGTATATATTCTACCAGTAAAAGTCTTGCGCACTGTATGCAAGATTTGTATATAATTTTTGTGTCAACATTAATTTAAAATAATATGTTTACTAAAAGAGAATTAAAAAACAAAACTATTATAACTAGACAACAATCCACGATAACACGATTAGAAAATTCGGTAAATAGATTATTTGCGGTTACACTCATTTTGGAAGAAATTATCTAGTGTTAAACGACTGGATCACACATTAATTGTCAAAAAAAAAAACGTTATTTTAATAATAAATAAATCATTTTAGCATTTATCACATGTTTCCGAAAAAATACTTTAAAATATAAGATTTAAACGAACAAAAAAATAATATCTAGGTTGTGGCTATTATTTTTTTTTTAATATGTTTTTGGAGGTTAGATATTACATAAGTACTATTATCCAATAATATACTATACCAGTAAAAGTTCTGTGCACCGTATGCAAGATTTTTAAATATTTTTCTTTGTCAACATTATATTAAAATAATAGGTTTATCAAAAAGAAAATGATTTTTTTTTTAATGTTATAACTAGATAACGATACAAGAAAGTTCGGTAAATAGATTACTTGACGGTTACACTTATTTTGGAAGGAATTGTAGGGTGTTATCATATCAAAACAAAAAAATCGATTATAACTAAATAACGATACACGACAACAAGATTAAATTAGAAAGTTCGGTAAATAGGTTACTTGACGGCTACATTCATTTTGGACCGGATCACGCATTGATTATCAAAAACAAAAAGAAGAAAAACGTGATTTAATAATAGATCAATCATTTTAACATTTATCAGATGTTTCTGAAAATATACTTTAAAAAAAAATGTTTATACAAATTAAATAGAAAAATTAACATCAAGGTTGTGGCTATTATTTTCTTTGAACAATTTTCAGAGTTGGTTATATTATTAGTGTTCGTGTATTAATGAATGATAATGATTTTTTTTACAAATATATATATATATATATATAATGAGTTTTATAGTAATAAATAATAATAATAACAATAAATAGTTGGATATATACTGGTAGTGGTTATTCACACCTGTTTTCGTATGTATAAATCTAATGGTATTAGTATTACTATTAACATGTATAAAACTGAAAAATTTACGTGTCACGTACCAGAAAAAGAAAAAAAAAATCAACTCTATTTGAATAACACGATTCATATTTCATATTGTGGAAAAATGCAATTGTAGAAATTACACGTCTATTTCTTTTGTTGATAATTGCTACACGTCTAGTTTCATCATATACAACTATGTTGTTTCAGTCAACTGCCTAGTCATTTATGAAAAAGGGAAGTAGTATAGAGAGAAACAAGAATTACAATTTGTAAAAGGAAGAAATGGTTAACTTGACAGAATATGAAGTCAAAATAGATGAATACCATGTCATCTAGTCACGAGATAAATACCATTTAGAAAAATTTATTGCTATATTATTATATGCCTTGTCACACAACAAATCTATCAATGAATAATTTTGTTTTTCCAGCAAGCATAACTTATCTGTTACTTAAAAACTATTGTTTGTAAAAATTAGTTTTTGTCTTGTAATACGATATGATCGAGAGAAGCAAGCCCTCGTATGTCCTTTGTTTCGAAGATATCGATTTTGTACCATAGTTATTTCTAAATAATATATTTTTATTAAAATAATAATACTACAAGAGAATGGGAGTTAGAAGAAAAAGCCAATTTTGCCCTTCAGTTCCATAGCTTTGGAAGGTAATCCCAGATAAATACATTCCATGCATCCACTCTCTCTCTTTCCTCTCTCTCTCTCTCTCAATATGACAATCAAACACAACCTGTGATGGGAAGTCGGTTATGTCTCTATATAATCCCCATTAAATCTTCTCTCTGACTCACTAATACTCATCTCTCTCTCTCTAGTTTCTCAATTTCTGACCATCACTTGATATTCTCTTCTTCTCTCTTAAGTCTTTGACAGAAACAGAGGAAGAATAATTCAAGCTTTTTGAGCCATGTCTCTTCAATATCATGCTCCATACTCTATTCAAAGTACCAACTTTCTCAGTACTAAAAATCCTCCTTGTTTTTCTCTCTCTTCTTGTTTTCCTAAGATCTCAGGTGAGTATCTCTCTCTCTCTCTCTATCTGTCTTGTCAGACTTACGATCACAAAACAGAGTCTTTCGTTTACATATTGTCGTCCAAATTCTCCTATTTTTTTGTTCTTTTTTTTATAAATATTTTGTAAACGTAATTCTCTTGTGGGTTTTATCATGATCCATTCTTTGACTGAGTTTCCAAGGAAAAAGGATTTAACTTTTTTTTTTCTCGTTTCCGGATTTAGATTTTTGATTTTCCCTAGAGAACAAAACAAAAAAACAGAGTGATGACTCTGTTTATATGTTCTCTCATCACCCACGCGTGAGATATGTCTCATCATCATCGATGACTCTCTCTATACTTTCGTTTTATTTTCTCTTTCTTCAAAGCATTTATATAAACCATTAATCAATCTTCAAAATTCTCTCGGTTTTGTTTCTTCGTTTCCCAAAAATTATTTTCGAAATTTGAGGGGTTCTTTGACTTAAATCACGAAATGGGTTTTCTCTGTTTTTTTACAAACATACACAGATACACATTTGCAAATCTGCATATCTGTTTTTTGTGTTCTTGAGTCCCTGTTAATTTTTCTGTTTGTAGACATCGTTCCAGTATTTTAATTTTAATGTTTAATTTTGTTTTCGAAAGAATGTCTTTCCTATTTACGACAAAAAGTTATAAAAACATTTTATTAGATTATTTTTTCAAAACATTATAAATAAAATATTACTACTTAATAAACAAATATAAAATACAAATAAAATTAATATACTAAAATATTTGAGCTTGAGTTTATTATGACAGAAGTACGTTTACAGAATCTAGTACTCATTAGCGAATGGATTGACCTCGTATCTTATTATAATTGCCAACACACACAAGATCTCCTTAGGAAGCCTAATAAACTAATGTTTCTTTGTCGACAGACACAAATCTTGTGATTCTTTATCTCTAACAATGTAAGCAAATTATTTTAACAATGTTGTATTTTTTTATTTTCTTTTTGTTACTAGGATCTCCTCTCAATGTCGCTACAGACAAAACCAGAAGCTGCTCCATACACTGTTCAAAGCTTCGAACTCAAGGTCTAATTTAATTTTCAAATTTACGTAATACTATCAAAGTCTAAAATTTTATCTGTTTTTATATAAAAGGCTTAATAGTTAATACTATCTGATTTTTCTGTGTAGAGTACACTACTTCTCAGGAAATTCAACTTGATTTGCCTCTAATACAGTGGCAACAGCTTCAAGGAGAAGATGCTCCTCAGGTGAATTTTTCAACAATTTCTCCCTTTTTAAAGGATTTGTCTGTTATAATTTTCGTGCCAATAATAATCACCAAAAAAAATAATCCCCATTAACATAATCACTCCTCCTTTTTACCTTGATTTACACATTTTCACCCGGAATCTATACTTTATATTCCATCAGGAAATAGTTTTTTTTTGTTTTTGTTTTACACCAAAAGGTACCAAAACTATATACAGTACATGAAATTACATCTCATTGTTTAATTTATTTTTCCCATGATTATATGCGCTGATTATAATTTTGTGCATTTGAATTACAGATTAGTGTTGGAAGTAATCATAATGCGATCGAAGAAGCAGTGAAGAGTGTGAAGTCGATTTTGAGAAACATAAGTGACGGTGAAATTTCGATATCGGCTTATGACACAGCTTGGGTTGCATTAATCGACGCCGGAGATAACACTCCGGCGTTTCCCTCCACCATCAAATGGATCGCCGAAAACCAACTCTCCGATGGATCTTGGGGTGATGCTTATCTCTTCTCTTCTCATGATCGTCTCATCAACACACTTGCATGCGTCATTGCTCTAAAATCATGGAATCTCTTCCCTTATCAGAGCCAAAAAGGTAATTTATTTTCTTTGGAAAATATATTTATAAAGAATATAAGGAAAAAAATCTTAACTTTTGGCAAAAAATCCAAACCTTTTTTATAGTGGGCTAAAAAGAAAGTATACATTGTCTAATAGTTATAAGTTAATCTTCTTTTGAAAAGTTTGAATCTTTTTTCCTATAATCATTCACAATTTTTGTTTTTTTTCAAAACAAAAAAAAACGGGCGTAAACTAATTCCTAGCTTATCTCATATACCTGTGAAAAACATAATATTTATGTCAAAAATGTCCACAGTGGTCAAACTATAACTAAAAATCTAAAATCACAGTGGCCCCTACCCCAAAGTGTAGGTGAAAAGAAAAATATTAGTTTTTTTTTTGGTTATTCATACCGAAATCATTTGACATGTCTAGTTTTATATGATTTTTTTTTTAATGATAAAATTGAATTTTATATGATTTTGATGTATATATTATCAATGACAAGTTCAGGAATCGAGTTTTTCCGAGAAAATATTGGAAAGCTAGAAGAAGAAGACGATGAGCATATGCCAATTGGATTCGAAGTAGCCTTTCCTTCGTTACTTGAGATAGCTCGTGGAATAAACATAGATGTACCGTACGATTCTCCAGTCTTGAAAGATATATACGCCAAGAAAGAGCTAAAGCTAACAAGGTTTGTGTGTTTGGCCCAAAATATACAATTGAATATTCTACTCTTATATACACATAAATATGTTTTAAAGTATATGCATATGGGTCCAATGTACTTCACTCGAAGCCAAAAAAAAGAGTTATACGATAATATATTTGCATACGTAATACAACATAGACTAAGATATGAGTTATCTTTGTATAGGATACCAAAAGAGACAATGCACAAGATACCAACAACGTTGTTGCATAGTTTGGAAGGTATGCGTGATTTAGATTGGGAAAAGCTTTTGAAACTTCAATGTCAAGATGGATCTTTCCTCTTCTCTCCTTCCTCTACCGCTTTCGCGTTCATGCAGACCCGAGACAATAATTGTCTCGGTTACTTGCGCAATGTAGTCAAACGTTTCAATGGAGGAGGTTTGTACCCTAGTAACCACTTTTTTTTTTTTTAATTTATCTATCGACTCATTTACTTTTTCTGTTAGCATCATGTGTAGGGTAACGGATAACATCTACTTTTTGTTCATTTATTATTTTTATTTTCCTTTCAGTTCCGAATGTATTTCCTGTGGATCTCTTCGAACACATATGGATCGTGGATCGGCTACAACGGTTAGGGATATCGAGATACTTTGAAGAAGAGATTCAAGAATGTCTTGACTACGTTCACAGGTCTTGAAAACTTTATATATGTCAACTTCATTTGCTTAAACCAATGTTTTTTTTACTCTAATTAATAATGATGGGGATGGTGAAAAAATCTCAGATATTGGACAGACAAAGGCATTTGTTGGGCTAGATGTTCCCATGTCCAAGACATCGACGATACAGCCATGGCATTTAGGCTGTTAAGGCTCCACGGATACCAAGTTTCTGCCGGTAAAACCTCATCTTTTTTTTTGGTTTTGTATTTTAACATTTAACCAAACTTAATTAGAAGTTTAACAAATATGGTTGAACTTTTAGATGTATTCAAGAACTTTGAGAGAGACGGAGAGTTTTTCTGCTTTGCGGGTCAATCAAACCAAGCGGTGACCGGTATGTTCAATCTATACCGGGCATCGCAATTGGCGTTTCCAAGAGAAGAGATGTTGAAAAAGGCCAAAGAGTTCTCTACAAAGTTTCTAAAGCAGAAACAAGAGAAAGGCGAGTTGCTTGATAAATGGATTATAATGACAGACTTACCTGGCGAGGTACGTTACATGTTAATATAAGACCAAACGACAAACCGTGTTTGGCTTTTTTTGCTTATGCAGTAGTTGTTTTAATATTATTATTTTTGCATGTTAGATTGGGTTTGCGTTAGAGATTCCATGGTACGCAAGCTTGCCTCGAGTGGAGACGAGATTCTATATTGAGCAGTATGGTGGAGAAAACGACGTTTGGATTGGCAAGACCCTTTATAGGTACTTCTTATTTTTAATATTATAAAAATATTTTGCATTGTCCAATGAATGCAAAACAAATGCATTGCACTAAACGTTAAAATGCATGCATGAGCTGACCATGTATGTGTCATGTGTGGGAGATAATTAAGGGCGTTTTGGTCCTTTTTCATAGAAAGTTTTCTATTGCCTATGTAAGTTTAATCTGGTGCGTACTAAATCAGTTGTAAATATCTAACCTGAACCGAATTAAAATTATTGTACACAACATTTTTAGGTTGGTGTGTTTAATAATGGTTAACCAGATTTTCCGCTAGTTTTTTTTTTGTTTTTTTTCCCGGTAGTTGCAACTCTTTCTTTTCCTTTGCAATTGCAAGTATATACTAATAACAATGATGGTGGACGATATTGTAGGATGCCATATGTGAACAATAACGAATATCTGGAATTAGCAAAACAAGACTACAACAATTGCCAAGCTCTGCATCAACTCGAATGGGACACATTCCAAAAGTAAGTTCATCTTCACTCCATATTCACTCTTCATGTTTCCAATAATTTTGGCTTTCAATCAGTGGTTGCGGGATTTTTCCTAAGCTTTTAGGAAACTTTCGTGCAAGTGGTTTAGGGAGGTTTTATGGCTATTTTGTGATATTTTTTAGAAACAAACAAAAAAGTATCATACTTTTTAGTGATACCTTTTAAAATTGTTTCTAAATTAATATTTTTTTGCTAAATGGAGGTTTTTCATTCATATGTGTGAAATCATAACCCTTTTTAATGATAAAGTCACAGGCTCACAGCTTAGTAGCTTTCTGGCCCTTTATTTTCTTCTTTTATATTTGAAAAAGGCACTATGTTTTTCTCAGTATTTTTTTAAAAAATTGAGTAAAAAGTTTTTTTAGCTCAATCTGCAATCATTTATATATATAAAAGATACAATTTAGTTAGTGGTTGAGAAAACAAAAACGTTAGTTCCAGTTTAGCCTTATGTTTACATTTTATTTTTCCTCTCTCTATATATATAATCATTAATTAAATTTGTTCTTAGGTGGTATGAAGAAAATAAGTTAAGTGAGTGTGGTGTGAGTAGAAGTGAGCTTCTCGAGCGTTACTACTTAGCGGCTTCGACTATCTTTGAAGCAGAGAGGTCACATGAGAGAATGGTTTGGGCTAAAACAAGTGTGTTGGTTAAAGCCATTTTTTCTTCTTTTGGGGAATCCTCTGACTCAAGAAGAAGCTTCTCCGATCAGTTTCATAAATATACTGCCAATGCTCAACGAAGTGATCTTCACTTCAACGGCAGGTAAATTACTCTTTTCACTTAATTTATGAATTTATAGGGATTGAAATTCTGATTAACTTGACCTAACACTTAACAGTTTTCCTCCGGGATTACCCAATAGCCCCATTCACAATTGTTTCGCATAAAACCTTTTGTCCATTCTAATTACTTAATATTTTAAAATTTAAAAAACTTGTACTATTTAAATCTCTAAATCTCGTTTATACGTCTCATCTAATGGTTTGACGTTTAACCCTAATTCATCGAGGTTAAGACTATAATTCTTTCTTGGGGGGTTAGTTAGAGGCTGTTTTGTTTTCCGGCACAAAAGTACAAAACACCAAGCTATAGAAAAATGTTTCTGTCAGCCAATTAATTAATATAAAAATAAAGTTCATTTGACCTAATTTGGATATAAAAAACTGTCACTTTCGTCGAACTTACAATGTGCAGACAAATTTTTCACAACATCTGGCGTTTACTGCCAAACAAACATAATCCTATTTGAAATATACTTTTTTTCCTGGGTAAGATTAGAGGCCAATTCTCATTCGATAAGGATCAAAATTGGTGACGTTATAACAATAAAACAAAACGAAAACATCTGGATGCTGTAAGAAATTAAAGTTCCAATACAAGAAACAAACAAAGTAAAGATTGAGATTTATATGCATAATAACGTGTGTGTTTTGTTATATATTCGATTTAATATGTAAATTTTAGATAAAGTCAAAAAAAACAAGAAGGCTCTAGTAGAATCAGTTGATTGACTGATTTGTCTATATTATTAAAATTTAGGAGCTTGAGATTGGACCGACCAGGGTCGGTTCAGGCGAGTCGACTTGTCGGAATCTTAATCGGAACTTTGGATCAAATGTCCTTGGACCTTTTCATGTCTCATGGTCGTGACATTAACAATCTCCTCTATCAATCGGTACGTTTCTCTCTTACTTTTTTCTTCTCTCATGTTCTTAGGTTAACTATTATAATAAAAAATCGTTACATAATAAAATAAGTGGTGAACTAAAATATACACTAGATATTTAAGAAAATAATTTTGACTATAGTGTGTTGTATACGTTTTTAAACTTGAAAATATTATCTCGATAGCTCGTTGAATCTTTTATTTTTTACCATTTTCATTTATTATCTTAATACTTGCACTTACGTTTATTAATGTTTTTATAGTGGGGAGATTTGCTGGATAAATGGAGATCAGATGGAGATGAAGGAGAAGTAGGAGAGCTCATGGTGAAGATGATAGTTCTAATGAAGAACAATAACCTAACTAACTTCTTCTCTCATCCTCAATTTGTTCGTCTCTCAGAAATCATCAACCAAATCTATCTTCTTGGCCAGTCCTTACAGGTTAGTAATTTATATGGTCATATATATATAACTACTGATCAGTCTAACGTTTCGGAAGTCCTATTCAAATTTCATATTTTTTTTTGTTGATAAAGAAAAAGCTCAATTTGTTACCTCAAAAAAATGGGTCCTATATAAATCTGATATCCAAAATCCATAACGTCTGATGCATGTGCTGTGGACCGGACTTGCAAATAATCAATTGAAAACGATTGTTCCATTCGATGTTACTGGTTCGAGTATCGAGTCTAATCATCGGATCATAATACTTCGAATGGATATATAGAAATCTAAATTATTGTTATTGTCCTAATGCAGGCAAAGAGAAACGATGAGAAGGAGAAGACAATAAGGAGAATGGAGAATGAGATGGAGCAAATGGTCGAGTTAGTATTGTCAGACTGTGACAGGTTCCGTGATGTCAGCATCACGTTTCTCGACGTAGCAAAGGCTTGTTACTACTCTGCTTCATGTGGTGATCATCTTCAAACTCACATCGCCAAAGTCTTGTTTCAAAAAGTCTTATAACCTCATCATCATCGATCCATACCGGCCGCTTCTTTTATTAAGTAATCAAGTCATGAATTTATGCTTTCATGTATATAAATAATATTCATGTGGAGTAGGAGAACAAATTAAATCATGTACAACAGTACAATACAAATCAAACCTTGGAATAGTTATCATTAGCTTCCATTATCAATAAATATGGATATTCCCCTTTTTTTTCCCAAGATGAAATCAATATATGAACATTTCCCCCCATCAATTTAACATAGAGTTTCATAAGTTTTGCATCATAGAGTGTATAGATCTAGGTTCGAATCGTGTGAATTCTTAAAAACGTGGACATTCCTAACCACTAGGTCATGGATCCGACCAACATGTTTAAATAGTACAACATTTCTTGCTTCCCTTACAAAACCAAAATTTAAAAGATTTTGGCATATGAATTTCTTAGTCATATGTAAAATCTTAGGATTGATAATTATCTTGTGTAACTTAATTAAATAGATATACATATATATACTGGTATACAACCACATGTATACACGAGTGGCCATTATCTAAATGTGATTTTGCAGAAGAAACATAGGAAGTGATGTATAGTGGGGCTTGCATAATAAGAGCCAAAGACTCACGCAGTTGTCATGTCAACAAGACCTCTCACTTTTCTAGAGATCGATATGGTTTGTTTGAGTGTGTTTTTGTTTGTCGTTACTTGCATGCCTTTGAAAAGGTTTTTGCTGTGGCAGAGAGACAAGCTCCACTTTAGAACACATGATCTTGATGACTAGGTTTTGTTCTCTTTTCTTTGGACATCACTCAACTTATTAAGACATTATCACACATATATATATATATATATATATATATATATTCATATCTATCTAGATTCTCCTTGGATAAAAGTTATATATAGACGATGAAATGAAAATACAATATATTTTCCTTGTTATCTAAATATATATGGTTGAACTTCAACATTAATGTAAAAAAAAAAAAAAAATCTTGGTTTGAACTTTAAAATTGTGTTTGAGGAACTTTGAAATTTGGAAGATGGTAGTTACGGATTTATATGCTTACAACTATCTCCTTAGCACAATTATAACTAAAACAATCGTACCAAAACTAACATAAAGAAAAACTACTAAAATTTTTGTAGACACAATAAGACATTACACTAGTGATATAAATTTCGATTAAAACATGCTAAGAAAGTTTATCGTACTAAAAGGTTTTCTTATTGGTGAAAGGATTTAGGCTAATTTAGAGAGCTCTACAAAGGGTTAAAATTCCAAACTATACAAAGGTAATTAAGTAATTACAAGAATAGTCCATATTTATCTCAAGAGGTTATTCTTAAAATTGAACAAAACCAAAATTCTAATCAAATGGTAGTTAAATCTTCCTAACAATCTTTCGAACCAAACCGCCCGGCTATAATTTTAAAATTTTGTTCTACGATAAAATAAGTAATTATGTACAAAGCGAATTACTCGACAGAGTGTGACAGACATGTTTGGTTTGAATTGGGACCCCAAGGCATATAACTAGAAAAAGTTAGGTAATAAGCAAAGAGGGTAAAGCAGTGTGGAGTTGATGGTCAAAATTAGTAAAAGGATGGCCCAACACATAAATGGAGAGACATTGCACACATAAAATTTAGATTTAGAAATTATTGTAATAGTGTACTCTGTCTCAAGTCTCAACCAATCTTTCTTTCTTTGGCTTTACGATAATGTTTTTGTTTTCTTGGAGAATGTTTTATATTTGAATTTATGAGGCAACTTTTTTTTTAATCTACATGTAAAGTATGAGTGGAGCTGTGCATGTGGGATCAAAAATGTTTGAGACACATTGCACACATAAAATATTTTAATTATTTCTTTCATCTTCATGTAAAGTATTAGTCTTCCTCCTCCATAGTAATTGGCCATACATACCTTAAAATTTAAACCTTATAAACGAAGCCATACATGATAGTGATACACATGATTTTGGCACAATGTTATTTGTGTAAGTCGAAGAAGCAAATGAATCATATTACACACGTCATAATTAGTGATATGGCCAATTAATTTGTCGATGCAAGAAAAATGAATCAGTGATATAAAAATTAAGTGTTTCGAGAGAATCCACCAAATACACATTTTACGATCATGGTGTGTTTCTTGCATCAGTAGTGTTCTAAATTATTCCAAAAATGATAAGAGTTCGCAAATACGCCATATGACGGCATACTTTCTAGAACAATTTGATAATGACGTCTCAAATGTAATTAGTGTTGCAAAACATTTTGATAATTTAAAAAAATCGCCCGAGGCAAAGACTGCATGATAATCGGGAAAAATGATTCTTGGGTCCAAAAGAACACAATATAACGAGTTCCCTTATGTGACATAGCATGCATCTAGACCGACAGGACCCAAGAACTTGAGCCCACATTAACAAGCCCAAATTCTAGAACTAAGCCCAAACTCTTTGACATTTTGTTATATTTCCACTTTGTTTTCTAAGTCCTCTAACTGAATTTATTTATTAGTGTCGTCCCCATACTTACCTTTTGTTGCTTTTGGCTTAGAGGAATAAAAGGTGGTAAAAACGACGTAGGATAGGATCAGAAGCAGATGGGTAAGAGAAAAATCTAATGCTTGAATCCTATTGGTTACCTTATCCACTTAATCCAACAAACTGTAGCTTCTCATTTCACAATATTATCTCTTTCCTCTTCTCATCAATAACACCATTAAGCAATTTGCTCATTCTGAGAAGACACCAAAACACAAAAAAAAGAGATGGCAACTCAAGCCGCCGGGATCTTCAGCTCCGCCATAACAACCGCCGCGACCTCCGGCGTTAAAAAACTCCACTTTTTCTCAACAACCCACCGTCCCAAATCCCTCTCCTTCTCCAAAACCGGAATCCGCGCCGAGAAAAAAGAATCCGCCGCCCCAGCCGCACCCGTGAAAGAAGCTCCGGTGGGATTCACCCCGCCGCAGCTAGACCCAAACACACCGTCTCCGATCTTCGCGGGAAGCACCGGCGGTCTTCTCCGTAAGGCCCAGGTGGAAGAGTTCTACGTCATCACATGGAACTCGCCGAAAGAACAGATCTTTGAGATGCCGACAGGAGGTGCGGCGATCATGAGGGAAGGTCCGAATCTGTTGAAGCTAGCGAGGAAAGAACAGTGCTTGGCTTTGGGGACGAGGCTTAGATCCAAGTACAAGATCACTTACCAGTTCTACAGAGTGTTTCCGAACGGCGAGGTTCAGTATCTTCACCCGAAAGATGGTGTTTACCCGGAGAAGGCGAATGCAGGAAGGGAAGGCGTTGGTCTCAACATGAGATCGATTGGGAAAAATGTTAGTCCCATTGAAGTAAAGTTTACTGGCAAACAAAGTTATGATTTGTAAGATGTGTCAAAACTCAAAACAAAAACTTGTATGTGCAAAAGTGAAACTCTTGTGGAGATGACTATGTTTGAATGTTAATTTTTAATGGGTTTGTTTTTCATAATTTTTCTTGCTTTGTATAATTTGTATTAATTTAAATTCTCTGCTTTCTGATATCTTTAAGATTTTGTTCTTGACTAAAACCAAACTGAATTCAAGCCAAACCGGATTGTCAGTCAATCTATGACGTCACTTGGGATGCTGGGCTTTAATGGGCCGAAAGTGTAAAAATATATAAGCCTAAAAACGGTGGCCCAAATAAGGATTCAATTCGAACTATCGGGTTAAGGATTCGGATCTTAAATTATCCGATCGTCTCACAAACCCCCACTTAACTGTCACCGCCTCGAACGACGGCGACGATCTTCTCTTTCCGTCAATTCACTGCTTCTCCGATCAACAATCCTAGCGAAGTCCTGATTGTTCCCGAAATCATCGTCAATCATATATCCTTAGTTATCTTATTGTTCCTTCAGTTTCGGACTCGCCGTCTTTCCATCAATTGCTCCTTCGTTAGACTCTTCGTCTCTGCAGTAGCCATAGCCGTAGCCAGCTCAGTTGAGCTCACGATCGCCTTGTTGGCTAATCGTATTCTCTCATTCGGCTCGCGTCTTCTCGATTTTGCCAACGTTGCTGTGGAATCGCTCTCCCGTTTCACATTTTCATCTCCTGTTACATCTCGGCTGATGTCATTGTGAATGTAAGCAACAGATACTTCTTAAATTTGTTCACTGTTCGTTGGTTTTGCAACCATGATCTATGCTTAGTGCTTACATTGAGATTTCTGAAAAACTAAATGCATCGTTTGTAGAATTGGGCACCATTTCTCCTGCTTATTCCGTGCGGTTTTTAATCTATCGTGATGATGTTTTGGAGGAAATTCTGTGAAGTCTTATCTTCCCATTTTCGATTTTTATACTAAGTATGCCATAGACTGTTTATGCTACTCCCACAGGGGCTAGATCATGTCTGTTGCAGAAAAGGTTGTCGCTTGTGCGTTCTAGGACTTGTAGCTGGGACTACACTTGGATTAACTTCACATTACCTTCATTATATCTTCCAATTCTTTCAGAAGTTAGCAATACCAAGGAATAGGATACAAATTCTGAGTACATTGGTGGCTTCTATTGTTTCATACTTGTTTTCTTTTGTACTAAGACTCTATTAATCATTTCTTCAGTAATTTGTTTATGCACGCAGATCTGTTGGGCTTGGTAGATATAAAATTTTCGTCTTGCATTCCCTTCTTTCAAGGAAACTCCTTTTAAACGTTCTGTGCCATGGACGCGCCAAATCCTAAGCGACATTGCCAGGCCCCTTCGGTTACCTCCTCCATCGAAAAACCTAGCTCCCTCCCTATTGCTCCAGGTTTCAACCAGAGCAACATTGATTTGACTATCTCCTCTTTCCTTTCGTTGTCGGACTTGCCTTTGTTCTCCTCGCCCTTCTCCATTGGCTGCTCCTTCGACCGAGTTCTTGATAAGGTTATCCCCTCAGTCGCCGGAACCTCCAGTGATGATATTGATCAGGATCGCTTCCTGGATCGTACTCTCCAACTTGCATCACTGCTTTACAAGTCCACCGAACGCTGCATCAGGAAGCGCGCCACCCTCCAAAATTCCATATCATGGCCTCTCCTTCCTGAACTAACGAGTAAGGTAACAAATCCAGAATTCTCATATCGCTGTTTCTCTACCTGCTTTATTGAATCTGTAGAGAGTCTTATAGGGCTGTATCTCCTGCCTAATCTTATAATCATCAATGTAATAAAAACGTAAATGCTTGTGATCTCTTGAATGATGTCTCATGTGATATGCTTCTAATGCATATTCAGGTCTTTTCAATGCTTGATACAAAGTCTCTAATGCAAGCTTCTGCAAGCTGCACAATGTTCAACAAGTGTGCCATGGACCGTGTATGTTACTCCCACATCGACTTGACAATGGCTGATAAACATGTTGATAATGGAGTTTTGTGTATTATGATCCATCGGGCTGGAAAAGAACTTAGGTGGGGTTTTCTATTTCTGAGTTATCTTCTTTTGTGGTGGAACTTGGTCTATGTAATCATAAGGTTTCGTTTGTGTGCAGGTCTCTCAAACTTGGTTGTACTTATGGCCCAGCTGGATCTAGCTCTCTGCTTACCAGATCTTGTCTTGCTCCACTAAATTTTAATCATGGTTTCGCTGGGTATGGTTTTGGTTACCAATATATACAAGTGGTACTTTATGAGCCAAACCTTTCATTTTAATCTGATTTGCCCAGTCTGAAACAGCAAATATAAATAATGTGGTTTTATCAGTTTTCTGCTTGAGCATTTACTGTTCAGTTAACGTCTATGGTTGATATTCTGATCGGCACTACTATCCTTCTCCATTCAACTAGGGGTCTCTTGAGAAGCCTACACCTTTACCATCTCACATTTATGGATTACAAGTCCTTATGTGCTTTGTTGCCAGTCTGTTCAAATCTCACTGATCTGAAGATTGTTGGATTGTAAGTCTTCTTGGATGGGATTCTCCATTTCGTTTGTTGCTTTGCTTTACTCTGCCTTGGAGGCGACTTCAATGTCTGTTACACTTAGAAATCTTGCTGATTTCTAATGGTAGATTCTTTCACCTTGTTTTTGCATTATTTAGTGTTTCAGGTGACATAAATCCACTAGAACTGTTAGCATCAATCACGAGAAATTGTCGCTTGATAGAGCAGTTGTTTTTAGAGAACTATAATTTTGGACGAGGTAAATACTTCCACTATGAAGCTTTTGCTTTTTCTTTTCATTTTACGTTTTCTCAATGCTATCTACTTAATGATTGGTAGTATAGGCCCAGATCCAAAGTTGGTTGAGTGTGTGTTAGATTGCCCCAACTTAACTTCGCTAACGCTCCAACAATTTTGGCTAAATGACGAAATAGCTCGAGTTATCTTTAAGGTATGGCTCCTCTAGTTTTGTTGGTATTTCTTATCTATCTGCTTCGTTCCATCTATACGCTTTTACAAAACCGGAAAATACTGTGACGCTTATGCAGAGTTTTCGTCGACTTAAGTACATTAATCTATCGATAACCACCGGAGTTAGTGGTTGCTTTTTAAGGTTTGTGTCGTTTTGGTAAACGTTAATGATGATATCTTTAAGTGTTTGGTACCTAATTTCTTAAGGCGTAAGAGTTTTATTGTAGGGATTTGGGACCTATCTGCAGAGACAGTCCACTCGAGACTCTAATATTGCGCAACTGCTATTCTCTACAAGAGGTAATGATAAAACACAAGATTTTTTTTTTTTTTTTTTTTTTTTTGGCACTTCCTTCTTATTAATGTCACACTCATGAGTCCTGAACATTGCCATGGGATTCAGAGAGAAGTTTTGCTGTTTTTGAATTCACTACTTGCTGGAGACTTCAAATCCATTCGTCAATTTGTAAGTTATTATTATTCGGAAATACGTCAGTTTTTTGATGAATTTTGCGTATGACACAAGTGAGTTTTTATTTTCTCATAAGAATTTCTTATTCTTCAATAGGACGTATCAAGCAGCGTCGGTTTATTGTCTGATGAAGGCAAGCAAATTTTTGAGCCAAAGTAAGTGGTCGATTTGCTCATCTTCTTTTTAAAAATTTCATCGTCATATACATATGATATGACATTGTTTTGTTTGTGTTGTAGATTTCCTATTGAGGAGCTGAAGAAACAAAGACCAGGTCTCACATTTATGGCAATTTTTCCATCTCCAACTCCATCTTCTTCATCATCATCATCATCATCATCATCATCATCGTCATCATCATCATCATCAAGGTACATGAAGTGTTTATTATGTTTTTGTTTCTCCGTGTATCAAAGTAATTGAATTTAAATGGTTTGAGTCTTGTAATATCTCAGCTCAGGAGACTCTTCCGGGAGTTCTTATTATAGCAGCGATGATGAAGAGTAGGACGGCTGACTTGGGGTTATGTTATCTTCTTTATCTCCTTTTTAAAGAAAGAGAAACATATTTTTAAAGAGTTTCTTGCTTTCGTCAAAACTTCAGTGAGTTATATGTGCCACAAAGGACTGCAAGCTTCTGGTATGGAACCCGTATTTAGGGCAAATCAAGCGGATCAAACCAAGAAGACGATTCACCATGTATGATGATTATTCTATTGGATATGACAAGAGCAACAATACCCATAAAATCTTGAGGTTTTTTGATACGTTACGTACGTGCTGCAAAGGCCCGAATTGGTGAGTATGAGATCTACAGCCTGAAGTCTAATTCATGGAGGGTTCTTGATGACGTTGCCGATATTTGGCATATACATTATTATCTACGCAGCATATCTTTGAAGGGAAACGCTTACTTTGTTGCTGAAAAAAGAATAAAAAAGAGAGAAGATAGAGAAAATAGTGTTTATTTACTCTGTTTTGATTTTACAAAGGAGAGATTTGGACCGGGTATGCATCTACCGTTTCACTGGCCTCATGGAGGATGCGATGTTCTGACTCTGTCTTCTGTTAGAGAAGAGCAGCTTGCATTGCTACATACGCGCATGGATACAAATGTGATGGACGTATGGATTACGAATAAGATAGAGCCCAATGCAGTGTCTTGGAGGAAGCTCTTCGTCGTAACCGATGAGCGAATTGTGTCCCAAGTTCCATTTCATAGTGGGAGTTTCTTTATTGATGAAGAGAAGAAAGTCCTTGTGGTTTATCAGCAACCTAACAAGATAGCTTTCATGATTCAAGGGAATGGATACTACGAAGAAGTGAAGCTCGGGAGATCTGATGAGGGAACACTTATGTGCTCTTATGTTCCAAGCTCGGTGCAGATCCAGCAAGTACATGCAGGTCGCAATAGGAAAAGACGTACGAGATCATTAAGATATTTTACAAAATAACTTTTTTATTATCTTGTTTTGGTTTCTTGCGTGATTCCCTACATTTTCTCTTCATGTCCCTTTTGATCAAAAAGTTAAACTTGATTTCCTCGTGATGTTCTCTTTGTGATGCTGTATCACATAATATTAAAGCAGAAATTTTTTCTATGCAATTTGGAATTTTACATGTGGTATTGTAGATGAACAGAAACAAAAAGTTAAGACCATCGATCAATTCATGTTTATTCTTCTCATTGCATGAATAAATAATGTGCTTTTGCATCCCCTACATATCTCACTTGTTCATCAATTTTAATAGTTTGTTGCTTTTGAATTCGGATTTTGTTCCTGAGGAGGATTTAATTTGTCTCTGTAGAAAATCAAACTCAGCTCGTACCTTGAACATAGTTGGTACGTCTTTACACGTATTTAATTTACTGGTCATAATAATTTAACTTTTTAAAAATATTTGGATAAACTGTACCACTGTTTCGTTTGTTATACCGTGGACGTTTCTAGATCTGCCAGTAGGACGCAAGTTTAAGTCGATGCCATAAGGCAAGTAATTGTCTCGAGCTACGGATGCTACAAAAGTTGCTGTTCTCAACACTGATCAGTGAGTCTCCGAGCACAAACATAGCCGGAACTGTAGCTTGTCCGGTCACCAACTCAGGCTGCTGTAATATAAAAGACATGACCACTGCAAAACTATAATAAAACGCATATCCTTTCATTTGGATTCTCATCTATAATAAACGCATGACATGAGGAAAAATTGTTGCAGAAGAAAATTAGAAGCATATATATGAGATTAGAACCACTTAATAACCGAAACAAAATAAAGAATTCTACCGTTTTTGGCAAAAAAAAAATTTGGACCATTTCTCGATTTGTGCATGTCATCCTTGCGCAGGGGCCATGTTAATTTTCTCTGTATCGTTCCAATTTTATCGGATGTCTCCGAAGGGGATCTTTGTCACTCCGACGGTATATAAACCGAACAGCTTCTCCCTCCGTAAGCGATGTGGGAATATTTTGAAGTTTGATACATCGTTTAACTACTTAAATGGGCTTGTTTACATTAAAAGGCCTCTTTCTGTTTTCTTTTCTCGTGAGCCCGTTAACATTATTAATCAAGGCCTCTTTGGAGGAAGAGAAGAAGACGACGCCGTTGGGTAGTTCACGCCTTCACGGTTTTGTTTGTGAAATCTTCCAAGTCTGTCACTGAAATTCTCGAATTTTTCTTCTGTAAAAAGATCTGAAGGGGAAGAAGAAGAAAGTAAGCGAGACTCTGAGTGTATATGATCCATTAACTTTTTTTGTTTCTATCAGTGATAACTGATAAGTGATAACGCGTTTCATCAAAAATATCATAAGACTCAGACTGAGTGATGTTTAACTTCCTTAAGCACTAGCCGACAACGAAAGAGAAACACCCAATTTATTAATTTGTAGAATACTTTACCACTTATTAAATACATGTAATTACATACTTGCCTAAACTCCAAAAACGTAATGTTTTGATTTCTTACATCTACAAATTCGGGTGTTAAGCCAAGTATAAATACTCGGTCACAAACTGAGAATCGATCCCATTTGGCCATTTCCTTCAACCTAAAACCCAAAGCCAAGTTTCGTTACCATGGACGCGGACGGAGCTCCTCCAAACGCCAAGCGACCTCGCCATGATGAATCCCCCTCTTCCATCCAAAACCCTAATCCCCTTCCGATTTCCAGTCAAAGCCATTTCGATTTGTCTATCTCTTCTCTACTCTCGTTTCCGGACTCATCGCCTTCGCCGTCCTCAATTGGCCGCTCCTTCGATCGAGCTCTCGAGAAAGCTCTCGCCTCCGCCTCCAGTCATGTCTCCGCTCAAGATCTCCTCCTCGATCGCACTGTCGAACTCGCCTCCCTTCTTCTCGAGTCTACTCAACGATGTTACCGGAAGCGAGCCACCGTTCACAATTCCAATTCCTGGCCTTTCCCTCAAGACCTCACCATTAAGGTTAAAACAATTGCATTATTGAATCTAAATGCCTTAAAAAAAAATTCGATCTTTTTCTTCTCTTGGGTCAACCATTGATGTAGTCAATTGCATTGCACGATGCTTTATGGATTTTGGTGCCTTTTTACTTAGTGGGTTTGTAGATTGTGTAGAATGATGTCTCCCACCCAATCTCGATATCGGTGTTAGGAACTGAGAAATCTCAGATTATGCATTGTTAAGTGAATGTGAATCCGTTGTGACCATTTTATCTTGAGTGGTGTGTCTCATGTACTATGTCTATAATGCTTATCTCAGGTGTTTTCAATGCTTGATAAAAAGTGTCTGATGCAAGCAATGGTAAGCTGCACCATGTTCCAGAGGTGTGCCATTGACCCTTTGTGCTACTCTCGCATCGGATTGAAAGACAAAAACGTTGATGATGGAGTTGTGCGTACCTTGATCCATCGAGCTGGAAAGGAACTCAGGTGATATGTTGTGTATTCAGAGATTTGGGAAAAGAATCTGCTTGCATTAGTTGGCATCTTCCTAGTTTGTTGAACTTGGTTTTTTTATGTATGCAGATCTCTTGAACTTGGCCATGTTGCTCGCCCTACATCTCCTTTGTCTCTACTAACAGGATCTTGCCTTTCCCCACTATCCTATAATCATTGTTTCATTGGGTATTGGCTTCAGTTTTCAGTATTAAACATGCTATTTTTTATCTGTCTTATCCTTTCAAACGTGCCTTTGATACCATAGACAGAAATTGAATTCGACCTGTGTCTTGCATTGGATATTTGTTTGTTTCTGTTAACATGTGCATTAAATCTTCTAATTTGGTATCATCTTTTCCCGTTCAACTAGGAATCGATTGAGAAGCCTACACCTTTACGGTTTCAAGGATATGTATAAAGATTCCTATTGTGATGCCTTGTCAGCTTGTTCAAATCTCACTGATTTGAAGATTGTTGGACTGTAAGTTGCGTCCTGCCTCTTTGCTTTAACATCATCCCCATCTATGAATGACAATTCCTGAAATATAAAATTAGCCGTATATGCTTTGAATTCCTTATGCAAGATTCTCTCAGGTTTTTACATCATTTCGTATTCTATGTGACAGGACCTCTGAGCAGATATTCGAGCCAATAGTCACAAGAAAATCATGCCGCAAGATAGAGCATCTATTCTTGGAGGCCCGTCTTTTCCCATGTAAAGCTTCTCCACTCTCAATCTTTTCTTTGGTTTACTCTCAGGTTTTCTCAAGCTCACTCACTTACTGTGCAACAGATAGTTCAACGGGGGATTCAGTCATGGCAGATTTCGTGGCCAGCCTCCCCAACTTAACCTCGCTAACGTTCATAGGTTTTGATATGACTGATGCCATAGCCCAACTTCTTTTTGAGGTATGGCTCTTTTAGTTTTCTGGTATATCTTTTGTTCTTTAGTTTTGGTACCATCCCGAATATGTTCTGGATGCTTTTCCAGGGCTTTCCTAAACTCAAGCACATGAATCTGTCTAGAGCGTCCCAAATCAAGGGTCGCTTTTTGAGGTTCGTGTTTGCCTGAACAAAATAGTTATATGGCGCAAGCTCTTTATATCTAATGGCTAAAACTTTCTTGGTATTAGGGATTTGGGAGATAGCTTGAAAGACAGTCGGCTCGAGACTCTAATACTGCGCGATTGCCCTTATCTTGAGGAGGTAAAAATATCAAACCCTTGATAGGTATTTGGTTGTTTCTGCATCACACTCACTTTAACCTTGGAATTACCTACATTTTCAGAAAGAAGTGTTGCAGTTTCTGAACTCGCTGTTCACAGGAAACTTGAAACTACTCGGACACATTGTAAGTTGTTCATTGAATTTTTGGTAAAGCATAACTTTGTTTACTCGTAATTGGCTAATAGCCTGTTTTCTCCTCCAACAGGACGTTTCTAATACCCGAGGCTTACGTACTGATGGTGTCAGGAGATCTAAGAACCCAAAGTAAAATGATTTGATTTGCTTACTTTTGAATTTAGATCAGAATCTCGTTTATACGCCAATGTTATTGTTGTTTTTGTCTTTCGTTTATAGCTTCCCACTGGAGAAGCTGAAAGAAGAAAGACCAAATGTCAAGTTTGTGGCAGATTTTACCTCTTCATTATCAAGGTTCATTTATATTCATTCTAAATACTAGTTTTGATATTAGAGAAGTCAAAAGTACAAATGGGTTTCTGTTTGCAATATTCAGATCAGAAAGGTTTTCGCGGGGCATTTCTGACAGCAGCGACGACGAAGACGATGGATATGAAATAGCCCCAGTGGACCCTCGGATTGAGAGCGATGGTGATGATGATTTCGCAAACTTTGTTGACGGCGACGCTTTGTTAGGATATGAGTTTTAGTTGGCAGATATAGTGGCCTCGTTTTTTCTATAAATTATAATAAATGTATCATTTGATTGTCGTACTACAAATTGGTTATGGCATTGGTTTCTTTAAATTATCTTGTTAACATATGCTGGTACATTGTAATTATGTTTTCGTCTGATAATCTTTATTTGAAAATATGAAATTGTGTTTTTGGTAAAAGCACAATAGGCATAAAGAAAAACATGGCTCTCGAAACATTGCAAAGCAAGGAAACAAAAACGAAATGCAAATAGGGGAATTGAAAAGTGTTCTTCTCAACTTGGTCATCGTTTAAACTTGTTGCCTTGTCCTTTTCCATGCGGAATGAAGTTTCCTTGTAACCTCTGTATTCGTTCTTATCTTAGATTTATGTTTGGTTGAGTTTGAATTCTCATCAGCTACAGGTAAACCATAATTTCCTACACCCTTATTACACCACATGATCTCTTAGTACTTGAGAAATTGGCTAGTTCCAAAACAAGTACGGGACCTTATCCGATGAATAGCCCTGAAAATCACAACTAAAATTTACGACACTTTTGCTTACAAATTTTTGGTATAATCATGGGTTTATAATTAGGTTTTGTCTCCACTCTGAACCTAATTTGATGATAGTTTGTTATCTTTGTTTGGTAAGACAAGAGATGCAATGTCTAATGTCTTATTTGAAATTAAATAATCGTAGAGCAGCTAGGGCTTTGAATCATCGTCCTACATCGATCAATTGCTTGAGAAAGCTCTCGCCTCCGCTTCCTCTGATGTCTTCGTTCAGAATGGCCTCGCTGAACGTACTACCAAACTCACATCGCTTCTTCACGAGTCCACTAAACGGTGCTTCTGCAAGCGAGCTTCTCTTCACAATTCCAAATCTTGGCTCCTTCCTACAGAACTCACTATTAAGGTTTTGTTTCTTTTCTTTCTTTGGGGGTGTGTTCATTGATGATGCGTTTTTCCTTTTTATTGGAATTATGTATCCCACATGATTCAACCATTTTATAGATATAAGCAAAATTGGTGGAATGTATGTTTTGTTTGTGGAACTGAGTAACCTTTTTGTGTGTGTCAATTATTGATCAATCCATTGTCAGTGATGTCTCTCATGTATTATGCCTTTAATGCAAATTCGAATTCAGGTGTTTTCGAAGCTTGATACAAAGTCTCAAATGCAAGCCATGGCATGCTGCACCATGTTCAAAACATGTGCCAAAGACCCTTTCTCTTACTCTCACATCAACTTGACCACATCTGTCAGCAACGTTAGTAATAAAATTGTGCGTACCATGATCCGTCGGGCTGGAAAGGAACTCAGGTGGGTAATATTTTGTGTATTCAAGAAACCATAAAGTTAGGTCGATTCCAAAGAATTTGCTTTACATTAAATAGCAGAATCCAAGTCCCTAGTTGTTTGTTGCTGCAACGTAACTTGGTTAATTAATGTAATCATATCTCATGGTTTTTGTTTATGTATGCATGCATGCAGATCCCTTGAACTTGGTCATGTTGTTCGCTCAGATAACTCTACTACGCCTTTGCTTACCGGAAAATGTCTTGCCCCGCTATCCGATAATGATGGATTTATTGGGTATTTTCTTGATTTATCTATCCATTTGAAATTTTCAAAATAAAACTTGTTTTTTTTTAATTAAGTGCAGCGAGAGAAAAATGAACATGTTGAAAAAGAACAAGACAGAGAGATTATAACACATCCCTACCTTGTCCTCGTATTAATCTTCTACTTTTGTTGTCATCTCTTTTCCCATTCAACTAGGAAATGCTTGAGAAGCATACACCTTTACGATGTCAAATCTCTGCAAAACAGTCTCTCTATTGATGCGTTGGCAGCTTGTTCAAACATCACTGATTTGAAGATTGTTGGATCGTAAGTTGTCTTTTCTTGTATTTTGCTTTTTTCAGTCATCTTTCTATGCTTTTTACTTTTATTGTTTCTTGGTGTCTTATTCCTTTATGCAACATTCTCTCACGTTTTCCGGTGTTTTCGTGTTTCGTGTGACAGGTATAAGCCACCCGAGAAGCTACTTAAATCACTGGCAACAAAATGCTGCTTCATAGAGCACCTGTTCTTGGAGACCTATGGTTTCCCTTCAAGTAAATCTTTTTTTTTCCCCAAATGTTGACGCTTTTTTTTTTTACTCAAGCTTATATATATGTACATACATATTGTGTAACAGGTAGATCAAGAAAAGTTTCAAGAGCCTTGGTAGATTTCTTGACCAACAATCCAAACTTAACCTCGCTAACACTCATAGGTTTCAGACTAAATGATGCAACGGCCCAAATTCTTGTTGAGGTTCTGTTTTCTCTTGCATTTATTCTTTCTTTAGTTGGTACCATCTATATGCTTTTACTAAGCCCAAGTTGTTTTTTTCTTTTTCTTATTTGCTTTTGCAGAGTGCACGTAAACTCGAATACATGAATCTGTCTAGAAACCCTACAATCAAGGGTCACTTTTTGAGGTTCAGATTTTTTTTTTCTTAAACAAAATATGTTAATAGCGCAAATTTCCTCCTAAGTATTTCTATTAGCAAAATTTCTTATTGCTGAAACTTTTTTGATGATAGACATAGTTGCAAAGACAGTTTGGTCAAGACTTTAATATTGCGTGACTGCCTTTTACTAGAGGAGGTAAGCATTAAACAATAATGAACAAGTATTTGGTGGTTGCATGCATCACCGATCATATAGTCTCGCGCTTACTGACCTTGAAATTTCCAACTTTCAGAAAGAAGTTTTGCAGTTTCTGAATTCGCTATCCACAGGAAACTTCAGATTTATTAAGCACATTGTAAGTTCTTATAGAACTTTTGGTAAATTTTGTGTGGAATCAGAGGTATAATTTTAAAAAAAATTATTACTCATAATATTGTTCTTCTTCTTATACAATAGGACATTACAAATTACCGTGGCTTGTTGTCTGATGGCCGCAAAAGCTCTTTCAATCCAAAGTAACATATTGATAGTTCACTTATTATTTATTTTATTTAGATAATTGTTACCATTTTCCCTAATAATTATTACAACTGGGATATATAAATATGCATGTGTTGTAGTATTTCCTTGGAGAAGCTGAAAGAAGAAAGATCAGATGTCACATTTGTGGCAGATTTCACTTCACCATTATCAATGTTCCATCTTTATCCCTAACATTTGTTTGTTAGTTTTTTAGGCTTTTTGAAGTAATCATCAAAGTGAGTTTTTTTTTTGTGTTTTTAAAAATTTGAGATCAGAAAAGATATCTCGTGGCATCATTTCTTCAGGCAGAGATGAGCCGAGCGATGATGATGGAAGAAGAATATTAGGACAAATTGCTGAAAATAGGAGGAAGGATCGCAGCTAGCTAGGAACACTCCAGTGATGATCAATGCACAAACAACTCAATAAGAACACAAAATACTTTTTTTCAAAGGGTAGTTATGACTACCTCTTTTGTTTTTCATTAACTGGAATCATAAACTGAAAAAGTGTAGTTTTAAAAATAAGGGACACCATAAAGGTGTAGTTTTGAAAATGTACCTTTTTTAAAAAATTCTTAAAAAAAGGGTTTTAATGAAGAACCACCTTTGTATCCGTTCCTTGGTACAAAATTTAGTTCGAGTGCATGTGTTTATCTTTTACGTTGGATGATTCATGATTGTTGTTGAGACGGTAAAAGTTTGGTGTTTGGGTGTAAAGTTGAAGGAGTTACTCTTTATTCTCCAGCAAGGTCCTTTACGCAGCAGCTTGGTGAGCATGTTTATTGGTAAGACTCTAAATGTCTCTTAACTATTTTTATATCAATAAACTTATTTTAAGAGACATTAGTAAGAGACAAATATTTTTGCACAATTATTGGTAAGTTCCTTAGAAGTTCTTACAAATATTTTTGCACCAATACACAGCCTCTCTTTTTCCCACACTCCTTTCTTACTGTGCTATCTTAATCCCTTCTCTGTCTTAAATTTTTACAAAATTGCAGATCAAAGATGCTTGCATGCTCAACTTCTTCGAGAACAATGCAAGTCGTCTTCCTAAATGATTTTGGTGTCTTCTTTCTCGGTCCCATTTTTCAACAAGAGAGTTCACGTTCTCCAGAACCGTCATTGACCATGTACAATGCAAGCTACATGAATTCAACACACACATACATATCAGTAACAAGTAGAGAGAAATTTATCTGTATAAAAGATCTTCATCACTTACAATGATAGCTCCAACAGGAGCCATCCAATTATCAATGTAATTGGCGAGGATTACTGCAATGAGTCCAATGATGTTTGTGATGACGTCAAAGAAGTGGTCTTGAGCATAAGCTTTGACAATCTCGTTACTGAAGGATCTGCAGTAGAGAACCAGAAGCAGTTCCACCAATGTCACAGAGAGCATGATCCCAACCACAGATTAGCTCAATCGTTATCAGTTCTACACATATCAATTCTCTCACCTCCTTTTTCTGTATGAGACCACAACTAATTGTCTGTATCAACTGTATTGTGGTATCACCTTCATGTACGTATCAACGGTATGGGCCGTAAAGTGTTGTTATTTGTAATTCTAAAGAAATGGGCCAACGATTTAAGTGACCCAATTTGATTTTGAATTGCCAGCTATTGGTGAGGTGGGACCTTGTAAATGGAAAAAAAAAATTTCCTCTGCTAATTTTTTTGTTTGTTTTGGCCTATGAATATCACTTGTCATCATCTCGTAGTCTTTCACAGAGAATCAAGGGCTTCAAAACGACTTCTCTGATAGATTTGGGAAGAAAAGCTGAATCGAGAGAGTTTTCATATTTGGGAAGAAATGTTAGGTGAGCTGGACCTTCTAAATAAAAAATACAACTCTCCTTTTTATATTCACTCATACATTTGCATCTTTTCTTTCATTCTTCCAACGTTGTCTCATCCATCTTTCATGGAGGATGCAAACGAAATCAAGCGACTATGTCGAGTCGCAGTCCAGAGTGTTCCTGATGTCGACCAGAGTCACGTAGATCTGATGGTCTCTACTCTACTCTCGTTGCCTGATTCGCTAGCCACTGAAAGGTCCTTCGACCGAGCCTTTGAAGACTTGCTGGAGTCTTCCGGTGATGAGTCTACTGTCGACCGCGGACTCCAACTCGCTGCCCGTCTCCTCGAGTCCGCTAAAAGGTGCGCTCGGAGACGCGCCACACACCACAACACCATTTCTTGGCCGCTCCCTCATGAACTCACCGTTAAGGTAAACACATCGCGGTTGAAATCTAAAGTTGAACTGCTTTATCATTAATCGATTTTTAGCTTTTAAGATATTTTGTCTCAATTATGCTGGAATTTTGTGATGTGTCATATGGTATTCAGTCGATGACGGCGCTTGCTCTTAGGAAGATTTTATGAGTTGTTGTTTTTTTTATAGAACGTTCGAATTTAAAGTCAAAAGACCTTTTAACCCCAAAAAAAAAGAATTTAAAGTTAAATTGTTTTATCTCAATTAAGCTGGAATTTGTTGAGGATTCACTAAATCATGTGTATTAACAAAAAAAACAATTTTTTTTCCAATCATAAAGATCACTTGCGTCTTGCAGTATGGTAATGAATCATGAGAAAGATGTAATTGTTGAGGAAAATGTTAGGTGACTTGATTTATTAAATGTGATATGTTAGATTGATATTTTCTGAAAAAAAAATAATAACGAAAATATTAAATTCTTAATAAATTATCTTACAGTATACAAAATCACACATGTATTGAATGATGTTCCATAGATGTAATCATTTTTTTTGCTCTCTTGAGTTAATGTGTTTGAAATTGATTATTCAGATCTTTGGGTTGGTGGATACCAAATCGTTGGTCCAAGCGTCGGCTTCTTGTACCATGTTCAAGAGAAGTTCGATGGACCCGTTTTGTTACGGGGACATAGACTTGACCAACGTTAATGTTAAAAGTATAGTTGTGCGTGGTATGATCTTTAGAGCTGGAAAGGAACTCAGGTGAGATGTTGTGTACTCTTACTCTTAGTGTCCCTTCCTTTCTTCTTGATGCAAGTGAGCTTCTCATATTTCTTGATTTTCTATTCAATTACTCTCTATGGGTTTTGTTGCATGCAGGTCCCTTAAAGTTGGTTGCGCAGATGAACCAACCAAATCTCTGCTTACAAGATCTTGTCTCGACCCACTGTCTTACGATCATGGTTTAGCTGGGTATTTACTCTATACCTTCTATACGTAAAAAGTTGGTTCTACTGGTTTTTGTGGTGCTTCTAAATTCTAATTTGGTTTATTTACTTATTTTCAACAAGGAATCTCTTGGAGAGCCTACACATTTACAATCACGACGGAAAGCTGAGAAAGTCCATATGTGGTGCGTTGTCAGTCTGCTCAAATCTGACTGATTTGAAGATTGTTGGATTGTAAGTTACTAAGTTCCTTACCTATTGTTTTACCATATTCCTTGAATTGTCCATTCCCATATTCTGGTTTTCATCATCTATGATTTCCATTATTTGCTCAATTTGCTGCTTTTATGTCTGTAGATATTAGAATCTACTAGTTCCTCTTGTACCGTTTTGATAAGATCCATGAGTTTAGTCACCAGAAATTTACATCATATAGAGACTTTGGTAAAAAAGAGAATTTCAGTTATCATCCTAAAACCCTAGAAAACCAGAACGCCTAAACCCTAAAAGTGTATTTCTGGACTAACAAGAAAGCTTTTGATACTTTTTCTCACTTCCTATACAATATTTGTGTTTTAAATGACAGGGATATCCATACAGTAAGTGATATAGTCGATTTTCTCACAATCAAATGTGAGCATCTGTTCTTACAGAACGAGAATTTTGGTAATGTTTTTCCATTGTGATGCTTAATTAATTTGCTTTTGTTTGTCCTCCCATGCATGTTTGCTTACGCTGACCGTTATGTATGACAGTTGTATGGAGCCACTTAACTGGTTCGCACTTTGAGAAAAGCTGCCCCAATCTCACTTCACTGTCACTTATAGGTTTTCACATAACAGACGACGAAGCCTACAAGTTATTAATGGTATGGCTCTTTTGGTTTCCTGGTGTTTCTTCTATTCTCATTTTTTTTTGGGTGCTATATATATAAATGTTTTTGTAAAACATTGAGATGTTTTCTATTTGATTTTTTTCCAGGGTTTGCATAAACTTAAGTACATTGACTTATCCAGAACATCTGGATTTGGAGGATCCTTCTTGAGGTTCATGTTGTCTTAATGATGAAATCCTACTAATTGTTTTTCTGTTTGGAAAATTTCTTATGGTGGGTTTTTTTGTTCTTATGGTAGACGCGTGTGCGATAACATCAAAGATGCTCTGATCGAGACTATAATACTGCGAGATTGCGTCGGGTTAAGGGAGGTAAAGCAATCTAACTTAGTACATATATTCTCTTGTTTTTGCATCAGCATCAGTATTTGTTAGAGAATGGTTTGTCAGTATTTGTTTTTGGATATTCAGAGAATGGTTTGCCAGTTTTTGCATGCGTTACTCTCAGGAGACTTGAGGTTCATGCAACATATTGTAAGTTCTTAAATAGGAGTATACTAGTTTTTTGTAAGAATATCATTGTGACAAATGATTTTGTTTAATTTACTCATGATGTTTTTTCTTCAATATAATAGGATGTTTCAAATTACCATGGATTACTTTGTGGCGAGAGGAGTAATAGAAAACCAAAGTAACATATTTCTTTCTTTTTTTATGTTGTTTACCATTTGATAAAACAGTAATCATAACTCAGGTTAATGACTCACCGGCGGTTTATATGGGTGTGTTGTAGGTTTCCTCTGGAAGAGCTGGAAGTAGAAAGACCTGGTCTTACATTTGTGGCAGATTTTATACCATCACCATATTCATTTTTATCGTCATCTGATGATTCATCATCATCTCATGCATCATCTCATTCATCAACGGATTCATCAGCATGATCAAGTGATTCATCATCAGTAAGGTTTGTTGATTTGTTATTATATATAGCTTTAAACTAAAAATTAATTAGGAATTGAACTTAGGTGAATTTGTTTTGTGAAATTCAGATCACAACTCAAGAGAAGACGACGACGACTTTTGACTTGTGTTCAATGGTCTCTTCTTTCTCTCTTTTTTTATTTCCCTTGGGTTTTTTTGTTTTTTTGGAACAATTATTTCCCTTTGTTGAGGATTCAGTATTTTGCTTCAAATTTTATGCAGTATTTTTCTTTTGGATCATACATTAAACTTATTAAGGATATGGATCCTAAACTTTCCTAGTTAATTTGATTTGATCATTTAGATTTTATGTCTGCTTCAGTTTAAATTCCCATCAGCTACAGGTAAACCATAATCTCCTACACCCTTACGCCATAACAAATAGCTAGTTCGAACAAGCACGGACCTTGTTCGATGAATAGCCTGATCATCACAACTAAATCTACGACACTTTTGCTTATAATTAGGTTTTGTCTTTTATTATCAGACTTGCTTTGCTTATCTGACCTGTCCACTCAGAAGTCAGAACCTATTTTGATGATAGTTTGTTATTTATGTCTTACGTAAGAAAAGATATATAATGTCTAATATATTGTTGTTCAAAAAAAAAAATGTCTAATATATTATTTGAAATTGAATAAATTGTTTCTCTTATTTTCATTCACTATTTGACAATCACTTTGATATCGATATCGACAGTTACGATTTTGACAATAAACATGTTTGTTTGGAAGTTTAATCTCTAACTATTTTTGAAAACCGGAGAAATTCATGTTAGAGCAAGAAGTTTCATGGAGCCAGTCTGAAAAAAAAAGCGCAGCAAGAAGGAACTGAAACAAGAGCGTAAAAACCCTACAATCAAGGGTCACTTTTTGAGGTTCAGGTTTTTCCTTAAACAAAATGTTAAGAGCGCAATTTCCTCCTCAGTATTTCTATTAGCAAAATTTCTTATTGCTTAAACTTTTTTTGATGATAGACATAGTTGCAAAGACAGTTTGCTCAAGACTTTAATATTGCGTGACTGCCTTTTACTAGAGGAGGTAAGCATCAAATAATAATGAATTAAGTATTTGGTGGTTGCATGCATCACCGATCATATAGTCTCGCGCTTACTGACCTTGAAATTTTCCAACTTTCAGAAAGAAGTTTTGCAATTTCTGAATTCGCTATCCACAGGAAACTTCAGATTTATTAGGCACATTGTAAGTTCTTATAGAACTTTTGGCAAATTTTGTGTAGACTCAGAGTTATAATTTGAATTTGTTTATTACTCATATTATTTTTCTTCTTCTTCTATAATAGGACATTACAAATTACCGCGGCTTGTTGTCTGATGGCCGCAAAAGATCTTTCAAACCAAAGTAACTGATAGTTCACTTATTATTTATTTTATTTAGATAATTGTTACCATTTTCCCTAA